ATGGTAGATGGAGCTTGGACTGACATGGTTGTGAAGCTACCTTGCCGAGACTAACAGCCCTTGTCCTAGCTGTTGTTGTAACCGTATACCGACCTACCTAATGTATACCTAGGTACCTATATATATACCTATCTCCTGCCTCTAGGGGGTAGGAAGAGGTATGTAGGTAGCACGTACCTTTCTCTGCACAGACGCCAAACCTCCGTGATCAATGAAACAGGTATGTAGGTAGGTAGGTACGCGGGTATTTTTTCGCAAGGAAAGGGTAGGTAGTTTGCGACGGTGGGAAGAGCGCAGTAATTTACATCTATTTTACGTCTTCCTCTATTCTCAACCGCCTCGTAACGGGCACCGCCAACACTTTCGCCACTCGCCACTCTCGCTAGCGTATCACCACATGTGCGTGTAGAGGTAGGCATGCAAGCGATTGAGGTCCCCGAGATATATTTACGGCCAAGCCTAGGCGGAGTCGGTTTGTCAGCTATCTATCTCCCTTGTACCAAGGATAGCGTCTTCGCCGTCGATCAATTGGACCGGCGAAATATATGACGGCGGTATGAGGGGATTGGTCTTCGCCGGCCGCTGTTTAATCAACGAGTGCATAATCCTGTTACGGTCTCGTCTACATATCCCTCCTGCGATGGCACACTGGGGAGTTGATGGAGGGTTGAGGCTTGCAGGTTCTTGCAGGCGCATTGTATTGTTGCAAAATGGCTGGTCTAGCCGGTCTACACGTTGTATCCAATTCATGAGTGAAATTGATAATAGCTAAGGATATTTGTCCATGTTGGGGAGGGGGTTGAAGACGATGGCGTTTTTCTTTTCTTGTCCTTTTTTGTACAAATAAAAAAATTCGGTCAGATCTATGTACGTCATAACGCTAGCACTTTGTGCAATGTTCATGCTAAAAACAGAATAAAAATTCGAGCCCTCCTCGCCTCCCTTGGCCCAAGCTTCGCGCTCGGACACAAAAAAAAGAGGAAAAGAAACAAAACTACAGAAAAAGGGATCATAGGCGAATGATCGCATATGTACGTACGAGTACGTACCTACACTTCTACCCCGTGTCTTACACGTACCCAGCGCATAGAATGACAACTACGAGGTAGATGTCGGGAATATACTATAATGAAAATCAAATGGCGGATGGTATGTCGATAACGCTTATCATAGCATTAATCCATTTGCATTTACCCTCTGGATGAATAGGTAAGAATCGCCTATCCTGTTTTCAGCATGCAGAGTACAATACCTTTATTATATTCCCGACCTACCTAAGTACGCCCCCCCGTCCACCCCATCCCCCCCTTCAAAACTGCTACCACGCAGCGAGCTGTGAGTATGCTAGGTTAAGTAACACCGTGTAGGCACACAAAACGGCCCTGGAATTCGTTGCCATTGATCCCGTCCAGTCCTCGGCGGCCCTGGCGAATGTAGGTAGTGTGGTACTACGCAACATTATGTAGTACTACGTAGTGCGCTGCGGCTTACGTCCACGACAGGGTGTATGCGTGAGGGTTTCTGCATGTGCTTCTCGTACCCTGCCTGCGTAATACTACGTGTATACAAATTTGTGATCGTATGGGTAGAGGAGGTAGGTAGGTAGATAGCATTGTTTACGAGATAGCCAGCTACATTCGCTGCACGCCGTGGTGTCTTCCCACGCGTTGCTTATTCTTTCTCGTTTGTAAGCATTTATGCATTTGGTGCCCGAGGGGTGTGCGGCAGATAAGAAGCACTTGGATGATCCCAGTCCCGTCCACTCCCCTCCCGTTCTAGGTATATAGCCTGTCTGCAACAGATATGCTCGCTGTCTTTGCTCAACTGAGGACCGCCTCTTACCTGGCAAGCACAGAAGCAGGGCTCTAGATTGGGCTAGGGCGGAAAATGCATTATGATCATGAGTAGGGAACGAGGCGCTGTGGCGTAGACAGGTTGGGAAAGGACACCGGCATCGCGCAATCTGGTACGATGGGCATGTAAACAATTGCTGCACAGGTGGCTAGCTGTGTTCTCTAGGCCGCTAGGTGGGTAACAGAAACAACCAGGTGGATAGGCATACTAAGCCGCAAGGACCTCGCGTTTTTGAAGGGTACCGAAGTGTTTCTGAAACCGTCGAGGCATTTTCCATTGCTGGAGAAGGACGTCAGCAGCAAAGGAGGTGGGATATGCACATACGAAGAAGATACGGGATATACGGAACCCGTGCTGAAATTGATGCCATTCTCACCCACAAACGAACAAAATGCGGATGTAGGCATGGTACATACCGGACCACGATCCGAGCGAAATCCGTAGCTGCCGCCTACCTACATACCCTCCTACATAGGTAGGTACCTCCTACACAGTAAGTACCGCATATCACCACAGCCCCAGAGACATCCATGCCGTATGTAGGACGGAGGGAGGGACAGGTCGTATCACGGCGCTAGCAGACTTGTCGAATGTCTGCTGAGGCGCTAGAGACGGCTTCCATATATGTATATGCACATATTATTACTATGGGGATTTATTTGCCATACGTATATGTAGTGCGCAGACAGGCGAGGGTGGGAATACGGTTGTCGGTCTCCCATTCGGCACACCTGCGCAGGATCCAAGCACGCAGCATACAGGTCACATCGGTATGGCAATCCGCATGGGAATTTCTCTCTGTAGCGGGCGCAATTGTAAGGCGACGAGGGAGAGCAAGAGAAGGGGAAAGAAAAGAAGAGCAGGAAGGACGTGGACGTGGCCGTACATCTAAGTACATAACGCATGTGTGTGTGTAAGTGCACACCGTACCATTACGGAATGACATCCACCCTGGAATAGTACAGGATTAAGAATGGTGTTAGGTTAGGTATGGTGTTATCAATCCATCCCATCCATCCATCGGGACCCGCCTATCCCCACCTCTCCTAATAGATTTGATTGGGGATACGATCTCTATAGTCCCCCCCCTCGCCTTCCCTCTCCCTCCCTCCCCATTGCCAGTGGTGCTAGCGCGTATATTGTGGGCATGGCAGGTGGTGGGCGACAAATTTTCGCCTGAGGGTGTTGCCAGACTCAGTCAGGGTCTCCCTCTTGGTGGATACCATACTACGTATGTTAGTACATACCTACCTACCTATTAGTACATACCTGTTAGTACATAATGCTGGAAGGAGGAAGGGGGGGGAACCACTTGACCACTCACCACTCCCCAACTGCGTCCACTAAACGTCTCGTAGCCCATGCTGGCTGGCAGTGCCCCGTCTGGCGAGACTGGCCGGGCTAGCTGTGATCGAATCAATAATTTTTAGCTGACCTGCCCACACAGTTCCGTTCCGGTTTATGGCATTCATTTTATTACCTATTCTTTTACTTCCCTTTTTCGGGTCCTGACCTCTTCCATCCTCCTCCTCCTCCTTCTCCTTCCATCCAGCATCCTGCCTCCCTCCCCAACCTACCTACAGTTCGAAGGCAGGCCCGGGATTGTAGATAGCTTCATCTGTCCGCAATTCCCATCGTTTCTCTCACCCTTCTCCCTTCTTCCTCCCTCCCCCCCCTCCTCCCTTCGCATTCTTTCTTGCTTTTCACCCTCTGTTGAATAAGACAAGGAAAGGAACCCGGAAAGAAATACCTAAATTAAAAAAAAAAAAAGAGGAGCCGCGGTTGTGGGTTGGGAATACCTTGACACCTGATCACCTCTACCACCTAATCCGTTCCTCTGGAACTGTCTTGTGTCCTGTCGATTCCGTCAGCATCGCCGTAGCCACGATCGGTGATAACTCCTCCCCGTTACCTTCGCGTATACCGCCGTCTCCCGACTGCCATCCATACCCGGGTGGTAGAGTGCCCGTGAGACAGGAGTGAGAAGAGAGGGAAAACTGAAAAAGAGGATCACGGTACGTACTGACAGGGCCTGGGACATCCGGTACAACAAAGCCGAGTGGGCGTAACAAAGGACGGACCACCAATATTTCCCTCCTCGCCTCTTGATATCTTCTAGGCTTCCGAAGATCCCATCCCCATCCAGCTTACCAATAAACAACGTACCCTTTGTGTTTGTTGTCTGGCCTTCCCGTCTTGCCTCCTCCCCCCCCGATGCGTTTTCGGTAGCCTCCCACGACCATTAATCGACATCCCCGTCCGCTGTGGTCTCCTCGGAAGGGATTCTTAACGACTCGGTGTCTCCCGAGTGTGGATCATCAGCTCATCTTCAGTTGATCCTTGTTAGGTCCGTAGGAGAAGAACAGGGAGAAGTCAAGAGTTGCATCGCTGCTGGAATATTGCCGTTGCATCTCTTACCCTCCCTTCTCCTCTCGGTCCGACGACGGATCTATGAGCACCTTCTGAGAGACCGCCGTCCCGCACTCCTCCGTTCCTGTGAGTTGACCCCCCTCTTCTGTGTTGTGCCCGCCCAGATACCTGCTCCCTTGTCCCGCTCCAACTTCTCAATCGGCCGCAGGCCGTAGTGCCACCCGTCACCGCGAGCCGCACGGTGGGAAACGTGCTAGGCGCCGACAAGGAAAACCCCAAAAAGGAGGGGCATGAGAGACGTGGGATGAGACGTGCGACTATATTATTCAGTGCCACAACCCCTGGTGGCGCCACACGATTTTCGGAACACCCCTCGTTTGCCGCAGATTGCGTCACGTTCTGTGGCTTTTCTGACCCTGGATTCGCTTCCAGCTGGTTGAACATATCAGTCGAAATTCATGATATCAGTTCTGTTCGCCACGGGATCATTGTCTGGTTTACACGGCACTGCAGAAGTCAGCAGGGTCCAGGATTGGGGATTCTCACCTGGATATATTGCGTTGAATCAACCAATGCTGATCTGACCGTCTTTCGCAGGTTTCCCACAGTATTTGACTTATCCCTCGAATACCGCCTCCGCCACAGTACCATTACCTCATCTGATCTGCGTCCTGAGGTTTGGTAGACGTTTAAGCATTGCTTCGCTCACGGGATTTCGAGCTCAGCCGCACCGCCGTCGTCTCCTTCAACACACGCGGCAGCCCAAATCGTTGGGAATGCCTTACACGCCCCCATCCCGCTCCCCCGCCTCCTCAGCTATCCCTTCGCCGGACGTTAGCAGAAGATCCTCCTTCATTTCTCCGAGCATACCTTCCCCGAGACCTGCCCTACCACGGTCCTCTTCCTACCTATCCAGGCACCGACGATCTGCCTCGGCCGGGAGCATACCCACACTTGCAGCGCCCGTTGCCGCAAATGGCCCGACACCCGACATCACCCCTCCGGGGACGTCGGATAATTTGAAGGGGATGGCTGTTGCCTTTGCGGCCCCTGTGAGACAGTCCCCGCCGCCTGTTGCTGACGCGAAGGCCATGCCTCCTGGGGCTATCATCTCGCCACCCGACTCGTCGAGCGAAGATGAAGGGGCTGTCGAGTCCGAGGCCCGAGGTAGAAAGATGGAAACAGTTGAGCTCAAGGTGTTGAAGGAAGCTATCAGTGCCATGTCGCAGCCTCGTGAGTCGTCGCCGGTGCGGTCATCACTCAGCGACATCCCACCATCCTCGAAGAGTAACAACCCTGTTGGGGAGTCGCGGCAAACACGCATTGCTTCCGGGTTACCAGCTCTCAACACCAACACCCGCAAGGTGTCCCATTCGAGGTCACAGACCGAATCTCATATTTACTCGATGTCGGCCGAAGCATCTTTATCCAACTCCGAGGATGGGTCCGAGCAAGATGAGCCCTCGAGGAAGCCGCAAATGGTGCGAAAAAAGTCGGGAGAGCTGGTACGACCGGCACTACGACCGCCATCACGGAGGAGGCCGTCAAGTATGCCGGGGACGCCGACATTTTCAAAGGCTGTCCATTTCGACTCTCACCTCGAACACGTTCGGCACTTTTTGCAACTGGACCGTCCTCTCGCCGTCAGTGCCGGTTCCTCTCCGGCGGACCACTACGAGAGCGATAATGAGTACCCTTTTCCTGTCGAGGAGAAATCTAGCATACGGTCTCCCCCGTTCGAATGGGAACTTGCTATCGGTAGCATCCCCCCAGAGACTCCATTTCGGAGAGCTCTCCCTGTTAGGTTAGAGAGGGTGTGGATGTCACCTGACCAGAAATCTTTGCTGGGGTCGGTAGCCGTGGCGAACCTAGCTTTCCACAAATCCGTCGTATGCAGGTTTACCTTTGACTATTGGAAGACTACCTCCGAGGTTGCTGCCGAGTTCCACCAGGAGATCCGACTGCGCGAGACCGAGACCAGCCAGGACAGGTTCCAATTCAGCCTCAAGTTGTCCGACTTCGCCAACCTCGAGGCCAAGACCCTGTTCTTCTGTATTCGCTATAATGTAAACGGAGTCGAATATTGGGATAACAACGACAATACCAATTTCCAAGTAGACTTTCGTAAGAAGGTGCTACCTCAGCCTGGGAATAAGAACTCTCCAACCCCCCAGAACGCGGCTTCTGCTCGACCTGCGAATGGACTGCCACGTAGTACACGACGAACGAACGCTAACGCTTCTACCGTCGCGCGTCCGAAGTCCATGCCTCCCGGCGCTATGGATGAGTTCGGGCACGAGTCGAAGCTGGATGGCTTTGATCGGCCTCTCCACGAAGTGCTCGGGGAGTCAGGCCAGAGTGGTTTGCGCCTAAAGACCTCCAAGTCGTCGACCAGCCTGCCCAGTGACAATCTCCCAAATCGGGTGTCAACTCCAAGTGGACAGGCGTTCGCCAATCGGTATGACTTCGGAGCATCCCTCAGTGCCGCCAAGCAGGCCCACCGAGACCGAGAATCAAGCCAGCGAGGCAGCGCTCTATACATGAAGGCTCACAAGAAGACGAGCACGCCCCCAAGTTCGGAGGTGTCGCCGACTAGTACAACTCCGTCCGGATCGTCGTCGGCTTCTACGCCAACCCCACGGGTCATTCGCCCGATGTTCCCCCGGCCAAGCTCTCCGTCGGCTGGTGGTATAGCGTCGGCTTCGTACGAAGAGATCCTCAACAAATACTGCTTTGTATGTACAGTCCCTCACATCCTTATAATCGGCCATTGAACCGATACATCTCCGAAGAGATGAATAGCTATTTGGCTATGAGACTAACCGACATATTTGTTTCCAGTTCAACGGCTCCAAGCAATCTAGCCCTCAAGCCAAGGACGGGACCCTGCAGAATGGCCGGCTTGACAACATGGAGGAACTGTTTCACGTAGCCAACGAAGCCAATCCGGGTCCGAACGGTAGTCCGAACCTGGCTGAGCGGCCTCACCATTACGGTGCCATTCATCACTCACTCCGGCAGAATCTCAACCCGTATTTGCACACCTCGTATGTGCCAACCACTGGTGGATCTCCGGCAGAAGCACCAATGTCACAGCAGTCCATCGGGCCCTTGAACCAGCCGAGTTCTACCGCCACGGCCCCCACAGTGAGGACACCGTCTCCCGGCCCAATGTCTAGTTTCATGCCTCTTACCGGTATGTCCCTGATCAGGTCCCCCGTCGACCCAACTCCATTCCACGCCCAAGACATGCAAGACCGTTTCCCGTTCGTGGCAGACACTTATACTGCGACAGCAATAAGAGGTTGAATGACCAACTCCTCTTTACGACGTAACATCGCCTCGACAGCGATGAGCCTTATTTCAGAATGCAGGCGGTACCTACACATTTGTAGTCCCCTCTATTCGACTTGGATTTTTACGATCTAGTCCGACGCGTCCGTGGAGACTCGAAGTCTGTATATGGCCTCCGCAACGCTAGGATCTACGTGGACAACGTCCGGTATTTCTTGGACACCTTACTTGCGCCATCACTGTTGCTTGCCGGCCTCGGTTGCAACTCAACCATTTCCCTCAGTCTGTTTCCGTGCATTTTCCGGTAATGGCGTTCCGGAATCTGCATCCAGGTGCTTTGCGATCGAATTTTCTCTTTGAACTATATGATGATACCATCGAGTATACGACATGGTCGGATGGGGGACGGTGACCTTGCGTTGTCGCTACCCGGCCGGCGACGCTCACAGCATATGTGGGCCAGATCGGGAGCGGTTTTTCGGTGTTTAATGCATAATTCCCTTGTATATGGACATTCGCTTCCACTGACACTACTCTCACCTCGGCAACAATATCTCAGCTGACAATCGAGACACCCCCGGGATGTTGGGAGGCGGCAACGGACTCCGATTGGGAACAAAGCATTTCTTTCGAAGCGTCATGTCACGATGTCAGGTCATGAAGTCAATTGAAGTCATGTTTTTGATTGGATAGGAAGGGTTACGGTCTCGACGCGGGCTAAAAAAGAATATATTATTATAGGACGGCAATTGGATGACGGCCTGCCTCGCAACCCCTCGTTTCCGCTCGAAGCTCATGATCAAGCACTCCGTAGCTCTAGCGCCTTGGACGTCCGGTGGAGCTTGTGCGCCGGGGTGTCTGGTTCCCCGTGCTGCAGAGCACTCCGCATTCCAACCGCTAGAATTACGTTGGCTTGTATGATGCAGCCGAGAAGAGGGATGGAGAGGGAATGGATGCAGGCGGGCGGGTAACAAAAAGTAGAGTAGAAATATATGAACTGGTTATGATTGGCGTGTGGTCGGCTTAGCTAGGCTATGTTATTCGGCGGCCCCCTTTCGAGAATGTGAAATGCAGCTAGCAGGTGGGCTCGAGAAGGTTGAAATTCATTGCCCGGATTTCCGGTGTCCTTGGTGTCGTCGTCCAGGGTGTTGGTTTCGGTCCATCGTCTTGCCACGTACGTGCAATGTAACCCAAAGCGTGCCCAACACTTCCCGTAGAGAGGCACGCATCGACGGGTGGTAGAATGCAATTGTTAATACGTCTATGGAGACAGAGGGGGAGGAAGAGGCTTGAGTTCTAGAAGTGCGCATTCCTTCATCTTGCAGCTTTCGGAGCCTGAGATACCCAGACCAGCAGATGGCGAGTCTGATGTAACGGTGCTCGATTCTCTATAGGCGAGCCATGGGGCACGTATCGAAACCCCGCGAAATGAACTTAGGTAACTGCATGCAAGTTACTTGGACCAGCGGACTCTGCTTGGACCGTCATTCAGCTCGAGTGGGGAACGGGATGGATCGTCGACCGACCCACAGTTGGGTTCTGGCTGGGCTACATGGAGTCGGGCCCGATGCCTCTTCTCATAGGCACACATCACACGGACATGGGGCGTTCCGGGGCTTCATCCCTTTCTCATTAGCTGCTGACTTGTTCGGGTTCGTACGACCTTTTATTGATAGTTACTATTATTGCTGCTGCTGCCGCTGCCGCTATTGCTATCCCATACCTAAGTCTTATCTTCCCAGCCTAGGCCTCTACTCAGCCTAGGCCACTATCCACCTCTGTATCTTCCTGCGACGCCGTTAGGCGGGTTAGCAGGAACTCGGCGTCTTTCCTCTCCCACAGGGTCAGCTAGAGTTGGTTCAGGTACGAATAGCCACGAAGCGTCGCCCAAGGTGGTGCAAGCAAGCGTATAATGCCTAGGTGGATTGACACTACGCTACCTATCTACGTGATGATTATCCGCTTGGAGCGTACCCTTCTCCTCCCCCCTCCCCCTACCACCCACCGGCCGGTGCTGTCCGTCAGGAATCCCCAGACTCGCCGTGTAGTATACCGGGGCAGGATTCCCTTCTCAGGCATGAAATACGTTGGGGAGCACGCTGCGGCTCTGCCATTCGCCAGGATCGACAAGGGTAGGACCGAGAAACTGCTTGTTGGCCCCCTTCTTACTGAGGGGCCCAGCAAACAAGCTGTGGAAGTACATGTCGGTCAGATTAACGGCGCCGTGTCAGTGCCGCACAACGTCTCCCGTTTTATTGTCTACGTGCCCGATCACATTGGCCCCGATGTCGAAGCGACCGACCGTATGCAGATCCCGGTTGGCCTCGGCGGTGGCGAACTCGCTGCAGTGGTTGTAGTAGCTGTCGCCGACGGTGCCGATAAGGTCAGCCGGCACGGCGCTACCGAGTAGGACGTTCAGCGTGTGGTTTGGGATCTTGTACGTCTTGTTCTCGTCGAACGTAACCGACACTAGCGGCTTTTCCATAAAACGCGCGTCGTTGAGGGGCGGTTCCAAGAATACCTTGTCCACTTCCCCGCGACGCTGATGTCTGTGTCGTGGCCGTCCCTGGCCACGTTTGGCGTGATATGATCACCCACTGCGGGAGAGCCTCGCTCTCATGACCTTTATGAAATTCTGCATCATTTAGTTAATAATAGCCGTTCCGCCTGGCCTAGTCCCGGCATGGTTTAGTAGGTCCCCCCTAAGGTACCGGGCGCGGGTTTAGGAAAAGGAATAATAATATCCTGCTAGGGAGAGACACCTACTCGTTCAATTCTTCATGACGGCTAGTCGATCTACCGCCCTGGAATTCACGTTGTAGCTCACTACTTGGTTGTGCTTTCTCACGTAGTCATTTATACTGTTATACTGTTCTTTCTTCTAGTTGACGCAGGCGACTCTCTCAGAGGCGCTGTACGGTATGTCTTCTTAATCCCCCACCTAAGAAATACCCCTGCCCTCGAGCAGGTCGATAACGATCGAGGCGTTCCTGTCCTCTTGAGTGAAGTCGTCGTGCTGCAATACGCCGTAATGACCGCCGCAAATCTCCACGAGGTAGTTTGACTGTGAGAGATGCGTGATAACACAGTAGTAAAGACCGTGATGCCTCTCTCCGTTAACCAGGCGAGGATCGCTAGGATGACATTCGGCCATTCCGCCCTCTCGCTTGCTCTTGTGGAATCCCGAAAAAGCCGTAACAAAACGTGTGACTTAAGATCGCTCAGTGCCATCCCATAATCCGTGTTCCCGATCCGTATGTTAGCGAGACGGTCGAAGAGATTTCCCTGGACATCTCCTGTCGGGCTCGGCGTTTTTGCCGTCACCTGGGCCCGTTAGACATCGCTGGTTGTGGTCGCCGTATAGGTATTTCCCACGTAGTTGGCGAGGATGATTACAAGGAACAACGTCCAGAGAATGTCGGTTAGCTTGATTGACAGGGACTTTGGCCAAATACAGGACAGCTGGATTTCACTAGCACCTCTGCGTCTATACACAGCAACGCCGCTACCCTCTACGACTCGGCTCACCGAGGTCTTCATAGTAAAGCGACATCCGATGCAGGTAATTCCACAAAAGTCTATATTAATGGTCGTAGACTTCCTTTATAAATGGTGGGCACATACCCGGGAAAGCTCGGTGATCAACTCGACTTTTGCTACACTAATATGAGTTGGGTTGTATCCCTCCTACCTACTTGAATAAGTGATAGCGCAATACACTCTGAATCAACAATCGAGAATAGGGACAACGGATATGCGGTATAAGTACGGCTCATGTATCAACTTAAACACGTTGGTATATATTTGAACGATACGTAGGGGGGGGGGGGGGGGGTATATCCGTTCTGGCGAATGTTTTTCTCTTGTTCGGAAAGAGATTGAAGATTTAGATCGCCTCTAAAATGGCTCGGTATTATATACCAACCAATGTATATCAATATGGAAATTTATGTATTACAATACGCACAGTGGTAGGTATGCGAATGCTGCCGACTTTCCTCCGTTCACTCCCCCGCCCACCTCGATACATAAATATGAGACAAGACAACCAAAATGTGCATACACACAACTCGTATTGTGTAACGTTCTAGCGATCTGTCTCCGTCGCGGATGTGGACATTGGATGATCATCATTAGATACAGCTGTTATGTGTCACGGGCTTAGCTACCGCTTGGTTGATGCCGATTAGCATCTGAGGAGTTCTAGAAGATGATTGATGCGGTGGAAGTACTACGCTGCAACGTAGACGTGCCTATGGGATGTGCGCTCCGATGCAAGAATACCGACATTGGGTGTTCTAATCGGTGGGATATGATAGGCATCTCGCTTACACTACGAACCTATCTAACCTCGCCAATTCAGGAGACGACGATGCGGGGAGCACGTGTGAATTTGAATGGCCAAGCATCGGTTTGTTGACATGGCCAAAGGAGAGGGGGCAGAAATCTGGCCGTGGACGATACTCTGTGCTAGAAACCCAGAACGCTCCGGCCCCCCTTACACAGGACATATTAGCTGAGAACGCCCCAAGTTCCATTGGACATGGGCGGCATACGCACTGAAGTCAGAGCCAACTCAGCAACCCCCGACGACACCCCCCTTTTCCTTATCACTGCCACTTCGGCTTCAAGCTACTACCTACGACTTATGATTCGTCTCTGTCAGCCGCAGTGGCTTTCGCATACCGAACCGTCTCACTAGCATTTGCTACCGTTGGTAAAGGGACACCTGCTTCACATGCTGTTACGAGGTTGTCATATTGAAACAATTTTCACATGCCATTTGCAAAGGTAGGACGAGTAGACGCAAGAATAGTCCACTCTAGCTAAGACTTGGAAGTGACGTATTGATCCGCGAGGATTACGATGGGCAAGACCATATGATCGAGTGCACACATATTGCCCATATCGAACTCGCATAATGTTCGCAACTTCGCACGGCCACGGCCCCTGGCGCCAACGAGTCGATGCTCCCGTCGTCAGCCTTGTACTGTTTACGATATAACCCATCAAAATGTCTACCATAATGCACCTTGTGGGTATGCGGGCGTTCGTCGCCCCGCTGACCCGGCAAGGCCAGCGGGACAGAGAGGGTTTGCCAGCCTGTTCGGCCTTAGTCGCGGATTCCCCTGATATGCCTAATATGCTGGCTGACGAGTAGGATGGTGGTATGAGTTCTACTCCGTCCGATTATCGGGCTGAGAACCGCCAGCATGGGACAGCTCAGAGCAATTATCTCCCAATGTCTCCTTCATTTCACATCGGGATTTGCCGAAGGTTTCACGGCGCCCTTCACGTTACCCGCTGGCTTGCCCTTATTGGAGCGGATCCAACCCGCCATCTACGCCGGATTGGCGGAGAACTGCGCGGGACGCATCAGCCTGGACATCAGTGGATGCCTTGCGGCTAAGGGGGGAACAGCAGCCAGGGCGGAGATTGACGACTACGGGCAGAGGCCACTAGTTGGGCAAGATCGCTCCTAGAGCTATCTCGCCTTGCCAGATCTCTCTTCGGACGTTCTCCGAGGGGTTATGGCTCACTTCAATAACCGGGAGAAGGTGTGGTAGGGCTTTCTATCTTGCGTGAGCGTGTTCTCCGACTGGTCGGCGGGCGAGCCTAGGGCGTTCGGAGCGGCGGTTGCTGGCCTGTCGATATCTGTCGGGCGCATGATCGGTGGCCTGCCCTCGTTGTCCGCGCACCCCTCCGTGGCTAGGCAGCACTATGGCCTGCATCGGAGCTTCGTCTTCTGCATATTGATACTATCCGCCTTCAGATTCGTCGAGGACCGCCTTCTGCAACCTGCGTCTACGGATGGCAATTAGGAACGTGGATCCGAGCGAAGCGGAGTCACCAGATGGAGAAGTATTCAGCAAGGCTTGCTGGGAGGATGTGGACCGTCATCGTGGAAGGCATCGCTGCAATCATATCCGCACTTTACGTCACGCTCCTCGAGAGCGTCCTGTCGTAGGCCATGGCATTACGTCCTGCTGCCTTCTGGCGTCCGGCAGCGCCCCGATATCATCTGCTGAATTAATCATCATTCCTTCCGTGCAGAATTTCTGCTTGGCGAGAGCGTCAGGTCATACTAATGTAGATTTCTTCCATCTACTTCCACTGCCGCGTCGCTCTGTCGTATCAGAGGAAGACACGCGGCCGTTTGTTCGTACTGCTTCGGCATATTCATGGGGAGAAATGCATCAACGAGTTAATAACATTGCGTAGCCCCAGATGGGGTTTGCCACGGCCCGTAATTGGTGGAGGCACCCTCACACCCACAGGTGGATATTCCCTGGGCCCATCAGAGGAAGAAGTTCGCCCCGGCCGGGGAAGATGACGCAGACCGGATCCGGCGACAGTATATCCGCCCCCGGATCGGGTAATTTGGTTAACCATCCTTGCGCAATAACTGGACGTATATCCGGGATGGCCCTCCGGTCAATCTCTTTTGGCGGGTTCTGTCTTGACGTTCACGTCCGTTGCAGATCCCGCGCTTCCACCATGATGAGCTGGGCTGCTTGCTGTACGGTGTTTGAATCGCTGGGGCTTGTTTTGGTAAAATGGCTCGATACCTAGCGCCGATCTAAGTCTGTATCTAGACATCGCCCCGGGACATCTATAGACAGCGAGGAGGTTGAGTTGCCTTCGCTTCCAAGAGTCGAGGCCGTGATTGACGTTGTAACAATTTGCCATACTATTTGCATACGAATTAAGGCGTCTCTCATGTCGAGTCTGTCTTCGACTATGTGTGCTTTCACCAAAAGGCTTATTGGCAGCCCCAAGTGACTCGTTAAGATACAGTAAATGCCTAGCTAGACTATCGACGCCTACTCGTACATGAAATTTATTCGCTGATGTAGGCCAAAGTCTGTAGAGTGTGAAAATGGGGAACATGAACCTTTCGGTCGAGAGTCTGAGTTGTGGTGAAGTGCCTACATCTGTTCTGGATGGGATACGGCGGCAGACCCCTGAGTACACCTGCCGTAGGCTTCGAAGCACCTCTGTTGGGCAATACTGAACGAGCCTAGTCTAGCTAAATAAAGATAATGAATCCGATTTTAGTGACCTGATAATATCACTTTGGCTTTCTGCAGCGTCGCGTAAGGAGCCGTGGGCTGACATGCACTACGCCGACGTTACCTACGTGGTAAAGCAAGTTTGATTGTCTCGAACTCTTAGAACTGATAGGGTCGGTAATATCAGCCAGCAGAAACACAGCAGGCAGCATATAACACTTCTATCTGTAGCACCGAGGGGTAGTAGCTTCAGCCTCTTGTTCGCATCAACTATAGAGAAATGTAGATGTTTAGTATATTTCGCTGCTTCCCAATTTAAGCCTACGTAGCTTCTTACACTATAGAATTTATACTCGGGCGCTGCTTAGGCGTGTTATAAGCTATTGAAGAGCTTCGGTAGCTCTGTGGTTTGCCTAGAGTGGGTATGGTCCTAAGGGTTCTATGCAGTAGGAAACCACGGTCTGGATGTTATATGGGAACTAGGCCGGAGGGGGTGTTACTTGATTTTATACGTACATCTATCATTAGTATTCAGTTTTCCAGGTAACAAGATTCCCATATTACAGTATACGACCAATATTCCGAGTCAACACAGTAGAGCTAACATGTGTTACCGGTTATTAAATGTTGTTAATTAGCCTAAGTCCCTCGCGTACTTTCCAAGTAGTTAGGTGTTATTATGATGATGTCGCGAAATTGTTACTAATAGATCCTCGGCTTGCTACGGTCTCCCTCTAACTATGATGGTAATACCTATAGCACAAATAGACTATACCTGATGAGTTAGATACATACCGAAAAGGCGTTATTTACTAGGTATCTACTAATGATAACGTTCTCTATACCTCCCTAGCGCGAATTCCTCATTTCTACAGAGGTGAAGTGCTTTATTTTAGGGAATGGTTTCCTATCGTTAACAACGTGGAAAACGCCATATTTCAGACCGTGGCCTTCGCATAACCACCGACCCTACGTCTTTCTAGCCAGACTTAACCATTATGAGAAAAGATGAAACAGCGAGTGGGATGACCTACAGGGGGAGGCTATCCCATTGGGGCAACTGCCAGAAGTGTCACCTGCATATCCAGGAGCAGGCAGCAGTATAATACTGAAGAGCCATTGATCCTGATCCGGCTCGAGCCGTTGCCCGATAAATAGGATGGTCCTATTTTTCAAGATGTTACCCATGCAAACCCATGTGACGAGTTCCTGTTGGGATGGGACATCGACCTCGGTCTAGTATCGGATGAGTTAGTAGTGTTGTAAATATGTATATTCGGTGAACTTATAGTCTACTGCGTCTAGTACGGCCGTGGGAGGTTATTGAAACCCAAATGCAACATACGAAAAGGTGTTGTAAAAAGTAGGTGCCAACCGAAGTTCTATTATCTGCGGACACGCCTGGATATAGCTAACTTCTCACAAATAACAGATATTGTAAGAAGCAAAATCGTGGCGCTTAAGAAAGTATTTCGCGCAGGTGAAATCTGCGGCATAAGCAGTATGACCCCATTAATATTTCTCCTCTATCTTTTCACGAGACCTAAGAAAAAACCGCTAATGCATGGCAGGCCAACTAATAACCCCAAACCCGAACCCCAACCCCTCCTCCTTCCACCCCCCTCTCCTCCCCCAGGCGCGAAAAGGGACGATTGTCTTGAACTGCAGCGAGTGTGACATGAACAGTTGTTCCTGTGGCTTCTGGCGCCAATTTTATTTATCCCGATAAGCCAAACGGGTCCCACGTGTTGGGCAGCTCACGGCTGCATATCCTCCTAGCCTCGAAAACTCGGGTCGTAGAAATCGCAAGTCTCAACCTTTCCGTGGCGAAGGTGTACTGGTGGAGCTACATGACAGGGTCTTTCTTGTCTAGCAAGCGATATCGTGGCTGTCGTGCTTCACAAGCGGGGCCAACAGGGCCCGATGACAACAGCATTTCTTTATAACAACTGGTATGCCTTAGGATCCTTGAGCCGCCGGCTTTAAGCTAGCAGTCTATTGGGAGTTCTAGGTCCACTAGGCACATGGGGTATCCGTCAGCTATATTAGCCGTAATGACCATGACTGCCTACCTACAACGGTCAGCGTAGCGCAATGAGACAGGCCTAGCGGCCGGGACCGGATCTGACATCTACTGGGTACCGCCGCTAGTAAAGTGCAAAGGTTATTTAGATTCCCTCGCAACTCCGGCCGCAGCCGTCGTAGTCGAGGACGGATGGTTCTCACTCCGGAGTATATTATAGGGTAGACCTGGTTCTGGCCGCAAGCCTATCCCGATAGCTGGGAGCTTCGACGCATCTACAAGTGGCGGGCTTATCTGTATCTTGTTATTGTCTTCGCCACCCTGGAACTATTGACTGTCTCTCACCTTAGGCGCATCTCACCGGCCGACTAATTGGCATATCGTCAGTGCTGCGCCTTCACACCAATACCTAATTTCCCTAGACAGTGGATACAGGTGCGAAGAACCTTTTCTTTATTGCGCTTATGTGCTTTACGTACCTACGAGGCACTAATTAAGGGAAAACAATGAGCCCTATAACGGGCAAAGAGAAGGAGAGAGGAGACTTCACAAGACACCTCAAAACGAGGAAACACACTAGGAACTGCCCCCAAAAGGAGGAGGGAGGATACAGAATGAAAACGCGCTATGAACAAAACGAGAGCAGAGATGCTAGATAGCTCCGGAGAACCCGAGCCCGGGAGCTGCTGTATTAGATAGGTAGCCTAGTAGGTCACAGGATAGCCTCAGGGGGGGTCCCTACGGGCGTTAATACTTGAGGGTCGAGTATGACTACCTACTACTACTACTACTGCTACTACTACTACTACTACTACTACTACTACTACTAGAATGTATTGAGCTAGCAGGTTGTCTACTGCCTGCTTGGGAGGTAGGTAGGTACCTAGGTACCTAGGGTAGCGGACGTAGGAGAGGTACTTCAGGGCATGCCTTGCCTGTAATGTGCAAATGCCAACATCCGCTATCCAATTTTATGCCGAGTTGGCGAGGCTCATGTATCGACGCTGGGTTGCTGGGTACATGACTTGTAAGAAGGGTGGCAGATATGACGTATTGACGTCCGCCAGCTTATACATCAGTGTACCTAGGTAGGTACCTAATATACCTCTGGCACTAGGTACTCCTCGCAGTATGCCACGGAGAAACGATATTACGAGTTCCGGCCGCGGGGCGCAACCCGGACCTGGGTTTCATATCAGCCGCACCCTGGCGTCATGCTCATCCCCAGGTCCTTGGCCCATTATCCTTCCGCCCAATCAGGATGTCGTCTCTTCCTGAACCATGACATGCCCTTATTGCGCTCATCAGGCAGCAGCATTTCCGACCTCATACTCACCTCGGCGACGCGCATCTCACATATCTCCCACACGTGGAAGTCGATGGGGGGAGGCAACAGGGTCTCGCGCCGACAGTTCCAATTGCCCGTCAGTTGCTGAGACAGCAGTCTACCGCCGTATTCGTCGGTGTCCAAGGCGGGCTACACGATACCATACCCGTTCGTGGATCCGCCCCTACCTGCTCCTAGGCACCGAAATTACGTCCATCCTCTCTTCGCGCTGGGCTCAAGGCAGCGGTATTCCCTCCTCGTCTATCGCGCGATAGGTCATGTTAAATTTTCACGAGCGCAGCCGTCTCGCTCCCGAGCCCGCATGCCTAGCTGCCTCTGCGGTCCACATGCGCTCATGCGTGCATCCTACCGTTTTCATCTTCGTGGATGCCTTTTCCCTAGTACCTGCTACGCCACCTTAGCATCTCTCTCGCTTTCCGCGGGGCTAGCTTGTCAAATACATAGACGGTGGCCCTCTTAAGTTGTCCACGCTTCTCACCTACTAGTGAATGCGGGAAGACGGCTGCCGCTCCTACTTTTTGTTCAACTATTATTAATATCATGCGGAGGGTAGATGCCAGTCGCTCCGAGCATCTAGCCTAACGCTGTACTCGCTATCCACACCGCAGAAACAGGCTCGTGAGACCCAGATATTCGAGCTCCCTTCTTCTTGGTCTTTGGCTTGTCGTCCCCTTGCGTTGATCCCTGGTGCATTTCAAATCTGACCTGGAAGTGCCTGGGAAAATAGGCAGACGCTCGCTTCGATAGCCGCTCACGATGGAGTCCTTTATCTCCCGCGGCGGCTTTCAGCTGCCTTTCCAACGCCGGCTCAGCAGGCTCTACAATGATACCAAGAAGTCTTCCGACTTTGTCAAGGAGTCTGCCCCGAGCCCCGACGACCCGGAGATCAAGGCGTTGCATCGCAAGTTGCGAATCCAAAAGGATCGATTAGTCGGCTGGGGTTTGGAGTGGTCCGACCCAAACCAGGTTGCGGAGATTGACGAGGCTCTATCGAGAGCGGGCTTGAGCGATCTCGTGGGTAGTATAATGGCTACTATCAAAGACATTCTCGCCGAGGCCGAGCCGCTGTGGCTCGCTTCTCGACAGGCTGTCGGGAGTGGGAAGGCTTCGGAAAAGTCATCTGTTGACAGAAAGGCGCCCTTGATTGTCTGGGACAAAGGGAGGTTTGAGGATCTGGTCAGGGATCTTACCGCGTCAATTGACACGCTCTGCGACCTCTCCCGGACACGGTCATCTGCAGCGATGACCTCGAGAGCCGCATTGACGAGATCTTCTAAGTCGACTGCCTCGGCCGAGGATCTGCGGCGTTACAGCTCGACAAGAATACAAACACCTCAGCAGATTGACCTTGGGACCTTGACAAGCCTGAGGTCTATGAAGACAATGCCTATATCGGAAACCGAGGTGGCCCAGGACAGACCCCAAGAGATCTTCTTCATGGGAAAGCAAGCATACGTCGAGTTAACCCATCGACAGGGGCCGCAGCCCTGGTCGCCATTGCTGGTCGAGTTCGCACCTTTCGACCCGATATACTCGGCGACAGGAATCATGCCAGACATGTCTCGCTTCGAGAAGCTGAGTGCTGGCCTTCAGACGGCCTCACAGAGATCCCCCGGCTCTTGGATTGGGCTCCCCCTTCTTCTGGGCTACCACGAGGACATGAGGCAATCAAGGCTGGCCCTGATCTACCAGTTCCCTTCTGGATTCAACCCCGTGATCTTCGAGAACCTCACCCAGAACCCCCTCGAAAGCCTCTGCACCTTGAAGGAGCTCCTCGTCCGGCCCGACTTCGAACCGACTCTAGAAGCTAAGTTTCGACTCGCTCACAACCTAGTGAACACCGTCTTTGATATGCACGCACGAGGCATAACCCACGGTAATCTTTGCGCTTCCGCAATCTCCTTTTGCAACACTATCGGCAACGACCCCGGTATGCCTGTCGGCGAGGTAGATGTCAGAAGGCCGCTTGTGTCGTTCTTCGACATTTTCCCGGAAAGCTCTCCTACTTCTGGCGGGGACTCGCCGACTTTTCTGCTACATCGGCACCCGCTCGACCCCCGCACCACCAGCCAATCACCCATTACCTCGAGCGACGATACTAGGACACTCGATCTCTATTCGTTAGCAATGATGCTCGTCTGTATAGGCTTATGGACACAGCTCGAGAACCTCGTTCCGAGCCAGGCTTCCCCAAGCATATCAGAATCCGTCCTCCAGCAATTGGCGATTCGATGTGGCACGCCGTATATGAGAGCAGTCCAAGCATGCTGGAATGCTGTAGACCAAGAGCTGGCACACCCTGGTTCCACCGAAGAGATCTTAAGCCAGGTTCAGATCAGGACCAGTCGTTACTTGGAGGCATGCTGTATTTTAGACGGTATAAGCGGCCTAGACGAACGACTGGGCGATGACCAAGATAGATTTTCCCCGGGGGGTGAGGGAAGATTCGGGACTTTGGTGGAACCTTTGGCTGGCTCATCGATAAGCATGTCGACTACACATCGACCCAGCACGCCGTCGGCCGCGACAAACGAGTTAGTACCGGTTAGATCTAGCCACGAGTCAATCGTACAAGGTAAAGTGGCTCCTTTCTATACCTCAAATGTTTTGGTACTGATGAAGCAGTGTCCGGGGTGGTGGCGGAAGCATCGTCTACGCGTGGGGGGGGTTCTCGGCCGAAAATGCGACTCTATCCCCAAGTATCGCTGTCTACCGAAGTGGTTGAGCAGTGGAACAACACCCTGATGCCGCAGATCAATATGGCCTTGCGGCACTTCTATCGAAAGAACCCGGAATCTGTCGAGATCTCGCTTGAGTCGATCGGCGAGTCACCTCAGAAGACTACACCCACTGTACTGGTTGTTTGCACCTCTGTTAGCACTGTTCGGGCCATATTAAAGAAGAAGCTTGGCGTTTTCTTTGATGGTACGACGGGGTTTTCCCTCAAGGTTTGTCGTGGGTCCGTCTTGCGTTCCCGGAAGGAGTCAGTAAGGAGTATGGCCAAGGGCCAGCATTCCGACCCCACCGAAGATCACGATGACGAGAGCGAGAGCGATCACGCAGCCGCCAATCCCGGCTTCCAGGAGCGACCGCAGAATGGGGCTAGCATTGGCGCTTGGATAGGTGACCAACACCTCCCGCCCGTGAGTTTCGGGGGTTTAATAATTGTCGATGACAAACCATACGGAATGACCGTTCATCACATGCTGGACAACCCGGAAAAGGTCTACCAAGCCTCCCATCCAAACCCGGCCGAGGAGACTAGGGGGATCAACGTGCCACATCGAAGTAGTGCCGCGGCGGGGCACATTTCCCACCTACACGAAGCGGAATCTTTTACTGAAGACAGTGGCGAAGAATTCGCTTGCGAATTTTCGGACACTGAGTCGGAACCCTCCCTAACGGATATTACCAGCGATGAAGAAGGAAGTGACGAGGAAGAAGAATTTACAGAGCCAGGGGATATCCCCGGTATAGAACCGGGCTGCGGAGACGGTATGTAGGGTTTCCCTCCCAAGTACGCACCCTACCCCGAGCAGTTTGAATTAGGGTCCCGACGTGTTGTGACTGGCCGTAGCTGTTGTTACCTCAGTCACGAATAACGTCTCTTCCGCTTCATAGACCCGGAGCTAAACAGATTTTATGTAGGATACGTAGTTACTCAGCCCGCGCTTGATGATGTGCCCGACGGCTTTTACCCCTCGGAAGAAACGATGGATGAAGTAAGTCGATGTCCAGTCCAACCCGTCCATCCTTAACTGTACCCACAACCCATCCCTCCCAAGGCCACATATTCCTTTCGCGAGACTAGAGGAAGTTAACTTTCAGTTAGGACCACCTCGACACCTACAGGTTAGGGGAAGTTTACGCCTCGTCTGGGATACGCAGGCGCTGCGAAGACGGTCTTGTACACGAGATTGACTGGGCCTTGTTCCAGTTTCAAGATAGGAGACTTCCCGCGGATAACGCCATTCCCCGTGCTACAACCGGGGGTGTTCACTCCATAGTCTCGCTGGGGGATATCCAACCTACAGAGGTCGTTCCGGCGAGATACCTGCCAGGCCTGGAGGTTCAGTGCATGGCACGAACTAGCGGATTACAGGTTTGTGCTCCAATACCAGTTTGAAACACCGGCCTCCGATCCTACTACGCACGGCATTGGTTCGTGATGCTGATTTTCTACTAACTAGACTGGTCGGATTCTACCTGTCCTGACATCAGTCAAGATATATGGTCGAACATCGCCGAGCCACACGTATCAGGTCAGCGCCAAATGCCCAACCCTTTCCCAGTGGGTGCCTTTTTCAGGCAGTGGTGAGCCACCTAAGGTGTATGCTCGCTCTCGAAGTTCCCTGGGGGTGCCCGGAGACTCTGGGGCGTGGGTCATCGATCGGCCCTATGGCCGTCTTTGCGGACACGTTCTAGCCTGGAGTGAACGTAAGCAGGTCGCGTATATTTGCCCCATGGAGGTGCTACTCCTCGACATCGCAGAGACTCTAGACGCCAGAGATGTACGACTACCAGGTGGCAACACTATAGTTGGTGCCGCTAGACAGGAGGAAGACGAGGTGGTAGAAATATCCGACCTCGATGATTGGAGCGAACAAGGCAATGTCATCGAGGAGGTGGAGGAGGAGACCCCTCAATTGCAATCCAATCAAGATGACGGCACTGGTGCCCAATCAAGCACGGCAAGTTTGGGGGGATGCAAGAGGCGTTCATCCCTGAAACAGAACCCACGGCTAGACCATGACGGGAAGACCCTATCCACCGACATGGACAAAATGCACCTGTAGCGTCATTGCATAAGATAGGAGTTTGGATGAGATACCCCTTTAACAACATTGATTGGAATACGAGTGCACTTGTTTATGGCTGCTTTTGCGGTCAATTATTCCCTGGTTAACGCTGCTCGATCTCGTTCTCGTCCTCGGAAGACTCTCTTGTCTCGCTCATCGAGGAGTTTTCATATACTTGGTGTTGGTCTTAGAAATGGATGCTGGGTATATCCGCACGGCAGAAATTCCGCGTGTCGTGACACTAACCCTCCCGCCTCCTTCTATCTTCCCCTTAGGTCGGGGGGCCAGCCTTGGCTACGGACGCATCGGATCATTAGATTGACATCTGACACAATAGCCAACGCGACCTACAAGCCGAGACGATCACAATTCACTCGAGGGGTATCTACCTATATAGCCTAGGACCACGCAAATAAACCGTCCCCGGGGCTCTACAGACTAGTAGAATGTCTCGGACAAATTTCCCCAGTCGCAACGACATATAACAATGCGTTGGGACGACAAACAAAACGAGACTAAGCGCTAGTCGAGACATTGTCGTCTGAATGTCTCAAACGGCCAACACAGAGCCTAGAACAGCCATCAGGCCAACCGTGAATACGACTCCGCGGCCCTCAGAACCACCAGGCTTTGTTGTGGTACCACCGCTAGGTACATCGGTCGGCGAAGATCCGCTCGGAGAGGCAGAAGATCCCACAGGGCCATCGCCGAGCATAGCAGTCAACTCTGCGTCGCTGGAGAAAGAGCCTTGAGTGTTGCTGCCATTTCTGCAATCGCTCGGCGCTGTGGCAATTCCCTCGACGAAATTGAGAGCGGAGCACTGGGGCGATCGGACGTACAATTAGCAACCGAACTAGACCCATCCTCCTACAGACGCCTTTTCCATAGAGAAAAGAAAATGCAACATACTTGATATAGGAAACCGTCTGTAGCGTGTGAAACAATGCTGAGGATGACCTTCTGGCCGATAAACGAGTGGGGGACGCTGATTTGAGGGATACAGAAGGCCCCGGCACCCTGCTGGTCGACAATACCCCATATCTGGGTCCAATTGCCGCTCGCAGTGGCATCAGTCGTGACGCGGTAAAGCCATGTGGATTGGGAATGGGTGAGGGTGGTGGCGATGGCATCACCATCAACATGGAAGTCATTGGCCGGGAGAGTGTTAAGATCGGGAGAGTGTCCGCCGCAGGGGGCCGAGTCCTCCTCCTCAGCGTTGAACGGCCCGATTATAGGCGGGTGCTGTACGGTAAAGTGGGCGTGAAGGCTTCTTGCCAGGAGCAGGGCGGACGCGGCCAAAGAGAGTAGGGAGGGCATGTTGCCGTATTGGTTCTGCCTGGTTCTCGATTTGGCCACTATCAGATCAGTTACGACTAGACTGGTCTTGAGGAGAAACGCTACGGTGTCTGTCAGGAGAGAATGACGAACGAGTGCTCGACGGGAGGAGGACGACTTGGGAGCGAGACTTGGGAGCGAGACAGGAGAAAGCCTGGAAGAGAGCGAAGGGGCGGTGTAATGCCAGGTGCAGCATTGCCTAGGAATTAGGGGGAGGGAGGACGGTGATCGGGAAACGCACCTCTGGACGTTAGAGACGGATGATCCACGGGAGGACGGGATGCTGAACCAAAGGAGCGGGATTCATCACAGGGAGATTTGGGGAAGAGAGACGTTATAAAGTCGGTCTCTAGATTATAATTGCTCGGGGACGTGGAGCTACGGCGGGCTGAAGAGAGGGGGAGGGGTTTGCGACTGGTTTATACGACTCTATCCCAGTCTCCAAGGTCTTCCCTGCTCTCCGTTCCCCAACTTATGTGCCTTGCAGGCCCCGCCTGACCCTCCTCGCCGGAGCACCTGTCTAAGATAAAGGAGGTGACATCCCACATGCCTGGAGACGCAAGCAGGCGCGTCTGGTAGAGGCCGGGGAGCATTCAAAGGCGCACACAGGAATGGGGAGAGCTTGGGTTGCCTCTGGCAGCGTCCCTTAGATGGCTGGCCGACGAGTACAACGGGCTCTCAGGGGCGGTACGGCCTGCATCGGGGCACGGCCTGCCTGTATAGTGTAGGCACGCATTGTGGGAGAGCCCTCAGCTCTATACACATACCCACCTACACACCCGTATCGACACTGCTCGGCGATGTCCCCTCGCTGGCCGTGATATGGGGGCCTGCTTAAACGTGCTCGTACAGGGACAGGCCCCAGACGGGATGGAACTAGGGAATCCTCCCTGCAAAACGCAGGGCCGGGCCACACTGCCCCGCCCTGGTAGCTTCGGCTTTCTGTTGGTTGAGTGGCGGGCGTTTTCCATTGAGGCTATTTGAGCAAATTGAAGCGGGATTTGGATGCAGACCTAAGACAGGTAGCGTCTTGCCCGCCCTACCTACGTGTACACCGTCCTGACGAACGTGACTTTGTCTCCGAGGTACCGGCCTAGCCCGGGCAAGTACCTCTTCGCTAGGGATCACCAGAGGTAAACACCCACCTTAGGTACTCAAAGCAGTGCCCGGCCGGCTAGACCCTACCTAGGTACCTACCCACCTACCTCCTATATGGAGCGGAGGAGAGTACCTACCTGATGGCGAGGGACAGAGCTGCCCGTAACCTGCCTCTACCCGTACCTATTTTGGGTACCTAGGTACCTAAGGTAGGTATGTACCTAGGTGGGTAGATGCGCCATGCAGGTACATCGGTTAGATACCTTAGGTACTCCTAAAGAACTCGTGATTTATTGAGAGCAGCAAGTACCTAAGGTAGAGAGAGTGGGGTACCTAGGTTAGGTTAGGTACCTCTACTCGCCTAGGAGGTAGGTGTAGGTACCTGGTAGCTATATGTAAGGTCGTGACGTCCGCAGAGGAAGAGGTCGTGAAAGGGTGCGCCTAAGCACTTCCCATTCCCATATATACCATAAAGGACCGCCACCAAATCTAGACTTCCCCTAGGTCTGCCCTGCTTTGCCTCGATCGGTGAAAGAAGTCTTTATCCCTTCATCCCCGCTGCTTCGAGACAATGAAAATGGCCTGCCACCTACCTACCTTCTACCCGCCCGACTTACATCCCCATCCCGCCCAACCCTGCTTCCTCTGATCTCAGATTCTACTACATTGAAGGGCCCCCTGCCTCAAGTGCCTACCTCTTCTTATCTAGAGCATCGCTCGTCGACATTGCCCGTGTCGGTGAACTCGACGGCCAAGGTTTCCTGTACAGCCCCTTCAGCATAAGTTCTCTCACCAGTGCCCGCCAAGTTTGCGATGTCCATATTTCCCTCGAACCGCCTTACCGAAGCTCCTGTCCCATCTCCCACTCGCTAAGGCCTCGCGGGCCACTGCTATCGCGGCCCTCGAATTCATGCGGGCTCGTCTTTCTAAGCGCTAGATTCGAGGAGGAAGTCGGCAAAGATGGATATGGACGGCATGGGCGGTATGGGCGGTATGGGGGAGATGTCCATGAGCCCCAAAGGAGTCTCGGCAACAAATATGAGCCTCGCCCGAGGTTTCTGGTATTTCGTTGTCGCTGCTGTCGCCCTGCTTCTTATCGTCCGCCTGGTGAATCTCGTCCAGACTTGGTCTCGGTAAATCTAGTCTGTACACCCACGTACTGATCACTCCCTGCTGACTTTCCCCCTGTGCCTAGGCTACGAAGGATTCGGACCAGCTCGGTCCAGTTTCCCACCAAGCCCACAAGATGGTTCGCGCAGCTTTGGGCGACATCGACTGCCGTGTGTCGGGAGGTGAGCTACCCCCAGCTTTACATCCCGATCCGAGGCTTGTCCTGGATGACACCCCCGCCCATGGGACGTATTCTGGTTCTCCTCGTGTACTGGGCCGTCATTGTTTACATGATGGTCAAAGATGCCATAGTGTCCGGCGCAGACCACTACGAACGCATCGGATATCGCAATGCCTGGGTCTCCGTCACACAGGTCCCGCTACTCTATTTGCTGGCCTCGAGAACTAACGTCATCGCATTCATCACTGGCACAAGCTACGAGAGGCTGAACTGGCTACACCGATGGGTAGCTCGCACCTTGTTCGTTACCGCTACCGTCCACGGCTTTCACTTCTACGCCTCCTGGCTTCTATGGGATGGGGTCGAGATCGAAATGGAGATGATGCCCATGGTTAAATACGGATTCGGGGCTTGGGGGATTCTATTATGGATGACCGTCACCTCCTTCAAGCCCTTCCGGTCCATGGCATACGAACTTTTTGTCATCCAGCACATTCTGGCCGCCGTCGCCTTCCTCTGCGTTATCTACACCCACGTTCCCAGGAACGCTAAATATAATGTTTGGTTTGCCATCGCCGCGCTCTGTTTCGACCGTGCTTGTCGTCTAGCTCTCCTGTTCTGGCAGAACGTCAAGTTGCGTTTGGGCGACTCGGGATGCAAGGGTGTGCAGCGAATCGGCCACCAGACGCAGCTGTCCGCGATGGGCGATTCTATGACAGTGTTGACGATTAAGGATGTCCACTTCAAATGGAAGACAGGCCAGCACCTATACCTGTGGCTGCCGCGAGTGGGGCCATTCGAAGTGCACCCGTACACGATCGCTTCCTCACACCAGATGCCGGACACCTGTATCTGCAATAGCATCCAACTAGTGGTGCGTTCCCATTCGGGGTTTTCAAAACGGCTCAACACGTTCGTGCGCAAGCAGGAGGAGTTGGGAAGGAGGCAGACACTGAGGGCATTTGTGCTGGGGCCCTACGGCAACCCGCCCCAGTGGACGGCTTTCGAGACGCTAGTACTCATCGCAGCATCGACCGGCGCTTCTTTTACCGTTCCTATACTAGAGAGTGTTCTAGACCCCCACTCGGCATCCTGCATTAAACGAGTCGATTTTCTGCTGGCAGCTCGACAGGGGGAAGAAATTGCGTTCTATCACGAGCGTTTGCACGAGGCTATTGGGAGAGCCAAGTCGGCAGGCATTGAATTGATCGTCCGCATCGCCGTTACCGGCAATGGACAGCTCGATACGATGACCGATATATCGGGCACCTCTTCCCGGGGGTCTGGAATAAGTCGTGAGAAGGCAGGGATCGAGGAAGAGATCAAGTCCTCGGAAAGCGTTGGCGGGATCGGCGGGGCCGTTCAACCCTTGATGAGCGCGTCACGCCAACCCCTCTCCCCCATCGGTTCCGACTCCCACATCCACCACTCGGCGGCGCGACCCGACATTGCGCGCTTTATCAGAATTGCCGTTGAGGCTACCGGGGGCGAAACGGGAGTGGCGGTATGCGGTGGGCAGTCGCTAGTTGCTGAAGTTAGAACCTGCGTCGCGAAGCTCAGCGACGAAAGAGCCGTACACAAAGGCACTGGCGCACAAGGGATTTATTTGCATGTGGAGGAATATTCTTTTTGATTTGGGGAGGTAAGGAGAAAAGAAAGCAGGCATCGCGGAGGGTCGCCGTCGAGAGGACATGGACCGCTGGTGCGAAGGAACCGGTTTAGTGGCAAGTTGTGGTGTCCATCTCGACGCATGGATTGCGGATATTGTGATGAGTTAACGAACGCTGGAGAGCGGGTTGCTAGGAATGCGATATTTCGCTAGCTACATTCTCTGAACCTTCCACCATATACGATAGCATCGAAGCCCAAGCAAGCTTATGTTGAAGTTCTAAACCCGACTCTGGTCATCGCGTGTGGTTTCGTCGGGTTGTAGGTACGTAAGGTAGGTTTAGTCACAGCGTGCCGGGATTCTAGATTCCTGGCACGGCGTCTGCGGGTTACCCACCTAGTATATTTTACACTCGCGTCGATACGTCACAGATTCTCGCTGCCATCGGACGGACTTCGCGCAGGCCTAGAGAGGTTCCAGCGGGAGGGGAGGGGGTCGCAGAGCAACTAAGTGTGCAGGACCGCCACATCGCCGGCCAGACCATCGTCCGTGTTATCACGAAACTACCTATTTGTGCTACTTGTCGATCAGACTATCTACCTTGTGCATACCATATTAACTGCAGCGTCTTGTCATATCATATTAAGTCCGTGTTGAATAAATATCACACAACACCACGCATAACACCATGGACGGCAAACCTGACACAAAGGCGCCTGACAAGTGTGCGGCGTTGCGGTGGTGGAGCCCATATAAATATCTGAAGGACCTACCTACTTGTGGGCGGTTCGATATATATATATATATATATATATACGCAGCTTAGGTAGTAGTTGGGTTGCCGTTGAATTGAATCCTTAACGCATCGAGCCTTACGCGGCTTATTCGATCCATCTGCTCGAGCTACGGTGGGCGCATGGATCCGCTGACATAGGTATGTACCTATACCTAACTTACCTACGGGCTGCCTGAGGGGTATCTCAACAAAGTCTCGTGGCATCCGGCGATGCTTCGTGCCGAGAGGGACATACAGCTATCCTCCTACTGTTTCTCGAAGCAGTCGAGACCGAGGACGAGTGGGTTAGCATCAGAGTAGGGCGAGAAGGAGGGGAGTTGAGCGTGTAGGTATGTTCAACAGCATGTCCGCACTCGTGCCCGCGGTGGTTTTCTGACAGGCATCGGCCAGGGGATGAGCTGATCCGCCGCTCGCCAAGATGCCGACGAAAATTCCCTGACTCTTTCGGCAGCCTCGCTGGAGTGTTGTTGCTTGATAAAAAGCAACTTCGCTCGAATCCTCGGGGATCCCGTCCATGCGAATCCCCGAACCACAGCTGTTGGTCGCCCGGTCACCAATGGAAACAGCTTATGGCCAACGAACCCATCTTCGTTACCGCTGGGGAAGACCGCAAATCGCTATCGCCTCGACTAAACTGGGGGGGAGGGGGGGGGCTGGGCCGTTCTGCACTACCTATATCTATGCGCGATTCGGCACGCCGTCTTGACGGATGACGGAAAAGAGGTCAACGACACCTCGGTTCCCGAGGTTGCGGCCGTAAAAGAAATCGTATGGAAAGCAGAAAAAGATGCGTCTGCTGCCGTATGCATGTACGGCTCGTCGGGTCCTGATTAGCGATGCGGTTCGCATCGACGCAGCAAGCAGCGAGCGAGTAAGGCGAACGAACGGCCCCAACAAGGAAGGTTGGCTAGGTTTTATCAAATGATGAATTAACCAGGTAACATTGACTATAGGCGTGGTTTGCGCCCGGCGTCGCTTGTGCCTGGTCTAATCTCCTCGACAGAATCGAGCCAAGAATGCCAAGCCAGGGCGAGATCCGGACGGCGTCTTCGAGGGGCATATAGTCAAGGAGAACACTAACACGAGGGGCGACACGTCGGGGCAAACTCGCAACCGGGCCCACGTCAATGGCCACGGACATGATGGGAGCTGGCGGCACGACAACCACTGCACGGGTTGCAAAGCACGGTCGAAGATAAATTTATTCCTCGGAGCTTGGATCGTGGGGGACTCCAGTGATACAGACCGTTGCGATGGGAGCGCATCACCAACGCATCACCCGCCGAGCAATCCGTGTCACGCTATGCCAAAGAACACGCCCTCCCTCCTTGTCATGCAGAGCCGACCTGTCTCCGATACGAAATCCATGTATGTAACCATGCGTAGCAGAGGGCCACAACATAGACTTCGGGTAAAGGAACCCACCGTCTCTACCTTACACTTTCGGGTGAGGAGGCTAAGAGATTCGGTCAGGTTAGGGTGCCGTCATCTGCAGCTCCTTGGGTGGTTCTCGGGCCCGAAAAGACGGCGTGGCGCGTCTAGATGTTGGGAGAGGAGGAGACCTCGACGAGCACGACTAGAGAGGAGGGAGGCAGAAAGCAGCCGCATGGGCCTTCCGCTGCTTATGCTGACAAGGACAATTCGCAGCACGGTCATCGACGACCAGATACGGATCGAGGTCATCCTTGGCCGATGAGAATCCGATAAATACGTAGGTAGGAGGCGGCGGGGGGGAAGGGGGGGGAGTCTGGAATGCCGTGGGGATTTCTCCTGGTGGCGTATTTTCTCCGGGGTTCGAGGCGCGGGAATCCTATGTACCTACTAGGGTAGGTATGCACATACGTGGTACATGCGGGCATGTCCGACAGCCTACTCATACTGACGGACTGGATTCGCACCAGTGCAGCGGCCGCCCTTTCTCGAACCAGAGAGTTCGGCCAATGACGAGACGGCCGACTGAGATGTATCATACCGCGCCGCTCGACACGAGACCCCGGGCCATGCGAGGCTCGTGTACTTACGTAGTAGAAGGTTTCCAACTGCAGATGAAGTGCAAGTCGGGCGGTCGAGCGCGAGCAAGGATCTGCTGCAATCCTTCATCGCTTAGGACGCCCTGGGCGTAGGTAGGTACCTAGGCAGGTATTATGCTGGTAGATATATGAGGAGGTAGTTAGGTTAGGTAGGTGTATGCAACGCAAAAATAGATCCTCTGTAAAGCGGTACCTACCTTGGTATGTATCTGGCTGGCTGCCTGGCTTCGTGCGCTGGAAGCGTGTGGCGACGTCCCTCCGCCCAATCCGAGCTTAGGTCCGGCAGGCATGTGTGTAGGTATACCTCGTGTAAGCGAAGTGAAGAACGGAGAGAATGCGTCATACCTACCTAGACCTATGTGTAGAAGTACCTAAGGTATGCGCGTAGGCGTCTGTCTGACGGTTTCTATGACGGATAGAAAGTACTGAGGCCAGGAAGAGGTAGGTGGGTGGGTGGGTACCTCCAGGCCAGTTACGGCAAAGACAGACGCCTGGTACCTAGGCACCTACCTACCTAGGTACTCATAGACACCTTACCTGCCCGGGTGTCCGCCCCGTGTAATCGACAGCATCTGGCATCTTGACGGCCTTTTTCGCTTAGCGACTTATTACTGCAATATCTAGATACCAAGGAAGTTAAGGAGGGCGGGAATATAGGTATGTGCACACCAGCTTACCTCATGCTATGTGAGCCGGCCGGTGGGGGGGGTTCCTGGTTAAGCTCAGGTACCCACCTCAAGTCACCACCACCAAGCCTTACGCTCCGCGATATGTACCGTACCACCTACCACTGCCTTAGAGGTACCTAGGTACCTACCTAGGTAGGAAGGTGTTACACAGCAAGCTTCTCCGAGTTCGCCCCTCGTCTAGTTCCCCTTCTGAGTTATGTAACCCACGCCCCGTTCCGCGCTGGTCTCGCTCTCTCGTCCCGACCCGAGAGTCTGGTAAGAGATATCCATATCCATATCGAGCGTACTTCGAAATTGCATCACGGCACGGCGGCACCTTATTTCTACGTAGGCCCCGACGGCGCGACGACCTCTGCACAGATACCTGCCCAGTATCCGGCCGCCGCCGCAGCCGCCTCGTTCGCCTTCTCCACCGGCCGGACTCGACACCGGATAAGCTGTAGATCTGCCTACCCACTTGTCGACAGTGCTACCTTAGTCCTAGGGAGCCGGGCGGGGGGAGGTTCCGATCCTTACCAGGCTTTGCGGCAACGACGAATCATAGACCTCATCCGCCGATTCCTGCAGCAGCGATAAGCGCGATAGATGATGGCCATGCGACTCCGTCGAACTCAAGGGTTCCCGCATGGTGATGTCGGCCACGGCAGCATTTAGTCGTGCCGCCACATGCCTCCGTTCGCACAGCATGGGTGCCGTCGTTCGTTCGTTGATGCCGCGGTTACGACAAACCCCCAACACAGCGCCGGGCCCCCATGTGGTCAGAGGAGTCGCGCACCCTCGCCGACAAATAAGCACCGTCTTACACCCGTCCGTCCCGCAACCACATACCTGCCCACAGCACGCTTAGCCGCTCCCTGCGTCTACCTACCTCCAATGCACATGTGTGTATCTACGTATCCGCGTACGGACCCATCCCTGCTGATTTCATGCACAGACGGACTTACCTATATCTTGCCACTAACTTGTCAGCCTTTCCACCCCGGCGAGGTCAACACTGGCGATCCTTGCCGTGGCTTCAGGCGACGTCGGCGTCGTTGGTCTAGGCACTGTTCGTCCGCTGCCGTCCGGAGCTTAGCGCATCTCCGGACTTACTTCTTCTCAGGACGGGGCGCCACCAAAGTAGTTGCCAGTTGCCAGTTGCCCCGAAAGTCCACACGTAGTGGTAGTCTGCAAATGAGATCATGTACCATACCGATGTAGGGTGACATCGGGGGGCGTGAAGCTCTCGAGTGCGTGTGTACACCGACAAGTGGGAGTCAAACTTTCCACCGTGCTTGGTATGCTCCTATCCACCTCTCGCTTCTTCGTGGTTGCATTGGCACAGCTTTGGCACAACTCAGGCCGGAAGCTAACGACGAGTCAGATCTCAACATTCTCGGCCGCCTTTCCCTCCCTCCCACGAATGCACCTCTAAACTCTATACCTCTCGACTTAAGGTGCTTTAGAAGAAAATCCTCCCCGAATGAGCAGAGCCCAATTTTTCTCGGCTTACCATTGACGGGCGCGGTCTTCAGCTTGCTTGCACCTGTAGGTCGAGCTGAGCTCGCGTAGAAGTCTAAGAATCATGCCAGCTACGAAGGGGGGGTAGATGTCCTTTCTAACTACTGTCCTCTCATCCCTCGGCGGCCAGGCCAAGAGATGAGTCCCATCTATTGACTGCATCTAGCGCCCCCGGGGGGGAAAGGGGGGAGGGGGGGGAGGTGTCCATCGGACCTTATGCCACCAAACCTGCCCAGATCAAGTTATTATAGGCCATGCCTCCGGCAATCTCATTGAGAATGGCGGTGCCGGTCAGCCCATGTGTGAATTGGAGTTATGGTCCCACCCTGGTAAAGATGGGCTTGAGTAGCATCGAGTGGTGGCTGACCCTCTAAAGTTGATCGGTGAACCCCCTTCTTTATAAGGCCATTACCTGGGTGAGGAGCAGGTAAAGCCTACTCCCCTTAGCCTCGAGGCCTGCTATTCTTCCTCTCTGTTCAATTATCCTCCTTTACTCTGGTTAACGCTGAACACGGAGGCAATGGCTTCCAGATTATGGCTAGTAGCTTTTCTCCCGTTGATATATATAATTATCAGGGTGCATCACAGATACAAGCTACCACCCGGCTCTCGACCACTGCCGGGTCCGAAGTGTTAGTTCTCTGTCCCTCCCCCTTTCCCTCCTCCCTTCCCCTCCCTACGCTGTGGACATTTCGTTTCCAAGAGAGTATAGAGGCGGTGTCCCTGACTGACTCCAGCTTACCCTCTGGTTGGTCGTGTGCACGATGTCCCGGCGGAGGCGACGTGGCTGAAGTTTTACGAATGGAGCAAGGAGTATGGCCCAATTTACCAGACGGAGATGTTTGGCACGGTCCATGTCTGGATATCGTCAGAACGCATCGCGCAAGATTTGCTTTCGCGACGAGCAGCCAACTACTCGGACCGGCCCCAGATTCCTAACCTCCCGGACAATCGGACAAGCGGTCACTATCTCGCACTCATGGGCCGTAACGGTGGGTGAGCACGGTATGGTAAAACACATGTCCACGCTCGCTGATGCATCGTCTAGAGATATGGAAACACCAAAGGAAGCTGTGCCAGCAGCTCATGAGCCTCTCGGCAAACGCCCTGTTACATGGTTATCCATCGAAGGAGAGGGATCGTTTCCTCTATCTACTCTCTCGGGACGCGTCTCAGTATCGAGAATACGTCGAGCAATTCACATCGCGCACGGTGTCTCGCCTTTCATGGGGTACCCCCCATCCTGCCCAGCTTCTAAGAGTTACCACTCTCGGCCTACTCGAGACCATCTCTCCGTCCGGCGCTCTCCCTAACGTTATATCCTGGCTCATGCACATCCCTACTTTCCTAAGCCCGTGGAAGCAGAAGGAAAATGCACGGCACAGGCTCGAAGCTGGCCTTTTTAGGAGTAGTGTGAGGTCCGTACACGATCGTATCGACGAGGGAGATGCAGAGCCTAGCTTTGTGCGCTCGTTTATCAGCACACTAAGCAGGCCGGAAAACGGAGGCAAATGGGGCACCGTGGAAGACGCTACCAATGTCGTCGGCCAGATGGCCATTGCGGGGGCGTTAACCATCGGGAGCCCGATTCAGAGCTTTATTCTCGCCATGCTACACTACCCTGACTGGCAGAAGAAGCTGCAGCACGAAGTAGACACTGTCTGCGAGGGGAGATGCCCCGAATGGAAGGACCGCGAGAAGCTGCCGCTACTCCGTGCTGCTGTCAAGGAGGTCGTCCGGTGGCGTCCACCAGTTCCGACAGGTAAGAGTTTGTCGAGTGAAACGGAATGGAGCCGTAAATCAGGGGGCCTTGTGTGCCCAGCGCTCCTAGAACGTACGGATGCTGACCATATTGACAAGGGATCCCACACGCCACAGAGAAAGACGATGTGTATAACGGTTACTTCATCCCGGGGGGTGCGACCATCCACGCGCTAGAGTGGTAAGTCGGGAAACTCCGAATGTCAGCCTCAAAATTGTTATATATCACAGAGGAGCTAACCAGACCGCAGGGCTATTACTCGAAATGAGACCACCTACCCGGATGCCGAGACATTCAATCCAGACCGCTGGGTGAATCCGAAATATCCCACGTACAAAGAGCCCCTAAGTATATATCCAAATCTTAACGGCTTTAGCCAATTCGGCTTCGGCCGTCGCACGTGCCAAGGTGTACCAATCGTGGAACAGGACTTGTTCCTCTCCATGGGCGGCATAGTATGGGCCTTCAACCTCCGAAAGAAACGCCGCCCGGACGGCAGCGAGGTGCCAGTGCATTGGAACGACTACACACCATTGCTCATCGCTAAACCGGCACCATTCGAATTCGATGTTGTGGTGCGTGACGACGAGAAGGCGACAGCTTTACAACGGATGTGGGAGACGGGAAAGGGAGACGACGACGAGGAAGAAGAACAAAACCAAGTGCTAGAGCAGGCCAACAAGGACGACATTGTGGCGTCCCGTGAGGAAGACGTCGCCAGCGACCGCGGCAGCGACACTAGCGCCGCCCCGGGATCTCTAGCGGAGTCAACCGCTTCGGCTGGCACGGTATCGGACGGCGAAATTGGGATTGAGAGACGGCGCATTTACGTAGACTAGGAACTAGAAAGAGACAGCGGAGCCTGGCAAGGCAGGGCGCACAGACGGCGTAGGGTGGGGGTACGCATACACACTTAGTATATATGGTGGCGGACTGAATCTTCCCTCGCTAAATGGGCTGTTGAGATCTCCGAGATAGGGGATCACGCTACCTGAGAACGATATAGCATGGAGGCGAGAGCCTTTTCCGTCATCGGCGATCTGTATATCAGTTAACATTCGTTTACATAACCCCACTTTTTCCTCAACCCCCTTTTCATTCTTGGGAGATAAGATGTGTCGCAAGATCAAGATAGAGGGCGTTGATAGTTATCAAACGCTGCACGACGACGTTCGGCTTTCTGGGGATCCGTCACGAGGCCCTATTCCCCAGAGTCCATCAGAAAATCGAGTTATTTTAATAGTGAGTACCTGTGTGGCTCGTTGTATACATATTTCATACGCGTACAAGTATGATAACGAAAGGGGAAACCCCGAAAGTAGCCGGTAACGTCCTGCTTCACTCTCGTGCTATCGGTGGCCTAGGGAGCCGATTGTGGTGATACAGACGAAAGAAATATTATTACAACGGATATCGAAAGGAGAATACCGAAATAAAACCCCCCCAAAACCCCCCGCTAGAAATTTTATCGTCGCCAATTTTTAGAAAGATCACTTTTGTCTCCTGTTTTCCCCCGTTGTGCTCGGATGGGAACCTGCCCATCTCGAAAATTGCCTGCGGCATTTGAACCGCTATAACGATCCGACGCCTAGCTACATTCCGCTGGTGAAAAAAACAGAGCTCTTAATATCTTTTGAGGTCGCAACTGATCGGTGTGGTGGTGATTATACGGGCAAGGCTTTTGCGAGTGGGCCTATGCCGCGCATTTCCCCGCTCCATCCCGTTTGCCGAATGCGTCCGTCGAGACTTTGATCACCTCCCGATCCAGTAAGTCGGAAGCAGGCCCTGGCCCGCGATGGCCTCCGCGATCTGCGCGTCCGTCATCCGCTCCTGGCCGTTGATCGCGTACCAAGGCGAGTCCGGGATGAGATAGTACGCTTGGCCGACTGGGGCATCGGGACGGGACGCCACGATGATTCCGGGCTCGTCGGCTCTCATACGCGCCAGTTGGGTCCACAGGGCGGTCCGCTGCGCGGCGTCGAGCCCCCGCGACAGGTAGAAGACGGGGGTGTAAGAACGATCAGACCGGGCGGTGAACTTGGCGCGGAACGCCGGGGTGCCGTCGTGCGGCTGCAGCTGCTTCCCCCCCAGCGTGAAGAATCCGGCGCAGTCGCTGCACGGCTCGCCGCGGCGGAGCAGGATCGCGTCGACGATGGGGTACGCGCCCGGCGAGTCAAAGGTCTGGAAGTACGAGAGCAGCATGTTCTCCTCGGCGTGCGGGTGCTGGACGCCCTCGACAGCGCCGGCCGCCGCGGTCCAGATGTCGGCCTCGCCGTCCGCAAAGAGAAGCGAGGCCGACAAGTCGACCCGGTCGTTCGCGCGCAGGCCGCGGCGCGCGAATTGGTACAGGGCGCCCACGAGCCCCAGCTGCGCGTAGGTAAGGCGCAGAGCCTGCCCGTTGTCGCCCTTGGCCCGGAAGCTGGGGAGCTCGACGTAGATGAACTGAGGCATCGCGTTAGACCGTCGGCAGCTCCCGGATGATGGGGGTTGGGGTGTATAACAACAGTCTCTGGTCAGGAGGGGATGAGAGAGGTTTCGGGGCGGGCAGCTCGATGAGAGGAAACCGATGCTCTCGATACTTATAAAAGATGTCTATCGAATACGGAGGCTCGTCTCATGGAACCCTCTCCTAGAATGGCGGGCACGGAGTTTCGCTGTCTGTCTCGAGCACGGGGTGGTTCCTAGCTCCAGACACTCGTGGGCATATCGACAAGTCCACGGCGGACATATATCCCCACGAGATAGGCAACTTGCTGCATCATACCGAGATCAATTGCCCTGTTTGGAGCGTTAGTTCCATAGAAAACTTTCCTCTGAGGCAAGCCCGGCCAACGTACACCGGGGGTAGGTTCGTTCGCTGACCAGGTGACATGCATAAGACCTCGTGTGGAACTGATGGGATCGGCCCGGTGCGGTGCACGGCAACGACGTCGAGGACGTCGCGAGCAGAGAGGTCCAGAAAAGACTAGGCGACAAGCGGAAATAGGCTATAGGTACCCGGGGAGTCTGGGTCGGGAATCCAAAGCCTCCCCAGGATGGGCGTCTAAGACTATACGGGGTCTTAGACGCGCCGCGGCAGCGTTACGAATTACTCGCATAGCCGACCTTCTTTTTTTTTTAGTCGACTTCCCAGGTTACCCGTGGCGGCCAGCCCTCTTCGCGTGTAAGCTTGTTCAGGGTGACGCGCACTCCCACACAGAACATCGCGTAGTCCGTGTGCGTGTGCGCGCGCGTGTATGCGTGGCTCGGCTCCAACCTGTGACGCGCCTACTGGGCAAGTCTTGGCGAGGAACGAACTGCCACGCCATGCTGGCTGTGTTGTGCTGCTGCAAAGTCAGATGTAGGGCTGACCCGACAGTCTGGAACCGCAAACGTTTGGGGGCGGTTTTTTTCCTTCTATTATTCCGGACCCTCTCATCTGTTAGTAGCGTGCACGATGAAAAGGATCTGGGTTGTTGGCTGTCGTTTCTGGCGGCTGCAGCGCGACAGGTCTGCCGCGTAGGCGTCGTGGGATAGGAGGGGCCCGAGATGCTCTTCGCCCCCCCACGCGTTTCCTCCGGGGTCGCTTTGCCGCTCCGGGAATCGACTCGGTGCCATCGCATGTTAGCCGGCTTGGATACTGCCTCTGCGTAGCCCTTGATCGTAGGAAGCGCGAGGAAGAGAAAGGCGTGAGAGCGGCCCCGAACACGACACGGGTGGGGGCGACTAGAGGTGGATACGCGGTAGCATCAGTGTGTAGGTATATACGAAACCCGCCACGGCGCGGCCTGACTTGGGAGGCCACTTTCTAACGCTCTAGTCGCCCGCTATTGCATGGGCAACATGGCATTACCACCGGTCCGAAATCCTACCCATTGGCCACGAAGTTCCCGTCCAAACGCGATGCTATCTAAAATCTTGGCTTTCTCTGGTCAAACACTCGGGCACGTAAGCGCCAAATGGGGGGAGGGGGGGGGGGGGGTGGTTGAACATCTCGTGTCTATAATTGGACCGATCACCCTCGATGAATTGTTTATCCAGCCCCCCCCCCCCCCCCGGACCTGCCATTACCTACTTACCTACTTCGTAGGCGTTATCCGGTGGTGAGTAACCGATCTAGAGCCCAGGTGAAGGAGACGACGGGGTCCGTTCGTAAACGTCCACCGACGGCCACGGGTCCGTTCCGGATCGTGTTCCCAGATTAGCACTAGAGGAACCGGGGGAGCAGGCCTATTTCCCGTAAAGCTTACATGGGAGTCTGGACCCCGGTACGCCTCAACGGGACAACGCCATTTGCGCAGACGGGTAATGAACCCTTTCTTGGGCCTCCACCGGCACCAGCGTCAAAGCCACGTTAAACGCCATCCTCAAGCCGGGCATGTCCAGCTGACAACCCACTTCTCTGTGGATAGAGGCGTGAAGAAAAAAAAAAAGGGGGTGGGAGTGGAGGGGTGAGGCCTCACGCGTCTTTGTCATCATTTTAATTCGGAACGCTTGTCGGCCAGTCGATGCCAAATCGTTCGTAGGGCTCCAATCCGTTCTTCGTATTCATTCGCTAGCCTCGGCCCCTGTCCCCCGTCTCAGCCTCAACCTCAGATCATCGTCTGTCGGATTCAGTATGGTCCCGCCAAGTGGTTAGAGGGTCCTCGTCTGCCCCCCCCGCCGTTGGACGATCCTCGAGATCGATCTGCATTCGTTTGCTATTGGCTCCTTTGGTCGGCTTTTAGCTGCGGCGAGCTTCTCCTGCGTCTGTACATCCATGCCTACTACTCCATGCCACTCCCCCCTCTCTAAATCCCCACGTAAATCTACCATAGACGCACCTCTCCCCTTGGTAGGCGACACCATACTCATACTAGGCTGCGTAATTAGTCCTGCCGGTGTGGTATGAGACGTCGTCTTTATGTGTCCGTTTACTCCTTCTGGGCCTTCGTCTCCTTGGCCCCATGCCATCAATATCGACTCGACGCTTAAATCATTTGTGCATGTGTGGTCCTACGTCGCATGGCACAGCGAAAGTCGATGGAAAAGCGAGAGTGCACTGCTGGTAAAGGGGATCGATATGCCACACTTTTTAATGTATATATAAGTATATATAGACCTGTGGACGTCGTACGCTCACTTTACCAGATTGCCGTCGCACTTCCGTACTCATTCAACCTGCAGGTAACGACGCCCTTCGACATCGTGCGAGTGCTTGAAGCCCCTGACAAGACGTTCGAGCGTTACGTGTGGCAGCCATATAATTTTTCTCCTTTTTTTCTTCTTCTTACATGCTCTGTCACTTTGCGATACATACGAGTGGGAACTGGCCGCGGGTGCTCCAGATGGGTAATATTCTGAGACAGTCCATTTTGCTGGACGCGAATGCACAAAGCTGCAACAATTTCCGTTATCATAGTCCGGCCGCTTCTCAGTTGAATGATACCGTCGGTCGAATTCAAATCGGGAATCAATCAGTTTCTTCGTCCGGGAACGCCTATGACCCACCCGCCGACTCATGTTTCTCCCCTCCCGTGAATCCTGCTAGCGTGCTCGAAAGGCTCGGGAAGCAGGGGAAGGGGAGGACAACGGTCAGTCGTCGTCGCTGGCTATGTTACGCGTGTAGCAATTCTAGCGCCTATCCTCTCGCGGATTTGGTAATACGCTACTAATATTACGACATTCGTCACAGCCGTCCATAGCGGACTGGGCATCACGAGTCCCCCTGGACCGCAAATCGCTTTCCAGACGCACCGACGGAGTGATGATCTAGATTGGATAGTTCCGTTCCTCCCCCACACCAACTAGGTCAACCTCTAGATATACCCGGACCAGATGGAATCGCCTCGCTGTCCACACCTCGTTGTGGTGTTTTTAAAATAACCCTGTATAGGACCGCCACCCTCAAAGGTTATTTTCATTTCTTCTGGTGGGATCTCTCTCGCGCAACCCATTCGTCCCATTCGTCCCAGTTGTCACGTCCGGAGTACTAATACTGCGGTTGTTTCGTGTCTGTGTCCCCGGAGAAGTTATAGCAGCTACGGTGGAAGATGCCGTCTTTCCTGCTCTCCCAAGGTCTGTGCTGGGTTAAATTTTCCATTCATCTTGATGTTACCTCCTTCTCCGCCGAATACTCAACACTATATTGCACTGTCTTGTGGATTCGGAGTGCCAAGTCGTCTTGCAGCATATGTTCCTCGGAACTAGTACCACCCTTGCGAATATTCGGCCAACTTATGCTATTCCGTATAGCCCTAACCTCTTTATTGTCGACACAGTCGGCATGCCCCCTTCTCCCTCCATCGAACCTTGGAAAGGCTCTCTCATCGTCTTCCATGTGCGTTGACTGCGCCAAAGCAGTGCAGCCATGGGTTACCTGCTTTCTGGCCCCCTCGTATGACTGCTCATGTGAGCCGGAACGATAGGTGGGCATCAATTTCGGGAACATCTTAACAATCAGAGGTCGGATCTGCGGAAGGCAGGCGCATACGATTGCTACGTTCATTTCGATGACCGTCCACATGGTCGAGGCTACGTCGTAGGTCTGGTCTGGTGTGGTAGCTTGGATATCAATCGTCGTGACCCTAAGGCACGAGGTGATGACAACACTAAGGAATAACGTCAGTGAGATTACGAAAGCAACAGACGTTGGTGACCTGGGAGAGGAACCGGAGCCGTACAAGACGCCCAGAGCGAATACCATTATCAAAGCTACTTTTTGAACGTTGGGGATTCGCAACACGTAGACTAGAGGTATCGGGAGGATGAGGATAAGAACGTCGGTCGTGATAGAGAAGCCAGCATTGGCGTACCAGAAATGGCCGTTATCTATGCAGGACCCCTCGATCGACTTGTCGAACGCCTTGGTGATCGGCGTACACTGGAATATTGTTGCCGTTACCGATGCGATGCAGTACATAATAACGCACGTAAGTACGAAACGGCACATCCACCTAAACCACAATACGCCGCTAAATATCCTGAGGTACAGTAGTAGGATGGATGCTTTCGTTAAGTTGATGCACGCTTTGTAGGTGACCTGGCATAGGTAGAAATACTATGACTTGTGAGACCTTGTTGGCAACTTGAGTCTATACACGAGAGGACACTGAGGAGCCGGGGGGGGGGGGGCATCCACATGTCCGTGAACGTACTTTGAACGCCTCAAATCTGTCCGATGTGGACAGACTTATAACGTGTCTGCCATAACCGTAACGACATGCGGCGAGCATTATCCCGTCCGATGCCAGTGCAAAGGCCTAGTATCCGTAATATTAGTATCCGTCTTCAAAATCACGTACGGTTCGTTATCTCTTATCCCTACCCAGCCATCTTCAATCACTCACAAGTGACACAAGGATAGTATAGTCATCTATACCAAGCCTTCCCCCGTTAACTACCCGCGACCAGATTCGAGTTCCGACGACCAAGGGACAGATGACCAGGAAGACGCCCACGGGGATGTAGATTAGCATGGCATTAGTCTCTGTCAACGCCGTGCTGTCCGTACGCCAATCCGCCGCCAGATGGGTTGCCATGGCAGTGAGATACAGTAGATGTAGCAATAGGTTGCTTATTAGAGTGAATCTGACGGAGTAGGCTCATGCGTAGCGCCGAGTCCCTCGGAGCGTATGAAGGGAACGATGGAGTTTTAGGGGGACGAGAAAATAAATCGACGGCGATGTGAGTTTACGGCGGTGATACCGGAGACAACTAAGAAGTCTTAGGCACATCTATGTGTTTCCGTCGACACGTCGACAGACGGGTGGGTTACGTTAGCAACTTAACGACGTATGATGAGGTAGGGTGCGTACACAACATCAGTACAGTTAGATCGATTATGTAGGCAGGTCGAAGCAGCTCTTGGATTAGCTGAGTGCCTCGGAGATCTGGGAGAGGGGAAAGAGGGTCAGCTAGTAGAGAGCTTCAAATCCCTGTCGGAACCGCCCTAGGGCGGACGCCATGGCTTAAATATCAAGAGACATTCCACTATCCCTGGGCACAATAACTCTCATATATCGACCACAGTAATACCCAACCACCCCTCTTTACTTTAAATATATGATCCAGGTGCATATTCTGAGAAGCCTAGGGTGGGATTACTTTTTCTGCATTGGACAGGCTTTGCCAGCCACACACGCAGATTAATAGAATATGAGAGCGTAAACTACCTATAACTACTCATATACATGTCTGCCGTTTCAGGGAGATCTGCCCGAGCAGGCCCGACCCATCAGAAGGCGAACTGCTGAGACACGCCCGCCACAGAAGAGAACTGGAAATTCCGGTGTGAACACACGGTGGCTGGATGGCTGTATCACGGTGTATGAGTTATGAACCAACTTAGCTTTACAATAATCTTCGATGCATTGGGCATGTTATGTACTGGGTTACGTCCCAACTATCATATCTTGCTGGTGAGGAATCTGGGCTGTTAAACCTTAATTGAGATCAGGTTCCACGTGTGGGTAGATATAATATAATTAAGGAGAGAGTTGAGATAGACCCATACACTGAAAAATAGTTGACATTGAAGTGACAAAATGGCAATTCTGCTCGCTCCTTATTTTCGTACTATGAGAGCCGAGACTAGTGTTAATATTGGGCTGAGACGCATATGCTACAATATAGGCAAGCAAGGAGTTATTTGCACGCTAATATGACGATAACGTGCCTACTGTACCTTGACACTGCGGTACAATACCTTATCCTTGTGTCGCTGAAGAAGCTCGCCGATCCGAGCGATATTTATACACCAAAGCCTGCAGTTATGCCAGCCAGAACCCGAGAAGCAAGCTCATATTCGCCGAGCACAACTACTCATACAGCTCAGTCAACGCCTCGTCGATTAATTAGGTACCTAACCCGCCCTTATTTCATGGCGTGGCAGCAAGCATTCCTCCACTACAGCCCCGCCACCGAGCTCTCGTCACTCCCGATGCCCAGAAAAGAGTCTTATTCGAGCCTTGGAGCCTCGCTACGATGCTGAGAAGTCATCATTCGTTAATCTACCTACGTGTAGGTCATGATGCAAGCTCGCTTATGTCACCATTTGGCAACCTTGCTGGCTAACCTATGAGTAAGAGGTAGGTATTCAGAACCGATGGGTGACACCAGGCTAAATTGCGCCGTGCGGGGTCTTGACTGTCAGCGAGCGAGCACCAGGTCAGCGCCAACATCTACCCAAGGCTACATCCCATTCACGTAGCTCTTCCTAATATTTATTTGTGGCCGTTTGTAGAACTTCAGAACCTTCAATGCCGGCCCCATCAAGCACCGTGCTTAATATGTCTGACTAAAAATACCAAGCGATGCTCACGACGGAGCCACTTGACATCGCTGACATCGTCGGCGTCCCTGTCGACTTAGCCACCCCCTTCGACTACCTGACGAACAGCGATACCGACGCGGACAACGCTGAACTGCGCAGCGCCCGTCGGTGGGCATGGTATTGCAAGGACCCCGCGTGCCCTAAGTACTGGAGCTCCTGGTCTTGCAAGTCCAACTTCTGGCTGCATCTGTACGAGACGGATGTGCACCGCGCGGATGTACGGACGCACACACGAGTGGGACGTCGCGAGCTGGCGAAGGAGTGGAGAGTCGAGACAGATTGGGGGATGGAAGAACCGAAGCAGCCCAAGCCTACTCTGGGACAAAATGGTATTGCGTCTGGCAATGAGTAAGCCGCGGGGATGTAGAGTTTTCAGATGAGATGTGCTCTTGTCTTGTCCGAAAAATCGTTACATTTGATGGTGGAATCAACCCGGAGCAGGCAGGGTCAGATTGCCTACATGTAACGGCCTTATCAACCTCGTGGAGGTATTCAGGCTACTAAGGAGATTTGTGTTCCAGCACACCAGGCGATCGCTACTAGGTTCAGAGGGGCTCGATCACATGAGAGGTTCTTTTTGGTTGAAGCTTTTTGCGCATAACATGAGGGCCGATCATAGATCGTTCTGAAAGACCGTTTTGAATAGCAGGTTCTATTGCTTTATTAATATCTGCCTTCGGCTGGCCATGAATCTTCTGTTAGAAAGCTATGTGGGATAAGATCTTCGAATAGGAGAGCGAAAGAGCGAAAGAGCGAAATCTCAAACGATAGCAACCAGATGCATAAGAGACCATTCGAATGTTCAATGAACTGCGCCTCTGGTCAGAAAGGGCCTCATGGGTTAAAGGTATTTGTAAAAATCCATATTTGGTTCTTAGGGGTCATTTGTGGACCTTGCAGACATAGAAGGAGCAAGATACACTGTCACCCATCTCCAAGCTTTGCAATTCTGATAAGATCATAGTGTCGAATCCTGGAGAACTTCTTATGGCCTCTCGGATAGACCTGCACCCTATGGCATCGTATTCCGATACCACGTTCAGAAATTGGTAAGGAACGTTAGCAAAGGTGAGCTACTCCTGAAGCAAGCATGGATTCTCCTAAGCAAAGGCAGCGAGTGATGCGAGATACCTACCTAAACTGTCAAGATTGACATTTTAACACGTACCTGCCTAGGCTTAATAAGGCTCATCCCGGACATGACAGTATTCAAGCACTTAAATATAGTAAAAACTATTTGTGATGGCCTGTGATATTATCCTCTAGGTAGTGGCTGCTTGTTGAATTTCTGGAGACTGATATTGGTGAGACATCAAGCAGCAGTAGCGCACAAGTGATGTCTTCCCACGATACTACGATGTGCCTTTCCCTAGCCCCTCCATTGCTTCTAAAGTAGGTATATTACTTGCCATATGTGTATCTTCATAGCAACCACAACACTGACGTCGGCATGGACGCGCGAATTTATTTCACACAACACCTTTATACACCCTGGAAATTAGAGATGGAGGTTAAGCTCATGTATGGAACTGAAGGTATCAAGTCACAGGTAATAGGTAGGCGGATTGTTGCTGCAGGTGATTTCTAAGGTGTGATTATCTTTGAATCGCTCATTGGCCATTATTCGATCCCCATCCCTTGTCCGCCAATGTCTTAATACCAGTGAGAAGGTCCGCCGAGACACCACCATACGTAGGTATCTCTACCTGTAATGTCAAATCTGCTTAGGATTCATCTAGAGTTCTGGGGACGGCTATACTAAAATCTCGTTGAAAGCTGTAGGCATATACTTGGTATAGTTCGTGAGTATGTACCTGTTATGGTCCAACAATATACACTCTTTGTCTTGTCGAGCGATGTTCCGACTACAGCCAGAAAATCCTGCCCATGTTTCTCCACCGCAAGCTAATATAAGTTTCTCGTAACGAAACAGAAAAAGGTCCGTATTATCAGATATTGGATTATTGCGTCGGGAATAATTGCCGCAGCGACATGTCGTTGTAAATTTGAGGTGAATCACGGTAGCGGAGATCCCCTAGTGCCTGGGAACATTACTGCGGTGCAACAATTCGGATCAGGGATGCTAGGACGAGGACTGTTAAAGACCCTTTCCATATATTATCCTTCACCGGAGCTGCGCGCCGTACGCCTACTGATGTATACTAATTGCCTCCTGTAGCTTTTAGGAGAATGTGGTTGCTCAAGGATACTCAGAGGATCCCCAAGAAATATCAATACAGCATACATCAGCACAGCGTCCAGCGTGCCATCTCAGGTGGTATATGGGCATATTCCGAGACAATCGAGCAAATTTATCGTGAAGCAGATCCGCTCGCGGAAGCAACGAGGACTAAGAGGCCTATGCAACGCATCTGGAGTGACGCGCCTCACACACGGGACAGGGGACGAACAGGAAATTTTACATATATTGAGAAGTAATAGAAAATGCCGATCATTCCAAGCCGTTTGGGTATATGCCGTCATCCGAAAGACTGGGAGAGAAGGAAATGAGTTTGAAATTGGCCCCGCACTGCCCCCAATGATCCTGTGTACATATATAACGCACAATCCCCATGATGCCAGGACTTCTCTCGCAGAGGCATCCCGTTTCTAACGTTGAAGAAGTACTCATAAATTAGGGCTAATCTCTTAAAGCTCATCCACGACACGTCGCGTGCCTTCTTGAGCCTTGTCGGAAACGGTCTCCCTAGCAGAGCTAGCTGTTGGGTATGCGGCGCTGATTAAACTAGACGCTGGTAGGGCGGCAGTAGGGTATGCCTCGGCGAGGCGGGAGTAGACGGATTCGGAGACATGAGCCTCTTTTCCGACGAGGAGCTCGGATACTAGCGAACTGACAGCAGTGTACTGGGACTCGCAGTCCACAGGCGGAATAGTTGACGTTGGCGGGACCCCGCCGCCGATAAGGGTTTCGCTCATAAGCTCCGCTGCTGCTTCCATCGCCGAGCTGAGTCGCGAGTTTGCGGCAGCCACAGCGCCTAAATACGCGCTCGAAACCGAACTCAACATTTCTTCATGGATCGGTTTCCGCCCCTCTTGGATTTGCGCCGAAACAACTGACATGGCACGAGAGTAATGATCAGCTGCCCCTGCGATGGCAGTGGTGTAAGCGGATTGAGCAGCTGAGGTGATGCTAGCAGAAATATCGGTCGCTGGTAGAACAATGTCCTCATCGAGGATTGGCTGTCGCGAGGGTACAGATTGCGCTGCGGCACCGAAAAGGGCGGACCGAACGGTGGTAGAAACGGTTTCTTCCCCGGGTATGATTGACCCATCGGGTATCTCAGTAATTGCGTCGTCTTCCACATCGGTGAAAGGCGACTGAAAGTCAATGACTCCCGAGTCGCCGGGAACGTCTCGAGTAGTGGCTGGTGTGGCCTCAGAAGAGCTAATATCGGTATGTATGCTTGGCGCCAGGTTACCGGCGGCGTCGTTAGGTTCGCCTTCGAGCCCTTCCGTCGGTGGAAGGATCGAGGTGCCGGGCTCTTCTGAACTATAACGGGAGAGCGATATCTTGACTGTTTCGGCCGGCTCAGCGCTTCCCGGAGGCGGCGAGGACAATGGATCGTTATTTGGTTCGGAGGCAGCCCACTCGGTGTCGCTCTCTGTGTCCTTGGTAGGGTTGTTCCCGACCGACGTGGCATCCTCGACACCGTGGGACATTTTCCGAGCGACGGCTATAGCTGCTAGTTCCGCTTTCTCGCTGTCGAAATCATCGCTTGAGTCACCAGCTATAGACTTCCACGTGGCAACCTGCTTCAACCTCCCTAGCTCTTGTGCGGCAGCCTGAGCGATGCCCATGCCCTCCTCCTCAATGCTGGCGCCGGCTGCCCGAGCGGCTTCAAGGCCTGGATGCGTAGTGATTAACCGCTTGAAGTCTTCCGTCCACTCATTAAATCGGTCCCTAAGCTGGTGGTACTTTTGCCAGTCCTTGTAGGTAACCCCATCCATCCAGGCCCACTTCATACCGATCTTCTGGAGGGCGAGGTCACGAGTTTGCTGCAGGATGCTATAGTGTTCCTCGGCGGCCTTCGTAACCGCAATCTCCGTCTCTTGGTCGTACGCCTGTCGCCAGGTACGAATATCCTGGGCTCTGTCCCTGATCTTCAGGCCAGCATTACGGACGACAGCTGTGAGGGCCTCATCTATCTTCTCAGTCCTATCACCTCGTGTCTCTAGAATCGAGATGATAGACTTCCGCAGATTCTCCAGCTCAATGCTAGCGGTGTCATCCAGCTGCTTCACAAGCGACTTGCCCATTCCGTACGCATGCCTCTGAACCATGCGATCCGAAATCTCATCGATGCGCTCCTCGATCTCAGCAGCGCCGTCTTCAGCTGCTTTCGTGAACTTTCCTTCCCACAGCTCTAGGTCCTCGGTCACAGTCTTCGCGGCTTGTTCACGCGCTTCTTCCGAGGTGAGTGATCTCGCGGTCTGTTCAATATCGATTTCTGCGGCAGGTTTGTAGTCCTCCGGGTGATCCACGTTTTCTGAGGATGATCTGGGATTGGCAGTACTCTCAGCATCAACGTTCGTAGGTGAGGAGACAGAAGCAGTCGGCTTCGAAAAGGCAGACTTAGGAGTAAGGCTACTAGAGAGTCAGCGAGTAGCATAGACTGATAGCGGAGAATAGAGTATGGGGCTATGGGTTTCAGGACACCAAATTGATGACGAACTTACGAGTACGCATCCTCGGTAAGCGATTTGATCTTCCTCTCTTTGTATCTACCAAGGCGTTCGCCGATACGCAGGAGCTGGGGCTCAACTTTCATGACATAAACATCCCGCACATGAGGCCAGACCGTTGAATCGAGGAAGACGTAGGTCTTATGCCAAGCCCGTATAGCTGAGGGGATGGCAGTGTTGACAGTGAACGTGTAAGCAGCGTCGTAGCCCTGTGAGGCGTACGGTTGAATAACTAGATAAGTTGGCAGAATGAATTCATGATAGCCCTGCAACGCGTTGGTTCGAGCGATGTCGTAGTAGGGAGAGACAGCGGTCAAAACCCTCTCAACGTGCGGTGCTACTGTCCGCTCGTACTGGGCCCTGGCTAGGTCTTGATATTTGCCCAATTGAGGTTGCACGTTTTTCTCCCATTTGGCGCGACCCATCGTCTGGGCCTGGATTAGCTTCGGGCCGCCGTATTTGACTGCATAGGTGTAGGCAGGGACGATGACAATGCGGTCGATAGCGTCGTAGTAAGGTCTGGAAAAATCGACGTAGGGCGCAGCATAGGCATCGTAATACGGTAGGATACGCGGCAGCACAGCTGCTTTCACCTCGAAGTATGGCCTGCAAATCTTCGGTGTCTCGTCGGTGCATGCTTCGAGTGTGGGGGGACAACGGAAGACGACGGAAAAAATGGAGTACCAGGTAAATAACCTAGAAATTGATAGAATGAGAATTAGCGCAGTGTTCGAGTCTCGGGAGCACGCCGTGCGAGGTGCCAGTGATTCCTCCTTACCTCGCAATGATGCCGAAGCTCCATGCGAAGAAACTCCTCCTCTTCCGTACCCGAGTCCTCCGTGCGGGCACGACAAGGCCGTTTACGCCACCAATCCCATTAATTCCCTTGGGCGGCTTGAGGGACCCATTCGGTGATTTCGATTTCCCGTCTGTGGTAAGGGCCATTATCACTAAATGCCGTAGACTTGACAATAGACGGCGATACTGGTCGCATGGGGATGGGAGAGTTCCGATACCTCACGCGGGAGGACGGCGGATCCCGTAGGGATGAGATGCTGGCTGCGGCCGTCTGGGACAAACAGAACCGAGGTAAGGCCCACGGCAGAAGAGAGAGAAGAATGGAGAGGATGTGGTAAAGAGATGACTGGGATCGAATCTGTTGAGCCTGGGCACAGATGCGGAAATTTAACCGTCAGCTGCTACGCGTCTCGATCAGCATCGAGTCGGCAAAATTAAGACAAAGATGCATACGTGTCTTGTAGGCGCCAAATTCGTGTAGTTGACTCGATGGGCGATATGATGTAGGTTGTCGTAGGAGTTGCAGAAAGCGGGTACGCCTTTCTGGAAGCCTTGGAGATCGTTTGTGACGGGGACAACCACCAGAGTAAAGCTGGCGTTTCGGCTCCCTGTTGCCAGGGGATGATCAGGGACAGAGCAGGGGGGGTCTAGGTGTTGCTTAGTGTTTCCCTCGCCCGGTTTTGGCGTATGTAACAGCCTTCCTTCTTGTAGTTAAGCATCGAGTACTGTCGTGCCCAAATACTAGGTAGCTTGATAGGCGAGTTTGCAGACGGAGAGAAGCCGCATAGGCGCATACATGCATATATGTACACAGGTCTGCGCGGGGTCAAGTGAAGAGGCCGAGAGTGGGGACGGCTACCTTGCCGCTTCACACGAGAGGTTGGCTACATGGAGGTACCTTGTCGCGGGAGGTATTTGCAGTGTATTTGCGAAGGCGGCGTTAGTCTGGAACACTATACGTTAGTGTACTACACCACCTACCCACCTCTACCTACCTAGGTACCTAGGTACCTAGGTATGAATGCGGTGGATGTCGTTATGCCTGCCTTACCTAGCGTCTACGAGGTGTACCTCGGGGAGAGAGTGAGGGCCACGACGCGTGCGCAACAACATGCACGTGGCTATGGTTACGAACGTAAGGCATGTAGGCACCTATCTACACGTAAAGACGCCGTAAGTGGAAATTCGGAGCACGTCGTTTTAAAATAGGTAGATGTGTGGTATCTTCGCACTTGGAATCTTTCGTTAGCATATCGATGAAGGACTTTCCTAAGTTGCATCGTACGCGTAAAGGCAATACGGAGGAAGGTGGCAATGCCGACAATTTCCAAGTTCATAGCCCCTAGAGATCAGCTGTCTTAGGTACAGAGGAGCTAAATGACGAAGACTACCAAGTAGCGCTGTTAGGAATCGAACTTATCCTTCGTTAAGTAACCTACTGATCTGTAGGTACCTAAGGTACCCGCCTGTAGAGATACAGGTAGGTAGGTAGGTACGGAATAATGTCAATATGAGGTACTCTGTACGCGCCGCCGGTCCCGGTCGCTGAGTAATCGCCACCGCTACCTGTAGTCGGCATGCCATTTGCGATTGACGTTGTCCAGTGTGGACGCCGCGGACACACCTCATCCACAAACTTCCTCACGGCATTACTATTCTTAACTTTACATAGATCTTGAGGATACTTGCTTCTTGTATCCACCCATCGCCATACCCGACTCGAGCCCGGGTAAGATCACCTCCTTGAATACCTCCTGCAGTACGCATCTCAGCCCCCGAGACCCTGCTAACCTCGCGCGGGCCACGCAGACTACCCTATCCTCCCCGCCTTAGGATAGGCATACGACCTGTCTGTCCTCTTTCTGCCATAGCCGCTGCATGGCGTCAAGCTATAACCTCCTCCGTCATCGTATCGCTCATCCCACGCGCGCATCGGAGCCAGAACTACTCCCCTCCACGAATCAACCTATGTTTATCAACCCATGGTCTAAACCCCAGCAGAAAGCCCGCAGGGCGAGATCCCCAAGCCTCGACCACCTGCCTGTCGTCACCCGGACTCGACAGCGATTTTGATCTTGCCCCTACATCGCCTCCTCGTCATCGCCATGGAAGGCTGGCGGCCTAATCCTTCTTCCGAATCCCCCAACTTCAACGAGCGGCGTCGACAGTCAACAATTAAATCCGACATCATGACCGAACATTCCGCGCCGGGAGGTTCTAAGCCCTCTGGAAATGATGCCTTCGTCGACCCGGATACTTGTCGGATATGCCGAGGAGAGGGCACCGCTGAGGAGCCGCTCTTCTACCCTTGCAAATGCAGCGGGAGCATAAAGTATGTCCACCAGGACTGCTTGATGGAATGGCTTTCGCACTCTCAGAAGAAGCACTGTGAGTTGTGCAAGACACCATTTCGCTTTACCAAACTATACTCTCCGGACATGCCGAAGCGGTTGCCATTCTACATCTTCATCACCCACATGGCCAAGTATGTCTTCCGCAACCTGCTTGTCTGGCTGAGAGCCGCTCTAGTCATCAGCGTTTGGCTAGGTTGGCTACCGTATCTCATGCGCTGGGTTTGGTCCGGCCTATTCTGGGTCAGCGATGAGGGGTTTGGTTCTAGTTTGCCAAATTTCGACGGTCGGAATACCTCAGTAGGTCGAGATGGCCTCTCCTCTCTCACCGTCACGTTTTCGACTACGTGTGCCTCGTCCCCCCTGTTGGCCGCCACGACAACCGCTGCGAGCGTTGGACGCGTCATCGAACAGGTCCCCGTCTCCAACTTGTTGAAGGTCATATCCAAGCCCCTTGTCGGTGCACCTCCGTCTTGGCTCGCTGCATTATTTGGCCTTTCCACCGCCACCGAGAAATCGATTCCAGAGCCTAAGGAATTCTTAAACGTGACCCGCGTCGACCAGATTGCCAGTTCGCTAAACCTACATCCCCGGTCTCTATTAAGTGACGTCACTGTCTTGAAAAATTTAACGCGACACCCTGCCATCAACAGGACCATCATCGCTGTGTTCGAGGGGCAGATAATTACCTTGCTCGTCATCGTATGCTTTATCCTCATAATCTTAGTCAGAGACTACGTCGTACAGCAACAGCCGGAAATAAACATGCGTGCAGCCTTTGCCGCCGCGGAAAACGAAGGACTCCCGGCCGAAGCCGTAAACGATGGCGCCCCTCACAACCTAGGTTTGGAGGACGATTCCGACGATGCTTCCGATGATGAATCCATAGTTGCCCGCGGCGGCTCAGCAGATGCTGAAAACGACGAGCAGGACACGACAATCCAAACGGACAGTACCCAAGATGTACATAGCCCACAAAATCTTCGTTCAAGACCTATCGCTGAGCCTCGGCGACGAATGGATCGCAGCCGTCCTAGCTCCATCGTACACGATCCCGAAGGCGAAGGGCAAACCGAAGGTACGGAGTCGGCCCCCTCGCGGCAATCGTTTGCCAACGAACCCTCTGTGAACAGTCCCGGTGCCGAAGAGGCCGGGCGTTCAGGCTCGAGCATAGACGATAACGAAGCCACATCGCAGAGTGCTGTAAAGGAATATCTACGCATTTATCGAGAAGCAGATGGAGACCACGAGAGAATCCTTCGCATTATTCGAAACGAAGGACTGGAAGATCGCATGGGCTACTGGATCCAGGTCACTAAAACAATGGCTAGCGTCAGTGGAAATCTCGGAAGCAGTGACAATGCCGATCTAAGAGGTGACGCCCTCGCTAATTTAACCACGACACCTCATATAAGTCGCTTAAGCCGTTCCCCGATGAGATCGGGCTCTCTCGCTGTAGACAGGACAAGCAGCGATGCTTCGAGTTGGACATGGGCGGACGCCGATGACGTCGCGGACGCAGAGAGCCAGGGCTCCCGTGGCAAAGGCAAGGCCCCCGAAGCGTCCGCAAAAGGGAACGTATGGACGCATTGGGACGGCGAATTTGGCGAACCCCCCCGACAGCTAGATAGCATCAGCGCTGAGAACCACAACGAGGACCCGTCGCCATTCTCACCCGCATTAACACGATCCCGAGCGGTTTCCGACGGGCCCCAAGCTCCCAAGCCTATCAACATACTTGCTAACAACAATTGGTCTTTTCCCGACCGACCTCCGGACGCCGCGAACACGCCACAGGAGGAGGCATCTGAAGCACTAGGCGAAGGTGAAGACATTCCCTATACTCGCCCTACTCTACACGGAGAATTCGATGCTAGGGAAACATGGTTACCCGCCCCGGACAGCAACACTCCCGATTCAAGCGCTATCCAGAGGCGCGACCGACCCGGTGCCGAAGAAAGGCCGGATAATAACGGCAACGAGCGCCGCGATGAGGAAGGCCGATATGCTGTGGACACAGCTGCTGGCGTCGAACAGACTCATAACCAACATGCCGCCCCCGCTGCGCGTCATGCAGGGGGCATTGTTGGTCGTGTTGCTGATTTTATGTGGGGCAACGTCGAGGTCGGCCCCTTAGATGATCTCGACCCCGACGGACCTGTCGATATATTCGGCGAGAACCATAACGCGCCGTTTTTCGGCGATGACGATCGAGAGGATGAAGGAGATGACGAAGGAGAGGCAGAGGTGGCGCCTGATGTCGTCGAAGCCGCCGTGGCTGCCGGTTTGGACCCAGAGGCTGTTGAAGATGCCGAAGACTTCGAAGGGATCATGGAGCTTATCGGAATGCGCGGTCCCGTCGCCGGTTTATTTCAGAACGCTATTTTCTGCGCGTTTCTCGTATCTATTTCCATCTTCCTGGGTGTCTTCGTGCCGTATAATGTCGGCCGCGTGTCCGTCTGGATTATTGCCAACCCAGCTCGTCTTCTCCGTATTGTTTTCAGCTTCTCCAAATTTGTGCAGGATGGTGTTTTGCTGATCGTCGGCTACACTTCCACGATCGCCTTCAACATACTCGAAGTGTTCAGATTGATCCTTGGAGTCGAACGCGGGCAAAACTTGATGCACTCTTTGAGAACCGACGCCAAACACGTTGCAGCCAGCGCCTTCGATCGGATCGTGGCTAGTTTCGTGACCGAGATGCCGCTCATTTCGATGAGCGAGATGCGGAATTTCTCTGCCGTCAGCCACGAGGCTCTCCTTTTTGTGAAGAACGACATCCAGTACGCCCTCTCAGTTCTCAGTTACGCCATCTCCTATCTCTTCGGTGGTAGTTATTCAGCCAAATTAGCCGCGACTAAAGCATTCTTTGCTGTCGCGGGCCCGGCTGCACTGGGTTTCCTCAAATCAATGCCAAGCATTGCCACGCACCCCGGATCTTGGATACTAAACCTGAGCTCCCTCGAATCATCTTCTTCGGCGAATCCCGTACTCGCTTATTGGGATGCGAACGATAGGACGTGGGCTATCCTCCTCGGATATGTTTCCCTTTCGGTCATTGCTGGATTGTACCTTGCCCGAGGGACGCCGTTCTCTACCGGCCAAACGGCACAGGAATGGGAGGCTTCCATCATTGATGCGTTGAACCAAGCCAGCGGTGTCATGAAGGTCATCTTGATTATCAGCATAGAAATGCTCATTTTCCCGTTATACTGTGGCCTACTCCTGGATTTGGCACTACTACCCTTGTTTGAGGGTACTAGTGTGAGGTCTCGCCTACTCTTCACGTACAACTACCCTCTCACCTCTATCTTCGTGCATTGGTTTGTGGGCACGGGCTACATGTTTCACTTCGCGTTGTTCGTCTCTATGTGCCGTAAGATCATGCGGAAGGGTGTCCTATGTAAGAGACCTGCCGAAAGAGGCAATGATACAAAACTGTCTGGGATAGGTTCGCTAACCTAGTAACGCAGACTTTATCCGCGATCCTGACGACCCGGAATTCCATCCTGTACGTGACGTACTCGAGCGTAACGTCATGACCCAGCTTCGAAAGATACTATTCTCAGCTTTTGTGTACGGGGCCCTCGTCGTAGTCTGTCTCGGAGGTGTTGTGTGGGGCTTGTCCCTCGCGCTTCCCAACGTACTCCCAATACATTACTCATCAAACGAGCCGGTTCTTGAGTTCCCCATCGACCTGCTTTTCTACAACTTCCTGATGCCCCTCGCCGTCAGGTTCTTCAAACCGAGCGATGGCCTACACTCTATGTATACCTGGTGGTTCCGGAGGTGCGCTAGAGCTCTGCGACTAACATGGTTCCTGTTTGGAGAAAGGCGGGTGGATGAGGAGGGGATCTTGGAACTTTCCAAAGACTCACCTCATCGAAACATGCCCTGGTGGTGCCGGGTGTTTCTTGAAGTGAATGGCGAAAATCAAGTCGTGCCGAAGATGTGGCAAGACACATTCAACGGCGGCAATGCTAGGCCCAATGCGAGAATATCCACCGAGGATATGAACAGCCACAATGACAAGAAGAAGAGGCTCGTTGAATCTCGACAGCTCATCCCCAATGGCCGTTTCGTGCGATCGCCGGCGTCCGACCAGGTCAAGATTCCTAAGGGCCAGTCCGTGTTTCTCGATGTGTCGGAGCAGAACGACAGAAGTGATGGGAAGCCGGATCGAGCTGACACTGACTTGTACGCCGGTGCTCACTACCAGCTCGTCTATGTCCCCCCCTGGTTCCGAGCCCGAGTGTTCTTATTTATCCTTTTCATATGGATATTTGCAGCCGTCACTGGGGTTGGCTTCACCATCGTGCCCCTTGTGTTCGGCCGTCGCATGTTCAAGGTACTTATCCCTTCCCACATACGAACCAACGACATCTACGCGTTTAGCATCGGCATCTACATCCTTGGCTCTCTGGGCTACCTCGCCTTTCACTCGCGAGCAATGCTTGGACGACTGAGGAGTTGGACGATGGGCACAGTGGAATCGACGCTGGACCGTCGCACCATCCAGCGCACCATCCAGTTTGTGGCTCACGTGTGTCGACTTCTATATACTTACATCGCTCTTCTCGTCGTCTTCCCGCTCCTCATCACGCTGCTAGTGGAACTCTACCTGCTCGTGCCGGTGCACACGTACATGTACTCTGCCGGAACAGACGCCACGAGACGACTGGACGTGTTGCGGGGAGGGCACACCATCCGTGTGATACAGGCTTGGACCCTCGGCATTCTCTACCTAAAGCTCGGCTCTCGAGCGTTAGTGCTATACGGTGGTCGGCCCGCCCATGCAGTGCGAGCTGTACTTCGTCGCGGATGGCTAGAGCCAGATGTCGGCATCTTGACCCGTGCTTTCGTCATCCCGGGAGTCTTTGCGTCCCTCGTCATGATATTTACGCCTCCACTTATGGCTTGGACAGTCCTCCGTCGGGGCCTAGACGCCGGTGCCGAGGTGAATCACGAAATGCGAGTACTAGTCTACCGTCTCGCATACCCGCTCACAGCCCTCTTTTGGGCTGGGCTTCTCATGGCACGGAGCATAATACGTGTTTTCGAAGGCTGGCAGGTCCGCATCAGGGACGAGGCGTATCTAATGGGGGAACGGCTTCACAATTTCGGCGGAACAGCCGCTAAAGCTTCTGGTTGGAGGGGTGGCACCAGGCTTTAGGGATGCGCAATACCATGTCACGATGATCAGAACCGTGCATCCGAGTTTGGGTAGACAAGAATAATAAATAGCGTGGTACCGAAATATACTGATGGCTAATCTGATTCCGCGGTCTGTAGACATGTGTTCACCGACGGCTCCGTGAGAGCATGGTATGGGGGAATACGCACCCCGAGCTGCATCCTCAGGATTCCGAATTCACGCGATGCCGGGTCTCATAAGGAAAACATACTCTGGATGACCTTGGGTATCTAAGTTATCCAACACATGGCTCTCGCGAGCATTACTCCTCTTGCTGAATCAAACCCCGGTGCCTGCATCTTAACACCAAGAATACAAACATACCTCTCGGGCCGCCCAGCAATCCCTCAGGCAATCTTTTAACAATAACTACTGCGCAACGAACCACAATATTCCCACTCATTCTATGTGTACATATCAGGGCGGCATGCATGAAACGTAGGTACCTGTATAGAGTACCTAAGGTGGCCATTGAATGCCCAAGACGCCGATTTTCGTACCTAAGAAAACAAAGATCGACTCAACAGATGAGTTTGGTAGGGATACGAAACCCGAAGTGCATATCTAGCCACTTGCCATGGAGCCTACTTAAGCCGAGCCTAACTGCTGATCGCTGGTTGGAGAAAAAGAACCATTCTAAACTGCGCGGACAAAACAGCTGACCACGAGGTTGCGAGCAAGTTGTAGATGTTTACTTGCTGCGAATAGCATCTTTCTCCGTTCGGGATTTCTTCCTTATACCACCTGTCATGTAGGTAGGAAATCTTAGCCACCCACACATATATTAAGCCTACACAGCCCACGGGGGAGATAGGAACATCTACGTTTTCACGTGACACTGCCGAGGGGCATAAGATACCTTCCAGTACCGGAGGGGGAGGAGGAGGAGGAGTGTATTTTACGTCTCTTTTCTACCTATGTACAGGTAATAAGACGGGCCCGCGATGACGGCGGCACGAAGGATAAAGATAGCCGTATAATCGCCCGTTCAGTCGGGAGAACCCCCCACGGCTAGATGTCCACGATATCGTACCCGTATCCTCCGCTCCCTAACGATATTTTCCCTACAGCGATAGGGACCATGTTAGTTAAGGCACCCGAAGGAAAGCTTCGCTACGACGGGTAACAGTAAGACCTCCGTTCTTACTTCTTCCCTTTCCTAGCACCCAATACCCAGTAGAGCCTTACTTACTACCCCGTGGAAAGCGGGGTAGGGGGACGAGAACGCCGGATTCTCGAAGATATCCCTCGTCATGGTTACCATCGCCGCCAAGATGGACTTTTCAAGGCGCCGTGGACTTTTAACCGTAGAACCGAGCAGCGACCGAACCGAGTCGAGACGTTCGTTACGCTTCTCAAACAAGAACCTTCCCGCGCGCGTCGATAATGATAGGCGAAAGACGAACAGGACCAGGCCGTTAGCGGGAGACAGGAACGGCGAGACGTAATTAGCTAGATCAGTCCTGGGAAAAAGATGTTCGGGGGAAGGGCCTTCCAGTGCCGGAGATTCAGGTTCGTCAGCACAGCAGCGGAGGGCTATTCATATCGGGCACCCTCCTATGTGTGTGCCTGTGGTTGTACAGGTACGAGTACAACACAACTCTCCGCTTGACCAAGTGAAACTCGGTAATTCTACACGATTTCGACTAATTACAAGTCTCAGCACGTAACTCCCCGTTTCCCCGATGGAAAGCAATACCAAAGCCTAGGGAGCAGAATGCCCCGAGATTTTCGTCGATGAGAAGCTGCTAACTTGGCGGGAATAGGATGAATGAAAGTGCCCGTTAATGCTACTGCCCCCTACCTCCCGCCCCCTCCTGTGCGGGAATATTAAAGGCCACGTATTCATTCTCGCTACGACTTCCACCTGTACTTTCCCGTACAGTACCTGGCGTCAAATATACTCGCTACCTCTCTCTTACACTTTACTAGTAGTGGTGGCCGCTACGTCCCCCTCTCGAAGTTGGCCTCATCAGTCTCATGAGCGTAACATGTCGACCGGCACCGCCTCAGTTCTCCTAGGGGCGCTTCTGTTCTGCCGGCGCCAAGACGACGCTGTTCAGGTTCTGGAGGGTGTGAGACAGACTGTGATGAGAGACTGCACCATTCTCTTCGTCAGATCGTCGCTCGCGTTCGAGACTGTTCCCTCTGCTTGCGTTACGACTAGCTTGCCGGCTGTGGCGTCGACTTGCCGCTTGTTGGCTCGAGTAGTACGAGTTGTGCCGCGACGCCGACATACGGTCACCAGGACGCTGCTGCATAAGTTCAGCACTTGGTTCGGTTGACGGCCCACGACCCAGAGCTGTCGGCGGCCGATATCCCCCTTCTGCTGTCGACGGCCGGTGAGAACGAACGGCACTAAGATGATGGCCCCCGAACGAAGCAGTGCCCTGGGCCAAGCTCTGGGCGAAGGGCGACCGCTTCCGAAGTGTCGGGCCTTTCCAGTAGATTACATACACGGCGACCACTAGGGCGAAGGAGATGCAGAAGAGAATGGTCGACGCATAGGGCAAGTTCATACCCTTCTCGGATCCAATGTTAGTGTAAAAGGGCGTTGCCGGGATGGTGAGTACACCGGCCAGGAAATCACGAGCCCAACCGTTGCCACCCGTAGCTGATGCAGAGTACGGTCCGTAGGCACAGATCATGTAATCGATTGTGGCCATGTAGATGGCGTAGTTCGCAATACCGATGATGCAGGTTCCGAACATCGAGCCGATCCAATGGAGGGGCGGGCCACTACTTGTCCATGCAAATATTATGAGGCCAATCGGGAGGCAAGGGGCAAGCCAGAGAAGTAAGGATAGACGTGATTCGTATTGCGCGTGCTCATTTTCGGGATGCCTTTCACGGAGCTTCTGGTTCCGCTCGAACGCTGGTAGGAATAGAAGCCAACCGATCACGTAGCCGAGGCCAATGGGGATGAACGACAGACCAATTTGGTAAGGGGCAAAGTCCCACTGCTTGTATACGAGCGCAAAAGATTGAATCTGCATGAAGATGAGAGCATCGGAAAATCCGGAGAGGAGTGACAGCGTCAGTACAATGGGTTCCGTAAGGAACATGCGGAACGGCCGTAGCCAGGTATACATCAGCTCCTTAAAGGTAAACCTGGCCCAGAATGACACGAGCTCGTTCGGCCCGTAGACGTCGGGGTCCTGGCCCGTCTGTCGACGTTTCTTGGCGATCCGGTCAAGCATTATCGTCGTACGCGTCTCCGGGACCGTGAATAGGTGCAGTAGCATCACAGCACCACCAAATATTAGCTGAATCCAGATGCACCACCTCCAGGCTTGCGCCGGAGGGAGCATCTGAACAAACCCGCCAACAATCGGGCCAAGAATCGATCCGCCGACGGACGAGAAGACGCTGCCAACGGCCCAGGGTCAGCAGGAAACTTTCTCTCGCATCCTCCATGCCTTGGGCAAGAAGGGGGAGGACCGGCAGAGATGTATTGAAGCAGGCCCGAGAAGAGAAGAGGCTCACATATAAGCGACGGCATACTGCTGCCGGTCGCTCTCGAACATGTCGGCTATCATCCCCAATGTAACGCTGCCCCCTGCTGTAGCGAGCCCCCCGAGGGCTCGGCCGGCAACGAGACAGCCAAAGTTGGGGGCTAAAGCGACGGGCAGAGTAAAGATGTTGACGAGGAACAGAGATGCCTGCAAGACCGGCTTACGACCGATTTCCTCCGACCAAGGCGCCCAAAGCTCGCAGCCGAAGGCGTAGGTGATGAGGAAAACGGCGGCTCCGACGCGGGCGGCCTGCTCACCGACGTTGAAATGCCCCGAGATTCCCTCGAGCCCGTTCGAATATAAAGAGGTATTGAAATTCATCGAGGTCTGGACGAGGAAGATGACGGTGAGAATCCACCACTTCTTCCACGTCGGAAAGGCAAATCCGAGCTCTCCCTCACAGTCCTTCTCCGTAAGCTCACGCTTGCCTACTTGACCCTCGACGTTCCCATCGCCCCCCACCTTTCCGGCGGTTGGGCCGACGGCCGTGCGGGTGTCATCGATATGTCCAACTGTCTCCTCGGAGCTATGGGTCGGGCGTTCATCGTCGGGGCCGAACGTGGCAGGCCATTGTTTTGAGCCGGCCTTCTCCATGACTGGAGGCTACACACGGAGCGGTGTAGACGGTGAGCGTACGAGAGAAACCCTCTCGCTCTCTGTTCTGGACACAAGCTCTTGAAAACAGTTTTAACCGTAGGAGTATTGCTGCTCGATGCGTAGAGTGTAGCACCCTATTTTTCTACTGACTAGCCGAGTTGGCGAGGGACAACGACGAGGGGAGGCAAAGTGAAACAGGAAACACGGGAGGGTTGGCCCTTTGTATAAACCAGAATTACGTGAGGGGCGTTTTTAGGACGGATAGGATACTGACGTCGGAGATTAGATCAATGATGTTAGTAAGACAGAGAGTGACGATGATTCAAAAAAGTAGTACAAAGCCCGGTCAGAAGGTTCGGTGCTGACCAGGGAATTCTGTCCACGTATATATAGACGAGACTTCCCTATCTGGCCAAAACTACCATCAGCGCAGGGGAAATCGTGGAAAGGAGAGAATAACGTCGAGGTAGGGATGGACCCAGGTCGGGACTGCGATTCGACGCGGAGGAACGTAGAGAAGGCAACCGATCGAGGACGAAAAAGAAATTTTCGAGGGCCTAAGGGAGGTGCAACAAAGGCAAGACATTATTCGGAATCGCCATTCTGGGTGGAGGGCAAGCAGGCCATCAGCCGGCCACCCACCCGTTTACTTCTTGATAGACGCCGATGCATACGAAATACAGATAGACGGACACGCGGCGCGTAGAAGAAGGCAGGATATAGGGTAACAGTATTAGAAGTCGGCGTTCACTCCGCCTCCGCCCGTCGTATCAGCTATCGACGAAAAGGCAGCGGGCGATAGGCGTATGCGGTGTGGACTCTACGGACGTCTCTCCTTCTCTTCTCCATATCCTGCCTTCTTCTATGCAATGCGCGCCCGCCGTCTGAGTTCGGCACGTAGGTAAGGCATGCATTCTACCGGGACTACCCAAACGGGACAAAATTGGGACAACCACGCTTCTAGGAGAGTGAATCGGGCGAGCTGAGTAGGCCTAACACGCGGGTCGACGGCAGGCAACTTGAGATTGCAAGGGAAAACGGAGATGACGAACCGGCATTGGAGTTCGAAGAAGCTTCTAGGAAGAAAAAGGCAGTTCCGGCAGGATCTCGACCCGTGCTTACAGGTAGGTATGACAACAGTAGGCTTGCATGTTGGGCCGGGTTTTTCTGAGCCCGTCAGTGGCTATCTCGACTCGCTCGTGGCATGATAAAATCAGGTTCAATCCGGACGAGATGACATTTTCCATCGATTGGGCTGCTCGGCCGGAGACATGGCAGATCCGGGGGCGGGGGGGCTCCGCCTAGGGGGGTTGACCAGATGCAGGACGGTCGTCAGGCGACCCCACGGAAATGCAACGGCCGGCGGCACGCGAGCTCTCGAATTTTACTCTTCGACTTGGGGAGTGAGGGAAATAGTGGAATGTCTTAATCCCTCGCTCTCAGTTTGGCTGTTCTGTTGCGTTGTGGTGTTCCGCTGTGGGAGCCAGTTGGAGAGACGGGAAACGAAAGCGGCCAATACACTTCGGAGGGGGGGAGAGGGGGTTCGCAGATACACAGACACAGACGCCGACGACGCGCACGAGCCCGGGTATGCACAGATACATATACACGCAGATGCGGAACGAGGATAGACACAGCTGACACACTTTACGCTCACTACTGGAATACGTAAGCTCTACGTACCTACGTGATGTCGATACATATACCCTCGCCGCACATCGACGACAACGTGCCTGCACGTAGCCGATGACGGGATGGCTACGGGTGCCGTTAACAGAGGCTATGGCGAACGGCAGCCAAGGTGCAAGGGAAGATCCGCCGTGAGTGCGGAGACGCGAAAGCCGAGCCCCTCCCACAGGGAGTGATGTCATTAGGAGACGGGTGCGCCCGGGATACGGCGGGAACGGTGCAGGTGGGTGCCTGATGAATAATCAACGCGATGAGGGGCGGCGTGATGTCGTGCGAGGAACGTGGAGGAGGAAGAGGAGGAGGAGAACTGCAACGCCCTACCGATCTTGTACATCACCTGTCTCATCTCGTCTGCCAATGGGCATCCCTCCGCTCCGCCTTCCACCTCGCCGTAACCCTCCCCCCCTCTCCCCCGCGCGCCATGTCGTCGCATTGACCTACCTACCTACCTACGAATGATCCGTCTGCGAGTTGCCGGGACCTGTCGGGTTCTAGACTGTCGGTTACGGGTTGCCGGTTTGGTCACAGCCGTCTTGTGAAAAAAAGTGCCTCGTAGGTATTGTAGTCCCATCCAACGCTGCATCGCAGGTCAGGTGGTAATGGGTTGGGCTGCACGACGCACCCATGGGTATGACCTGAATAAAGCGCGCGCAAGACGCAGAACGCATCCAAAAAGAGGCTCCGAGAAAACCGCAAAATTCCGCGCCATCCGTCCGTCGCGGGGGATTTTGTTCGTTCGAGCTTCCATCGAACGCACCGATCAAAATTAGCTGTCTGCCATGCGCGGCATCGCAATTACGGCAATGAGGTCAACTTGGCTTGAATGTACCTAGGTTTAGGCACTTACCTAGGTACCTAGGTATACCTAGTGGTGCCGTAGGATTGGTAGGTTAGGTAGGTATCTACGTCATTGCGGAGTTTTGTACAGGTCTCGCACACATATTTTCACATTCCATCCTTCATCATTCAAAATCACAGCCACACAGCCAGATAGATATACGCTCTTTTAATCGCCATCTATGCCTTCGCCCTCTCCATCTTAAATCTTTTTATTTCAGATTTCTCCTAGCTGGCATTCGCAGCTGGCTGACCACTAGATCTAGCTTTCGTACTGCCTTTTCAACTGTCCCATCCTGTTGATTGGCACTTGGGTCACTTGTTGGTAGCTGGGTTCCGAATACGGTCTCCAACGGCGTGCCCACCTTGTTCCCCTCCAGGACCTTTTCTGAACGACCTGTTGCTGTTGGCTACCGAATATCTCGTCGAGTCGCTAGCTCGTGAAATACCATCTCCGCCCTGGAGATATCCTCCGACACCTCTCTACTTGCCTTACCTTGACCGCTTGGCTCGTTGGCCCTATCCTTGCGGTCTATCGTCTCTGGCTCCCACCCACGCTTGTTTCCCACCGACTCGGCCAACGGAAGCGAAGGTAGTTTCAGGAGCAAAGACCCTTCAAAGTCAATCATCATGATCCCCTTAGTCTCACGATTAAACAACATATCCTGAGACCGCACATCGTTATGAACGACTCCCCATCTGCGCATGGCTCGCAGAGACCGAATGGCCATACGCCACATCAACCCGGTGGTGATAAAATATGTCGCGTAAAACCTAGACGCCTACATTACGCTGTGCGGTACGTAGGCTCATAAGGGCTGGGCTGGTTCAACTGCTACGTGACATAATAGTAAATCTTATCTATGGATCGGATGTCGATGGCGCCTAGAAACACAGGGATGTGGACGCCTTGGATCGGCTGCTATCGGCCGCTCACAAATCCTCGCTCCTAGGCCGACAAGGAATCTTCGGCTCTCGAAAACGCGGCTCTCGATTGGGAACGCGTCATAGAACGTGCCAAAGGTAGTGTTCTGCTGATCAAGGAAGTCAAGCCAGGGCATCAGATTTTCGTGGACACCACTTACCACGAGGTGGGGGGATAGAGTCTTTCGAGGTTAGTTCTGGATTTGTTTCGATAATGTGGAAAAGCGGTTTCAGGAAACGTGGCTCAATTGTTGTTGAGTTGCAGCTATTCAGGTTTTTCGCGCATTGTGGCTCGAGCCGTTTATCTAGGTTGTGGCAGTGGGGGCTCGTCCCTATGGCTACACGTGACCGCGCTTGCGCGCCCATAAATAACAAGTTTTGAGAAGATTGAGTCGTGACAAGCGCTGAGGTATTCGTCAAGTGTCGCGGGTCGCACTCGTTCCTCTGATTCTTCGGCGCGCTGGCGTTCACTCTCGGCGCGTTGCAGCACTGCTTGAAGGCGGGCTTCTAACTCCTCTACGCTCCTATTTTGAGCTATAGGATGTCGCCGTTGCTGCGTAATAGTTGCGGAGGGGATTGAATTTGGCGTTTAAGGCTATGGCATTAGCTAAGGAATACCTACCGGAAAAGGGCCTTGGCGGAGATTGCGGCACTATTGCTGTACCTACCTTAGGTACCTGTTAAGTATGTGTTCGGGTTTCTAGTACCTGCCTACCTACCTACCTGTGCCTGATTCTTCGCATTTTAAATACTCACATGTACCTACTTAAAGTTGATAATGAGGTAGGACGTGCCGCAACCTCCTACTGAGGCTACCCCATGACCTCCCGTGAGTACTGGGGGCGTGCTAGGCTAGGCTATTTACAACTTTTGGTTCCCTATCTAGCATCTTTATTCTTCGTTTCGTATTATGCGGCTCATTCCGCATCCTGCCTCCTCCCTGCGAGAGAAGCTCCCAGCTCGTTTCTCTGTTCTTATTCTGCGGGGGGGTTTCCTCCCTCCTGATCTCGGCAGCTCGTTTACAGCGCGGAGGGATGTGCGCATAGGTCAGTCAATAGGCACATGAATAAAGTCGAAGAAGCCACAAAAGAGACCCAATCGACACGCGAATTAAGACAGCCAATCAAGTCGCACAAATAGCTTTTTCAGAGCCAATAAGAACACTTATAGATAAGAACGACCCCACAATTCGATAGGGCCCCACGTATCATAATTTACCTAAGGCAGGTACCTATCCTCTGGATGCATATGGGTATAAAACCCTAGGTATCTTTGACGGCGTAGGTACATGATATGTACCTGTAAGTACCCATATAGTGCCCCCACCACAACTGACGCTGACCCCGCCGCTGCATAGGTACCTAGGTATACAGGGGCGATCCATCCCCATCGACCTTAACCCCGAAATGGTCGCCTCGGTTTTCTGGTCGCGTTCTTGAACTTCGTCACGCGTCAAGCTCTAGACCAAGATTTCAAACCACGATGCCTCGACCTCGCCCCGTGCCTGAATCGACTTCTCTATCGTCCTCTGGTTCATATGCAACTGCCGCCGAGTCCCCTCCGAGCCTGCCAGACATCACGGCCAGCAGCGATCCAACCCTGGGTGTAGGTGAGCCGTATCGCAAGGCTAGCCAACTCCCCCCTGAGCTTAGGCAGCACTGCCAGATTTATCTAGAAGAGAACCTATGTGAGTCTCCTCCCACCGCACCATTGATATCATGAAACGGCGACAGCCCGCTAATTTTTGTGCTTGTTTACATCAAGATCTCATCACTCTGAACCTGCTCAACAGCCTGTTGTCGTCAAGTCACGACGGGCCAAATGACCCGAACTACTGCCCACCTCCGAGCCAGTTATCCCTGCTCAACACCGCCATCGTCCATCCCAAATTCACAACTAGGCCCAGGGAAGATGGCTGGGCCGAGGTCTCCGCCGAATCTCTCGTCTACTTGCGCAGTCTTCTTTCACGCCTGGGACCTATAAACACACGGTTCAAAGAGGCCTTCCGCTTTTGGAGCAACCCGCACCACGGGACGCCCGACTCACTTTCCAACGACGAGTTAGATTACGGGAACGAGGATGATGACGACGCGACCTACACGCATATCAGACACAGACATCACCAAGATGGACTCTGGCGGCGAGGACAAGACTTCTTTCACGTCGCCGGCTGGGCCTTCAATTGCAGTGTCCTATACCCGAACCGCTGGCGGCATTGGAAAAATTGGCTCAAGTTCATGTTAGACGTGTTGGAGCAGGATTTGACCGAGCGCCGCAATCTGGACGTCGAGAGCGGCCAGCAGGAGCACCCTATGCTCCGGGAGTCGATTCTCGCCAGCTACATCGGCCAGCGTTCCGGTCGCTCGGCCGGAGGGTTGAAATGGATCATGGATGCCATGTTCGCTGACGGCAGCGTAGCCGCAAGCTCCCACTTCCCGGAAATATGGGTGAAGGAGCACAAGGAGAACCATGCGAGCGCCGCCAAAAAGAGGAAGCGCGAAGCCATCAACATCGAGAAGGGCAACTTCGGGGGATGGCTTGACGACGAGTCGGTCTATTCGTCTCAGGCCTCCGAGCCCCCCACCCCGCAGAAACGAGGAACAAGCTCGGGCGAGCTAGGAGACCCGGATTTCCAAGCATTAGAACCCGCTTATGTAGAGTCCATCCCCTTGCGGCAACGCCTCTTTTCCCTGGTGAGTTGGTTCCCTCCCCGAATACACCACATTGATTCCGTAAGCTCACCGGACCAGCTGTCCTACCTCTGCCATTATTTGCCTGATCCCCCGTTAGATCTCTCGGACCTGTACCAAAGGTTCGAGACGACGGTCAAGTCACTCCCGCTGCCGATATTTACTGCATTCATAAACAACCACACATCCGCCTTGAAGCTGGAGTCGCAGATATCGACACTCCAGGGCATCTTACTGCTCTTGATGCCCTCATCTGCGCTATCGCCAGCTAAGGTCGACCGCTCGTGGCAGGAAGCAGATGGGATCACGGTCGCAATCCTCGAACGCTGTTACCTGCCTTATCCCGCCAACACTATCGCGGCGGAGGACAATGCAAAGGTGTCTCTTCTACTAGAAAACTTGCTGCAGATCATGTGGTGCGAGGGTGGCGGGCAATTCGGCAATAGCCTAAGGACGGCCGTCGAGAAAGGAATCGCCGCGAGGAAGACCAAGGTGAAGAAGAAGAAAACCTCAGTCAGAGGCCGGCCGAATGGTGAAGACCCTGACGCGGAAGCTCGTATCGTGCTAGGGATGTCGGAACAGCGGTTGCGTACGCTGGTCGATCTCATCGAAACGACAGATGAGGATGTCGGGTTGGTCGCAGTAGATGCCATGGACGAGGATGGCAATGAAGAGGGGCCGAAACAAGGTTAGTGGCAGGCGTAGGGGGCTTACCTTGGGTGCGGGTGCGCCGGCGTCAGTATAATCCCTGCTGACTAGAGTGCGCAGGGGATGGTGATGATATGGACACGACAATTGACGATGCAAATCGGGACATGAACGGGGAAGGCGGAGACGCCAATACATGTTGCTCATGCCAGAGCAAGGCATTCGGGAGTATGGTTCTTTGCGATGGCCGTTTCTGTCCTTATCAATGGTTTCATTGGAATTGCGTCGGTCTCAAGTCAAAGCCACGAGGCATATGGTTATGTCCGGATTGTTCACGTTCATCGCGAAAGAAACGCAAGTAAGCCCTCACAGGTTGGGCCGAGATGCGCGCCTGGTAATCCCGCCGCATCACCCGAATACGGAAGGAGAAATAGGCCGATATGGTGGTTATCGCCACATCTATTCGCTATTACACACGCTACACCCCAGAATGAGGCGTGGTGACTTCACAGTTGCTAGGCACAACCGTACTATCGGGTATCCCATCTCGCCGCAACCCGACACCGCTTTCACCGCTTCTTCGCCGACGCCGGGCTCCACGCTTCGGGCTGCCATGTCTCCCCAGGAGCACCTTGTGCGTGCTTCCAAGGGTCGTGGGCACTCTTCGGTGGCGCGTCGCTCGTCGGTGTCGCTTGGGTCTCCGCTTCCAGATCGTGCTGGGCCGGAGACCCCGGCGCCATCGGCTCTTGCTTCCGTCCCCAGGGGTGGGTCTCGCCGGTGTCTAGCGGCGACGCGGCGTGGCCGATATTCGGTTTTCCGGAAAGATGCGGGGGGGAGAGATAGCTCGGCTTGGCGGCCCAACGGGCGTCGGCCTCGGCAGCCAGCACCTTGATGCGCTCCTGGCGAGCCACTTCGGCAGCTTGCTCGCTATGGGTCGGCGGCTTCTCGCGCTGGTACCGAAGCCACTGATGCCACGGGGGCGAAACGACGACGTCGCTATAGTGGGTTGACTGGGGATACTCGACGATACGCCTATATCTGTGCCCCGAGGCAGTGGCGGCATCGGCGCCACCGCCCCCAAGCCTGAATTCCCAATACGTGTTTCCTTGAAGATCGAGGCCTGCCAAGGGTGGGAGAGGGGGCAAGGTTGGGAGACACGTGTAAGTAGATGATCGAGTGGACGTGACCGAGTAGGGGAAAGCTCGACAAAACTTACCTACGAGGAAGCGTTTCCTCCAGGGGAGGCGTAAGGTCTTCCACTGGTACCAGGCCCTTCGTATAGGCCCTATTTTCATCGACATGTGCGGTGTAGGAGGGGGGGGCGTGGGTTGTATTGCCTTACGTGAGTTGGGGATAAGGGGAAGGAGACAGAAGGATGCTATGGTGTGCCCCCCTCCCCCTAAAAAAAAAAGCTGTCACCCTACCTAGGCCGGGTTTAATACCTGGAGGCACGGCTGGAGGCATGGGTAGGTAGGCCGGTACCTACGGGAGGACAGATGCGGTACGCTACGGTATACTGTAGGTACGATTTGAACCAGGGTTGGGGAGTACATGCATAGAGGTACTACCTCGCTACATTGCACAACGCCCTAGGAGGTACCTTTTCATAGGTATATTTGCCACGCTCTAGGTACCTGCCTATCTTAGGTACCTTAGGAGGTAGGTATCCTCCCAAGTATGTACCTGTATCACCCGCACCGCCCACCCTTGCTCTTCTTCTTCTTCTTCTTCTTCTTCTTCTTCTTCTTCCTCCATCTTCCCTCCTCTTCTTCCTAGCTTTGGCCCGCCAACAACCCGAATCTCTCAACCTGCTTAACCACCGCTAAGCCCCCGAACAACTGCGTCAAGCCTCACCAGACCCGTTTTCCGCGAGGGCAGCCAATCGACGCCGGCGGATCGGGAAACGTCACCGTCCCCAAGCCAAAGCCCGCTCTCCCATCCAGGTCCACTCCATCTCCGTCTCCTCCCCACCCCTCCCTTCAATTGTGCGATGGTAGTGGTGGGCTCGCTGGTCACCTCCCGGTCGACGACCCCTGTGTGTCTGGTCCTTGTTCTATCCTATTCCCCGTCCTCTTCCTAGGCAAGGCAAGGTAAGGCGACCTGAGCCAGGTTCTCTCCCAATTCCACGTCCAAATCACTTCTTAACCCTATCCCTCGACCGTGCCGGCGCCGCTCCTCTCTTTTCTCGTCTGCTGTCCCCCCTTCCGTGCTTCTCGCCTATCTTACGGCTTGCTCACTTCCTCCAGTCGGCCCTCGACTGAATAATATCCGTCTTCGTATCCGCCTACGCGGCACAGAACCGAAGCATCGGATCGTCGCCATTTCTCGGCCATATCTTCTTGCGGTACCACCCACACTGCACTAACTCAAACACACCACCGTCGGCGGTCGGTGACGTCGTCTCACATCTCCCACGCACGCGCGTACTCCCATCCCTTCATTCCAGTTGCTTCGCGAAGCATCGCCTGGTCAGCGGTTTGAATACTTTACCGGCCGAGCCACCCTGACAAACGGTGTCAAGTCGCGACGCAGCTTGGATCCATCCCGCGTTTATTCATTGTCCCACGTGTCCTCTCGGAAAGCGCCCGCCGCCTGCGAATAAGCATTGCGCCGGCATGGCTTCCGTCACGTCCTTAGACAAGGACTTGCGCAGGTTGCGCTTGGAAAAGTACACGCCAGTCGCAGCCAACGAAGCTCGGTCGTGGATTGAAGGCGTCTTGGGAGATAGGCTCCCGTTCAGCGATCTCCTCGACAGCCTCAAGGATGGCGTAGCGCTCTGCAAGTAGGTTCCCGGTCGGTGCTTGTGTCTCGTGTCTGTGCGCCTGCGCATATTAGATCTTGCGGCCGTGCTAATTTGCAATCCCCTCTAGACTGGTCAACCTGGCCATCGGCTCGCCGGGAGTCAAGTTCAAGCAATCCGCGATGCCTTTCGTCCAGATGGAGAACGTATCCCACTTCCTCCGCGCCTGCCGCTCACCGCCTCTCAACCTCCAGGAGCACGACGTATTCCTCACCGTCGATCTCTACGAGCGAAAAGACCCCGCCCAAGTGCTCCAATGCCTCGGTGCCTTCTCGCGCGCTGCCAACTCCGTCAACCCCTCTGCATTCCCCGCGCCCATCGGGCCTAGGGCCAAGGGCTCTGTTGTGAGCCCACAGAGCACCGGCCCGACGACGCCGAGGAACCGCGCCATGTCTAATGTTAGTAACACGTCATCGGGATACGGCGCGCGGCCTAATGTGACGCCTGTGATGACCGGAGATTCAAGTTCCGGACGTTGGAGTCCCACCAAGAGCCCAACCTCAGCGAGCGACCGGGTAGGGTCCCCGAGCGTGTCGAGCTGGAGCAAGAGGGACCACGAAGGGGTCACCAGCCCGGCGTGGAACATCGCACAGTACGGTTACATGGGTGGTGCGAGCCAGGGAAACCTCGGAATCTCGTTCGGAGGCCGGCGCCAGATCACCACTGCTGGGCCTCACATCCCTAGTTTGGCCGAGAAGGAGCGCAAGCGAAAAGAGCAGGAGGCCGAGGCCGAGCGCCAGAGAAAGCAAGCTGAGGAAGCGGAACGCGCTCGTAAGGAGGAGCTTGAGGCTGAGGAGAACCGAGCGCGACTGGAAGAGGAACGTAGGTGGGAGGAAGAGACAACGCGGCAGCGAGATGAGGAAAAACGTAGGGCGGAGGAGGAGAGACGGCGGTGGGAGGAGGAGGAACGCCAGTGGAAGATGACGGAGGAAAGGCGACGCAGAGAAGAAGAAGAAGCCGAGGCGAGACTGGCCGAGGAGCGCCGTCGCAGCAAAGTGAAAAACGACACCCGGCTTCAGGGACAACTTCTCAGCCAGTACCAGGCCGAACACGGGATAGCGCCACAGAAGAGCGGCGACGGCGGCGGATACAGTGACCGCGTCAAGCAACTAGAACGCGAACTAGAGCTAGCTAGGAAGCGAGAGCAAGAATACGAGGAAGACCGGCGGAGACGATCACATAACCGGGCGCGGTCCCGTAGCCGACCCAAAAGGCCAGAGCGGCCGCCTAGTCGACAAGATTCGTGGTCGCGAAACGAGCGCGAGTTCCTCCATACACAACGCAATCGGCGTCCGGAACAGGAGCTGACGCCGGAGCCGGACCTGGAGACCGCGCCCCCGCCCCCGCCGCGCCCGCTCCCCATACCCGGAGCAACGGCGCCGGGAACGATACCTATAGCGGCGCAGCGGACTGGGGGGACAGCGCCGGTGAAACCACAGAGAACTGGCGAGCGTAGGCCCCTTCCCATTCCGGATCGGCTTCGAAACCAGGCAAGCGGCGGCCCCGCCCCGAGCTCGTCGCGGCCTCTCCCCGTCCCTTCTCCAATTCAGAATGGCACCCGCACGGACCGCTTCCTCGCTGCCAATCCGGCACCAGCACCGACACCTCCGCAGCAGACCTACGCTCCTGAACTTGGAGCCACCGCGGAGCGTGATGCAGAGGACAGACGCCGGGCCGAGTCTCAAGCAAAGACTAAAGCTGGTGGCTGGGCCAGCAAGTCCTTGCTTGAACGCGAGATGGAAATGGAAAGGCAGAGACAGCGCGAATGGGAAGAAGCGCAGAAGGAGACGGCGAAAGCTGCTAGGACGAGCGATGGCGTTGACGGCATCGGAGGCGGGGTCGGCGGTCGATGGGACGTGAGCCAATGGAGCGGATATACCGGAGGAGATAGTCAGAACAAGGGATCGGCGGGCATCGGCGCTGGGCGAAGGCAGATCGTCGGACCCAGACCGCTACCAAACAGGCCCGGACCGTGAGCTGTGCATGGTCGGAGAGAAGGCGGCGATGCGTACTAGTCCCTAAGCCGAATATGTTTTGCCGGTATATCATTATGGGATCGTGGGGAATACCGTTCCGCAAGGAACTCACATCAACATACACACATACCCAAGCGTGTGGATACTTAATATGTGCTGACTAGGCCTAGAACTAATACGTGATTGATATACGGCGATTTCGCAAGACAACACCATATCACGCTTCCAGTATCAACGGTTGTCATAAGATGGTACCTCTAATTAAGGTACCTCTAATTAAAATTCGATGGTGCTCCATTACCTTAGCCTTCGGTGTTTAGGACCACCGGCCACTTGGGAGGACGCAGTCCAGGTAGGGAGCAACTGCAGCTGTCGAGAGATCTATGGATCTATAGTTATCCCCGGTACTACTACTCTCCATTCCACCCGGCCGAAGTCACGGGGATCGCCGATCTCGCACCACGCCGAGGCGGGTAGGCAGGTAGTCCTTTGCACGCCGCACTGGTCGTCGTCTGTTCGCAGGCTCAGATCGGCGCGGTCGGCGGCGGCGGCGTCGACGGCGGCAGCACGCGCGCGCGCGCCGCCCGGAAGACGCCGCGGGCGGCGACGGCGATGTCGCGGCGGCCGTCGTAGAGGGGGTAGACGACGACGGCAGCGAAGGCGAGGAACTGCCAGGCGACGGCGACGGCGGTCCAGGACGCGAAGAAGGACCGCCCGAAGACGTAGTCGCGGTACAGCGGCAGCGGCCACGCCACGAAGGTCACCAGCACGACCCCGCCGAAGATCCACCACGCGACGCGGTGCCAGCGTCGGAGACGGGCGAGCGTCGCGGCGCCGAGGGGGTGGCGCAGTTGGTCGAGCGGGACGGGCTGCTGGTCGGAGGAGGAGGAGTTGGCGCGGCGGGGTCGCGGTGGGGGTGGAGGAGGCATTTTCTCGATGGCAGTGCCTTCGGCACGGATAGATGACGGGGAGAAGGAGGGGCGAGACGATAGGTGCGCGGGCTCGGGGGTTGCGGGGCGTATTACTTCGCTGTTCGAGGCGCTGTTTTTCTCGTCGGTGGCGGCGGCGACGGGCGCAAACTCGGACGGCGGCGGGGTCTCGGCGGCAGGGCTGGGACGGTGCTCGTCGGCGAGCTCGATGCGCAGGAACTCGCGCCAGTCGAAGGTGTAGGGGCGATAGCAGCGGGAGATGAGGACGGAGTAGAGGGCGGGCGAGAAGAGCGAGCCGCAGGCGCCGTAGAGGGCGGGCAGGCCGGCCTCGGTGGTGACGAGGTCAACGGTGCCGTAGAGAGCCCGGGCGGTGCCGAGCCAGACGGCGAGGCCGGTGAGGAAGCCGAGGACGGGGGAGAGGACGGCGGCGAGGCGCGTCTGCCCGGACCAGCACAGGGTCAAGGCGAGAGGGATGATGCCGGGGCAGGAGAGGATGGGGCGGAAGTAGCCGATCCAGGTCATGTCGGCGCCGCCGTAGTTGAGGGCGAGGGAGACGCCGGTGATGAAGACGGCGTGGGCGACGACGGCGAGGTGGCTGACGCGCATGAGCCGGCGGTCGGAGGCGCGGGGGTCGACGTAGGTCCTGTACACGTCGAAGGCGAGGATGCTGCTGACGGCGATCATGGACGAGGAGACGGTGCTGGTGAGGGCCATGAAGAGCAGGACGAAGAAGGCGACGATGCCGCGGTCGCCGACGAGGGCCTTGACCGTGTACGGCATGACGAGCCCGGCGTTGACCTCGGCGCTGGCGAACGGGCCCGGGTACGACGGGAACACGGGCGTGTCGCGGATCGCGCGCGCGGCCAGCCCGACGACGGTGCCGAGCCCCCACGGGATCCCGAAGATGGCGAAGGCGGCAAGGTTGTACCCCGGCACCGTGGCGCTGACCTCGCTGGCGAACGATTTCTGCCAGAATGCGGTGTCCTATTTGCCACGGGGGGTGAGGTGAGAAAAAAAAAGGAGAGGGGATATCGGATCCGCCGTTCCGACTAGCTACCCGTGATTGGGGGGGGGGGGGGGGGGGGGGGATGGAAAGCAGGCAAAGCAGGGCAACCGGGAGGTGAGAAACTTACCATGACGACGAGGGCGAGATTGCCGAACTTGAGGATCAGGCCCCAGATGATAGCCTCCTGGGACTTCATGGTGAGGAGGGAGCCCTGGTAGTTCCCGGGGACGTAGTTGTCAGCCGCGGCGGCCGCGATCTTGTCGTAGAGGCCGTAGAGCCCGCCGATGGCGTCGTGGGTCAGAACGCTGAAGGTGAAGTATATGATGAGCACCAAGGCGACGGCCGTGTGCAGGTAGTCAGTGAGGAAGGTGGCCTTGAGCCCCCCGACGGCCGTGTAGAGGACAACTGCGCTCGAAGCCGGCGGCGCCTCGTTAGCTGCCCGTGCGAAAGAGAATCCGCCGCGAAAAAAAAAAAAGCCAAGCAAAGCGACGCGGACGACGACGGTAGGTAGGTAAACCAAACTCACCGCCGAGGGGGATCAGCACGGTCGCGGCGGCGAAGTGCATGCCGGAGATGCCATAGACGAGCTGGGAGCCGGTCAGGATCATGGAGGCGCAGCCGAACACGTTGTTGGACAGGTTCAGCGCGATGAAGACGGCGTGGCCGGCGCGGCCGTAGCGCATCCTGACGATCTCGAGCGACGTGTGGGCATGCGGGACCCGGATCTTGGCCAGCACGCCGAGCGCCGCCATCAGCGAGATCTGGAAGCAGAGGCCCGACGCCCACCACTGCGCAGCCGGTCGGGTCAGCCAGCGACTCCTCGTCTTTGCATACCTACCTAGGTACGACCTAATTTTCGAGATTCTTTTTCTTCTCCCGAATCCCGTCCCCCTTTCGGTGGGGCGCCGCGGGTGGTGAAGAAGGGGATCCGTTCGAGGACCCGGGAAAGAAAAGGAGGAGAGGGGGAGGGGTGGGGGCTGCGGCAACTTACGAAGGGCACGGCGAGCCCGAAGCGGTAGCACATGACGGAGGCGAAGACGGTCTCGTTGATCCACATCCAGGAGGAGAAGACGGCGGAGGCGGTGAGCCCGACGCCGACGGACCGGTTCGCCACCATGAACATCTCGGACGTGCCCGCGTCCTCGGCCAGGTACGCCTTCTGCACCTTGAGCGCGACCAGGATCACGCCGCAGAACGCGACGCCGAGCCCGACGAGCAGGCCGTAGCCCGTCGCCTGCGGCACCAGATTCACCCCCGCGACGCCGAGGGAGAGCTGCGACATGCTCGGTGGCGTCAGAAGTAGTCGTACCGACGATCTTTTTTTTTTTCTTGTCTACTTTCTTTACCAAAAAGGTGTAATTAGGTGCGTGACGTATATCAAGGGGCAATTCCTCTTACGAGCTCAAGCACTGGCTGTTCGAGGCCCTATTATCTAGTATCAAGCGCGCTGCGGTCTCGTTCTTAGGATATGGAGACAGCAAGTATGCCGCCTATCTCGCTCCCCGCTTCGCATCCGGAGGCGCCCCGGGGCGCGTCCCGCTCCTCCCCCCTCCCCCGCAGGGTCCACCCCCTCAAAGAGTGCTGCGTGTCAGCTCTCCGCAGCGACTATCACGCCGTCGAGGCGCAGGATGGCGCTGGAATATGGGGCGCCGACAGAGCCACGCTGTAGGGACTGCAGGCGCCGGCAAGTCAATCGGCGCGGGCGACCACTCAGGACCAGGGGATCGGCACATGGCGTGCCAGTCGCGATGGATGGCGAAAAGGAGAACATGGATAGGGGAGAGAAATACAAGCAAAGCTCGCCGCCCCCCTGCGGCCCGGGTTCTCTCCTCATTGTCTGGATAGATCGCCTGCTTCTCGTTATAAGCGGATTGCCGATATCTACCTACTTGCACATACACCGTAAGCCGTAGCACGGGAAGGGGGCGAGGGCCGCGGGGTAGGTATATACGTGTAGTCACACGCGGGGGCGTCGATGGCGTTTTCGATGACGCGAACGAGTCCTCTGGATAATACCCCGCGGGTGAAGAGGATAGATGACGCTCTTGTGGCGGCCACACGGCGACGCTGTGCCGGCGCCACTGTAACAGTGCCACCGGGTGGCCGCCACTGAAGAATGGATTTACGTCTCCTACCACAGCAGGGTATGTGGGCTGAACGCCGCGATTAATGTGAAGAATTCGGTTTATGTAGGTACACAAAGCTCATTTACCCCTGATCAGGTATGTACTTAGGGAATGTAGTCTATAGAGAGGAGGGTGGACGGAATGGGTACGGCAATAGAGAGTTGTCTCACAACGTTCCTTAAGATAGGAATGCCTATAGGAGCTTGATTGGGAAGCTAGAGGCGAGCCGGCTGGCGAGGAATATCACGGCCCTGGGGGCGCGAGCAGCATAGGTTTATGTTTGCGCGGCATTCTCTATGCGTTTTACTTGAAACCGTAGCCCGGCTCCTGGAGGGTATCAAAGAGGAAGGGCGCACTGGCTGCACCGACTACAATTCACCTTCTCCTTGAGCCAGCGTCGTACGTACGGCCGCCTTGCCTATCCTACCATTAGTTAGCTACCTAGTATGATCCTTTCCAACTCGTCAGGGTCCTTGATCGCGTCTGTCAGGTTAATAGAACCGTCCTTCGTGATGAGGAGGTTATCCTCAATCCTACGCATACGTTAGCAACTCACCGGCGCCGTACGTATACAGCCAGGGCCAGGATCAGATTGCGCTCACCGTACGCCGCCGACGTCCCAATATTTGTCCAGCACCTTCTCGTCGATATACTTAGAGTGCTTCGGGTCGTTGAGGTAGGGCCTGATAATGAACTCGCAGAAGTACAGCTATATCCGTTTCTCATATTAGTCCCCACGTAACGGCATAGAAACGGGTAGCTTACGCCGGGCTCGACGGTGATAACGCTGCCGGCAGGCAGGTTCAACCTGACTCTTAAGTACCGAAATATCGGGTCGGGATCCGAGTAGTTGGGGTGGCCGCCGGTATCGTGGGTATCGAGCCCGAGGTAATGGCCAAGACCGTGCGGCAAGAAGGCGGCACTGGTACGGGCAGCCAGGATCTCGTTCCGGTTGCCCTTCAGCACGCCTAGAGACAGCAGCCCGTCGATGGCGACTCTGTGGGCTTGTACGTGCACCTCATCCCAGGACACGCCCTCCTTCAGCATGGCTATGCAGTCTGTCTGCATCTGGAGGACGATCTCGTAGACGGCGCGGGATTCCTCGGTGAACCTGCCGGAGATGGGGAAGGTCCTCGTCTGCGCCCCGTTAGCTCGTCTGGACCCTCCGGGCGATCGCCGACTTCAGCGTGTAAGGGCGATGAACCAACTCACGATGTCGGCGGCGTAGCAATTCCACTCGGCACCCGCATCCAGCAACAGCAGATCCTTGCCGGCCAACTCCTTGTCGTTATGCACATAATGGAGCGTGGCGGCTGCTCGTCCGCTGGCGACAATGCTGGGGTAGGCTTGCTTCTTGGCGCCCTGGCGGGCGCAAGAACCCAAGAATATGCCCTCGAGTTCGTATTCGTTCTTGGCCTCCCTCACGCCCTCGAGGACGGCTTTGTGGGCGGCGCCGCTGATCTGACTGGCCTTCCTGATGAGGGAGATCTCGTACTCGTCCTTGATGACCCGGCACTCGTCTATAGCCTCGCCGAGGACGGTGAAGTCTTTGTTATTGAACTCTAGAAACGTTACCGCGTCCGACACGCGGTCGGCGATGGCGAAGACGGTGGAGTTGGGGGCGGCTCCGAGCCGGACTAGCGTCGGGTTGAGCTCGGTGGAAGGGAGGACGGCATCGACGTCGTACTTGGCCAGGGCCTCCTCGGGCGAGAGCGGCAGTCCGGACCAGATGACAGAGTCCGGGTCGACGGGAGGGATGAAGAGGGTGGAGCGCGCACTCGCGATGTCGTAGACGAGGAAGCAGTCGGCGACGTCGACGCCGGTCAAGTACATGAAGGCCCTGCGCTGCCGGAAGGGGATGGGCTCGTCGCTGTCCTCCAGCAACCGGTCGGAGCGGCCCTCGAGATAGAGCACGCCGGTGGCATCGGGGATCTTGGAGCGGATGTACTCGACGACGCGCTTCGCATGCGCCTTGGCCGGGTACTTGCCCCTCAGGATCGTCTCGACGTCGATATTAGCCGTCGACATTGCGCGCGCCCGTCGGTCTGTCGCTAGGCCGCTGGCCGTGAGTCTAATCGCACGATGGCGGGGGGCGACTACGCGATGCGGATGCGGGGTAGGTCGCGCGGGCGTGCTGGGGCGGGTGCACGAGACGAGATGGACGCAGGCGCGAGGTGGCGAAGGCGACGATGGTTTGGGCAATAATGGCTTGAATGCTGCGACGATGCGAGGCCGGATGGCGAAGAAGGCCGATAGCATGGAGATCCCCTGCGACGGCTCCCACGCTTTTAAAAGGTCGACGGATCGGGTCTTTTGGCGGTGCGACGTGCCTCGTCCCTTCCCCTCGTTGCTTCCTTCCTCGCCTGCGCAGTGGGGATGGGCGTCGGCTTTGGCCGGGACCTCTTATCGGTGCCAGTGCGGGGCCGATAACGTAGGTACCGGGAGGAAGCACCAGATCAGTGGGTTACTTAACGACGGATAGGTTCGATTCCTTTCTACGATGATGCTGCTTTCCAGCCTCTTCCAGCTTCGCATGCGACATCTGGCACCTGAGAACAAGGCAGATGGGGGTATCCGGGTATCATATATTAATGAGGCCGTAGATGTATGCGTCCCTTCTCCCATGAACGATCGCTTCAACCAAGAACCCGTAACTAGTATAATACAAGGCCCTACGTGCTGTGCCAGCCCGCCCGTCCGTCCATATGCGTAGATAATCCCAATATCTGCCCCCCCTTCTCGCTCACCCGTCAGTATCTTTCATCAGCGCTTGTCATACTTTTGTGTCCGCCCCGCCCCCGCCATGCTCGCGGTCTGTACTCTTCCAAGCCTCCCCGGCAGTTCGATTTATACCCAACAACCTCGCAACCTCGCCTCTTGCATCAATATTTCTCTCGTTAGACCGCCGTAGAAAGCCGTCATGCCGATCCGACCTGTGTTGGTTCCCTCGCCGAAGCACCTAGATCCAACGTCGGTATCTCCTCGTCCCCTGATATGCCGCTAAAGCCGGCGAGGCTATTGCCTTGCCTCAAGTCCTCCCAATGGCTGCGCAGAGCGTCCTCCCCAATGACCAATTCGAATCCGGTTAGGAAGCAGAAGCTGATCTCCAGTCTCGCCAGTTCGACCTCGCTCACGCCGCCGACCCGCGCAATCTTGGCGTGGGGATAACTTAGATCCTCGAGCGCCTTCATCGCCACCCTCAAGCCGGCCAGCAACAGACGGTGGCAGTTCCGCCGCGTCACTGGTATCGCTCGTTCTACGACGGCGAGCTTGAATATATAGTACGACGTAGCGAGGTATACCGCGGTCGACATGGGGCAAAACCGGTGTATGCGGAGGAGGTAGTCTTCGATGCTAATCCGCGGAGGCGCTTTGCTGAAGAACTTGCGCGTGATGGCACTATGCTGCAGGTTGAGCGGTTGCGAGTTGGCGCCGATGACTATGTAAGGCTCTGGGGTCCCGCGCGATAGTGGGGTTTGTCGGAGGCGAACTCCGTCGATGGGCTGGTTGGATGCAGCCCGAGTCTCGGCCTGCGCCTGCGCCTGCGCCTGCGCTTGAGCCTGCGCTTGAGCCTGCGCTTGAGCCTGAGCCTGCTCTCGCAGGCGGGCCAGATTCTTTTCGGAATGGGACCGGACGATCTCCGCCTTCTCCCTCTGTATATCGCGTATGTTGGGAATGGTGGGGCTCGTTGGGGGAGGTGTCGGGGGGATGTCTCCCGTCGCTCGCACGAGAGCTTCGATACCGGCGCCTAGTAATTTGAGGGCAGCGATCGGCGTCAACTTGAAGAGGTCGTGGGAGGACGGACTGGGAGCGGAGTGGAGCGGAGGCGGCGTTCGGGCTTGCGAAGCCAGTCGCGGGTCCGCCGAAGGATTGGGGGGCGGAGGGGGCGAGGTTGGACTTGTGCCGTCTCCCTCCTTCTCGGTCGCTTGCGACGCCTGAGCGCCCGATCCATCGGGGTTGTCCGCCATAGACCTGATCGCCTGTGGTTCCCTCCCCCCAAAAATTTTCCGAGTCTAAGAGAAGAGCGGATCGATAGAAATGACACCTAGAGAGGTGCAACGGAGCGCTCGTCTCGCAAAACACAGCGTCTGCCCCGGTTTCGATCGCCTTGCCGCCGGTGGCCAACAAAATCTGGCCTCGCAGACGCGTCACGAATTTCCTGCGCCACTGGATGTTCTTACCTCAGTCGACGAGGAACATTCGGGGGATCAGGCTTCGGTATCACACGAGCGCAAGTGCCGGGGTCGTCTCGTGCGGGCGACCAACACGTCGAAGGGGCGGGTAGTGGCGGCGCGGCGATTTGATGGTCGATAGGATAGCTCTGCAGCTATGTAGTTCTGCTCTCGCTGCTGCTGCTCGACATCAATCAACAGATCTGTCTAATCCACCTGATGTGGATAAGGGCAGTGGAACCATATTGATGATGAGCACGTGTTTTGAAGGGGGGGTAGTGGTGGTATCGTCGCAACGTATATTGCTACCAAAGACCGTCGACACGGAAGAGGAAGACGACGACCTGGATCGGGGGCGCGAAGGGCGGAGAGGGAGAGGCGGGCGAAGTCGAGATGGCAGAGGAGGAGAGAGAAGAGGGAGCAAGAGGTGGAGGCGGGCGCGGGCAGACGAGGAGTTGACAGGCAGACAAGGTGGTAAGGCAGGTAGGTACCCTATGTGGTAGGTAGGTGGGCAGGTGGGCAGGGAATACCAGCTCGGTTATGTAGGTAGCATTGCGAGGTAGGTACCTAGACAGTACCTACGTACCTACATAGAAGAAAGCCGGGAGAGCCTAGGCAGCCAAGACACCAAGGGAGAAACGTCGGACGAGTGGCAGCCCGACTTGAAGAGGGTTTCAGTGCTCTCCTCCCGTCTTTGTTGTTTCCATTGGCCTGTCGCGGCCTGGGTTGCCCAAGGGGAGCCGGCGGCAGGTGATGGATGCGCTGACCCCGCGCGCAGGGGAGCAGAGGCAGCTCGACACATGCCACCGCCGCCGAGTCGAAGGCGCCAATTATCGCAGGTAGAAAGGGTTGGGTGCCTGATCCAGGGACGTGCTCGGTCCCTACATTGCCCACGTATGGGTGCACGCCGCCCAGGAGGCTAAGCTGCCTCCCTGCCCTACCCTAGGCGGCTTTATGCATCTACCCTACCTCTCATGCTCGCGCCCGTCGACACGCGCATGCATGCATTGTCATGATCCTCGCGCTATACGATTACAATTGGCAAATGCGCACAGTTAAGGTGGCGGACTTGTGAGTAGTAGTATCTGCAAGGTTCCATCCATGCCGTCCCAACGCGTGGCCGTGTGCTACCCAGTTTACCGTCGGGGGAGTGTTCGGGGTCAGGCACCGCTCACGTAGGCACGTACGTTGCCTCCGCGAGCTTGTTGAGTCCCGGCCGCCGCGAAAGAGGTTCTGGCCCGATGCCCAAACTCGGGCGACTCGGACCCTGGGCTAGGCACCTTGGCCTGTAACGTTGTTGGGGCGTCCACATGGTGCCGTAGATTTGGGATCCAAAAGGGAAAGAAAACGTAGCCAGGGAGGTGTATAGGTACTACGCATGCCTGTAGGTTGGGCAAAGACTCAGACAAAGAGCCGCCAATGCGAACGATCAACATCGTGAACTCGAACTCCAAGCGGTGCCGCCCCGGTGGACCGGGTTGCCCCCTCCAATGCTTCGGCGTCCCGTAGGTTGCGTCCGAAGGGGTCTCTCCAGCAATGCCTTATTCAAGCCTGTCTACGGTTGGTCATGTACATCTGACCCTCAGGGGAACAACGCGTTTGCAGGTCTTCAGAACAGCCAAAACCAGCCCAGACCCGATCGAAAGCCCGCAAGTGCTCCGCTATCATGCGACGCAGTATGTACACTCCACGCCACACACATGCACACTCATCCGTGTACCTACCTGTATGTACGCACAGTACTCGCATATGTGGGCAGGTATACCTATCATATCGTCGCCGAGCCTGTTCCGTTCGAAAGAGTTGGATCGGCAGACGCTGCGCCAACGAGAAGGGGAAGCTCAAGTCGCTTTTGGTACGGCATCGTCGAGGAGTTGTCTATCAGCGAGAGACTACTTGCTCGACGTCGGCCAGAAGAAGCAGCATATCCACTCGCCCATGTCATCCCGACCAACCAACCCAACCCACCCAATATTAACTGACGAAGACTCGCAAAAGCAGGTAGCGAAACCAGAGGGATCCTCCTCGCCTCTTTCCCCATTCTCTACAGACAAGTCGCTTCACCACCCTAGGCAAATAACGTCCGCTTGACGAGTGCGACCGGCCGGCAGAGACGATCGCAGTCAGCACGCGGCAGCGGCACTTCTCGTCCCCGCGATACGCCAGCACTCGTAGTGATCGGCGCAGTCCTACTACGCACATACCCACCTCCATCAGGTTCGTTGCTCTTATGTAAGTAGGTATAGGGAATTGATGGATAACCCCCGCGGAGGGCAGCTCTCAGTGAGTAAGTGCGCAGTGGTAGTGCGACGCATCCTGCAGAACCTGCCCATTGCCCAGCGAGCCTATACCCGGACCGGAGGCGCACCGTCGGCGCTACTACTCCATGCATCGCCCGCAGCGAGCTATGGCCGCGCGCTCATAGGCCCCGTTAGCAGAAGACGATCACGAGCGCCGCGGTCGCAGCCGCAACCTCTCGACCGAAGCTCCTTAGCTCGCTCTCGTCGCGCGCGCAGCGGGAAGCGCTAGACCGCAGGCCCCTCGCCGCCGACCTGAGGGGGAGGAGGTGGGGGAAGATGAGGAAGCGAGCTTAGCACTAGAGCGCGCGCCTTTTATCGCTCAGACAAGGGGAAAGGCGGGGGAAAGGCGGGGGGGGGTGAGTTAAGCACCGGTTGGCCTCGGCTCGCTCGCGTGCCCGTCAGGCGCCCCCAAGAATACCGACCTTAGGCTATCGAACAATGCCCTCGAGAAGGAAAAGGGCAGAGAGCCCGGGTTTGGGTATCCCGCGATCAGTCCTGCGTGTCTAAACGGGGTAAAGAGAGATCGGCCAAGCGTTGCCAACATGATCGATCTAGCGTCGTAGATGGCGCAGTGTAGTAGTGGACGATGTTGTGTTATTGGCGGCCTGATTCTCCGAATTTAGTTGTTTCATTTTTTATAAAAAGTAAAAAAAGAAAAAACCGACAAGTATCGGCGATCCGCCACGGAGAGAAGCGGGGAAGACCTCGGGTGCATTGGTGACGACGGACCGTTGCTCTGAAGAGACGCTACGACAGCGCACCTAGATAAGATGCCCTATCAGGGCCGATGCGAATAAGAAGCGAGTTGGCCGAACAGGGGAAAGAAATAGGAAGAAAAAACGGTGGAAAGATGGAGGGGAGACGAGACAAATAGGTTGATACTACCGCCCAGCTACCCAGAAATGTACTATGTAGGTACCTAGGTAGTAGGAGGCAGTAAGTAGGAGGTAGGCAGACGTGAACCCAATCTTCGTCGCAGGCCTTGTAAATCGAATAGGATAGGTCTCGAACTCGCCAGCACCTCGCGACGCAACGAGCCGGCATTGAATGTGACGCCCATAATACCACCCAGGCAGAGCAACGACGAAAATAATAAAATATTTGTCGTAGAAAAGAGTGGCGAGGTGGGGGTTGTCCAGGCCTTTTGGCAGTCCGTAGATACCTATATATGATGAAGCCTAACAGGTAGTTATCTATGCTGTCTGATTCGACTTCCTATCCTTGGGTTACGCAAAGAGGATAATCTCGTATACAGGGATACCTCCACAAGCCTCTACATACCTACCAGCCAACCTGCTCACAGCAAGCCCCGCTATCATACCTTCAAACAGCTGGGGCCAGGAACTTCAGAGATTCACCTCCCCCCACTCTCTCAGCCGCCGTCGCCGTCCCTGTCGGCGTCTCATCGGACAAGTCTGCCCTGCCCTCGCGCTACCGTCCCGCCTTGAACCGATTAGCAGCCGAGCGTGACCTTGCAGTCCAGCACGGCCGTCCGCCCGCCCTGGACGACCTTGATCGCCTCGCGGATGGTGCGCTCCAGGTCTTGCGCCTTGTCGACGCGTGCGGTGAATATCTCTCCACCAGCCGCCGCTTTGGCGATACCGCCGTAGTCCGGCACGGGGTCGAACGAGATGTTGATCTCCTCGTTGGTTGCCTTGGAGCCCAGTCCGTCCGGGTGCACCAGGAGCATCGACTTCCGGGGCGCGTTCCAGCCTATAGTTGACGCTTGTCAGTAGGTATCCCTTTTCACTCATTGAGAAGGGGTTGTAGCAACAACCACGCGATGGAGCGATATATAAATCTATTGTAACCCCCGGTGATGATTAGTGAAAGAAGCATGTGGGCCAACTCACCCTTGTTATTGAGCACGACGGTCAGGACGGGGATGTTGTAGCGCCGAGAAATCCAGTATACGCTCCCGGGAACCGAGAACAGGAACGTCCCATCGCCAACGATCTGCACGACAAACTTGCCCTTGCCGCCGTTCAGGGCGTCGGACGCGAGTTTGATACCGAGCGCGCCGCCCCCCGACCACCCGAGACCGCCTCCGCCGCAGTTGATCCACGAGCCGGGAAGCTCGGGCCGTATGTTATCGTGAACGAATTGTGTGTTCGTAACCGCCTCGATAGCCCATATCGTGTCTTGCGGGCACAGCGAGCGGAGGGTTCTGGACAGGTGACCCGAGCCGAATGAGCCGTCCTCCGCTGGTTTTGTGAGGGTCAGGATGTCGGCGAGACGCTCCTCATAGGACGCCTTGAGCGCATCCCACTTTTTGGCAACGACAGCAGCATCGAGGCTTGGGGCCAGGCCCTTGGCGTCCGAGGTAATCTGCTCGATGCTGATGAGGGCATCGGCGCGATATCGGCGCTGGGCCGGTACGTAGAAGACGGGCATCATCTGTTTGAGCGGGTCGACGTCGATATGGAAGATCTTGATACCCTCCTTGGGCCTGTTGCGCGAGGTAATCCAGGGCACATCGCAATCTAGTAGTACGATGACGTCTGATTCCTCGATGGCAGGATCAAGGCCGAATCGGAGACCGAGCCAACCGGGATGCGACGCGGGGAAGCACATGTCGCTGCCGCCGGTATCGAGCACGCGTAACCCCTTAACGGTATCGGCCAACTCGACGAGGGCGCTTGGAATCTTCTGGTTTCGGCCGGAGAAGCCGGTGATGAGCAGGGGACGCTCTGCTCCGAGTAAAGCCTCGGCGATCTCCTTGGAAGCCTTGGGCGTCAGTCCGCCCAGCACAACCGGATCCCAAACCCCCTGCTCGAGCGAGTAGGGCTCGATCTCCTCCTCCATGACCTCTCTCGCGCCAACCAGGTACACGGGGCCCTGGGGGGCGCTCGTGGCGAACTGCAGGGCTCGGTTGACCATCTGCTTTACATTTTTGCCCGTCTTAAGCTCGGCGGCATACCGGCAGTACTGGCCGATGATCTGCTTCTGGTCGGGCACATCCTGGATCCAGTGGATGTACTCGGTCCGCGAGCCGCGCATCTCTCCCTCGATCGTGTAGGGGCTCAGGCCAGCAAACACGAGAACAGGGGCGCGGCCAGTGCTCGCATTGTGGACGGCGGCGCCGAGGCCTTGCGTACCGACATCGACGTGCACGATGACGCACTGCGGCTTTCCGGTCAGACGCGCGTAGCCGTCGGCCATCGACATAGCAACCATCTGCGGTTTATCCGCCCGATGTCAGCCAATTCTGCCCTTAATTAAATAAAAAAAATAATAAAAAAAGACGAGCAGCGCGTTCCATCTGCACAGCTGACCCCTCCCATACCTCGTTAGGACAAGTGATGACACGCGGGAAATTCCCCTTGCTCTCCCTCTGGCCCTTCACCATGGCCTCGATGATGCTGGGATGATCCGAACCCAGATTGACGAAGCAGTGAGAGACGCCAGCCTCCCACAAGGCCTCGAAGAAGCCGAACGACGCCGTGTACATTTTGGCGATCCTGTAGGGTTGGAGAATCGGGGATAGGCGGTGGCCGGTCGGTCTTTGCGAGACGGCGACTCTCTATTCTTGCTTCTTTCTCGGTCTCTCTCGACGAGGATGGGAATCGACCCTCGACCTCTATCCGAATTACTGTATGCTCTAGCTGGTGCAAAGATTGGGTAGGGGGCTTCGCAAAACTTGGTCTCGCGATCACGGGAACGGGTCTATTATACGACGCCGATCCATAGTGCTAGCCGACTTGCGCACTACTCCGAGTCGATCAGCGCGTAGAGGGCGGGTTCACGAACCAGGCGGCTTCCATTGGCTGGGTCATGGCAAGCCAGTCTCTTGCCGAAGGCAGCCCCTCCGTGTCGATTGCACGCGGTACCTTGGACGGGAGCGGTCTCGGTCCACGAGGACGGGATTGGAGAGGGCAGAATGGGGTTGCATCTACGATGGTAAGCAATGAATGAATGGCTTGGGAGCGCCGGGTGGGAGATCATCTAGCCGACGCCTCCGACGCGCAATGCGGGGAGAGAGAGGATAAGTGGCATCCACGAAATGTCGGAGATACCTAAAGGCAGATACCTAAGGCAGATATCCAAGGTACCTAGGTACCTACTCTTACCGGCGAAGCGTCTTGCTCCCCACGCAGAGCGCCTAATACCTTAGGTACCCCCTACTTTTATATCGGCACCTCCATCTACTCGATACATGTGCTATTACCAGGAGGTACACAATTGTTGCTAACATTTAAACATGCCTACCTACCTAGGTAGGTAGGCACCTCTAGGTAGGTACTTTAAGGTGATGATGGCGATGATGGATTTTTGTCCCGTGGCGTCAAGGTGAAGTGGGGGAAGAAAGATGTTAGGTACCTGACGAGATTACGTGATAGGAGCGGGGATGAGATGGGCGGGGTCAGGGATGGATGGGGTCTGGCCTCCTGCCTAGGTACCTAGGTACCTCCTACGACGTGGGTGGATATGAGGTAGGTACATACATTGTACCTACTCCGTTTGTTAGGATCTATTTTTATAGGTGGTAGGCCTTATTAAGAGGTACATGTATTTACTGAGTCTTAGAGAAAATGGGGAATGACCGCATAGTTTCAATTGACGAGAGGTTACCTATATAGACACACACCAGGCATACACACTCCGTAGTACATACCTACTCCCTGTATTCTAGCCTTCTTTGGTAATGGGGCTGGGTCGGGATTCTCTCAACCGCAGGGAGGATGGGGGGTGAGATTGGAGACATCGGAGGCTTGACGCCGACCGGGTTGATCGGAAGGGCGCACGGAACGGTAAGACTCGCTGCGCTGTTCTCCGAAATCCGTCAAGATGATCGGTGATTCTGTTGCCCGCATCTCGTCGAGCGAACTCGAGAGGGTCCAAAGAGGAGGAACGAGCTTAGCTCGGTGTCGAGTACGTAATACTACATATGAGTAGGGGTAGGGCTGAATGATTGGGAGGGAAGCGCCCTCGCTCTCTATACCTACCCAGGCAGGTGCCCATATATGGGTATACAGAGCCGAGCACGATGTTGGGAATGGCCATAGAAGAAAGCGTGGTGCCCACAAATTGACGACAATATCGCCGCAGGCTGAGAACACCCAAGTCACACTAGGTAGGTACCTATCAATATCCCGCGGCCGATGTACCTACCCAACTAAAAAGCCACATCGCGCCAGTATAACGCCCTGAGGCGATTCTAGTAGACAACACAACGGCATTCACCTTCGTGACCGTGTGGGGGCGGAAGGCTCATCCCCACATGGCCATGGGGTCGAAGTCAACGGCCGCTATGTATCGATGTACCTCCAACGGCCGTTACAGCAGGCAAAAGGAGATCCGGCCGGTTGCTTGAGGTACGTACCTACATCGGATCTGGACAGACACAACATTGCGTTACCCCGAAATGCGGCCTCACACCTACACCGAATGCCAGCACATCGGCTCAACCTATTTGATATAGCCTAGATGTGAGCACGCCGAGGTATTCTAGATCTGAGCTCCTGCCTCTACTGCCTAGAGGTACCTAAGGTTGCAAATAGGCGCAAAAGTGGCAGTCGATGGGACCGGATTAGATTACAGGGAGCAGCCTTGAAAGTGGACAACAATAAATCCCGGCAGAGGGCCTGGAACGGGCTCCCGATGCTGTGTCACACAGCGCACGATCTGTTACCCTTTCTCTGGGATGCGGCAACTGATTGAGGGCGAGCATGGGTAACGAAGTAGGAGAGAGACAGGAATAGAATGGGGATATAGAGAACCACGAAAAATAGGGGCGAGCTGCCTCTCTGGGCATGCCACGGCGTAGGAGAGCCCAGCCAGCGTTTTTTTTTTATCTCGAACCGGGCCATCCGAATTCTCGATTCGCCCCGTAACAGCACGCTCTGGGAAACAACCCCAGGCGCGCCGGATGTTACCCGCCAGAGGGAGCCCACGAATCAGAGGTGGGAGATCCATCCCCAGAATGCCCTGGTGGATCTCTATGCGAACACGGGCCTCTTAGCGGTCTTGGATGGCACCACACATCGATTGTTAGCTGTTTAGCATGTCTAGCATCCACTGTCCAGCATCCACTGTGGCCCCCCGCCTTTCTCTTGCCTCGCCCTCCTCCCTCTTCCTCTCCCTCCCCCCCTCCGTCTTGGTCGACGGCCGCGTGTTCGTTAGCATGACATGACATCCCCGACACACCCATCCGCTGCCGTACTGCGGGCGGGAAATCAGGCTTCCGGTACCATCATGTCCTATCAGCGAGTGTGTGGTTTTCTCGGATGTCTGTCTATTCGAGCGGTTCAGAGCATGCCTGCCCCCGTCTAACCTACATAAACAGTCACAAGTTGAAGGCCCGATGACGAGGTCACCCGTCCGGCCAGGTCCGCACGTCTGTGGTTTGTCGTTTGTCCTGGTTGTTCGTATTGGGGCCAGTTGCAATTTCCTTATGCGTCAGGCCTCCGCCAGCGCGCAAGCGCTGAGGCGATGAAAGCGACGAAACCACGGCGCAAGCAAACCACCACATCACGGCAAACCCCCCCTGTCGTCGCCTATCCCGGCAACTGAAGGCATCGCGTCGATGGTGACTGGCCTATGGCCGGTCGAGGATCCAATGCGCGCGAGACGTCCGTCCAGACTTGTTAGCCTTTCTTCGCCAGGAGGTGCCGGGCTCACCGTAGGATTGGCTGGTCGACCTGGCCGGACGCCAACGGACAGCGACGATGACTAACCTACGCCGCCAGCGAATCCCGCGGGCCCGTCCAGCTGGAGTGGTCACGCTAAGAGAAGAGCCTGCTAAGAGCCTGCCGTACAATGCCAAAGCTGCGTGCAATGTGGATCGGTAATTAACGCGCTGGAGCTTGGCTGAGGGGGGAAATCCCCCTGGTCGAAAGCCCTGTCGCCCGTCGCCCCGTCGCCCCGTCGAGCTCCCCATTGGGCAAGTAGTTATCTGTCCCGCGAAACGACGATATTACCGACATGCCAGGGCAACCTAATCAATAAGAAACGGTGACGAGAACCGGGTTAGTTGGGTTAACGGGCAGACTGGGCTAGCCAGGTAGGTTGCAATCGACTTTTAATAAGTTGGTGCCGCCTCCCCAATCGCTTCCATACCTGTCGAGCCTCTCTCTTTCCTCAAGCTCCCCCTCCTCGCTCTTTTCCTAGGGATCGGGTTCATCTTCCTCTTCTCTAGAGCTCCTACCACCGCAGATCTCGTGCCTCCCTCCCCATCATATATGTCTTTTGTTGTTGGTTAGCATCATGGGACAAGCACCGAGCAATCCGCTGTCAAGCTGCCTTAATGCCGTCTGCAACGGCCGCAGTAACTGCGTGGCGTACCCCGACCACCCCCTCTACCAGATCTCCTGGGTCAACCGGTACAACCTCGACATACCGGTCGAGCCGATCGCCGTGACGAGGCCACAAACCGCCCAGGATGTATCGGATTTCGTAAAGTGTGCCGTCACCAACGATGTCAAGGTGCAGGCAAAGTCCGGTGGCCATTCCTACGCGTAAGCCCACCGCGTTTCCTCCCGAGCTGGCACGTTCGGATCTTCCGGGATTTTAGGCTAACGCGATGGTAGGAACTACGGTATGCACAAAGACAGACCGAGACGAGACCCCGCGCGGTGGAAAGGAGACTAACGCGTAGGTAATAGGCCTAGGCGGACAGGACGGCGAGCTTGTCATCGACCTCGTCAACCTCCAGGACTTCTCCATCGATCGAAATACGTGGCGAGCGACCATCGGCGGCGGTACTCGACTCTCCAAGGTGAGCGACCTGCTCCACGACAACGGCAAACGGGCAATCTCGCACGGAACCTGCCCTGGTGTGGGCATCGGCGGCCACGCGACGATCGTAAGTTGTAACGTGACCTATCGCCGCGCGCACGTTCTCTGCTAACGGCACCGCTGCAAGGGTGGACTCGGACCCTCCTCCCGCATGTGGGGGTCCTGTCTTGACCACGTTGTCGAGGTCGAGGTCGTGACCGCAGATGGCTCTATCAAGCGGGCTAGCGAGGCCGAAAACAGCGATCTCTTCTTTGTACGTCTTTCTGTCGTGCCTATCCTCCCCTCCTGCTCTGCTGCTCACACATAGACAACAAAACAGGCGTTGAAGGGTGCCGGCGCAGGTTTCGGTATCATCACTGAGTTCGTCGTGAGGACGCATCCGGAACCTGGCAACATCATCCAGTATTCGTTCTCGCTCACGTTCGCCAAGCACTCGGAGCTAGTCCCTATCTTCCGGCAATGGCAGGAGCTCATCTCAGACCCGAACCTCGATCGGCGATTTGGCACCGAGTTCGTGATGCACGAGCTCGGCGTCATAATCACGGCCACATTCTATGGAACTGAGGAGGAGTGGAAGGCGACTGGCATCCCCGACAGGATTCCCACCGGCAAAGTCTCCGTCGTCGTCGACGACTGGCTCGCCGTCATCGCCCAGCAGGCCCAGGACGCTGCCCTCTGGCTTTCCGAGATACGCAGCTCCTTCACAGCGCGGAGCTTGGCGTTCCGCCCCGACGAGCTGCTCTCCTTAGACACAACCACCAAGCTCATGAACTATATCGACCGTGCCGACCGCGGTACGCTTCTCTGGTTCCTGATCTTCGACGCGAGTGGCGGTGCCATCAGCGACGTGCCGATGAACGCGACTGCCTACTCCCATCGCGACAAGATCATGTTTTGCCAGGGTTACGGCATCGGTATCCCGACCCTATCTCAGAACACGAAGAATTTCATCGGCGGCATCATCGACACGATTCAGGGAGGTGCGGCGCAGGCCCTGACGACATATCCCGGCTACGTCGATCCGAACCTGCTAAATCCCCAACAAGCCTACTGGGGCCCCAACCTCAACGCTCTGGGTCAGGTCAAGGCCAAGTGGGATCCTAATGACGTCTTCCACAACCCGCAGAGTGTGAAGCCGGGAGCGGCGGCGAGCTCGTAAGGCGCAGGCAGATTTAGGAGTTGATACCCCTCCCCCCCCTCTTCACATTAATAATGTCGCAGTAGCACCTAAAGTAATGATATCTCCTTTGAAACATACTCTCGTGAACTCGCGAACCGGACGAGTGGTGATTCGTCGGCTAAAGGCGCGTATGCTCCCTCGTTGTATCCCGTCTGGGCCACCGAGGGTATTCCAGATGGATCATTTCTGCCTTCGTGGCGCCGTTAGCGATGCTTCTTCGTAGGGCTTGGTGGAATGTATACCAACGCGTTTCGTGCGTTCCGATCTCGAAGTTGCTTGCTCGCCTGCCTACCTGTATCGGGGAAGCCGGTTGACGAGGTGCTACTCTCCGCCAGGAACAGGTGAACGTCGATCATCACAACAGGGAAGCCGATTCATCCGGCGGCAAGGCGGGCGCCCATGCTTCACCTCTCATCCCTAGCCAGGTCCTACAATATCTCGACCAGGTAAGCTGATCAAGTCACCAAGTCGCTGCAGCGCTGCGCCACGTCGAGCGGGCGAGTCGAGTCGAGGGCGCTATACGCAATACACGAGTCGCCCCAAGACGGGACAAGACGGCATCGGCTGGATAATAACTCGGACACCGGCATTTTTAAGGTGCAGTCCTAGGAGAACAGCTGCAGGATGACGCTTCTACACGAAATATCAAAGATTTATCGCAATGTGTTGCATGGAGAGAATTTGACCGAGGAGGCCGTATAGGCTGACACTGTACCTTCGGTTGGACACAACAGTGACATACGGCGTACAGATAGCACACGGCATCAACTGTAACGAATACCACGTAGCAACAGACACCTGTGGCCACGGCACAACGCATAGTGTGTTCGATGTCAATACTCGCATGGTAGGTGGGCAATGTCTTAGCCATCGCACGCCGATCTCCTGACGGCTGTACTCCCTACGAGACAGTCGAGCTATGATCTCTAGGGGTATATGTTTCGTAAGGAGGGGGGGGGGCATAATCTCTTGCCCCTATTATTCCCTCCAGCAGAGCCAAACAAGTTTAGAAAGGACAGATAAGAAAGAAAGAAAAAAAGAGAAAATTTTGAAAAATTTTTGTCATTTTGGTGGACAGTGGCGAGATCAACGAAGAGCACATACCTGGCAATTTTAATAACGTACTCCTGAGTTCCGGGAAATATTCGTAACACGGCGAGGGGATGTGCTCGCTTCGTCGATGGACCGACCCTCTCCCACATCCCCCTTACTCATCGAAGTATTCATGCTCGCAGCAGAGATCGAAACGGAGTAGCGATGATGCCGTCTGGCTACACGTCTCTCTCGTTTGTATCGCCGCCTGCCGGTTCCCTCTCCATCTTCGCCTCTCTCTCCATCTGTCTCTCTTTAACATCACATACCGCGAACTCTATCGTAATTCTACATAGCAGGGACAGCTCGCGTCGGCTTCCCCTGTTGGGACGTGCGGTGGCATTGGCTACCTAACACAGTTCTGTACATATACGTACTTGCGGGAGGGGAGAGGAAAAAATATTTTTTAATGAAGAAATAAAAAACAAGCATTACCAAGACCTGGACGCCCACCGAGGTTGACGGCGCCAACTACATTTGTACATACATCTGTATGTAGGTGTTGACACTAGGCTGGTTGAAACTCCCGTCTTACCGCCTGGCGCTGGTTGTTGACGATTATAATGTAGGGGTCTCTGATATAGCGCCCTGCCCGACGATACGTTTCGTTCAAGCCCAATTCAATCCCTGCATTAAGCCAGCCATCTTAAGACTGAGAATATTCCTTGGGAACAGGTCCCGATGCAAGGGGCAGGGTCCCTCTTCTTCTCTATCTACCGGGATAATACCGACATGGTAGAAAACCAATCACCGAACACGTACTAGGTAGCAAGTATCATCGCCTTTTGGACCCCTCAACACCACGCCTAGATATCGCGAGCGGGACGCCCAGATAACGGAACCATGCCATCGAAGATGAGCCAAGTCCGATCACTTCCATTGCAACCCAACCAGGACGAGAAGGGAGGGGATACAATTACATACGCGCATAGACTCGGTAGCCGGTCAAGAAACTACGGAGGCGGCTTACCTGAGCACATCGTGCCAGTGTCGTTCGTGGCGGATGTGTCGGTCCCTTTGCGCCAAGCCCCTGCACATTCTGCACCGCCCTTCCTGAAGCTTCAGCTTTCACCGGGGGAAGGGGGGGGACACGTCTCCGCCAAGAATACCTTGACGGGGAGGGGGGCGGTTGTCGGTGATAGACCGATGCCAGAGTAACGTGCGGATTCATCGTCGAGTTGTATATGCGTAACGCAGGTATAGATAGCTATATAAACGAGCAGGCATGTGAAGAAGCCGCCAAGAGACCCTCGGTGGCGCTTCGGCAGGAATGGCCAAGGCCTCACATCCGGGAGTTATGCAACGGAAATGAAGTCGGGCGGCGAAGATGGAAGGTCGTTGTGGGATGCCGATGGTGCCGATCCGCGAATCCCAACGGCCGCCTGCGCTCGTTCTCGGGGAGAGGCAAACCAGTGGGAGCAAACAGACAGGATGCCAAGCGTGATTAACAGAGTGTAACTGTCCCTCCGCCCGCCTAGAGCAGCATGTAAGCTGGTCTGGAAAGGGGGAGGGGGGAGCACATTGGCCAGGCCGTTGATCTGACAGGTTGCGACGAGATGCAGTGCCAGCTATCCATTTCACTGATCGGCCTGTTTATGCGTCCGACTTCGTTGGCGGGCAGCACCGGAGAGCCTATGCGTGTGTGAGAGAAAGGAAGTGAGAGAGAGAGAAGTGTTTCGAACATGCCACTGTCTTCACACCTACCCACTATATCGATACGCACAGCCTGAGGATCTGCGCAGCTTCAGCCACCAACCGGGCGGGCCACAACGAGCAATATCTTTCGACGACAGAGAGACAGAGAGAGAGAGAGAAGGCTGTCAAACTCCGGACACTCCTGATACGCGAGAAGCGTCTACGGCGAACTCCGGCGGCCTCTTCCGCGCAGCAGTCGTCGCAGGGACGAGGAGACCCAGCGAATCGGGTCGCCGCGGTGTGATAACTCGATCCACTGTAGCACCCGCGAGTCCGCGCGCACGCACGGGAGAGAGGGTGGCTGACGGGCACGAACCTCGTCGACGGCGACAACCGTAGGTAGCATCGAGTTTCGGCTAGAACGTTCGCGGACGAGTGTCCCGAAGAGGGCAACGACAGCGAAAGCAGGGACGGCAGCGGAACTCGGAGCCCTGGTCGGTATCGAAACGGGGAGGAGAGGGGGGGAGAGATAGAGAGATAGAGAGATAGAGAGATAGAGAGATAGATGAGAGATAGATAGACCTTACTCATTCACACGTACAGAGAGAGCGACGGACGAGGAGGAGGGATAGAAAGAAACACATTGGTTCGCATCCGGGCCTTGGCACGCGTCTGGGCAATCTCCCGCGCATGAAGCTGGCTAGATAAAAATATCCCGCGCGCTGCGGGCGCGCCGCCAAGACGGCGCCGAGATCCACATCGAGTCTGTTTCGCATGCGAGGGCACTTCCCTCCCCCGGTCCTCTGCGCGCGGGAGGAAGAAAGGGAAAAGAAAGAGAAGAAAGAAAGAGAGAGACGAAAAAGAAGCTCGCAGGGGTCGCGCGCGCGACAGGGTCCCGGAGACAGTGCCGGCTCTTGCTGCCCGAGAGATCCACAACACCGCCCCCCTTGCCTGCTGCGACATGGGCAAGCCTGGAAGAGATCTACCGCCGCCGGCCGCTGCACGTGTACATCATGTACGTGTGCGAGCGTGTACGTGAGATAGAGGCTGGGCCTGCGTAGCGCATGTGTGCGCCATGCAGACAGGTACGTGGGTATGTAGGTATGGGTATACTGACGTGAGTGGTGTATGTACGCGTGTAGGTGCGCAAGTAATATACCTATGCGCGTCTGTATGTATGTATGTATGTATGTTGGTATTATACCTAGCATACGCACACGTCTTGCTATCCCTCGGTGCGAACTTGCGTGTTGTTCATATAAGTGCAGGCTAGTTGTACCTACATGAGTATGTCTAGAGGAGGCAGATCGGAGCCACTATTGGACGGCGGCCCAAGACAAGAAGGTCTTGGCTTGCCCACCGTTCATTGCCTCATTAAGCGTCGACCACGGTAGGACGGATGCCGAGCCAGGCTCACTTGTGGCTGGCAGGCAAGGAAGATTCCCAGAAGTTCGCGCGACGTGTGCTGCCTGGGTGTGCCTGTGCGTGTTGATTTGTTGAGCGTCCGTGTGGACTCGTGTAATTCGAGAAAAGCCTGTCGAGAAAGGTTCGTGACGCTCGTAGCCGTGAAGCATCATCATCATCATCATCGTGTGAGGGCCTTCCTGTTGGTTGCTCGTCGCCGAACAGGCCGGATCTTTTCGGAATCACCCTCGCCTTCAGCGACCCAACGTCCTCCCTCCCCCCCCCCCCTTTTTTTTCTTTTTTCCCTCCCGTCAACAACGCCCCATCAATGTCGCAGGGCCAAGGCGGAGCCAAGAGTTTACTATTATTGAGGCTCAAGCCCCCCCCCGGTCCCGGAGCCACACAACCCAGTCTCGGCCAGGGTAGTTAGGGCCGCCATCTCGATTTTCGTTGCGCCCAAGGTCCACCCGGCCTCAGTCGTCTTCACGCTTGACGTTTGACGTTCGCCGCCAGGAAACATCTGTTAGGATAACGATAGACGCGGCCCACTGGGCGTCTCTCGTCGCACCGTGAGGCTCCCGTGCTGATCTTCCTCGCGCCAAGAGCGCCATATGCTATCGTCACTGCTAATCTCTGACAGAGTAACGAAATGACCGACAGAGGGTGTCTCGTCTAGAGAGGTGTGAGTTGGGTATGCAAGTACGCGCGTGTATGTGTGTGTGTGTGTGTGTGTCCCGTGGGCCGTGGCTGTCGCGGTTTGGCGAACCAGAGAGAGGGACCGGGGAAGGGAGGGTTCTATTTTCGACGCTGTCGTCGTTTCTGGTACACAGTGAGCTTCATAATCCCCGTCCACGTCGTCGTCGTCTTCTCCTCATTCTTACCACTGCAGGTCACGCACAAGAGATATCCCGCAGCGGATGCTCGTCAGATCCGGTGAGGGCTAAATTGATCTCGACATGAGCCGGGAGATGGAATGTATGTCCAGGTTGGGTGGACGGTGGAAGCTTGCGGATCCATTCCACTACACATCTGTCTCATTGGGCACCGTCGAAGATCGCAATGGAAGCTCGGTCTTCTTCACGCGGCCTTGGCTCGACCACCTACCCAGGTCCTCCGGCATGATTCGGATCCCAGGAGATGCCCATCGTGGCCCATCGTTGGTTGTTTCCCTCTTCCCAGATATGTTTTCCCTTCTTGGCTTGTCCCAAACAAGGGGCTGTGGTCCCAGTCTATCACACAGTCGTCGTAATTGCCCACTCTCCTCGGACCTAATACCAAGAAATTTGTTTCTGTGGTGCTACTCGACCTTCTTTTGTTTTTGGGTATTTCATCTCGGGGGGCCGGTGTCCCATCTCTGGAATCTTTCCTGTTTTTCCCTTTTCCCATTAGCTCCTTTCCCTTCGTCTAATTCCTCTGGGTAGTTCGTGTGGCTTGTTTACCCTTTTCTTCTTCTTCTTCTTCTCTCTGCTCTTCTTTCTTGCCGGCCCCTTCAAAACGGACCGTTAGTATTCGTCTGTGTGCCAATGGAGCGGTCGCAAGACAATACTCCGTCCTCTGCTGAGGCCGTGTCGTATCCGGCATCAGGACACTCGTCGTCGCCCCCCGACTCGGAGCGGACGACAACGGGGCTATACATTACGACGTATTCGGACAATAAGGGACATGAAGGGCAGACGGCGGGCTCGAATGCCAACTCAGCCGCCAGCTCCATGATCGAGGGCAAGGAAGGCCATAGCAACAACTCCGAGCGAGGAGGCCGTGGACATAGCGAGCACATAGATATTTACGACCCGAATCGACCGAAGTTGGGAATCCGCCAGAGGCTGCACCATTTCACATGGGCGTGGTTTACCTTGCCTATGAGTACGGGCGGGTTGTCGTTGCTGATCCACGCCCAACCTCATCAGTTCCCCGGGCTTCGACAGATCGGCTTATTCGTTTACATCGTCAATATCGTCATATTTGTCCTCCTGACCGCTGCCATGTTAGCACGATTCTTCCTGCATCAGGGGGACTTTTACAAGTCTCTGTCTCACCCTCGTGAGGGCTTCTTCTTCCCAACGTACTTCTTGTCCATCGCCACCCTCATCACCAGCACTCAGCGCTACGCCATTCCGGAGCACGACACGCCGCTCGTATGGGCCATCCAAACCGCCTTCTGGGGCTATGTGATCATCACACTCATACTGGCCGTCGGCCAGTACAGCTTCGTATTCGCAAAGCACAATTTCGAATTGCAGACCATGATGCCGACCTGGATCTTACCCATCTTCCCCATCATGCTGTCGGGGACGATCGCTTCCGTCATCGCGCATACGCAGCCCGAAATCTCAGCCGTGCCTATTGTCGTCGCTGGCATGAGCTGCCAAGGGCTAGGACTATCGGTCGCCATCATGATGTACGCGCATATGGTCGGACGTTTGATGTCAGCAGGTATGTGATATTACCGGGTCCCCCCCCCCTCGGGGGTCAACGTGGGGATGTGGCTGTAACTAATTCAAGCCTCCAGGTCTTCCCAATCGCGAGCACCGCCCTGGGCTATTCATGAACGTGGGCCCGCCAGCATTCACCGCGCTGGCTTTCATCGGTATGGCGAATGGCCTCCCCGAGAACTTCGACAGGGAGATGGACGGAATTGTTGATGCGCATATCATCCGGACGTTTGCTCTCATCGGCGCCATCTTCTTGTGGACCCTGTCCCTCTGGTGGTTCTTCATCGCCTTCATTGCCGTGGTGGGCTCCCGTCCCAAGTACTTCCATCTGGGTTGGTGGGCCATGGTTTTCCCCAACACGGGCTTCGCTTTGGCGACCATCTCGATCGCGAACGAATTGGGAAATGCAGTGGTGCAGTGGATATCAACGGCGATGTCGATCTGCCTACTTGCCACGTACTGCTTCGTCTTGTACAGCCACATCAGGGCTGTCATCGTCCAGGACATCATGTACCCTGGACGAGACGAAGATGTCAACGACCATTAAATCACATAACACCAACACGCAGTTTGTTCTCATTATTTTTTTCTAGTCCTTAGCTTCGGAACGGCTATGCGGACGATGAGTGACGCCTTTTTCTACTATATCGCAGTTGTTTTTCGACCATCTCCTATTCAATGACGGGCTACCTCGGAAAATCAGTCGGCTGGTTTCATTTTCTGAGGGTTCAAGATATCCAAAGCATATTCTAGATGGGGATAGGTGATTGTTCGGTTACTGGTTTATGGGAAAATAGCCACATGGGCAAGACCCAAATGTGCTCTTTTCTGCATAATACCTTAGGGTTAGAGTGGTTATAGAGAAAAATACGAATATGTTACCAGCCTCAAACTCCTAGTGACCCACATACTTGGGAGCTACCGTAAGTATCGTATTGAAATTACCACGTTCGTGCTGCTCCCAGGATGATGTTGTGTAAATTCGCAGACAACTTGCAATAGCAGTTCCGACTAGTGTTTATATTCTGTTGGCAAAAAAAAAAAAAACGTTTCACATCTCCGGACCTTGGGCTGAGCAGCTTATGCCAGCGCCTGTGCCTCTTTCATCATATGTGCTTCAACGAGGACAGAGGAAGCGGTGTGAGAAGTAGAAGGGAGAAAAGAAGAGGAGGGAGAGGAGGAAGGGTGGAAATAGAGCCAGGAGGAGAAGGGAGGTTGAATCTGACAAAGGTACATCTCAGCAGAGTATCCTCTCCTTCTATCTCCCTTCGGACGAGTTGATAAAAGAAGAGATTCTTACGCCGTACTCAAGATATATATAAAATCAATGAGCGAAGCGGGCTTCGGATATGTCGCGTAAAACGTAGACGCCTACATTCACGCTTTGCGGTATGCAGGCTTATATAGGCTGGTTCAATTACTACGTGACAGGATAGTAGCAGTAGCAGCAGCAGCAGCAGCAGCAGCAGCAGCAGTAGCAGCAGCAGCAGTAGCAGCAGTAGTAGTAGTATTTAACGCCCGTGGGACCGCCTATGGCTATCCCGAACCTCCGGTGGGGTACTAGGGGCGTGCTAGTCTAGGATATTCACAGCATTTAGCTCCCTATTCAGGTAGTACCGAGCTCGCATTCTTGTGTCGCGCTTTTGTGCAGTTCAAGCTGTATCCTCCCTGTGAAGGCAGTTCCCAGTCCGTTTTGGTGGCTGTTGGTCGCAGTTTTTAAGGACGTACACGGGTCCCTGGTTTTAACCACAGCAGGATTCGAACCTGGGCTTCGGGTGGAGGGACTGTGAAAGGATAGTCCGATTATTTCCGCGAATCATATTACCTGCCTATATCGTCCTCCGAGTATTGTGGCGGCAATAAGAGTGACTAGGATTTCGATGGGTTGAAGTTGAATGGGTCCTTCTAACGTTCCGCGGCCCAGCCTCGAAGAAAAATCACTGCTTCTCTCACAGTTTATTGCAAGTCGCTCATGGCATGCAGGCCAACGAGGCTATACCTATCAAAGAGACTGCTTAGGTGGTTGTGCTCTCTAGAGCCAACTCTCTACATGCCCAATAACGGCGGGTACGCAGGATGTTCCCAGGGGCGGGGTGGCACGCGGGCACGTGCGAAAGCCATCGAGCGCTTATCGCGATTTTCACCACCAATACTACGGCTGGGTTTATTATTATTCCATTTCGACGTGGTTTACCGGGGGACGCCATAGGTATCTGCGTAGGTACATCTTCGCGTGGAGTCTCAGGAGTTAAGCAGGGAGCATCATTATTACCCACATAGGTAAGTATCCTTTCCTAAGCAGGCTCGGAGGCCCGAAAGGCCCTGTATTCTCACTCAGTGCCTAGATAGCTAGTTATCTCAACAAGCACGTTTCGCAGTCATCTTAGCTTCAGGGCGCGTGGGATAATATCGTCCCAAGTTGAGTGGGGAGCGCTCGACTCTGCCGAGCTTCAAAAGAGAGAAGTGGATACAGGCGGGATGCTTCGAGGGTGCCTGAGCATTCGTATCGATATAGGTAATACGCAGTGTACGTGTGAGTAAGCAGGCCAGGTTTACCCCAGACCACTCAAAACAAGCTTCTTTCTCGCGATGCCCAGGTGGGATGTTGACGCCGAGCCAGCGCCGCCTTCAATCGTTGGGTGCAAGGCACGCTCCGGTGCAACCTCGAATGAAAACACAGGGAAAGAGATCCAATAGGCAATTCGATTCCTGCCGGGTCTGCTTAACATCCCATGATTACAGGAGGGTTGCCGAGAGCGTTAGATCCTAGATCCTAGGGTGGGAGATACGCAGGAGGGTCCTCCGGGCGGCACATGCATATGCTGGCGGCGGCAGCGACGGACCGCGACTGGTGAAGTGGCAGATTTTCGGGCTTGGCTAGAGGCCTAATAACTTGTTCTCTTAGAGTCGTCGAAGCTGCTTCTCTAGAGTTGCGCGAGTTGAGATGTGAGACGTCGTTCCCTCGCGCCGCCCTAAGACGGGAATCGAATACGCCTGCCCATTTGCGATCCTCGCGATGTGATAATTCCCGTGTCGTAAGCATTGGCTCTTTGGGAGGGACGGTTCGTTCGTCGATCTATCCAGGCCATCTTATCTCAAAAAGGGCAAAGCACCGCATCAGGGTGCCATCGGAATTTCGTCTTGGCAGAATACCACCGTCAGGACCTGCATCTCGCTGGCACATACCTACGGCACATGTGTACACCAGTACGCTTTGGGCCGCTGGCTGGATAACCAGTTACAAGACTCTTATTACGTGGCTTTGTGTCTAACCAGCCAGATTCCTCACAGGCGTTGTTTTTGTTGTTGTATGGATGATAATAATGGCCTATCGGTATTCCGCCTAGGGTTGGCACGTTGCGAATCGACGACTTGCTCTTCGTGTAGGTAATCTAGAACCGCCTTCTTGGTTCTACTACCATTCCTTCCGCACCTATTCCGGCCATATCGCACGAATACACCCGGGAAGCTCTGCCCGATAGCTGTCTCAAGGAGGCATGTGCTTGGGTGCATCTCGTGCTGTGATGGAACCTCAGGCCCTACCTACTCATGCCATTCGCAGATTACGCCATGGTCTGTAGCGAGTAGGAACTTGTACAGGCCATGCGGCCCGGCAAGGGTTACATAACAACGGAGGAAGAGAAGATGCTTCCCCTCTCATAGCTTAAGCGCCGTTTCTATCCAAGCCCGATGCCTTCTTCCATGCGTAACTACTCGAGAGACTAGGCGATCAAATGTTTATGAGGTAAGTTCAGATGATTTCATTCAGATATTTCGTTTCTACAGTGTGAGATTCGGTCCCCAAACCGACGCGCTGCTCCCCTGCCAAGCTTCTCCAGAACTTGGAGTCGTTGTAGCCATCTACCCCCTTGTCCCATCTCCCATGCATCTTGACACTACCCAGAAGGTTGCATTGATAACGACGGTCCATCCGGGTAACCAGCCAGCTTGGGGAGTTTAAAATCTTCACTCGCGGTGCAACGCAATGGTGCAATGACGCGGCTAATCTTGCATACCTTGGCCGATGACCTGACAAGCCACCGATGCCCACTGCCCTTCGGCGACTACAAATACTCGTAGCATCTCCCGTTTTCAACTAGAAGAGATAGGCCCCTACGACCTCCGGCTCTCCCCACCAGCATTGAGCCAACTCGGGCTCCTACACTCATTCCCATCCTTCCTCCACGGATACCCTTCCGGTTGCCGGCTTCCGCAAAGCGGCTCATCGAAAATGGTTAAAGGCCGTACCCTGATGTCGCTGCTCGCTGGCGCGGCGAGCATACTCTCAGCCAAAGCCAGCGTGAAGCCAGAGCCGAAACACCTTGCTGGGTCCTACATTGTAGAATTCGAGGACTCTCAGGTATTTTAGCCTAAATATAGCCGTTGGTGCTGTATTCGTACTAACCGAGGACGATCCGCGGATAGAGCTCGGCAGAGTTCTTTAACCATCTCGGATCCAAGGCGGAGACGCGTATGAACCTGAACTATAAGCTGTTCAAAGGGGCGTCTATCCAATTCCGCGACCTCAAGACAGCCGAGGAAGAAGTGGGCAAGCTGGATTCCCTCCGCAGCGTTAAGCAGATATGGCCAAACAGGGTGTACACGCTCCCGAAAGACGAGGTTGTCTGGACCGGGCGTATTGGAGGGGAGGACTTCGTCAAGAACGTCAAGAGGCAGCTGGGAAATGACACATTCACCCCCCATGTGATGACCCAGGTCGACAAGCTCCAGGCTAAGGGTTTTACCGGGAAGGGGGTCAAGATCGCGATCATCGACTCCGGGGTGAGTTGCGGCAATTCTGGGTGACGGAAGCATCAATTGACGATTGGCAGGTTGACTACACTCACCCTGCGTTAGGCGGCTGCTTTGGTCGTCCCGATTGTTTGTTCACCTTTGGTACCGATATCGTTGGCGACGACTACGATGGCACCAATATTCCGGTGCCCGATGCGGAGTATGTTGCACCGGTCCTGGTGGCATCGTGGATCAAGTGTTGACCTTCTGGGTAGCCCATACGATGACTGTGGTGGCCATGGTACCCGTAAGTAACTTGTTCAGCTCATTAAGCCGTCTGCTATAGGCTATACATATCCTTCTTCTGCAGCCGGAAACTCGGAGCCCGGGGGATGCTAACCTAGGTCTCTCGCAGATGTCGCAGGAATCATTGCAGCACAAGCCAACGAGATGGGCTTCGGGGGGGCTGCCCCTGTAAGCCGACCAGACTTCAATAAACGGGCGGTTCGTAATACTGACAACGGTTTAGGATGTTGAGCTGGGCATGTATAGGGTGTTTGGATGCGTAGGTAGTGTCTCTAACGATATCTTGATCGACGCCTACATGCAGGCATTCGAGGCCGGGTCCGACATCATCACGGCTTCAATAGGAGGCGCCTCAGGTTGGAGCGAAGATCCGTGGGCCGTCGCCGTATCTCGGATCGTCGAAGCGGGCGTTCCATGCACTGTTTCAGCCGGTAACGACGGTTCGGCTGGTCTGTTCTACGCCAGCAGTGCATCCAACGGCAAAAAGGTGACATCTGTAGCTTCGATCGACAACGAAGTCACACCACTACTCCTTACCGAATCGAGCTTCAGTATCGACGACGGCGAGGAGCAGGACTTCGGGTATAACCTCGGGGATCCGGGTAGCTGGGCCAACGTGAGCCTCCCGCTCTGGACCCCGTCGTTCAACACCGATGACCCGGCGATGGCCTGCACCGCGCTGCCCGACGACACCCCCGACCTGTCCGGGAAGATCGTCTTGATCCGCCGTGGTTCATGCACCTTCGCCGACAAGTCTACCAACGCGGCCAAGTTTGGAGCTAGATATGTCATGTTCTACAATAACGTCCCAGTTGGAACGGTCGGCCCTGTGATTAACAGAGTCCCCGGAATTCTAGGGATCGGCATGGTAAGGAATTAAGCTTTGCTCCCCTTCCCAGACCTCGCCACTCACTGATCGACATAGGTAACTGCGGATCAAGGCGCGGCTTGGATATCCTCCTTGCAGAGCAGCTCCAATGTCACTCTTCACATGCTTGACCCCCTCACCGCGCCTGTTAGGTAAGAGTCGAAGAGGACGATTGCGGTAGGGATGGTTGTCTAACATGTAGAAGCTTGATTCAGCCGAAGAACACGATCACCGGCGGGTCCCCGAGCGTTTTCACAACCTTAAACCCAACCTTCGAGATGGACGTTAAACCGCAGCTCGCCGCCCCGGGCGGCATGATCCTGTCGACATACCCGACCTCCATGGGTTCGTATGCTGTCCTGTCGGGGACATCGATGTCGTGCCCGCTGGTCGCCGCTATCTACGCCCTGCTGTCGAACGCCCGCGGCACCCTTGACCCTGCTACTATCGAAAACCTGCTGTCGGCCACGGCAAACCCGGTGTTATTGAACGACGGAACTGGGACGTACCCGGTGTTGGCTCCCGTCGTACAGCAGGGCGCCGGTATAGTCCAGGCATACGATGCTGCTTTTGCGACAACACTGCTGAGCAAGTCGAGCCTCTCCTTTAACGACACCGATCACTTCGTCGATACGCTGAATTTTACCATCCGAAACTTGGGCACCGAAGCTGTTACCTACGAGCTCGGGAGCGTTGGTGCTGCCACCGCTTACACCTTCTCAAACTCGATCAACCCGGACCCGTTCCCTGGCTTGACGCTTACGGATGAATTTGCTACCGTCGCCCTGAGCGAGGCTGAGGTTGAGGTTGCAGCTGGCGGCGAGGCTACCGTCTCCGTGACGGTGACCCCTCCCGCCCTCGACGGCACCTTCTTGCCAGTATATTCCGGCTACATCACCATTAACGGCACCAACGGAGACAGCCTGTCACTTCCCTACAACGGAGCCGTCGGCAGCCTGCGTGAGAGGCAGGTTCTCGAAAGGGGCTATCTAGCGCTCTCGACGGACCAGAACTACGACCCTGTGGAGGGAAATACGACCTTCACACTGCCCCGGACGAACGGCACGATCGATACCACATACCCCGCTGGTGTAGCGATATTCTCATTTGGTTCACCGCGGGTTAACGTCCGAGCCGTGCCGATTAACAGTAGCCAGAACTCTAGTGCTGAAGGCAGCGAGATTTTCGGTTCTCCGACCTACTATGTAGCTCGAGATTTCCTCATCACAGCTTGGGACGGTAGACTAGCGGATGGCAGCCTCGCACCGGCCGGCTCGTACAAGCTACGCTTCGAAGCGTTGCACGTCTTCGGAGACGCCGGCAACTCATCCGACTACGACACCGCGGAATCTGTTCAGTTTTCCATCCGTTATGTGTAGGGATGCCTGGGAAAGGAACTAGAGGGAGTCGGAGGCAGAAAGAGCTTATCATAGGACCAATGCTGTTAATTTCTCAGATGTCCATAAGTAGGTAGAGTGTGAATTTCACCCACCAGGGGTTTTTATACATATACTTGCCTATATCTGTATGTGTGTACCTTTCACTTGGGAGTGTTATGAGGGTTGCTTGTTGTGATCTGGTCGATTGGTTTAACGCTGCGTAGCAAAGCATTGTGACACCCGTACCTAGGTAAGTATGTGTAGGTAGGTAGGTAGCTGTTTACCACGAGTAGACAGTGAGGGAGACTCAAGTCCTCATTGAATGGCCTCGTGGGTGGCCTCTAAACTGGGTGGAAGCTTGAGGTGGTTAGGAGGGGGGGATGAGAATGGAAGGGAAGGGTAAGGGAGAAAGACGTTGGCAAGGCTTCATGTTTAGGGCTGCCATCTTACGTCATTATATGGCACTGCAGGCTACTTGCTCTTGACGCTCGGTTGAATGTATATATTCTTCAATGGCATATTCATCACCTCCGCCTCCACTTTTATTTATTTTTTTGAGGACCACAATTCACTTAAGCAGTCTAGCCAATTGACAGCCTCCGAGACAGCAATTTTGAGCTTCGACTTGATCAAATCTTCAAGCTGCCATTTCTAATCCATTCACTTCCATCCGCCCCGCCGCAGCTGCACAGCATCCAGTCTCGTCACGACAAAGAGCATAAATAGGCGTCGACGTGTTTACCTTTTCCTCTCTAGCCTGGGAACCGCCTGCTCTCCATGCCGCCATCTCCTCCTTAACTTCCTGCCCGACTCCCGAGATGTTGTGGCACCAATGCCGCCGCCTTGAAACGGCGATCATCCGACGAAGCTCCCGGTCGGTATCACAACTACTCAGCAACCGGCCTATAAACACCTGGGCGATCAGTCATCGGGCAAAGGAGGTCATCTCGTCACCGGCAGGCAAGGGACACGGTTACCAAGCTCGATACCCCATCGCGCAGCGACTCTATTCCGCCGCATCCTCCGGCTTATCAGATTTGGGTCCGACAACGACGTCCTCGCTCGAGCCCCCCACGCCACAACTCCCCGAAAAGCCCGACTACCTCAACGACGCCGAGTCGGCGATATGGGACAGCCTGGTGGCGGCGTTCAGCCCGACCGAGCTCACGGTGCAGGACATATCGGGCGGGTGCGGATCGATGTACGGGATTGAGATTGCGTCGGAGAAATTTCGAGGCTTGAACCTGCTGAAGCAGCAGAGGATGGTCAATGCTGTGCTAGGCGACAGGATGAAGGACTGGCACGGCATCCAGCTCCGCACCAGAGTCCCCCTGGCTCGGACGTAAGAAAAGGGGGCTCGGGCATGCTCGCACGATCGGCCGTGGTGGTCTGATGGAGTATCAAGCCACGAGGCGTGGTGAGCATCGAGGATGTCGTGTTATACTCGGGAGTGATTCCTCGAGGAGGCTTTCACCGCCCTGCTCCCGACGGCAAGGCCTGGGACTCGGTAACATGGGTATGTTCATACCGCGTCAGCATAAAACTTGCACTTTACATACATACGCCGCCTACCGCCTGCCTACGTAATGTGTGTGTTGCGCGTGCGCGTGGGGTGGAACTTTTGAAGGTATTTACTACCTACCTACCTACCTACCTAGTTAGGTAGTCCGTAGGCGTCGAGGGGCAGCCGGAGATGTTAGCACGTTTAGGTACGTGACCGAGGTGCCTGGTTCCTCTACGGTGTACCTGCGGAGTGCCTCCGCTCCCCTCTACCCTAAGTACCTCTCTATAAGCAGGGTGCCTCCGATAGCTCCATTCAAGGCTTAGTAGGTACCTAGGTAGGTACCTAACCCACCTACCTACCTGGGTAAGGTACCTGTAAGCACCTCCTAGGCTAATTCGGGTACCTCAGCCATTACCTATATTGTTCCTGCTAGGGGTACCCAGGTAGGTATGCAGGTACCTAGGCCGGTATCCTCCAGGCTAATGCCGACGTACCGGAGGCGCTGCCCCAAGGGATCCCCTCTGCCCAATCTATCGAAGTACATTTGGGCCAGTCCATATATTGGAATGTACATGCTTGGGTAGGATCCGTCGCAGGATGCATTTCCGATCCTCCATCCTTCTGCGCTCTGAGTCAGGTTGGAGGTGTACCTAATGTGGTTACAATATGTAGGCGTGTACATGCGCTACCTCTGTCGCCAGCCAATCGATCCCGCCACATCCAGTCAGCACCGTCCGGGGCACAGAACATGCCCTCCTCCTCCACGCCTCTCTGCCGCCCACCTGTCTGCCTGGCTACAGAATCCAATGCCTGGGGCGCGTGGCGAGGACAAGGGAGGCCGTCTCGATTGGGTATGTATGCACCATGTTAGCATGTATCACCACGCATGCCATGCCCTATGACCAAATGTGCTCCCTACCGGCGCGCACTGAGATCTCGAGATCTCCGCCCCCTTCCCCGGCACCTGGCTCCCGGCGCCTTCGTATTCGCGCCGTCACCGTGCCACCAGGGTCCGCGGCTGCTAGGCACGACTTGCCTAGCAAGCAGCCCGTGGGCGGAGTGCCCCCGTTGCGCTCCATCGAGCGACGCCAATGGCAGTGTTGTCTCAGATCGCTCGGGGCTCCAGGTCAAGAGCCGATCTAAAACATGGTGATCTAGATCTAGCGCGCCAATATTACATGCCCAGCTGAATGCCAGATTTGAGGCAGCTGGGCCGGTCCCACGGCTACATGCCTGCTCTGCTACTGGCTCCCAGGCGCCTCCGCAGCATCGTCCAGGCCATGTGCCGACATCCTAAGAAGCACATCCTCACCGCCGGGTTCTTGTCCGCTAATGCGACCAATGCCTAAATTTAGGCTCCGGCTCCCCGGGTCCAGGGCGGCGGTATCGTCCTCGATGGCCAGACGTGTGTGTGCCGGTGCTCGATCGCGAGGTGGCAGTCCTATAGACTGTCTTTCGCCTCGTTGTCGAGAAGATGCGGTTCCAAAAAATGTCCGACGTCGTGCTACATCATATGATTCACAGGCCTGCCGCCGTGCCTTATTGGTTTCGGATGTGGCGTTGCCGCGGGACATTTGCTACCTGACTCCGGGCTCGAAAAAGGGGAGGGGAGGAGAGGCGACTGTGTACCGTCTGCCTGTGCCAGCGGGGGTTGTGGCGGTCATGTCTGGGGGGGGGGAGTGGGGAGGAGAGTCTCGGATGGGGCAAGTTGACGGACAGGTCAAGAATAGAGGCTAACATAAATGCGAGTGTTCTCGGACGCACTGCTTAATCCCGTATACCCGCGCGATGTGAGGCAAGGGATTCTCGCCCTCCCAGCATCAGCACCGGCGAGACAGCCTGCATCTTGCCCGGGATCCTCATCCTCATCGCCTCGGCCAGCAGCCACCTGCGAGACGTTGGTACGCCGATAGGTACATCTCGTCAGGACAACGTCAAACCCGCATTGTTGCGGCCGCCGAGCAGGTTCCGACCTGGCCCGGCGATGGATCGCCTCTCCAGGCCTTGCGCGAGGAACCGATATCACACCCTCCTGGCGAGCATCACAGGAACCAAACAAATAAAGTCGTATAAACAAACGCTCGGTCTCTATACATATATGCATGGCTGTCGACGTTGCTTGGCAAGTCCATCAGCGAAACTGGCATGGCTCGTGCCAGTCCTGTGGTTAAGTCGCCGATTCGAGCCGTTCGTGGATATAGGCACGGCACCCCCGTCAATTAATACGCCGCTCGGCCCAATAGGTCTAGAATTACCAAGAGCACCCCCCCTTACCCACCGGCTTGGCCTGCTCAGCCGATTTCTCGATCAGTCGAGCAGCATTGGTCTACCACAAGTGACAGATCTCGACGCCGTACATGGGCCCAATCACCTGTCACCTGGGGAGATACAGGGCGAAGATCGATAAAACATCGTATTGGTAATTAGACCTTGCAAGTGATGTTTCTGTAGAAGAGAAAAGAAAAAAAGGAGCCCCTGACGTAAGTGCCCGGGAATTCCGAGAGCCTGGTACCCCTTGCCATGCCCCCCTTGCTCCCTCTCTCTCGTGCCTATCGTCCACCCTGGCCGGGAGCCGCTGGTTATTGCTTCTTATATAGGGTCTTACGAAGGACTGACGTTCTCCTATTCGCGCTTCTACCAGATCCACAGAGACCCCAAGATCGTGCAATGGATAGGCGCTAGATGGCTAAGAAATAATAGGCTCCGGCCATCCCTGTTCAGTTGTACACGTACGCCCCTTTAATTTGATCATTGATCACTTTTTTTTTTTGCATTCTATTTTATCCTATATTTTTCTTCATTCCTTTTTTTTTTCCGGGCTTGGTTTCTTTTTCTTTTCTCGGCAGTATGTAGCTTTGCGTAGTACAGGGTTTCTTGCTAGTATTATTCAGTTCGAGGACTCTCCCATCGTTTCCTTGCTGATCACACACAGCCTTGGCTCCGAGCCTGAACATGGCCTGTTCCTCGACATCTCATTAGGAGAAGATCCTAACGCCATTTATCGTCAAGGGGGAGGGGAGGGGGAGGGGAGGGGGGGGGGGGGGGGGGGCTAGAGCGGTGAGGTGCGGGCAGGACCGCAATTGTGCGCATCGTGAAGTAGTTCCGAGGCCAATCGCTTTCCCGACCTAGTTAGACAACAACACTTCTTAACTAAATAATTTGCCTGTGTGGTACCTGTGTAGGGTCAGAGTCGATAGTTAATGGAGGCTCTACCTGGTATTGGCCCCGTCTGGGACTTGATTCTAATATGCCACAACTATCTGTGTTGTGTTTCTGGAGCCTCACCCCTGGCCTCGTAGCCTATCATGAGTGGTGATGGCTCTCTCACGCCGGCTACAAATGACAGATAGACGTAGGACTTTCCTAGGCGGGACTGATCCGGTAGGCACTGGGACGTTCTAAGGTAATTCATTGCGATGATACTACGGTGGGAAAAAAAAGCATCCCTGATGAGAACATGACCCTCGACAGACTTCACTGGTGTGACTCAAATACCTTTAAAAAGCCCCAAGGACATTTCCATCTAGATGCAACTATGCCGTCCAACCAAGCCAAGAAGGATCTCGATTCGCCACACACCTAGATAATCTAGTCTCTAAGTCCAGATTCGGATCGTACACGACATAAGCACCGCAGCCATGGTCACGGTAGAAGTTCAACCTCCCACACAAGCCCAAGCCGGGACGGTGCTGTACCCACCGCTGGTGGTTAGCTCCGACAGCAGCGCCGCCTACGACTTTGTACAGGTCGTGCTCATCGACCCGTATGGGCGAGTCCTCGAGGACCAGCTTTTTGGCACACTTACAACGTCCAGCCAGACCCTAGACGATAGGGCTGGCTCCCGAGGCAGTAGCAGCAGGTCGTTGGAGTATGCTGTGTTTCCCGACCTGGTCATTAGCTACGCCGGCTCCTACGCGCTCCAAGTGAGCGCCATCCGCATGGACTACAGCTCTCCCGACGGGCCAGCTGCCGTTATCGCGATGTCGACAATAACCACCCGAATAAACATCTATGACGAAAGCGTCGCCGCGGAGATCCCGTGTAAGTACCCACAGGCCGCTCTATGCGGTTCTTCCCCGCCGCCGCTACCCCCCCATTCCGTAGGAGAGGAGCGGAGTGCTAACCTGGTAGGTTCTAGCCCCTGACGAGCAAAGCCTACTGCGAAGACTGCGTCGCCATGGTGGTTTCGGCGTCCCGCGTTCCCCCCACAACACATGAAGATACAATTTGGGCATGACGAGTGGAATTGTAGGCGTATGGGTTATTTGGGAATCGACTTGCTAGGGAGCGGGTGTTTAGGGGCAACTCAGTGGGCATGGTATTGTGTAACGGGATATTTCCTTGCTTGTGTAAACTAGAAACTTATAGCATTGACTGCTAGTCATGTCGTTCGACATCACTGATATACTACTTGGGAGACTCTACTGGGCGGACATCTCGGAAATTTCAATAGCTAAAGAAAGTATCAGCGATGAAACCACCTCGCTAACCCCATTCGCGTCTTTCTTCTGCTGATTCTTCTGTCAACGATAGCATGCGCTTTAGGCAGGCAAAGTTTGCACATTCGGACTTTACTATTTCGAAAGACTGCCTATTATCACATTATCCACGTACGTATAGATGGGAAACTAAACAGAATGACACGTTTCGTTAGCTGTGCGAGGATTCATCCAGCGTATAATTCTCTTCAGCATCCATTACAAAGACTCGTCGTGTATTTACTCTACTTTTAAGAGAATTTCTACCCCGTGTTTCCGTTGTAGCCTGATCCTAGGCCCTTGTGAGGCTCCCCGAGTTAGTTCCTTAGCATCTGCAATGAACCGGCAACGGCAGTAAGGGTGGTTCGACTTGGTGTTGTATCGGGAAATAGCTCACGGGATTCGAGGTGTTAAGTGCTGACTTAATGGACCGACATTTTCACAAGGGACATCCCAGCACCTACCTACGTAAATACACCCATCCTCTTTAGGGCCCATTTTGGCATCCCGAATTAAACCCTGTAGCCGTTCGTAGACATTCTCGGCTATCTCTTCGCTTGTCTCGGGAGGCCGCTAGTAGAAGGGGCGGGAAAAGACAAGAGGCATCTTCCCGTGTGTCGATGATATCCACCAATGGCTCCCGGCCTCACGTAGCCTTTAACCCTGTCCTGGGCGCATTCCTGGTGCCGGCAGGGAAAGGGGGCGGGCATAGATTTCTTAAGGTTAATTGTTGAAGAGCTTGTTTTGCCCCTATTTCTCGCCATCGTGAACTTTTACCTAGCCTATCACGTGTGGTTCGCTTACAAGTGCCCAACAGCTGCAAATATTTCGCCACCACTGCAGTGCCTCCATCTCTAGACGGCGCATGATGCTAGGGGGCCAGGTTGGCTGTCTCAACAATACCCAAACGAGGGGATATCGAATAGGGATCTCGCGCAGAGTCATCGCGACGACCCTCGCCGTTGCGTTTTCTCGCTCCATCGTATGCCTCGCATCATAACTTTGGTTGACTGTTGTTCGATTAAAAAAATACCAAATACAAAGGTAATTAAAGAGAGCATTTTGGTGGCCTGTGAATACGGCCCTTCGAAATACCGTTGCACTCGGTAAGCTGCCTCTTTAGTTGAGTACAGATGCATTGATGCGTAATGAATCGATTTATACAACACATTATAGGTGCATATCTAACAATCCGTACCTGCCTTTTATAGAAGCGGAGAAGCGTTGACCCTATTATCGGAATTTCTTCGGGGATTCTGCCAATTACTGGCCGATTTGCTTAGGTGGTTTTAGGACCTACCTACCTACCTACCTTTTGATGGTCTTCCTACCAAAACTTCAACTTTGCACTCTCAACCATTCCGTGCCTCAGCTCTAATCTATGCATGTCCATCTCGAGAGCCTCTTGAAACGTCACTCTACTACCAAATCACGGCCATGAAAGGCCCGGTTACAATTGGTGCAGTACCCAGGTCCCGACGACCTGTGCTACGACGCCAATTGTGGGAGGTGTCGCAGCACCGCCCGAGCTGCTAAACGCACCGTCAATCCCCCTTCCATTGAACCTCTCTTGCCTCGCCATCCTGTGAATGAAGGCCACTACGGCCCAAGGATAAGTCGCCGTAAGGTGTAATGGCGACGGGCCCTGTTGGACCTACAGCGCTTCAAACTAATGGCACAGGCGACTAGAACCGATCGCGCCCAAAGGTCTCAACGCAGACGAATGGTCGCTCACTGACGCGTCCCGGAAGGGTGCACAGAAGCAAGCGCCTGGTCGTCATCCCCGTCCAGGAACCTGCCGAGACGTACCCAGCATCGTCTTAGTCGTCCTCCCACACAGATAAGGAAGGATAAGATGCAACCCGAGATGCGAGCTCCGGCTCTCTCCTACGCAAAGAAGGATAGTGCACTGAGGAGCACGACGCGGGTCTGCGGGGAATCAGACGTGGTCGGCAGTTGAATATCGAGCCTGAACACAGTAGTGGGCCGTCGGTATGCCGGTTGTGTTCACGTATGCAATGCCAAGAGCACTAGGTTACCAAAGCCTCACTGAGAAGTGCTAGGCCAAGAGCGATGCAGTAATACGGGCACCATGGGACGCTGGCCTAGGCGATCAGGACGGCAACGGTCCGAGGGGCTGGGTCAGCCCGGGCCAGCGACGTGGCGCACTGAGAAAAGCGGCCCCGGAAGTGAAGCCGAGGGCGTTCCCGACGATGGGCGACACGACAGTATTGCCGATGCCGTAGCGCCCGGCCTCTACGAATGGGCTGTGGAAATGTTGAGGGACGTACATCTACATGTCCACAATCGAGGCGCCTGGTGCAGGGTCGTCCATGCCGTTTGCGAAGATCACGAGGCCAGACGCTGCTAGTCGAATGCAGTTTATGGCGGAGTTGATGAAATCTCGTAGAGGACAGCGCTGTTTCTTGGCTCGGCCGTCGACGGTTGAACTGTCTTGACGTCATCAGACGATGGTTATTGTAACTGAGAGTTCGTCCAACGGGCGTCGCTCAGCGCCATCATGGGGTGCGGCGAGTCGATCCCGAGTTGAATATGTCTAAACGCTGCAACGCCGCCATCATTAGTGCGGAAAGGGGGAAATATCCTAGGGAAGCAAACGGGACTTGACCGCACATGCATATATGGAGGCGCCCATAATGATGCTCCAGGGTCGCTACGTTCGCGATGTTACCCGGATCCAGCCTACTAAAGATCGACCACATACAAAGTGCAGCCCGCAACAACGAAGGTAGGTCGTATCAAAGATCCGGACAGCGGGACAGAGATAAGTTTTCGAGGCTCCACGCGGATCTCGCGTGCTCAGCTGCGACGGAGCAGCCGAAAAAAGAAAGCCCGCCGCTAGCCTAAGGGAATCAGTGCTTCAGCTGCCCTCTGCCCTTCTGATCGTACCGACAGTATACATATGGTAAATTCGTTTCCTTACCATCCAGCACCTCGAAGCGACACCTCGCTCAGTTCACTTGGGCTCGTTCACTACGCCTTACGTATCCCATGGAGTTCTTCGGCCGGCTTCCTCTATATCCCAAAGCGAGTTACGCCGTGTCTTTCGCTGCGACGTTGTTCGGGTCTGTTCCCGCTGTTGTGCCTCGCTTACCGGTCGTGGCTGACGCCCCTTTTGCAATTTGGATACGGAGCATCGGACCATCGACGACAACGCCGGCCTTTCGACAGCACTTTGGTCACTTCTCACCTGCCATGCACGACGTGATCGTCTCCTCCTTGCTCCTCCCCGGAACCATATCGGCACTCTTTGGCGGCATCTTGGCTGATCGACATGGGCATATCCGCCTCATCGGTGTTGGAACGACGATCTATGGTGTTGGTGCCATAGTCGAATGCGCCGCCCCGTTGCTAGGGTGTCTTCATCCTTGGACGTCTTGTTAAAAGGGCTTGGTCTAGGGCTGTTTCTCAGCAACGTCTATGTCTAAGGCTCGGAGATGTCACCGCGTCAGGTCCGCGGCGTAATGACCGCTGTGCCACAACCCCTGATTGCCATGGGTATTGTGGCAGGCTACTTCATCCGCTATGGACACACGAGGCTTCAGAGTACCTCGTTATCGTGGCGGCTGCCTCGGACGATCGCCTCTGGGTTGGCATTCATCAACTCGGCGATCTGCTGGTGGGTTCCGTCGCCGTCGCGATGGCTCGTACGACAAGGTCGACATAGAGAAGCTCGACAAATTGCCCAGAGGTTGGGCCTGGACGAGGTCGAGCAAGATGAACTCCTATGCCAACCACTTGACGACGCCGACGCTTCCGTGTCCGAAGGGTCCCTGGTTGAAGCTCTACACCACACCCTAGTCAAATTTCGCGAAGCTTTTACGCCTCCCTTTCTACAACGGGCGCTTTTGGGGGTGCTTCCTTATGGCTTTCCAGCAATTTAGCGGCATTGACGGAGTGCTATACTACGCGCCGATCCTCTCCCGAGAGGCAGGTCTCAAGGCTCTGCTTTAGTCATCTTAGCGGTGGCAATACCGGCTACGCTACTTGCGGACCGATGGGGCCGCCGAACCTCGAGTATCGTAGGAGGTTGTGGTTGCTCGACTCTCATGCTGATTGTTGGATCAATGCATGCCGCCGATCAGGTCAAACCGGAGGCTGGTGCGGGTAATCGGGTGGTCGTAGCCTCCATCTACCTATACACATTTATTTTCAACGGGACCTGGGCCATCGGATTCCGAACATCCCTCATCGAAAGCGTACCGAAAGCAACAAGCAGCGCCGCTGGTCTAGCCCAGGCCTCTAACTGGGTGTGTTTGATCCATTTCCACCAACCCCTTTCAACAGCTTCTTATTCTTGACACGGTTAGCCAATTATCTCGTCGCCCTGATTACCCCATTGCTCATCTCCCAGTCGTCGTTCGGGGCATACTTTCTTTTCGTATCTTGTACTGCCCTATGCACTGTCTCTATTATTGTTTTCATGCCTGAAACGAAGGGACATAGTCTAGAGACAATAGAGCGAATGTGTATGGATAGGGGCTTGGAAGCAGGGATGTCAGTACTAACCAGTCAGAGCTCGACCCCCCCCTCGGAGCCACATCAAAGGTAGTGATAACTTCGTCTCGGTAGGCTGCTCAAAACAACCAGGACAACAGTTGGCTAGATTGCGGGCACAAACAGGCCATAACGGAAACGGCAACATATCGATCCCCATTCGTTCTACATGCGCCTCCCTCCCCCGGCCCCCATCTTCCATGCCCTCCCAAAAGGAGAAAAATGAGGGGTGACAAGGATTAGCCATGGTGTAACTAGAAGATAATGAAACCGGTCCCGTAAGTGTTCATCCGACAGTACGAGCGCGGAATCCGTAGCTCAAGAAATCCTGAAATGCTTCTCATACGAGTAGGTAGACTCTACCGTGACTGTTTAAGTCGTGGCATTATCTTCCTAAGTGGCGGGACAATCCGCTCAAAGGCCGAGAGGACGCACAGGAAGAAAAGTTAGAGTTGTGTAGAGAGAGGGGAATATACTACACGCCATTCACTCGGCTCGGTTCACGGGAGGACTTGCCCTCTTGAGTATGTCCGTAGATCTGTAGACATATCTGGCCACCAGTCAGGGTCTTGACGAGAGAGATAAGAGGTGCTTAAATAGCACCAACTCTTCGAGATGCCTTCCTGCTTACTTGTCTTCGACGGCCCATATACCAAACCCGACCGAAGCCGATTTCAGCTTTTTAACCTTGAATACCGTAGGTCAGACAATAGGGGAAGAGCCTCAAGGGGTCGCAAGGAAGTACGTGGGCGCTTGAAGACCCCCACACTGCCCGCCGCGACGGCAACAACAATCGTGTTCTCCAACACGCAGCATACCCCCCGAATCGCTTCGGAATGGGTGAACGCCTAACTTGGGAGGCTATCGCGGCAAGAGAATGCAACGAGCGAGACGGGAAAATCCCGAAAAAATGGCTGCTCCGAGACCCTCCCCCAGCAACGAGGAAGAACGTCATGAGCATCCCCTATGAGTGCGACATCATGACGCCTGAAGAGATACATATCACCGAGAAGGATGCCACCGAGCTTCTGCACCTGATCGCGACCGGGAAGCTCAAGAGCTACGACCTGACGCTGGCGTTTTGTAAGCGAGCGGCAATCGCTCAACAAGTGGCATGTTTATTTGCCCTCCCGTTTCCTTTCGCATCCCCTTTTATGCATGAATTAACGTGGGATGGTGTTACACGGGGATGGAACCCTGCGCTAACGAGTTAGGCCATAAAAGGTTAGGAGGATAATATCGGGCATTAAGGCCGTTACCTCGGCGATCTACTAAGGAAAGTCCTAGATAAGCTTCGGATAGCTTCGGTATTAAGGTATAAAGGTATAAAGGTACAAAGGTACTTCCGGGTTATATTAAAACGAAAAGGGAACGTAGAACTTAAAAGAAGATAAGGACCTAAGAAACCTCCTATAGAATTATTAATTAAATTAAACCTATTTTAAGTATATTCCTTATTATAAATAATTCTATATTACTCTTATCCTTATAACTTTACTATAAGTTAATAATAAAAAAAGCCTACGCCTAAGCCGGCGTTATACGTTAAAGCCGCTACCCCGGTATTATTACTACCGGATTAACCTCGACCTTTTATTAAAGAACTAAAGCCGTAGGCTTTCCTACTCCCGCGACTAGCCGCTTCGGGGATAGCGCCGATCTCTATAGCGGAGGTAGCTTAAATAGTAGCTACGATTAATAAACTAAAGGCCGCTATAACGGAATTAAAGGTAAAGAACGCCGAACGAATTACTCTAACGCCCTAGCCGAAGCTAACCCCCGAACTAATTAATAAATCCCTCGTCGTATATTAACCCTAGGAATATAAGGTAGTTATAACGAATACTCCGGAAATCGCAAACTTAGGAATAATTATACGTAATTCCCCGTAGTAAATCGTAAATTTATATAAGTAAATAAAATAAGTATATTAAAGCCTAGTAATATTAATTAATTAAATCGACGTAAGATACCGATAAAATACGATCCTAAAGAAGTAATACGAATAATTACGATAGCTTTACTAAACCGCTACGGTAATATAAACTACCGGTATCCGAACTACGAAAATATAGATCCACGAGTTCTAGAAATAAGTCGTAGAATAAAATACCTACTTCGCCTAGAACGTATAGGAAACCGTAGCTAAGTTTACCCGGTAAGATAAAGTACGAACGGCCGTAATAAACTAACTTCGAAACGCCGTATTATAAAACTAACGAGCCTTAACCTAGCTACGTAAAAAGTATAATAAATTAATAACGAACGTTAGCTCCTAAGCTACGTAAAAGGATAAATAGATTAACGAAATCCTTAGTAAAGAATACCTTACCCCCGGGGCTATAGAAGAAAAAACCTAGTTAATTAAAAACGACCTTAAGGCTTACGCGGCTAATTTAATTAAGGAATACTAATAACGACGATTAAGTAATAAACTAACGGATATTAAGTTTATTATCGTAAAAGCTAACCAAAGAATAAGAACGCCTACTCCCGCGCCGGATATCCGAATTACGATAGCGTCTACCGGAAGATATATTAATAGCGAGGCTAAAATAAGGGAAATTATTTCCGACGGCGTACTTTAAAACGCCGCGGCTAAACGTACCGCCGCGCGCGTAAGAGCCCGTTTTTAAAACGCCGCGATAGGCGCTTTTATATTAAGAAGAGCCGGGTAAGAACTACCGCTATCCCTACGGATCCCGCGGAATACCTTAGGAAACCTAGGGAATTCTAACGACTCGGATAACTTAAAATCCGGGAACCTATAAAGGCCGCGGCGCCTACCCGGCGCCTCTAAAAAACCGCAGGAGCCTCTCGATCCGGCCGAGGAACGTATAATTAGGGCTTAAATTAAAGCTATAAATAATCGACGAAGCATTACGATAACGATTAATTTAATATACCTTATTAAACCTACGGCTTATAACGGTAAGGACTTAGTTAAGTTCCGATTATAATAAATTAAGGTTAAATTTTATATCGAAACTTATAAAGAAAGCTTTACCCGGGACGTTTAAAAGATTAACTAAATAAGATCGATACTTACCGAAAAGGCCTAGCTCTAATATTAATAACGGCTAGCCTAGGTAAAAAGGTTAATAATCGTCGATACTTAAGCGGGATATTCCTAAGTACTTTAAAAACGGTTTAAAAACCCCGCCGAACGATATCGTAACTTTAAAAAGATATAGAAACTAAAGTATTAAGGAGATATCTCCTAATACCTTACCGAGCTTATAAACCTTAACGATATCGTTTAATAATCCGGAATTACCTTCTAAAATTATATCGCCCGTACCTTATCCGACGAAATAATTAAGCTAGTTTACTTACGATTAAGTCGTATCCCCGAAAGCGACGAAGCCTTCCTTAAAGTAATTAAGGAAGCTAGTTAAATCTACGAAAACATAATAACTAACCCGGGAATTTCGGAAAAAGAAAGGTCCGCTTCGTAAAAGAAGCTTACGAAAGCGGACTAATAATAGCGGTAACCCGTAAAAGAAACTCGCTCCCGCTTAGGTTAACCGATAAACGAACGTAAGGAAAAGGATAATAAGAAACCCGTACCGGCTAAGGACTTACGATAGGTAGGTAATAAGGAAGCTTTAGCTAAGATTAACTAAGCCGCTATCGATTAACGAAAGAAGGATAAAAAGGCCTACTAAAGATACGGAAGAAATAATTATTAAACCTTAGCCTACTTCGTAAAAAGGGACTTAAAAGGACGGGACTTACCGGCGCTATCTAAAAAAGTCTTATCGGGAAAAAAAAAAGGAAGAAGTCCGAGCTATTATCTAATAAAAAGACTAAAATCGATACTACTATACGATAAAAGGAAACTCTTTCCCGTATTATAGAGCTATCCGACTCCGATAAAGAACGGAATTTTTAAATGCCCCCCCGTAAGCGTTAACGGAAGAAAAAAGCGATAAAAATAACGTAAAGATTACGGCTATTAAGCGGCCCGGAACGCCAAAAGTAACGGAAGCGGTACCGATAACGAAGAAATTATAAGTTCCCTAGCGTAACTTAACCGAATTAAGGTTAAATAAACGGCTTATTTATACGATATAAATAAGATATTAAGAAAAAGAATACCCCTTACGAATCCTCTTAAATACCGGTAGTAAGGTATCCTTAATTAACGCCGCTAAAGTCGAATAATTACGCCTTCTTATTAATTAACGCTTTAGGGCTAAAACCTTAATAAGATTCGACGGCTCGGAAATCTCGTTAGGAGGACTTTAATATATAAATAAAACGAAGCTCCGTAGCTACGAATATATTTACCGTATCGCTTAAGAAGTTAATAAATTAAATAAAAAGGTCGATATTATCCTATCCTAGTAATAAATAAAGGAATACCTCCTTTAAGGATTATTTATAAACGGACGGCTATACTTTAACTCGCTACGGTACTAAAGTTATCGCTTACGGCTAACTCGCGTAGGAATAGCACGAGAAGTAGAGGCTCTAATATAAGTACCGGAATAATTTCGTAACTTCGTTCCTATTATAACTAAGGAAGCCGGATAACGGTTCCTTAATCGGTAACCGTAGGACTACGTTATTAAGCTCCGACCGGGAACTACTCCTCCGTAAGGACCTTTATATACTATAAGCGGACGATAGCTAGATGCTTTAAAACCCTAACTCGACGAAATAATAGCCATGGAAAGAATCCGAAAATCTAAGGCCCCCTATAACGCATTTATAATATTTATAAATAAAAAGGACCCGGGCGCCTTAAGACCGGTAGTAAACTACCGGGGGCTAAATAAAATTATAATACCCGTCCGATATCCGATCCCGTTAATTAACGAACTATAAAACCTATTCTAAACGGCGCGGTAGTTTACTAAGATTAATTTAAAATCTAGATTCTATATAGTACGGATTAAGGAAGGCGATAAATAAAAAACCGCCTTTAAAACGCGCTACGGGTTATACGAATATATAGTTATACCTATAGGATTAATTAACGCTCCCGCTACCTTCTAAGCTATAATAAACCATATCTTCCGCGACCTTTTAAACGCCGGAGTTATCGCTTACCTAAATAATATCCTAATTTATATTAATACGCTAGAGGAATATAATAAACTAATTAAAAAAGTCTTAAAACGGCTTATAGAAAACCATTTAGCGGTAGCCCTAAAAAAATATACCTAGCGAACGTAAGAAGTTAAATTCTTAGGATATAATATAAGCCTTAGAGGTATTACCATATCTAAAGATAAAGTAGAAGCTATCCTTAACTAACGTATCCTAGCTATACTTAAAGACTTATAAAGCTTTATTAGGTTCGCTAACTTTTATCGTAAATTTATACGTAATTTTTCGGGTATAGCTAGGCTAATTATTAGCGCTAATAAAGGAAACCGTAAGCTATGGAAATAAAAAATCGAAATAAAGAAGGCCTTCTAGAAATTAAAAGAAACCTTTATAAAGGCCTCGGTACTTATATATTTTAACCTTAACCGAGTTTTAATTATCGAAGCCGACGCCTCGGATTTCGTTATTTTCGCGGTCCTCTTATAAAAGGATAATAAAAGGAAATTAAAACTAATAGCCTTTTTCTTACGACGACTTATCCTAGCGGAAATAAATTATAAGATATATAATAAGAAATTACTAATAATCGTCGACGCATTCGAAAAGTAGCGATACTATCTCGAAGGTACTTAGCATTAAATAGAAGTATATTCCGATTACTAGAACCTAACGTACTTTATTACGGTAAAAGTACTAAATCGACGCTAAGCCCGCTAAACTTAATAGCTCTTTTCGTATTACTTTATAATATATTATCGCCTAGGGAAGTAAAATAAAAAGGCCGATATTTTATTTAGATTACTATAATATCGCCTTAAAAAAGGAGGAGCTAAGGACTAGCCGATAGTAACGGTCCTATAGGAAAAGCATTTTTTAAAAAATTCAGGCTTACCTACGGTAATACTCTTTAACGTACGACTAAGTAACATCCTAATACCCGCTTAAATTATAAAATTCGTTAAATAAGTTAAAACGGTAACTATATAGGACCCGGAGTACTAAGCCTAGCTAACTAAATTACTCGGTAAGGAAATAAAGCTCTAGGAAGGCCTTTTCTATTAGCGAAACCGTTTCTAGATACCTAAGGACCTATAATAAAAAGTAATTAAATCGAAATACGATACTAAAGTAACGGGATATATAAGCATAAATAAAACCATAGAACTTATTATTCGTAACTTTTAATAACCTAACCTAGAAGTAATAATTAAGGAATTCGTTAGGAGATACCGCGAATACTAATAAAATAAAATACCCCGATATATCCCGTTCGGACTACTATAGCTTATGGAATTATATTATCGACCATAATAAACGATCGCGATAGACTTTATTACGGACTTATTAATATTTAACGGCTACGATTTTATCTAGGTTATTATAAATCCCTTTACTAAGATAGCGTACTTTATCCCGCTAAAAAAAGACGGTAAAAAGGCCGAAGACCTAATACCTATCTTTATACGTAATTATTAACGGCTATATAAGATCCCCTTAGATATTATCTCCGACCGAAACTCGCGATTTACTTCCTATATATAAAAGGGCGTCTTAAAACTCCTCGGCGTTAAGCCTAAAATAAGTACCGCCTTTTATCCTTAAACGGATAAATAAACGGAAAGATTTAACTAAATACTAAAAGTATACCTACGCGTCTTCGTAAATTACGAAATAAATAACTAGGAAAGCTTATTACCTACTACCGAATTTACCTATAATAATACCGCTTTAATAACTACCGGTATATTATCCTTTTACGCTAACTATAAATAATACCTAATAATATATAACCCCCCTTTAGGTACCCCTAAGAATCTAAAAAGTAACCTCTATACTTACTAAATAACTCGGGTATATAACGAAGCTAAGTAATATTTAAAAAAAGTACGGTAACGGATAAAAGAATAAGTAAATAAATACCGAAAAGAAGAACCTCCTTTAAAAGTCGGATAATTCGTTATATTAAATACCCGTAATATTAAAACCAAACGTCTTATAAAGAAGATAAATAAAAAGATATTCGGTTCCTTTAAGATCTAAAAGGTCGTCTTCCCTACCGCCGTAACTCTAATACTCCCGAAAGGCTAGCGTATTTATAATACCTTCTACGTATTCCTTATCGAACCCTACCGCGCTAGTAATTAGGAATTACCTAACCCTAATTAAGTCTTACGGAAGGTAGCCCCGATCGAAGTAAAAGACTACGAGATAAATAAGGTATTAAATTCCGTAAGAACCGGAAAAGTTATTAAGTACCTAATAAAGTAATAAAGCTAACCGATTAAGCGCTACTAGACTTAGGAACCGTAGGAATACTTTACTACCGAAAGAGCGAAGGAAATCGTTAAGTTATTCTACCTATAGAACCTTAATAAACCTACTAACCATCGGACCTAGGTACTACGCTTAGGAACGAACTCCTCCTAAGAGGGGAGATAGTATTATACGGGAATAGAACCCTACGCTAACGAATTAAGCCATAAAAAATTAAAAGGATAATATCAGGCATTAAGGCCGTTACCTCGGTAACCTACTAAGGAAAGTCCTAAATAAGCTTCGGATAGCTTCGGCATTAAAGTATAAAGATATAAAGGTACAAAGGTACTTCCGGATTATATCAGAACGAAAAGGGAACGTAAAACTTAGAAGAAGATAAGAACCTAAGAGACCTCCTATAGAATTATTAGTTAAATTAAACCTATTCCAAGCATATCTCTTGTTACAGATGGTTAGGTCAATTGTCTGACCCAAATCTGGTTCGAAGAAGGACTACAGCGTGCGCGAGAGCTCGACCATCACTACGAGACACATAAGACGGTCGTCGGCCCCTACCACGGACTGCCGTTTTCCATCAAAAACCAGTTTCTCGTCAAGGGGAAGCGCACCTACTCCGGCATGACCGCGTGGGTAGACGAGGTCGCTGCCGACGATGCCCCGATAGTCAAACTCCTCCGCGACGCAGGCGCCGTCTTCTATTGCCAGACGGTGAGGTCTACACACAGCTCCCCAAGACGCGAGATCTCCCAAGCTGATGAATCCGCGTGCCGCTGCAGAACGCGCCTCAGACGCTCATGTGGCTAGAGACTAGCAACAACGTCACCGGCCGGACGCTCAACCCACTGAACCGCGACTTGAGCCCCGGCGGGTCGAGCGGCGGGGAGAGTGCGCTGGTTCGCTTTTTCGGCTCCCCGATCGGCTTGGCGGCAGACGGCGGCGGCAGCATCCGCGGGCCTGCCGCCTTCACGGGGTGCGTAGGCTTGAAGGCTACGGCCACCAGAATCCCCCACACCGGATCGAAAGCCCCCATGAAGGGGTACGATAGCACTCCCTATGCCGTCGGGCCCATCTGCCGATCAGTCCGAGACAACGTCTACTTCATGGAGACGATCATCGGGCTTAAACCATGGACCTCGGAGCCGTACGTCTCTCCGCTGCCTTGGCGGCCGGCCGCCCCGCCGTCGGCAAGCAACAAGATCACCATCGGCGTGTACACGGACGACGGAGTGGTTCGCCCACACCCGCCGGTAGTGTCTGCGATCTCCCGACTGGCCGCGGCCCTCGCCAGGCACGCCGAGTTCGAGGTGATCCCGTGGACGCCGTTCGACCACGGCCGGGGGTACGACGTCTGCCGGCAGCTGTACTATCTTGACGGGGGCGCGGTCAACGCGGCGCTGATGGCGGCGGCGGGGGAGCCCGTGCTGGAGCTCAGCGCGTGGGTGGTGAGTTCGGACGTGGTGCGGCGGCGCTCGATCGAGGAGATGTGGGCGCTGAACACGGCGCGCGACGCCTTCCGGCAGGAGTACTTCGACCACTGGCGGCGGGGCCGGGGCGACGGCGCCCTCCGCGTGCCGACCGTGCTCCTCGGGCCCTGCGCGCCCGCCGCCGCGCCCCGCCACGGCACCGCCAAGTACTGGGCCTACACCGCCGTCTTCAACCTGCTCGACTACCCCGCCTGCGCGCTCCCGACGGGCCTCGCCGTCGACCCGGCCGACCCCGCGCACGCGCGCGATGCCGCCTACGCGCCGCGCCGCAACGAGTTCGACGCGTCCGCCGCGGCGCTGTACCGCGACCACGGCCCCGAGGGCTACGCCGGCGCGCCGCTCAGCGTCCAGCTGGTCGGCCGCAGGTGGGACGACGAGGTGGTGATGCGCGCCGCCGCGGCGGTCGAGGCGGTGGTGAAGGAGGGGATATGATGTGTGTCTCATCTTGAGGGGGAGGGGTGGGGGGAAGCGGAAAGGGTGTGGTAATGGCGCAGTAAGTAGCACGACGGCAGGACGGGGAGGTAACCGATGGGTTCTCGGATGGCGGAACAGGCACCCCGAAGTCTCTCGCTTGCGAACTGGGCCTCCCCCCCCCGGCGTATTTACCTACCTACTTATATTCTTTTTTTGTTTCCCAAAGGGCACTCCGGTTAGCAACGAACTAGTTTCCGCCCCACGTACTGGCAATTCGCGTACGTTGTTGGCTTGTTTTTTTTTTTTCTCGTCATGCCGGAATCGGCGATTTTCTCCTGTTCTAGCCCCCTTTCATCAACAGCCAGGGAGGGTAAAAGTCTACTATGCAATCCCACGGGGGCCAATTTGCTTTTTGTCTCAGGTATTTGCGTGCTCATTTTAATCGTACTTTCGTCATTGTCGTTTTGGTATCTGGCACGTAGCAATAGTGATTACTGTATGTTTCATAGTATTGCTTATCGCCATGTTGGTAATTACCTACCTTTCCCATGTAGGTACTGTGAATAGGTAGGTACCTACCTCCTATATAGGTACCTAATGGGCATTAGAGCTTTAAACCTTCACATGCGACCATAGGATCTGGAGAACTCATAGTCGCGTTTATATATATGTAGGGCTTTTGTAGGGCCTCTGTTTTTATATTAAAAAAATAACCCTAACCTTTTTCTACATTCCGGCGTCCAGTGTCCAGTGAACCCGGGCCGAAAAAATCCAAAAACGGAGCCGATGTGGCAGCCCCTTTTCGGCAGCACCGTTACTTGAAAGACGGAGAGGAGCACCGGTCTTCTCAGACACCCCCCCCCTAGCTGTCTTCCTCGTCGTCTCCCCGACCAATCCCACTGCAACAACATCATAGCCAGATTTCTTCTTTTTCACCCCTACCTCAGCCATCAACAGCCCCCTAGCACCTGGCGGATAGTTGGGAAGGGGAGCTGGGTGGAAGCTAACGCGGGAATGCAGCGAGGACTCCCGAGTGTCGAGCACAAAGAAAGCGACAGCGGCCTGTATCTTTGTGTGTGTAGCCCAGAGACCCGAACCTCCTGCACCGTGCTTCGATACCCCTCACCCCATATTTCGGTCCCCATCGCCCCACGATTTCGGTGCCCCGCGCCCGCATGGCGGCACATCGTATCCTGACAGATGTGCAACACCATATGACACGCGGCTCTTCAGAAAGGCCCGAAGCGCTTAGCGGTGCGAATTTCGAGTGAAGAGTTCAGTTCGCCCGACTCCGCGATTGGATTAGGCCTCACCCTAGCTCACCGGCCCCGGAATGGCCTGGGGGCAGCCTTCTGGGACCCGTAACGGTCTTCCCCCCTCGTTCCATCAGCTGAGACGCTGGCATCACCAACAAGATGCATCACCAACAAACAGCATGACGCATCACCAACATCCCAAATTATTATTATTTCTTGAATGTGGCATCAGCTTTTGGGGTAACAGAGATAGATGCCGTTTATCTACATTCTAGACTAAGACAAGCTAAAGAAGCTTTTTAACCTCTGTAACCAGGTTGTCCTTGGAAATAAGTTGCCCCCGATCTTTCTCGTCAGTCTCGCCATCACCAGCCCCCAAAACCTTCAGCCTAACCAGACCATCAGCCAACTCGTCCTGGCCGATAATCACCGCAAGAGGAACGTCCTTGGCTGCCTTGAACTGTTGAGGCAGCTTGGCTTTGACCTTAGCAGCAAATTCAGCTCGGATGCCGGCATTCCACAACTGCCGAGCGATCGCCATTCGCTCAAGAAGTAGTCCGTCCGTGTCCTTGCCGCCGAATGCCATGACGTAGACGTCGATCTCACGTGTCAAGACCCCTGCCTTCTTTCCACGTCGAGCGTCTAAGATCGTGAAAATTCGGTCAACCCCAAACGAGACTCCAATACACGGCATAGGGCGCTTTCCGAACATGCCCACGAGGTTGTCATAGCGGCCACCTGCAGCAATGCTGCCAACTTGGCTGGACAGGCCGTCGCTCTTGGCCTCGGCGGGAGCCCCAGGGCCATATTGGCTGGGCGGTTTTGTCAAGACTTCATAGATAACACCAGAATAGTAGTCCAGGCCTCGAGCAAGCGAGAGGTCGAAAGAAACTTTGTCGATAACGTCCAACGCCTCCAAGTAGGGGACGAGAAGACCCATGTCTTTCAGTCCAGCTTGCACCTTTTTATTTCCGGATAACGTTTCGTCTGACTGAAGCAACTCCAGTATTTTTCGCAAATCGCCATTGAGTCCCACATATTTGCCAATGCGATCGGCAACTTCCTCGGGCAGGCCTTTTTCCTCGACCATCTCTTTCTTCACGTCATCCCAGGGTGCTTTATCCAGCTTGTCGACGGCTGAGCTGATGAGACGGACCTTTTCGTCTGGGACGCCCGCAACGGCGAAGAGGCCGTCTAGAATTTGTCTGTGGTTGATTTTGATCGAAACCTCGAGCTCTAGCGCCTCGAAAACTTCGATGATGACCCGCAGAACCTCGGCATCAGGTATCATGGGGTCGTAAACCCCAGCAATGTCGAAGTCACATTGGTAGAACTCGCGGAGCCTCCCACGAGCTATCGCAGGTTGGTCCCGACGGTAGACCTTTGCAATCTGGTAGCGCTTGATCTGTGTGATGTTGGTATTCATGGCCAACCAGCGAGCAAACGGAACGGTGAGATCATATCGCAAAGAGCAGAGCTCCCCACCCTGATCTTCCAAATCGTATATAAGACGCGAGTCCTCTCCATATTTCTCTGTCAGAATTCCTCTAAGTTCGAATACGGGCGTATCCAATGGGGTGCCGCCATGACGCTTGAACACGTCGCTGACTGTCCGGCTATTCGCACATTAGTGAATCTATTGAGCCATCGAATATAACGTGCAAACCATACAAGATATGTTCACGAAGGACAAGGTCCGGACCAACCCAGTCCCGAGTACCTTTTGGCGTCTTCAGCTGCACGTTGGAACGAGTTGACTTCGCCTCACTAGTTGCCATGTTGCTGCCTCCTTGCCTAGCTTGGAACCAGAGGCAAGCTAGGTGTCGGCAAGGCCTGACTCTACCATCAAATATTGCTAGATATCGTGAGGTCTGATGGGTGGACTAGAAAATATGTCGGTTGAGTCATACCTAATGTACATATGTATGCGGGGTAGGGCAGGACTCCGGAATCCGGCGCGAATTTAATCCGATCAATATCCTTCTATTGCAGTGTCTGTATACACAGTGTATCGCGTGTAACCTTATAAAAGTGCCCAGTGTAAATCAGTATAATCAGTATAATTAGGAACCTAGGTATATATCTAGCTAAGGAATATGCACTTTATATGATCTTTCGTCCACTATATATAGGTTAAAGTCAGGGTTTATACTGTGTAGAGTAGGTAAATTTGAGGGACCAGAAGTTTCTAATCGTGTGTGATAGATAAGGTGCTTGCTTTAACGCTTTTTCTGCTTTCAGGGCTTACACCTAGCTAATAGTTTGTTCTATGACCAGATATCTTCAGTTATGACAGCAATCTCACGGTAGGTAATAATTTTAGTCTGCCTCCAGGCGCAATCTCACCAACCAGGTAAGCAGGGGTACCTAACAGATGCCACTGGCACCGCCAGATAATCTGGGGGGGTCATTGTTTAGGCGCCTGTCTTTTTTGTTGGCTAATGCTGATTTGTCGCCCAGCCAATGTTAGCGCCCCAGTTCTTTTTGGTGTCAATCAGCGGTGCTTGGCATTTTCATATGCAACTATGCGTAAGTGTAGATTTCACAGTTTCACAGAGTTTGTACTCCTTGCTATAGCAGATGCTGTGACGATGGACTGTAACTCAAGTCTTTCCTATTCTAATCCTGGGTTGGGCCACTTGCTTTCTGTTTATAGCCACGTTTCCTCTGTAGCTTTGACCATCGAGCCATCCAGCCAAGTCATTCGGAAATAGCGAAGTGCTATGATTAGCAGTTACTGATAGGGGCATTCCACACCTGGAACCAACAGACCAATTCACCCTGGCAAAGCGTCTCTCAAGCTATGGCCCCTGCATTTTACAGCAACTCTCTTCAAAAGCAGCCGTTTTTAGCTATGGTGCGAAGACCTTTAGCTGGTACTGATGATGCAACTATCTGTACTTGGGGCCAACAGACCTAGCCACCCTAGTCAAGCGCCTTACTATAGAATGGCTGGTCCAACTGCTAACCCGGTCGTTGCGGACTGTATAGCCGCTACACCCTGAGCATCCTGAGGTAGTCTCTTGAGGCACAAATCCTATTCGTCTCCTGACGCTGGTAGCTCTGGGCCCCCATGGCCTTGACCGTGGGCTGGCGTCTCCGTGGCCGGTGGCTGGCGTCTCCTTGGTCGACAGTCGCGGACAACGGTCTGGTTGTAGGCATGGAATCTCAGGAATTCGACATGGACAACCTCCAAGCAACTGTGTATAAAACCCAGCCTACTCTCGCAGCTATCATGGTGCTGTCTCTAGATGCCACAGATCCTTCAATTCTTCAGCTCCAATCCTGCCTTCGTATCATCAGCCTCATTGACCAACATGTCTCAAACCTATAGCCCTCTCGAAGTTTCGAAGCGAACGCTCCACGAAGCGTGGCGTCGGCGAGACCAGGCAAAGCTTGATCTCGAAGATGCGAACGCGGAGTATCGGTCGCTATATAGAAGGTGCCAGCAAGGTTAGTATTTTCTAGGGTGGCTCATCTTACTATCTGTCGTGCTGGCGATCTGACTGGGTTGTAATAGGAAGAGGCAGTTCCGTACAACTCGATGGTGTGGCAAGGCGTGTGCGCAACCTTGAATATGCGGTAGAGAACAAATTGCCGGCTGCTATCGCGAGTGCCTACGAAAGATACCTGTGGGACTTCTACACTGAACACGGCTTGTAAGTATCCAACCTCGAAAACATTTCCACTTGCCCCTGCCAATCTTGTCTTCGTTTGGTTTTGATCTTTGATATTCTAACACAAGGTCTCCATAGGGGGCCATTGCCTTATGACATCTCTGAAAATACCTCGCAATATTTGGGTGATCGCGCGAGGCAGATTCGGAACCAGGTGGAGGCGCAGTACCTCAGAGAGCTCCAGGGACAGCGCTGAGGCCCTAAGGTTCGACAACCTTCGCTACAGATTTAGGTATCAATTCCTATTTTGGCAACTTCTAGTGGTGTTATTCTTTGCGTCGACAACACCCTCCGGAGGCACCTAGGGAATGTGGCATATATACAGCAAGGTCTTGGTTTCGAGCTAGGTCGTGTTAGATATGGGTATTTGTTTTAGTTATATAACGTCAGATATAGAGAATGTGCGGGCCAGTTCTTTTCTCATTCACCTAATTTCATGAAGACGCTGTTCACAATTCGCTCCTAGGCGTAGGCATGTTAGTCCCAAACCCTTCCGCTAGCGAACGGTGGCGTGACAGCGGCGAATAGGAGTAGGTTACGAGGCATCACGGCCTACCTCTCCAGCGAGCGACCGGTCTGGTTGCCAGTCAGAGGTGCGAGTTTTCCATCTGTGCATGAAATCATCGGTTGAGACATGGTCGAAATCTGTCTTGTGTGTTGTTTACGAAACGTTCTTAGTCTGTCGTTCTTGAAGCCTACCCTGCCATTTTTTGGAATCTCAAAACTCTCTCGAGAAGTACAAGGCGAGCATAACGGAATCCACCCCCTGCTCGGTCATCGACTCTACTTAGGTACTTCGTTGGTCAGTAGTTGGAGTGACGCAAATTCTCAGGACTATAGATGAAGAGTTAGGGTTTGATGCGCTGGCTAGTAGGGCTCCAAAGATGCATTGATTGCTACGCCGAAGGCGCAAATTCACTTTTGCTATTCGCTGGGCGCAGTCCGCTCCCGCAAATTGGTGGAGCAAGACCAAGAGGAGAGACAAATGCACCTAGATATACATGGGACGTTACGATGGTGTCGTCCAAGCACAAACGAAGGGGCAGAGAAATTGTATAAGCCCACCCCCCTAAACCCGAGATGCGGTTAGCCGTCTCCGTCTTCTTTTGGCGCCTACGGCTTTTTCCCAGCCTTAGAACGGATGAGAGCAGCGTTAAGGCTGGCTCTTCCTAAGGGACTCTCCGGCAACATACCGGAGAGCCGTTAGTTACACGACTTGGCACTTATAGTTGAGGAGACTGTAACTGGAACGGAAAACGGCATGTTCTCTTCTTTCTTAGTGATTAAGCACTAGCGTCATTCAACACCCCTCTGGTCGTACCAACAACTCTCATATTTCAAGAAATGAAAAACAACATTAGGCAATTCCTCTATTGCTACTGAATATTGGTTAAATACTCAAGTGACCAAATATCTCTGTATACACTGTGCGCTCCCCCCAAGCTATAAAGTGAGGAGTACAAAGCCTAAAGTAGATATCTAGCTATACTACCAGACGAGATCAATAATTGCCGATATGAGGAAGGTCAGTAGCGCCAGAGGCCTCCTAGTATGATATTCCTTGTTAAATCGAGCTATGATTAGGGTGGTGCAAGGTGCAAGCGTCTAATATACCAACGAAGATAAATGGGGGGGTACTGGCGGACTCCTCGATCACCACCAAACTTGAAACGGGCACAAAACACCAGGCAAGTCGTAGTTAGGCGCTTGAGGCTTAGAATTGTTCTGGTAATGATTGAGATAACTGGGGACTGTCTCGCCAATGGCAATTCATGCCCTCTCGACCCGTCTGCATGGTGATCCGGCGCTGGGCTACCCCAGCGGCTAGCCGGGTGCTCCCGTGAACATGCCGTTAACACCGGGATTGATGCCGATCCCGCAAGACACGTTGGGTTGTCGGTTGCCATTCGGCCGCTGCATGGTGCTGCGGGCATACCCACATACATAGAAGACACCCGGATGTCGTATCTATGATGGAACGCCAACATGAGAGAGACGGCGTTTAAGGGGTGCAGAAGAAGAGTTCATCTGAGCTCTACCTTGCAGCTCCGAGACCCGGATATCACCATCCAACATGTTGAGATCCGGCGAGAAGCCGTCGACAACAGGACCATTCATCTCGCAAGCGGCGAGAGGCGGGGGGGCCCACAGGAAAGCCTGGTTGGCACCACGAGGACCCTGCGGACCACCTGCGAACTGCGAACGACATATGTGGGGTCTCGATGAGTCGGATCACGACAAGCTGCCCGGGGTTAGGTGGGTGGTAAGGGTACGGTGAGGTTAACAGACCGACCTTGGCGCACCTCGCGAGGCCCCGATCGAAGAATTTCATCGCAGGGCCATGACCGAGCACCGACTAGGACATCTAGCTGTCGCCATCCCATCTCTCTGGGCTGTAGCAGCAACGAACCTGGCCTGGGTAGCCAAACGCGCGCTATCAGACCGCAAGACCGTAGGATGTTGTGTGGCGGGGGCCCTGGGGAGAGTGGGTGGGGGTCGAGACTGCGCATCGCATCGCATCGCCGAGGGTTGGATGCGGCCGAGCGAGAATACCAGACTTTCCGGCTCGTGTACACTCCCAGCGCTGCCCGTCTTTGGCCTGCCCAATTCCCCGCAGAACGATGATCAGAGAGACGAGTCTACTCATACGTGTAGTCCGTGTCTGCGGCAGCGGCGGGTCCGAAGTCCTATTGGACGGGATGATGGACTCATGTGCCATTCCAGTCATGCCTCCATTTTGAGAGAGAAAAGGTCTCTCTATCCTTACCTAATTGGTACCCCTCGACGGCAAATCCTGGTATATGAAGGGCCCGGGCGCCACCAGACTACTACATAATACTGCGTAAGGTGCCGGCTCATGCCTCTCTCTGCATCTGGCATTTCCCGTTTCCCTGGGCCATGTTCTCTTGTTGCGCACACCCCCAAAAAGATACCCTGGTCATGGGAACAGGTAGATATGACCCCCCGGATCCCCGCTAACCCTAACACTGCCATCGGGTGGTCGATGATGATGCGAGACTTTGTTGGCAAATCGACCCAATTTCGGCCCAAGAGGATGGATATTCCCTAGCATAGAGTGTCTCTTGAAACACACATTTTTTTTTCTTTTTGGAGGAGAGAGAGAGAGACACCCATCCACACACACACACACACAGAGCACGCATGATGGGCAGTTCTGGTAGCGTCTCAGGCTGTAGCCCGTTAAGCGTATGCATGAGCCTTGGTTCGTCTGATCTTACCCTGCTCGACCTTACCTCGATGCCGCTGCAGCAAGTCTACGTCCTACACAGATCATAGGGGTATTGCAGATGTAGGCATGTGCATACGACCGAATGCCTGTCTGCATTGAACGAGCGCAGCAGTTTGACGTGCAGGCTATAACGGAGGACTGCATATATAAGGGGAACCGGCATGAGGAGGCGGTGTGATTTGATGCCTTTTTCCGGCCTGGCTGGTTTCGTGTTTGACCTCACCCAAGGAGGCAAAGCGTGGGCGTGCGCTGTATGTGCTAGCCAAATCGATCCGAGGAGCGTGGGATTGCCTTCCGCCCATCCCCAGCTTTCGTGCCTCGTGCCTATGCCTGATGCCTCGACGTGCCCCCTCCCTCTGGGCCGTCGGCCATTGAAGTCTTTACTTCTCGAGTAGGCTTCTTGGGGAAGGGGGGGGAGAGTGGGAGGAGAGTGGGAGAGGGCATAGGAGATGGATAGATAGATATACCTATAGAGAGAGAGGGGGAGAGGAATGCAAAGAGGCAGCGAGGAGGTGCCTACTTGTAGGTGCTTGAGGTACGTACTTTACGCATTGAGGTAGGTACCTACCAAGCCACTTAGGTACCTGTTTCTCCTAGGATCGGAATGGCTATTAATGTCCATTGTTTGAGGACCTAGAGCAGCCTCTTCAGGCGGTGCTGACGATTGGGCAATCCGTTAGGAGGGATGGTTTTATCTGATGCCTGAGCTGAAGTGGTGCTAAAACAATTACGCGGCACATATACAAGAGGCAACTTTGGGTACCTCAAGAGAGGCCACCTGGTTGGGATGGGATATCGGAAGAGGGAGAGAAAGCGCCTCTCCCGCTACATAAGAAGATATCTTCCGAGTCCTCGGCGCTATTCCCAGGTTTGGGCGGCACTGTGCCTTAGGTAGGTAGGTACATGGGGGTAGGTACTCGTCTACACGTAATGTATACCTATACCTTAGAGCTCCGTGGGTTTGATAATAGAGGATAGGTTCGATTCCTGACAGCGCTACTTGGTAGTCTCTATTATTAAGCCTATCTCTTAGGTACATTAGGAGATTAGGTTAGGTACCTCTATCGGGCGCCTTTCTCAGATCTGTGTTTACAGGTGTGGCATGCACATATGCACATGAGATAACCACCAGGCAGTCCCGAAGGTGGTAGTGGTGGGGCGCCAGGGAACGGGTAATCCTGTCCATATACCTCCTACCTAGGTACCTAGGTGTATACCTCCTAGATGAGGTATGCAGAGGTACACAGAGGTACACAGACAGACAGACAGAGACAGACAGGCAGGTCGGGGAGGAACGAGCGCGCCATGGGTTGTCATGGTAGCGGGCAGGAACACATGTCCCGCGCTAAACCCCGACGGGGCTAGCGGGATGCCGAGAGAAGGGGGCAGAGACGGTGGGAGAATGAGTGTTGATGCTGGCGACAGGCCGCTGCTAAAAACTGCCACCAAGAAGCCAGCCCGGCCTACGAGTAAGTACTCTTGGTCGCCCAGCCCGCTTTCGACTCGACTCCTGTTGTGTGTTGCATGTTGCGTGGTGCGTGTGTACGTGTGTGTGTGTGTGTGTTGTATGTATGTATATGTGCGAATGCGAATGCCTGTGTATATTCGTGGGTGGTGTGTAGCTTGAGGTACGTACAGCCTGCCTGTACCTACCTACCTACCGCCTATGCCCATCCACCACCGCTGCCGTTCTCGTCCGCCATCCACTCATCCCTCCCTCCACCGTCACCCGTCCACCTCCATCTCCATCCCACCCGAGTCGGTTGTTGTCGTTGTCGGTCCACCTCACAACAACAACGGCAGCATAACGGTAAGTCAAGGGAACAACCCCGACAGCATCAGCAGCATCGAGCGCCTGCTGCCTGCGACAGATACGACAAGACGAGAATTGCGAACGAGGAGCGGACGAAGATAGCCTGCCACCTAACCCGACGGTTATTCCAACCTCCCACATCTCGCCCTCCTCGCGACCGGCTCTCTCACCTACACTTCCCCCATACGCCTAGACGGTTACGGAAATCGGACGTGTAGGCTGCATACATGTTTGTTGTCTCTCCGCATCGTGTTTCTTGCTACGAGAGACGCGCCGCCAGCAGAGAGAGGGACACGACATACTGACGACTCGGAGAAAAACAAGAGGAACGCACCCACTACGCTACACACCACCTTGGATTCGATCAACACCATTTTCCCACGCCGCTCACTGCTTTACCACCACTTGGTTTCTACCGCACAACAACCACCACAACAACGATCCTTACCGTTTGTTCTCCTTTGTCACGATACGACCCTGTTTACCTTCTCATTCTAGAACGCCGGCACGATTCATCTGAAATAAAGAGAAGAAGAAGAAAGGAAAAAAAAAAAAAGGAAGAAAGGCGGGAAAAGAAGCAGTATCGCAGAGTTTAGCACAGGTTGCCTATCGATTGCATCCTGCCGAAAGAGAAGGCGATTCAGAAAATACCCATAAGCTACTTAACACCACTGCTACCGCTACCCCTACGAATACGCCTTCATATCCCCCCTCCCTTCCCGCCTCCCTCGCTCGCGACTAGCCGACCCCTCACACCGCCGATGCGCCATCGAGGATTCTAATCTAGGTTGATCGTGCACGCCGCACAACATGCGACCCCGTACGAACTCGGCCATGACCGAACCGCCGTCCTCCCCTCCGAACGGGGCCGCCACGGTCGAGGAGTCGCTGGCCTGGTACAAGAGACAATACGAGCAGCTCGCCGACGAACTTGCCGAGTTCCGCGAATCCAGCCACGAGCTCGAGGCTGAGCTGGAGAAGGACCTAGATGCCGCCGACAAGCGACAGCGCGATCTGCAGCAGAAAGCTGAGGGGCTTCAGTTCGAGGTCGACGAGTGGAAGGTACGCTTTATTCACATCTGACGCTCTGCCCTATCTGCTTGTGAATTCACCAACGCGCTTCCCTACCCGTCTCGCGGCCAGGTGTAAACAAATCGCATCGCATCGCTAACTCCGAGTCTCCAGGAGAAATGCCGGAAGGCCAAGACCGAGGCAAACACAGCGCAGAATACACTGGAGAAGGAGATTACCGTTCTCCGCGACACCAACCGTACCTTGCAGCTGCGGTTACGCGACATAGAAGTGGCAAACGACGACTTCGAGCGACAGGCGCGGAACACGACCTCGTCCCTCGAAGACTTGGAGTCCAAGTACAATGTCGCCATCGAGAGGATCGTCATGATGGAGGAGGAAATCAAGATAGGCGAGCAGGAGCGAGAGACGTTGCGAATAGAGGCCCAGCGGTTGCGCGAAGAGTTGTCGGACCTCAAGATTGAAGCCGAGATCATGCAGGACAAGATCAAGAAGGCGGAGAACCGTCACCTTTCTACCATCTCTACAGACATCTCCATCCCCGGCTCACCTATCTTCGAAGACTCGCCCCGCTCCATGGCGAGCTCTCCTCTCACGGTGCCTCCCGACGACGTATCTCTGCCGCGAACTAGAAAGGACGCCCCTATCGTTAACGAGCCTCCGTCACCCCCGATGTCCGACGCGTCGGCGCCTCTCCCGAAACTTTCCAAGGTCAAGACGCCCGCGCCGCAGAAGAGATCCCGCCTACCCTCCGCCGATCACAGCATCACGCCGAAGCCGAAGAGTTCCGTATCCGGCGGCATGCAACCGCCGAGAATGCGCTCTGCCACCAACACGCGCACACCAGCGCCCCCGCGTACTTCTACCGCCCGGACAGCTTCGCAAAGGCCTCCCGCGCCGGCCTCTCTTAGCCATATCCGCTCCCTCGCCGCCCAGATGCAACGACTAGAGGCTCGAGTGCAGTCGGCGCGATCTAAGTTGCCAGCTCCCACCATCACGCCTCCGCGGGCGTCTCCGAGGTCGTCGATAAGCGGCGGTCAAGTGCCTCCCTCGGTCACGATGCGCTCGAGGAAACGCACCATAGGCTCCACCACGTCTTCCGTAGCCGACGAGACCCCTTCCCAATCGAGCAATGCGTTGGGAAGCAAGCACGTCCCTAGACTCAGCACGTCGGGAATATCAAGACTGTCCTTCGGCCCATTGCCCAACCGAAGTAACAATTACGACCAAGATAGCTCCGGCATCGGCACGGGCATCTCGCGACCGAGTAGTCGAGCTAGTATGTCGAGCTACGCGAGACCTGAGAGACCCGCCAGCCGAACCGAGATCGCCCGCCCCATGTCCCGGACCAGCTTCTCAGGTGCGAGGACACCCTTAGGACTGAGGCCGAGAAGTTCTCTTAGTGGCAGCCTCCACGGACATTCTCAGAGCATGAGCCGGATGGACCCCGACGAGTCCATCGAAGAGGGCTTCGAGGACCGCACACCGAGTCGCAGGGGCACCTACAGCAAATTCGACGCCGACGGCTCCGCTAGCAGCATCCCGATGCCTAGGCGGCAGAGCGGTGGTATGCACTCGTCTCGCCGAACTAGTGGTAGCGTTTCGACGACGGAAATCACCGGAAGGCCACGGAAATTGAGCGACCTGGGGGAGACCTACTAAGTTTTCTTGAAAACTTCAACCCAAACTACGGCCCTTGTATTCTTTCTCCCCTCGTCGTTTCAATTGCGGTGTTCCAACGACACAGCATCGACCGGCGGTTGGTGCCATTTTTATACCCATGCTGAGGCGCTGAGCCGAGGTGTCACGATTTTACGGACGGATTTGCATATATCATTCTCGCCAGCATGCGTGCTTCCCGCACTCTCACTATCAAGGGGCGAAGAAGAAAGAACCGCATGGTGTTAGGCAAAACATATTTCTCGGGCTGTCCCGGTCAGGGAAGGGGATTTCCCTTATTCTTTGGATGAAAAACAACCGCGTGCGCGCGGGATTTGAGGCGGGCGTTCCGGGGCACGAGGAGGAGGCTGCTTTTCGGCCAAGCTGAAATTGTCTACCCCTTTCCACGCCTTACTACTAGTACTACTACCCACGCCGCTGGTTTTGTAGCCGTCGCCGCCACGGCGGTGGCGGCCAGCGGCAAGTAAGGTGATGATGACACTTATTTTCGCGCGGGCTGACGGAACCTTTGTACATACGCGGCCTAGACGACACGTTGTGTGTGTGAGTGTGTGTGTGACAGGGAGTTCGCGCGCGTGGTTCCAAGACTGAAGAGAGTCGGCAGGATCGAGAGAGAAAGATTTTGTAGTATTAATACGAGCCTAAACGGCAGCCCCTATTTACTCTTCTTTGTTTTACACAATACAAACCCCTTTTGCCCCACCCCCGTGGTCTCTCTCCTCCTGCACTTTGCTTGTGATAGGGGTGGCTGCTAATACACGTGTAACCCCCCCCCCCCCCCCCCCCAAAGAGACGATGCTCGATGAGAGACGTATATATACATATACAAGCGTCTACTCAGCTGTCTCTCGACCTATCCAACCTGCCCTCGGCGTGGCTTCGGGGCTAAGACTCATGGCAACGTATACGCGGTGTGTCTCAGATTGCACGTAGCCTAAGTCAATCTCGTTTCCTCTGCTCACTTACCTACTTATCTCCATATCGTCTTCTACTGCCTAGCCTTACCTGTCTGCTCTGGCCCTGCGTGCCGCCAGTAACAAGCACCTTCCTCCGTCCCTCCGTCCCTCCGTCCCTCCCTCGGAGACAGGCCACGGCTGTCCGAGCCGCGCGCGCGTACCACCGCGAGGTCGAGGCGCCACCGCGCCCATCGCACACCAGCGGCTGCCGCGGGGTGGGCGGTCCCGCGCCGTCTTGGCCTCGCAGCGCGGGCAAGCGCCGGATGCTGTCGCCCCTGGGCTAATGGCGCAAAGTTCCCCGGTGCAGCGGTCCGGAGGCCGACCTGCACACATACATACATACATACATACATACATACATACATACACATGCCTATATGTGCGGGCTGGTGCCCTAGGGTCGGGAAGGGAGGGGAGATATAGGGAGGGCGGGCGGGCGCGGCGGGGTTGGCAGGAACTCGCCCCCCCCCCCGTGTCGCCCCTCTTCTCCCCCCGAGCGTGTACGCAGGTTCATCGGCATAGTCGCTTGACTCGTCTCGGTTGGAAAAGGGGGGGGGGTTGCGCGGTATGCGGCGCTGGCGGCAGACGACGTCGCGCTGATCATCCCGGGAGAGTAGGAAGGGGGGGTAGGGGAGGGGGGTGCGTGCGATAGGAGCGGGTTGGTAAGAGGCTCTAGGGGCGGTCTACGGCCCGGATATCGACGAGAGCCTGCCTCCCTGCCCTCTGAGTTTTAGATTTCTCGCTCCTTCTCTACACGTGCGGCGGGCCGCGGCGATGGTTTGTCCGATCTACGGCGCACCGACCGAACTGGCTGCGCTTAAGCAGAGACGGGCTGGTCCGCTGGGCCCGAAAAGCTTCTCGGTGTCTACTTCTGTGCGTCTGCGAGATCGTCCCAAACCGTAACTAGCGTGGAGACGAATCTAATTATATAACAACTTTATTTCTTCAACGTACATCTATCCGGCTCTTCTCGTCCCGAAACCTCCTCCGCATAGCTAGAGTTTCTTCCGTGTCGCGTGCCGAGGTTGCGCACGTAGGGAACGCGGGATGCGAAACGCGCAGAGCCAGCTATCGGGGATGGCCGTATTCGTCGCGGCCGGCTAGGCTGACATCCTATCCGCCAACCATGTCTAGCGCGCGCTGGGTGCGTGCGACGTAGCATGGGAGCTCGGCATATGGAACGAGAGTCACTGACATCATCGTTCTCGAAGTTAGACGACCACATTCGACGGGACTTCCCCAATCGGGGTTGGGACGAGCCTGGCCATTACTATAGCTTATTCCTCTTACTACGACGGGACGGGTCCGTTACCCAGCACTTCGTTTCGTGCCAAGCTCCGTTTCGGTCCTCCTCAGTCGCATCCAGCGGAGAGCCCAAGGCGTATCTCCCTACGTCTGTAACTGATTTGCTGTAGGTAACTAGATAAGCCGCGTAGTAATGATGGTAGATATGTATGGCGGACACCCTCCGCTACGACGTGATGGGAAGGCGAGCTGGACAGATAACGCCATAAGTGGTGATAAGATGCGTCAAGATGCAGCCCTTTCAGCATAGTCGAGAGCAGCCCGATACCACGACATCCATCTGAGCACATAAGGGTCGAAACATTTGCCTAAGAAGAGTAAGACAGTTAAAAAGCGGGCGGCATCTTAGGATGGGAGCCGTAGATGTACGCTCTGACGCGGTGACCGTCGATATCATCGGAGGAGTCGGATGACGCGGGGTGGGGGCAGGTAGTAGGCGAGCAGGGGTGGTGGTGGCCAGCTCCGAGACGCGCGACTGAACCGGCATGTTCCCAACTAGGTAAGCGCCGTAACGTCAACTGTGCCGTCGACCATGTCGTGTGTGGTGCTGTGTTGCGTGCAAGCGTGCTCTCTCACGTCTCTACGACGCCCAAGATCTCACGGTGGATTCGATCAACAAGTCTGGCATGCCGCTGACCCCCGTTCCCTCGACCGCCGTGGCGTTTGGTAGATCGCGTGCTGACATGGGATAGCCGGAAAATCCTCCAGGAGTTTCTAGGCTGGGAATCAGACCAGTCGGTGGAGGGGAACGAGGTCCGACGGGTATCTCGCGAGGCGATAGGCGACGGTACGCGATTGGGGGAGAAGCACGGTGGGATGTGATATAAGAGATATGCGATGGGAATAAGGTGGTCGGCTTCGGCGATCGGCCTTATGCAGGCTTACGCATCATATCGGCATCGTGCCCTAGACGTTGCCGGACGTGAGGTTGGGGACATGCGACGAACGGATGCCCGGAGACAGAGAGCAGTCCCAATGTTCCTTGCTTATCGGCCTGCTCCCTCTCTCTATGGCCGGCGCGAGGAGGAAATGGAGAAGTGGAGAGGCGCCGTCTCCGGCCTAGAGAGGGGAGGAGGGCAGATGACGGGGAATAGGACTCGAGGCGGTTGTCTCTACTCGTCGGTTCTGTCTGTGGGGACGAAGCGAGTGGAGGGGGTATGTAGAGAGCGTGAATGTCCGAGACAAAAGGCAATGGACGGTCGTCAAAGCGATTAGGCGCCTACGGTAATGCGATATGCCGGGTCTGTACATACCTAACAGGTACCTAGGCGCCTATATTGCACCCACCGGATCTTGACTGTACCGCCTCTAATGCCGTCAGAGGTACCTTGGGATGGGCAAATCCAGGGACCTGAGCCAGGACGACAGCGACTTGCCTCTGTGGGTCCGGCTTAACGCAGGTGGGCTCGCCTCTGGTCCTGTCGGCCGTCGCACTGCGACGGCTACCCCAACAATTGAGCTTAGGTTCTGCTCAGCCCGAAATCCGACGATGATGGCTAACCGTCCTAGGATAGCTTGGGAGGGTTCTGCGCGCGATGATACCGCTAACTCCCGGATCCCACCTACCTATCTCTAGTGTGGCCCTGGGGAGTTGAAGGTGGCTGCTGTTTAGCATACCCGGCTTACCTATCAATTCAGAGGCGAAAGAGGTAATGTGGTACGGAGGTGGAGGAAGACATTGACATCGACGACGACATCGACAACGGCACTAGCGGCAGCAGAAGGAATAGTAACGGCGGCAACGCGGATGCATCATAGCCGGGGGCATCTAGCGTGGACAAGAACGTGAGGTATTTACCGCTGTTCGAAAAAGTACCTATCTCGGACGCGGGATGACATGCGAAGTAAGCAGATTCCACGTCCAGTTTTTTTTTTTTTTAAGATGACAGGGCGCCGATAGTGCTGAGCAGGCAATGCACAGTAAGCAAGAGTGGGAGTCTGACTTCGTAGTGAGGTATGGCCAGGACCGACGCTAGAAATGTAGGGCGCTCAGCGAAGAAGGGAGCGGGAAAGGGAGAAGGGAGGGAGAAAAGAAAAGAGACAAGAGAGGATACACATCCAAGGGGAAGAGGCTAGGAGAAACTCGGCGGCGGAAAAGGGCACTATTTCCACGGATTTTCGATATATTCATTTGTCTCGGCTGCCAGGGCGTGGCCCAAATGGCGCCGCTTGGGTTGTTGAGCTTCCGGGCCACAAGTGGAGAAGAGAGCGCCCGGGCGAAGTGAGGGAAGATTGGGAAAGAACCGAAAAGAAAAAAATAAAATGAAATGGAGCAGAAGAGGAGGAGGGGGGAGGATGAGAAGAAGAAAAGGAAGAGGAAGAAGAAGAAGCGGGGGGGCACCGTAACCCATGACAAGGGTAGAAAGCGGAATCCGATCGCGATAAAAAACAGCGAACAAAAAGTCCGAACCCGATCGGTGGGTAGGTAGGTAGAGGTAGGTCTCATCCACGTTATCCTTATCGGGCCAACTCGAAATATACCGACGTGGGTTGCCAATGCGGTCTCACCTCTCTGCGATGTCTCTGTAAGGGGTTCAGAGCTCGAACCTGCTGCTGTGCAACTTGCTGCGTGCCTTTGTGCGTTGCTAAAACCGCCGCCGCCGGGATCGATCAATTTCACGGACGCAATAGCTCTCTCTTAACTTGCTCGCCCAGACACACACGTATTAGCCAGCTCCAGACTCAGGGGGGAGGGGAGCGGCAAGAACCAATTTGGAATATCCCGCCCTGAGTCCGATGCGGCTACGCCTCCACGCCGGCTAGGCTGGTTGATCCAAAAACCCAAGCTGTCGTCGCATGATGCCCACGCACACAAGAACGGTCGTGAGCAGATGGAAGCGAGAGCCTTCACGTCACTTAGGTAGAAGGTCGCTGTACTTACTATGGCGCGGTGGTATCTCGAGATGTAGTAAAGACGAATTCTTGGTCCTACCCTCTTGCCCACAGCGCACAGAAGCGCGCCGAGCGAAAGTTGTAAGCCGTTAGGTGGTAGGTACCTACCTAGGTACCTAGGTATGAGGTAACCTGCTTCCCAAATGTCTATAAAACACCCCGGTTGTGCCTAGGTTACCGGATGCGTCGCCGTTGCTGCTCTTGTGCAGTATGTACCACGTAGCAATTCCCTACGTCTCGGGGACGTCGAGTGCTACCTTAGGTAGCTACGTACATAGCAACCTGCCCGGTGGGCAAGGTTGTATAGACCCGAACCCGAGACGCAACGCAACGCCTCAAATACCCAGTGAATGTCCCCGGGTAACCTTCGTTTGGCTCAGACTGCCGTGGCTTGAACGTCGATCTCCAAACTACCTAAGGCACTCGGCTCTACCTTTTCCTCTTCCCTTAGCCGTGGGCAATTCCGCATTGTTTGCTCCTCGCGTCTCTGGGTTGAGTGCCTAGATACTTATGTGTGCGGGCAAAGTGTTCCCCGATACATCATCGCGTGGGTGCTTTAGCTGTAGGTACGCTGGGTATCTTGGTATCTCGTGACAGGTAACAACGGAGAACGTCGCGATACCAGGTACCTTACAAAGATGCCGGTGGGGACCTTAGCGGACCCGCCCAGGTTGGCGGCGGCATTTTGGTGTCCTGCCTCTACGTATCATAGGTCCTTGTTTCCGACTTAGCATTGCCGTTGCAGGTATTACCTATTACTACTATCATCGTCACCCGTGTATGCGATCTAACCTAGTCGGGTACCATAACTGTTTTTTTTTTTCGTCTCCTTTCTGCGCCCCGGTAGTAGTAGACGTATACCCACGTACCTAGGTACCCACCCAGGCACCTAAGACAGGGACGTTACGATTACCTGTTACCTCCGTAGGCTGTACCTGCCTACCTCCCAGGTAGCTATGTATATCTGATATGGGCATCCTTCAGCAATCTCAAAAAGAAACAACCTCCGTCCGACCACCTCGACTCGGTTCCCTTTTCTCCCCCTTCACCTTCTTCCGTCGCTTGCTCTACAGCCTCTGTCGGTGCTTACAGCCCCTGTTTACCTTCTCTCCATCGCTTCCGCTCCTTCGAGTCGATCTATGGATATTATCTGATACCCATCTCGAGACGACTAGTTCGACGCCTAGGTGTCCCCTGTGTAAGTCCCGAAACCCCGCCTACGTGAATACGTAGCTATTTAGACGGGTCCAACTGGCCTTGCTGGTTGCCACGGCACGGTCTCGAGAGCAGCTCAACAAGCTTGCGATGTGCTCTTTTTTTCCTTTCTTTACCTTTGTCGAGTGGATCAACCCCAGCCCATCGGAACACCCCACGCATGGCCAGATCTTCTGCTAATTTTATACCCTCTTGTCGTAGACCTACCTAGTCCGCCCTCCCCCTTCTTCTCTACTTGATCCCTCCTTACTCCCTCCCTGCGCCTACTGCGGACAGGATCGCGGGTGCTCAGCTGAGGCTCCCCCCGCCCGCACATCTACGCCCTTGCTTCTCATCCGCCAGCAAGCACATACGGGTGTCGATATCGGTTCTCCCCGCCGACCGATATTCCCGTCGACGACTGTGCGCTCCGCACAATTGCGTATCGGCAGCCGCTGTACTTGGATGACCCCGTCAAGTCTTGGTTCCGATTCTTCTATCCGACTCCCTCGACCTCCCTCGCCGAATTAATATATCCATTCTCCGATTCCCCCCTCCACCATGTCACAAACAAACGGCACCGGCGCCGTCAACGCCAACCGGACAGTTCCCGTCATCAATGGCAAAGCCACCTATGCCGAGAAGCACAAGGTAGCCGACCACTTCATCGGCGGCAACCGGTTAGAAAATGCCGCCCCGTCAAAAGTCAGGGATTTCGTCGCCACGCACGATGGCCACACTGTGATCACAAATGTAAGTGGCCGGCAATGTTGGGCGTGGGGGGGGAGAGTGCTAATACCCCGCTTCTAGGTTCTAATCGCCAACAATGGTATTGCTGCTGTCAAAGAGATTAGGTCGGTACGGAAGTGGGCCTACGAGACGTTCGGTGACGAAAGGGCAATTCAGTTTACGGTGATGGCTACGCCGGAAGACTTGGCAGCCAACGCCGACTACATCAGAATGGCAGACCACTACGTCGAGGTTCCGGGTGGTACAAATAATCACAATTATGCTAACGTCGAGTTGATTGTGGATATTGCCGAGCGGATGAACGTTCATGCTGTATGGGCGGGATGGTGAGTCTCTTGCCCCCTTCTGGCGCCTCTCAGACGCCCTACCCTGGGATCCTGACAATATTTCTTAGGGGACACGCCTCGGAGAACCCCAAGCTCCCGGAATCTCTGGCAGCATCGCCCAAAAAGATCGTGTTCATCGGCCCCCCCGGGTCCGCCATGCGTTCCCTCGGTGACAAGATTTCCTCTACCATCGTCGCGCAACATGCCCGGGTACCATGTATTCCGTGGTCGGGAACGGGCATCGATCAAGTGGAGGTGGACGACAATGGCCTTGTCACCGTCGCCGAGGACGTGTACATGAAGGGCTGCGTCGGCTCCTGGGAGGAAGGACTGGAAAAGGCCCGAGAAATCGGATTCCCCGTCATGATCAAGGCGTCCGAGGGCGGCGGCGGCAAGGGCATCCGAAAGGCCTTGTCCGAAGAGGGGTTCGAGCAGCTTTACAAGGCTGCTGCGAATGAGATTCCCGGCTCGCCAATTTTCATCATGAAGCTGGCGGGCAACGCACGCCATTTAGAAGTGCAGCTCCTTGCCGACCAGTATGGTAATAACATTTCGCTTTTTGGCCGAGATTGTTCAGTGCAGCGTAGGCACCAGAAGATCATCGAAGAAGCCCCTGTCACGATCGCCAAGCCGTCGACATTTAAGGGCATGGAAGACGCCGCCGTGAGGCTCGGCCGCTTGGTAGGCTACGTTTCCGCCGGCACAGTGGAATATCTGTACTCTCACGACGACGACGAGTTCTATTTCCTGGAGTTGAATCCTCGCTTGCAGGTCGAGCATCCGACCACCGAGATGGTGAGCGGTGTTAATCTCCCTGTGGCCCAGCTTCAAGTTGCCATGGGTATTCCCCTGCACCGGATCAGCGACATCCGCTTGCTCTACGGACTCGACCCTAAGTCGTCCACAGAGATTGATTTCGAGTTCAAGGATCCCCAAAGTGACAAGACGCAGCGCCGGCCGCATCCGCGTGGTCACTGCACGGCTTGCCGAATAACCTCCGAGGACCCTGGCGAGGGCTTCAAGCCTTCCAATGGTGTCATGCACGACCTCAACTTCCGAAGCAGCGCCAACGTATGGGGTTACTTTTCCGTCAGTACCGCTTCCAGTATTCACAGCTTCTCCGACAGCCAATTTGGCCATATCTTCGCCTATGGTGAGAGCCGTGCTGCATCTCGCAAGAACATGGTGGTTGCGCTGAAGGAACTCTCTATCCGTGGCGACTTCAGAACCACCGTCGAGTATCTCATCAAGCTGCTGGAGACTGAGGCCTTCGAGGAGAATACCATTACGACCGGCTGGCTCGATGAGCTAATTTCTAATAAGCTGACCGCCGAACGCCCGGACCCTATGCTCGCCGTCGTGTGCGGAGCCACAACCAAGGCGCACATTGCCAGCGAGGCTTGCATAGCTGAGTACCGCTCTGGGCTGGAGAGGGGTCAGGTGCCTTCCAAGGATATCCTCAAGACCGTGTTCCCGGTCGACTTCATTTACGAAGGGCACCGATACAAGTTTACCGCGACCCGCGCGGCCGTTGACAGTTACCACCTCTTCATCAACGGGTCCAAATGTTCGGTCGGTGTACGTGCGCTTAGCGACGGCGGCCTTCTCATCCTCCTCGATGGACGAAGCCATAGCTTGTATTGGAAGGAAGAAGTCGGTGCCACTCGCATCTCGGTGGACAGCAAGACTTGCCTGCTCGAGCAAGAAAACGACCCAACTCAACTTCGATCGCCCAGTCCTGGAAAGCTCGTCAAGTACACTGTGGAGAATGGCGAACACGTGAGGGCCGGTCAGACCTTTGCCGAGGTGGAGGTCATGAAGATGTTCATGCCCCTAGTGGCCCAGGAGGATGGTACGGTGCAACTCATCAAGCAGCCGGGCATCACGATTGAAGCCGGCGATATCCTCGGCATTCTTGCCCTCGACGACCCTAGCCGTGTCAAGCAAGCGCAGCCATTCCTCGGACAGCTTCCTGAGTTTGGACCTCCGCAGGTTGTCGGAAACAAACCGGCGCAGAGGTTCGACTTGACCTATAACACGCTGAGGAACATCCTGTTGGGCTACGACAACTCTGTCATCATGCAGCAGACGGTGAAGGAGATGATTGAGGTTTTGAGGGATTCCGAATTGCCCTATAGCGAATGGGCGTCCCGCCACTCCGCTCTACACTCAAGGATGCCGCAAAAGCTGGACGCGCAATTCACCCAGGTCGTCGACCGAGCCAAAGCTCGGGCCGTCGAGTTTCCGGCGAAGGCACTGTCTAGGACTCTTTCGAAATTCTTGGACGATAATACCCCGCCTGGTGAAGCTGAGAGTCTACGGGATACTATCGCGCCTCTTATAGAAGTTCTAGACAACTATGCCGACGGCCAAAAATCGCGGGAGCTTAATGCCATCGCCAGCTTGCTCGATGCCTATGCCGACGTCGAAGCCCGCTTCTCGGGTCGGCGCAGCCAGGACGAGGAGGTAATCCTCAAGCTCCGCGAGGAGAACAAGGAGGATTACATGAAGGTTATCCAGATTGTCCTGTCTCACAGCCGTGTTGGTTCCAAAAACCACCTGATTCTGGCTCTTCTCGAGGAGTACCGCCCAAATAAGCCGAACGTCGGCAACGTTGGGAAGTTCCTCCGACCTGTTCTGCGGAAACTTACCGAACTAGAATCCCGCCAGACAGCTAAGGTCTCTTTAAAGGCTCGAGAAATATTAATCCAATGTGCACTCCCGTCCCTGGAAGAGCGGACGGCGCAGATGGAGCACATTCTGCGTTCCTCTGTTATCGAAAATAAGTATGGGGAGACTGGCTGGGAACATAGAGAGCCCAACTTCGATGTTATTAAAGAGGTTGTCGACTCCAAGTATACCGTGTTTGACGTACTGTCGTCGTTCTTTGCTCACGACGACCCTTGGGTGTCGGCTGCCGCTCTTGAGGTTTACGTCCGCCGGGCCTACCGCGCTTATAACTTCAAGAAGTTGGAATACCACAACGACGAATTGGACACGGCGCCGGCGTTCCTATCCTGGGACTTCTCTTTCCGAAAGATCGGGCAAACCGAATTTTCCGTCCCCGTCCAGTCGGCCAACCCCTCCGTCCCTGGCACTCCCACCACAGAAGGCTTTCACCGGATAAGTTCCGTTAGTGATATGTCTTATCTGAACAGACGGACTGAGGAGGAGCCCACCCGCAAGGGCGTCGTCGTTCCCTGCAAATATCTGGATGAGGCCGACGAAGTGTTCCAGAAGGCTCTGGAGGTACTACCGACCAAAAGGCAGCGATTCCCTGGGCTTATTCCCGACCTCAGCGGCAAGCGCAAATCGTTTCCCGTGCGGGCGGAAGAGGAAGAACTCACTAATGTCATCAATGTTGCGGTCCGTGACGCCGAGTCTTATGATGACAAAGACATCCTCGAACGCATCAACAACTTGCTGAGCTCGTTCAAGCAAGAACTTATCGCACGCCGCGTTCGCCGCGTGACCTTCATTTGTGGCCACAACGATGGCGCGTACCCGGGTTATTATACTTTCCGCGCGCCCGAGTATTACGAGGATAGGAGTATTCGTCATGCTGAGCCGGCGCTGGCCTTCCAGCTGGAGCTCGCGCGTCTCGCCAAGTTCAAGATCTCCCCGGTCTTCACGGAGAACAAGAACATCCACGTTTATGAGGGCATTGGCAAAGGCGTCGACGCCGACAGGCGATATTTCACCCGTGCCGTGATACGGCCTGGTCGTCTTCGAGACGATATCCCGACAGCTGAATACCTCGCCTCAGAGGCTGATCGGGTGATCAACGACATCTTCGACGCCCTCGAGATCATCGGTAACAACCACTCCGATTTGAACCATATGTTCCTCAACTTCACGCCGGTCTTTCAGCTGCAGCCCCAGGAAGTTGAGCAGTCTCTCCAAGGCTTCTTGGACAGGTTCGGCCCTCGTGCCTGGCGCCTTCGTGTCTCCCAAGTCGAAATTCGCATCATCTGCACAGACTCAGCCACCGGAATGCCTTACCCGCTGCGTGTCATTATCACCAACACATCTGGGTATATCATCCAAGTCGAACTCTATGTCGAGAGGAAGTCGGAGAAAGGAGAAATGGTCTTCTATTCCATTGGCGGCACCACCAAGATCGGGTCGATGCACTTACTGCCTGTCTGCACGCCGTACCCGACGAAGAACTGGCTCCAGCCCAAGCGCTACAAGGCGCACCTGATGGGAACCCAGTACGTGTACGATTTCCCAGAGCTCTTCCGACAAGCTGTCGAGAACACCTGGGCGAAGACCGCCAAGGAAATACCGTCCTTAGCCGACAAGAAGCCTGCGCAGGGCGAATGCATCGATTACAGCGAGCTAGTTCTCGACGACCACGACAAGCTGATAGAGGTTTCCCGTGAACCTGGTACCAACGCATGCGGTATGGTCGGATGGGTTATCAATGCCCGCACACCTGAATATCCCAAGGGGCGAAAGTTCGTCGTCGTCGCCAACGATATTACTTACAAGATCGGGTCGTTCGGCCCCAAGGAAGATCACTTCTTTAACAAGTGCACGGAATTGGCTCGTAGTTTAGGTATTCCTCGCATCTACCTCTCGGCTAACTCGGGTGCACGACTGGGCCTGGCGGAAGAGTTGATTCCCCATTTCAAAGTTGCTTGGAATGATCCGTCGCGGCAGGAAGGTGGCTTCAGGTATCTCTACCTAGATGACGCCGCAAAAAAGCGATTTGAGGACGGCGCTAGGCGCGACGTCATCACGGAGACGGTCACTGAAAACGGGGAGACGCGTCACAAGATCGTCGCCATCGTGGGTGCTGAAGATGGCCTGGGTGTCGAATGTCTAAGGGGGTCCGGTCTTATTGCCGGCGCCACGAGCCGCGCATACAACGATATATTCACCGTCACCCTCATCACTTGCAGATCCATCGGTAAGTATATCCCCTCGGGAGGCGGGCCGGGTGTTCGCTCGCGTTACTGACTTTGTTGCGATTAGGTATTGGCGCCTACCTTGTCCGCCTGGGCCAGCGTGCCGTTCAGATCGAAGGCCAACCCATCATCCTGACTGGCGCTCAAGCCCTCAACAATCTACTTGGCCGCGAAGTTTATACGTCTAACTTGCAGCTCGGCGGCACCCAGATCATGTACCGAAATGGCGTGTCCCACTTGACCGCCAACGATGATTTCGCCGGCGTTTCCAAGATTGTGGAATGGCTATCCTTCGTGCCCGCTCAGCGCGGTCTCCCGGTGCCAATCACACCTAGTCTAGATGTCTGGGACCGCGAGGTCATCTACACCCCGCCGAACAAGCAGCCGTACGATGTCAGATGGCTTATCGGTGGCAAGGAAGACGAAGACGGATTCCAATCTGGCCTCTTCGACAAGGACTCTTTTGTCGAGAGTCTCGGCGGCTGGGCCCGAACGGTTGTGGTGGGCCGCGCTCGTCTCGGTGGTATCCCGATGGGTGTTATTGCTGTGGAGACTAGAACCGTGGAGAACGTCACTCCGGCTGACCCTGCCAACCCCGACTCCATCGAGCAAGTTACCAACGAAGCTGGCGGTGTCTGGTATCCTAACTCCGCGTATAAGACCGCGCAAGCCATTAACGACTTCAACTATGGCGAACAGCTTCCTCTCATGATCCTCGCTAACTGGAGAGGCTTCTCCGGCGGCCAGCGCGACATGTACAACGAGGTCTTGAAATATGGCTCTTACATCGTCGACGCTCTCGTCAAGTATGAGCAACCTATATTTGTGTACATTCCGCCCTTCGGCGAGCTACGCGGCGGTTCTTGGGTCGTCGTCGACCCTACGATCAACCCCGTGGCTATGGAAATGTACGCCGATGCCGAAGCCCGCGCTGGTGTTCTAGAGCCGGAGGGTATCATCGGGATCAAATATAAGAAGGAGAAGCAGCTGGAGACGATGGCCCGCCTCGACCCGACTTACGCCTCACTCAAGAAGCAGGCGACCGACAACAATCTCTCTAAGGAGGAGCTCGAAGAAGTTAAAGAGAGGATGGTGGATCGCGAGAAGGCGCTGCTTCCCATATACGCACAGATCAGTCTACAATTCGCTGACCTGCACGACCGCGCTGGTCGCATGAAGGCCAAGGGCACTATTCGCGAGGTGCTCGAGTGGAAGAACGCACGCCGGTTCTTCTACTGGCGTGTGCGTAGACGTCTCAATGAGGAGCATATCCTCAAGCGCATGGCGGCTGCGGCGACCTCAGCGAAGGCCACTGACTTGAACAGCGCCGCGGCTACCGAAACCCGCCAGCACCACCTCCGCCTGCTAACTGCCTGGTCTGGTATCGCCGACTTTGGGCAAAACGATCGGGATGTGGCGAACTGGTACGAGGAGAACACCGAGACAATACAGGCCAAGGTGGATCAGATCAAAGCAGAGACCGTCTCTCGCGAGGTGGGCGACCTCCTGAGGGCAGACAAGACTGCCGCCCTCAAGGGCCTTAAAGACCTCTTGCACATGATGCCTGTCGACGAGCGGGATGAGGTCTTGAAGTACCTGAAGTGAAGGACGGCGCCGTTTCCCAGGCAAGATACTCTACAACAAGATGAGAGATGACGGAGGTTCGGTAGAAAGGGCTCTAGACGACCTAATTTCCGATTTTTCCTTCTTGTTTCGGGGGTCAAGGGGTGGTGGATTTAGCCTGTATTCCTGAAAAAAAAAAACACTGGGGGGATTACGTGGGTTTGGCGTTCGTCGACGACGCTTTGCCACGGCGCGATTTTTCCCTCGTAATGGGTGTTGCTATCTGTTCGATGCCATTTATCTCTATACGTATGCCAACATCGACTTGTACAGGCGCATGGGGTGGGCGTTTATATTCTGTTCTTGTGATATTATACAACATATGCAGCTATATTTGTTGGTGAGAATGGAATTGAACTCTTTCGTTTTCACCAATCTCGCTTTCCAAGACCTAGCGTGGCTCACGATGGTTCCCCGGAGCGGTCGCTTAGAACCGTTGGGTCCTTTTGCCAACGTAACAAAGAACTGCATACACGTTGCGCCTCATATGAGCAGGATCTGTCTAGACCCAAGTCTTCCTTGCTATTTGCTATATTCTCTCACGCATGTGCAATATGTAGTATATCGACGTCTCGGCCTACCTCCGCTGCGCAGCTGCTCACCCGACTGGTATCAACCGTCGGCGACACGGCGGAATTCGAATCCTCGAAATTCCTAACTGTAAAAGGAGCTTTACCTAACCTTAGGTAGTAGGAGTGACGGTGATGCTCGGCCAGCGTGTTCCTCCGCAAAGGGCCCGATGGCAAAAGGCTGGTTCGGCCGACCGCCAGAGCATGGGATAAGGAACATCGATAGCATTGAGCTAGCTAGTGAATAAGTCCGTGGTTGCATCTGGTCCTTGGTACCGTGCATTATTACATCTCCCACACGCCTCCCCGTCTTCCTATTATCCAATGGCTTAGCCCCCCCGCTTCATCACATGTATTTTCGCAGTCTCTCACACACACACTCTCTCTCTTTCTCAGACACACACACACTCTCTCTCTTTCTCAGACACACACACACACTCTCTCTCACTCTCTCTTTCTCAGACACACATGTATACACATACTCGCTGGCGCCTAGTAGATGCCGGGGACGATCTTGTACTTGACGATCTTCTTGTACTTCTCCCAGTCCTCGCCGTACTTCTTGGAGCACTTGTCGTCGTCGCGGCCGTCGCGGTGGACGAGCAGGACGGCGAAGTAGACGATGTAGAAGTAGGTGAAGAGCATGCCCCAGTACTTGGCGGGGCCCTGGACGACCTCGCGGCCGTCGAGCCTGGCGACGGCGCCCTCGGCGCCGCTGCTGCCGCCGGCCGCCAGGATGGTGTAGCCGGCGAAGCCGGTCGGCAGCGAGTACGGCCAGGCCTGCAGCCAGTCGCCCAGGTAGTTGATGTGCCGCGCGACGCCCCACCAGCCCGACGTCATCAGGCGCGAGCCCGTCTTGGTCTCGATGTAGCTGATGTGGGCGACGCGCGGGTCGTCGGGGTTGGTGCGGAAGATGTTCTTCTGCAGGTTGCTGAGGCGGAAGACGGCGAAGCCGGCGACGAGGACGACGGAGACGCCGGCGATGCCGAGCCAGCCGAGGGCGACGGGGTGCGAGGCCAGGTAGCGGGTCTGCTGGCTGTAGATGAAGGGGACCCAGGCGAGATCGCCGAAGGAGAGCATGAAGCCGAAGCCGTCGTTGGTGATGTCGATGGTGGTGAGGATGGCGGGCTCGAGGATGAGGCAGTCGATGACGTAGACGGCCTGCACGACCGCGATGAAGACGATGCTGTCGCTCACGAAGCCGAACGTGCGGTACTGCTTGGCGACGAAGGCGCAGTTGAAGAGGATCCAGCCGAGCAGGCCGGGGCGCACCTCCATCCACTCCTTGATGTCGATCTCGCCGATGATGGGGATCGTGACGCGGGGGTTCAACTCGCGTCCCATGTAGAAGTCGTAGATGAGATTGCCGGAGCAGCCGCCGGCGGCGAGCAGGCGGTGCTCGGGGTTGCCGGGCTTCACGGAAAAGCTGCGGACGTAGACGAAGGCGGCGACGGCATAGGCGATGAGAATGTCGGCGGTGAGGATCTGCAGGTAGTTATCGGCGATGAAGGTCCAGAGGGGGAACTCGGCGCCCTGGGCGATGGTGCCGGCGATGCATATGACGAGCGTGAACAAGGCCGAGGCGAGTGCTGTTATCACCCCCCCCCGTGCGCGTTAGCTACCCGCATGCGCTGCGACGGCGGACGTGTCACACATCGGCGCGAACAACCCACCATTGAACCTGTACTTGAGCCTGCCCCCGGTCGACAGCACGGTGCCCTCGACCTCGGTGGCGGGCAGGATGCGGTAGAGCAGGGCGCTGAGGAAGAAATACGCGACGGTGTAACCGGTAGCCTCCCAGCTGGCGAGGCCCCAGATGCCGTCCTCGGGCCAGCCCACGTCGGCCTTGAGGCGCTCGAGGGTGAGGGTCTTGGGGCTCAGCAGCGACGGGGCGGGGCAGCCGGAGACATCGTTGCAGCCGAAGGCGAAGACGTAGCAGAGGATGGGGAGGCCGAAGGTGATGGCGGAGGTGCCGAGCCTAGGGGGGGGGGGCGCGTCGCGGTTAGCAAGGGATGATGGGATGGCCCCCCTTCCCGACTCGCGCTGCGCAAGCGAGGACAGGACGGGGGGACGCTGCAATCAAGAGGACGAAAACAGCAAACTTACGGGCCGCCGAACTCGTAGCCGTGGGCGAACCCGGACGACGGCTGCTTCGCCGGCTTGGACTTGGGCGCCATGCTGGACGGCGGTTGTGGTAGTGCGGAACGGCCGTGTGCGAGCTGGGCGAGGGCGAGCTGGGCGAGGAGAGGGTGATTGACCAGGGAACTTGATTGCCGAAGCTCTCGTGGGTGGTGCGTAGTTGTGTCGTCTGTCTAGTATGTGCCTTTCCCCTCCCTCCTTTTTATAAGCTGTGAGGCAGCGCGCGGCCAACCCTCGAAACGATTGGGTATGGCCTCATTCGAAGAAACACGGTTGGGTCCAGCCGGTATTCTTAGCTTCCGGGTGAGACGATTTTCGAGCTGTTCCCTTATGGGCAGGCATTAAATCTCGTTCCGTCTTCTTGTCTTCTTCGGAGGGCTCTGGGATGGGGTACGAGGGGAGGGCCGACGTTTATCCGATGACTACCTACCTATATATACCTAGGTACCTAGATATACGCTAACAGGTAGGTACGTACCGGCGGACATCCTTTAGCGGAGAAACGGCGCCTTTAGGTACATACCTGTAACCTGCTAATGTACCTATCACGCCCTAATGTGCCTGCGTAGCGCACTTGTACTTTATGTAGAGGTGGATAGGCACTTGTACCTATGTATAAATCCATCAGGTGAGAGCATATCGGGCCTCAACATTCCATTTAATATGGCATTCCAAGTACGAGTATCCAGAAATTGACGTAAACAGGTATCTGGGGTTGCTCAGTACACGTACATTCCTTAGAGCTTAGTGGGTTAGATAATAGAGGACAGGTTCGATTCCTGACAGCGCTACTTGGTAGTCTCTATTGTTTAGTCTATCTCTTAGGTACCTAATCTGTACCTGCCCGGTTGGGAGGTACCTCTATAGGTACCTAACACATTGTAGGTGCCTGGATGTACGTGTTATGCACAGCACAATCCCGCCCACCCATCATCCACTTCTCCTCCACCACCACAGAGCATTACTACTAACGCTGCACTTACATATAGTACAGACATACTGTACGCAAAGCCACCTGCTAAATTTAGCCAAGCAAATCCGAACAAAAGACAGCAAGTCGACAACGGGAAAGTCGGCAGCTTGGCTTCTTACCCGTTACGCGTTTTCGAGCAGCTGAGCGACGACGCGAAGAGAGCCGCCATCGTCCCTCTCGAAAAGACAAACAGATACAGACAGACACGCCCGGTGAGGAATATAGTTGGAGTGTTTTGGCCCTCATCCTGCAGTGTATTCCTATCCGCCGCCGACGGTCCCCTCCCCCCTGAGTCGTCCGGAGGCTCTCTCTGCCTCCCTCTTGCGAGTCCATGCTCCAGGCCGTCCCGAGTTCCCCGTAGCGCGACGGGCGCATTTCCCGACGACAACCCTTACCAGAAATTACGACGCCGAAAACGATATAACACGATCCAAAGTCCCCGACACACTGCCTGTGCCGCCCTCTCGGTGAACGATGCGTTTCGCTTCTGAGCCGTGGCCCGTGGCTTCAGCGCTGCTCGCCCTCCTCTCTCTCCCCTCCATCTCGCTTGCCGCCGACGCCGACAAGACCACCACCACCTTGCCCTGTACCGCCACGTCCGTCTCCGGCGCTTTCTTCGACCTCCGACCTGACATAGCCCTCAAGCTGAATCCCGACGGTTCCAAACCCGCCCACAGCAACGGCGCACCCCTAGCAGATTACCACGCCAGGGGCTACGACTATGGGTCGAATTTCACCCTCAACATCTGTGGCGCCGTGGTGGAGCCGGTCGAGGATGTGATCGGCGTCGACGAGGGCAAATGGCGGAACGTCAGCGCGTACTACGTCTCTAAGGGCGACGTATACAGCCTGGGTTCGCAGTCTACTAACCTCGTCTCCCGAGGCAAGGAGCTAGTGCTGCAATACACGGGGGGCTCGCCTTGCGACAAGGGGAGGAAGAGGAGTCCGGGCACGTCGAGCAGGAGTATCGTCCACGACGGCGCAGCCCATAAGGGGTCTGACTACGAGCGCAAAGATGACGTGCCGACTCCCACGAACACCAGCGCCGCGAAGCCGTCCAAGGAGACGGAAGAGCCGAAGCGACGGAAGTCGACCACCATCTTCTTCAGCTGCGACCGAGACCCGGGCGCCGGCGCCGCCGTCGCGTCCTTCATCGCTACCGACCCCGAAGAATGCGCCTACGTCTTCAAAGTCAGGTCGCAGCACGCCTGCGCTGGTGTTGAGCCGCACACGCCCGGCAGCGTGGGGCCCGGGTCCATCTTCGCCATCATCTTCGCCATCGCCGTCCTCGTCTATCTACTCGGCGGCATCTTCTACCAGCGGACGGTAGCCCACGCGAGGGGGTGGAAGCAGCTCCCCAACTACTCGCTTTGGGCTAACCTATGGAGTCATATCTGTGTAAGTGTGGCTTTCTTTTTTTTACTGCCTCTTGCGAAATTTCGGAGACGAGCGACGTGACACGAAGGGGCTAACCGCCATAACAGGATTTCTTCGTGCTGGTCACCTCGTCTTGCGCTCGGTTTCTCCCGAGCCGGAGAGGGTATCAGTACATCGCGGGCTCGTCGGGTGGAAGGGGCCGAAGTACCCGAGAGGACGAGAACCGACTTATCGACCAGTACGACGAAGAATGGGAGGATTAAAAAAAGGCATTGGCTTGTCTTGTCTTCTTTTGTCCCGCCGGTTGCTTGAGTTGGTTTACCTTGTATGAATGCGGCCATGTTTACTTGTATGAATTCTTACGCGCGCGGGGCTATCGTGAGGGTTCTCGCGACAAAGCGCATCTCGGCGACATATACGATATATCGATTTTCTGCTGTATGCACGGTGGAACCAGGTTCAAAATGACTCGGACACCGAGGGACCGAGAGGATCCTATGTAGAATTAGGTAGAGAGCGAGGTATATAGAGAGAATAAAAAAAGGAACGAGCGTGCGCATTCGTCATTGAATGGGACAGGGGACGACGAGTGGGTTAATCGAGGATTTTCTAGACGCAGCAGGGCGGCACGGGTGGATGTCTCGGGAAGCTGGGAATATTAGCACGTTTCAAGGTCGCTCACCAAGTTCGGTTCGGGGCCCGTCGTTCGATCGAGAGAGGCCTGGCCAAAAAAAGAATAGTGCCCCATGTATAGTGGCCAGGGGCGAGAAGCCTTCGGAGAGCTCGCGATACCCGCCGGCCCAGCTCACCAACCGTACCACCTACTTGTAAGAGGCTAGACTGTGCACCGCGGGCGTTGGCTTCTGGCTCGCCAGCCCGAGACGCCGCGTGTTTGAACCTCCCAGAAAAGAATGCTACTCTCGATCGAGGAACGCGGCCAACGGGGGAGCGGGGGGGGAGAGGAAAGGGGGGAGGGGGGAACCCTGCGACTGGCCAGATAGATAGATGGACGATGGCTCGCCGCTGCAATAAACGATCCCGACGCAGATTGGATCGTGACGATGCGCCGCCGTAGCCCGTAAGGTGGGCAGAGGGATCCTCGAGCTGACCTGGAGGCTTGAGCCTCAAAAAGCTCATTGCTTCCTGTTTCTCATTTGATCTTACTTTGTTTCTCTTCTTCTCCTTCTGCCATCTTGTTTTCATCATTCTTTTTTGCTTGCTCATTCGTTCCGTCCCTCCTCGGCAGGGCCTCTTCTATTCTCACCTTCTCGTACTGGTTGCGTGCGCCTTTACACATCCCGTCGAGGCCTACTGGTTTTCGGCCTCCGCTCGTTTTCGACACGCTATACTGTTCTTTTTTTCTCTTCGTCTCCTCCGCCTTGTAAGCGCTTAGCAATGTACTTTAAGAACGTAATCCCACTCCTGGCCGCGGCACCGGCTGTGCTCGCGAAGGTCCAGTTTCTGGTGCGTTTTACGCGACAACGACGGCCATGTCCCTCGTAGCAGACAGTAGGACTAGATATACTAACATGATGCTTGAAGGGAGTCGCCATAGCAGGAGGCGACTTCGGGTGCGAAATCGACGTAAGAACTATTCGCTTCCGATATATAATACTCAGTATTCAAGGAGTTAACGGGATTGAATAAGGGATCGTGTCCGATCGGCTCTAGTCAACTTCCGCTAAACAATGACGGGATCGCACAAATAAAGCACTTTGTCGAGGACGACGGCATCAACTTGCTAAGATTACGTACGCTCGCCGCCTTCTCCTCCCCTGGCTATATATCCCCATCGCGAGCGGTGGTCACGAAGGTACCGTTGGCTAATGAACGGACGCAGCGATATCATGGCAGTTTCTCGTCAATAACAAACTAGGGGGTAGCCTCGACGGCGCCAACCTGGCCAAGTACGATCAACTAGTCCGGGCCTGTCTCGATACCGGCGCGCACTGCATGATCGATATCCATAATTTCGCCCGCTGGGACGGCGGGATCATCGGCCAGGGCGGGCCCAGCGACGACCAGTTCGTCAGCCTCTGGCAGCAGTTGGCAACGAAGTACGCCGGCGAGGACAAGGTCATCTTCGAGCTGATGAACGAGCCGCACGACCTCGACGTCGGCTTGTGGGCCCAGACCTGCCAGAAGGCCGTGACGGCGATCCGGGAGGCGGGCGCGACGAAGCAAACGATCCTACTACCCGGCACCAACTTCGACAGCGCGGCGACGCTGCCCGGGACAGGCGGCGGCGAGGCCCTGCTAGCCGTCACGAACCCCGACGGCACGACGGACAACCTGCTCCTCGACATCCACAAGTACCTCGACGAGGACAACTCGGGGACCCACGCCAAGTGCACGACGGACAACGCGGACGCCTTCACGAAGCTCGCGCAGTTTCTACGAGAAAGGGGGAGGAAGGGTCTCGTCAGCGAGACCGGGGCCTCGCAGGATAGTTCTGTAAGTAGTGATCACCATCCTCACTTTTTCTTGTTTTTCTTCTTTATCTGCCTATCACTCCATCCATCTCTCTCTCTATATATGTAGCAGACGAGAGGCAACATCTAACCACGCACCCATCTTAGTGCCTCGCTGCGTTCTGCGCCCAAAACGCCCTGATCAACAAGAACTCGGACGTGTTCGTAGGCCTGGTCGGCTGGGGCGCCGGCGGTTTCGACACCTCGTACGTCCTCAGCCTGACGCCCTCGAAGCAGAACGGGCGCCTCGTCGACAACAAGCTCATGTCCCAGTGCCTCATTGGGCAGTGGGTCGACTCCAACTCGCCAACAGCCGCGAACACGACGACGAAGAGCTCACAGTCATCGCCGACGCTGTCTCAGTCTTCCATTTTCTCACCCTCCACCGTCTCCGCCTCTACCACCGCTTCCGCCTCCGCTACCGCTGCATCCACCGCCGCCTTCTCCCCCGTCTCCTTCTCGACGTCGACAAAGAAGCCGTCGACGACCGACTTGCCGGCGGCATCGGCCGGCGGCGCTGACGAGCAGAGGACGGGCACGGAGGAGTGGACGATCACGCTGGACAAGACGAGCATCCTGCCGACGGCGGCGGTGCCGTCGACACTGACGATGCTGCTGGTGGCGACGGGCACGCCGACGGTGCAGCCGGCCAGCATCGCGCTCGTGGAGGCGTCCAGCTCGTCGTCAGCCGCGCCGTCCGCCAGCGTGTCGCAGGCCGCGCCCCCGGCATCCACGTCGGCGCCCGCCACGGCCGGCGCCCCCTCGTCGTCGTCCCCGGCTGCGCTGAGCCTGCTCCTGGGCTGCGCTGCCGCGCTGTCATCGCTCTTCCTGTAAGCGGGCTGCATCAATCGGGAACCACGATACCTACCGACCTGCCTACAGGGCGGCCCCGCGGTGGGGCGGATAGGTGTGCTGGAGAGGGGTATCTATGCCGTTTGGCGGGTCGACCGACGACACGAACAACACAAGGACAGATGGGGGATACTGAAACCCGGCCCCTGCGTGGGAATACGAGATCGGATATCTAATGTACGGAGGGTTTTTTTTTTCGGGTTTTTTTTCCCGCACTCTGATACAGGACGTGCGCGCGCGCGCAAAGACTGAAATACCGGGGGAGACCTATGGGATGCGGAAGGGTCGGCCTTGTAACAATAGTGATCGTAGCGAACATGACGGCGATGAAATTCTTCGGTAAATATTACTTACAATTCAACAGCGATGTATATACTCAGGCAGATAATGTCAATGCAGATACCTATATCTACGGATGCGACGGCTCGGTTGACAAGCGACGCAGCTCTATAGTGGGGAGGGGAGGTGATTGGTGTCGGCATTCTCTCGGTTGCTATTATTTTATTCAGCTCTACTCTACCCGGGCTCTTTTTTTTTTGTTGGGTCTCGTATTCTAGACACTGTTGAGACGAGGAATAGCAGTGCAGCGGGAAAGAATACGGGGTACGAGACAACATCATCGACACGGAAAACCGAGGCGAGCTTCGAAAGCCGAATGGAATGGGATCACCACTACCGCATCGAGAAGAGGGATGGATGGCACATCCTTGGCCGACCATACTGGCTGACTCCTGTCACCTCGAGTCGCTGTAACACCGGAGGGATCCCATCCTGCCTCCCACCGACGCCCTACACAGACTATGTCAGTGACCAAGAGGGGGGAATATACGAGCGGCAAAGCTCTGCCTCCCTGTCGCCCTCTCGTACCTATCTCATAAGCTGGGTGATGAATGATTCCTGGTGCAGTTGGCTGACGACGATGGCCGCTCCGCGCCGTTACGCTCCACGTCTCGTACCCAGAGCCCACGATGGACAGATACCTAGGGAATATTTACCCGTCTCCCTGCTCTGCTGCTTGCTAGCCGTGCCCTTACTAGCGGAGATGGAGCAGCTTCTGCTCCATTGGCTTACGCGAGCGAGCGGTTGCTGTGCGCACAGTGTCCTCCTACTGTAAGCCAGCACTGTCCCCTCCTCAATTGCGTTGCTTTCGCGCCATCAGCATTCCATGACCCGGACGCATCGCCACCGTCTGGCCAAGGAATCTCGCCCAGCACTTACACCCAACTGCCTGGACCGACACACGAGTGCCGGCTTCCGCATTAGACCGTAGGTACACTGCGAAGGGCATAGCAGAGAGCAGAGAGGAGCAAGAACATACGTACGGCAAGCAAAGGCGACACAGAGAGAGCAAGAGACAAAAGAATGGCCGCACTGTCGGACTCGATCCAGGCCATACGAGACGGCGCCAAGGAGGACCGCTTCACCTACCTCACCATCCTGCAGTACCATGTCACATCCCCCGAAGTCCTGCCGACGCTCAACGAGGTCCTCCAGGATGCCGAGCTCACGCAGGAGATCGGCTGGGACCTCGTGCAGATGCTCCTCGACGTAGAGGGCTCCGAGGCCTGCCTCGAGACCGTCGCCCGCCTGGGCAACCCTCGCGAGGTCGTCATAAAGGTCATGGAGGCCCTCGCCGGGCTCACCGTCGCCTGGCAGGACGAGGACGACGTCGACGGCGAAGAGCCCGGTGCGGCTCCCGGTTCCAAGATCCCGGCCAAGTTCATCACGCTGCTCGGCATGCTGGCCATCCTGCACGGGCGCATCAAGACCAAGTACCCCTCGCGGTTTCTGGGGCCGTCGCTGGCCAAGGTCGTCGAGGCCTACCAGCCGACGCCCGAGATGACCGCGTCCGTCATCAACCTGGTCTACTCGCTCTCGGGCCGGAAGCGCCCGCCCCTGCCCACGCGCACGTCCAGCATCAACGTGCTCAACCCCGACCAGAACGGCGACACGTCCAAGAACGCGCCCGATCCCGAAGCCGAGCAGGAGGACCCGAAGGAGGAGGCGATGCAGCGCAGGCTGCTGCAGGCCTTCGGCACCTGCATATTGCAACGCTACGTGAATGCGCAGGGCATGCTGTGGTCCCCGCGGCTGCTCGAGATCTATCGGCCGGGGCGGAACGTTCCCGGCAGGAAGACGATGACCGAGGCGTTCCGCGAAGACGAGGTGCTGCAGAGGCGGGATTCCGTAGTCGGACAATTAGTTGTAAGCGCGCCCCCCCCTCCCCTCCCCCGGCTCGCTTTCTCCTGCTGCCCGTTCCCATCGATGCTGACATCGACGAGGCCTTGCTGCGTGATCTAGGGTTAGATGAATGCTCGGGCCGGTTCGTTAGGGACATCTACGAAGTACCGGAAAACACTGACCCGTTGGCGACCTTTGACGACTTCTCCTCCGTCGACGACATCCGCCTGTCACCGGGCGGGGCCGTGTGCCTGGTCGCGTACTGGATCTTCTCGCGGGACGTGTTCGGCGCCGACAGCCCGGCGCCCGAGATACACGTCTTCCCCGAGCACGCAGCGATGCTGGGGCGGTTCCTGGGCCGGAACGCGCAGGCGGAGATCGCGGCGAGCCCGGGGATCGCCGACGCGCTGCTGGCGATCGGTCTGGGGCTCGAGCACCGCGGGCGGGTGCGACTGGCGACCGGCGCGGCGGCGACCCCGGCGGACGCAAACCTCATGGCCTACCACCACAACCTCACGCTTATCTCAGTCTTCCACCCGGATCTCAAGGTGCGGAGCGCGGCGACGACGCTCGCCGGGTCGCTGCTGCACGCCGAGCCCGACGACAACGTGCGTCTCGACATCCTCGAGGACCTGCTCGAGAACTGCATGTTCGGCTCGCTCAAGGCCTGCGCCGTCACCTGGCTCCAGGAGGAGCTCGTCGCCGCGCGCGCCGCCCCCCCGCGCCGCCAGGGCCGGCTGTTTGCCTCGCCCGAAGTCATCGAGCGCCTGCAGTACGTCCTATTCCCGGACATGCTGTCGCTAAACGAGGCGGGCGCCAAGGCGGCCGGAGCAGAGGTGGTGGTGAGAGAGGAGGCAGAGGCCGGGGCGCCAGTAGGCAAGGGAGACAAAGGGGAGAAGACAGGCGAGGACGAAGAGGGTGCGCTGGCGGACTTCTGGGCCCAGAATCACCATTTCCTGCTGCAGGTGGCCAACTTCGCGTACCTCCTGTTCGCGGGCTTCCGGGAGCTCGTGCCGGACGGCATGGGCGCGGCGGTAGGGCAGCGGTTCGTCGAGCCGCTGGTGGCGGCGGCGGAGCGGCTCCGGCGGGCGCAAGGGGGGCAGGGGCCCGGCCCCGAGGACGAGATGCAGCTCGCGATCCTAGTGGATCGGCTGCGCGGCCTGGGTTTGCAGTGACGGCGGCGGCACGCCGTGGAGAGAGGCAAGGGAGGAGGGAGGAAGACATTGCGACGAGGACGGATTGCATGGGTATACCTAGATATATATGTGCATGTGTGCGTCTGGGCATCATGGCCACGGCCACGGCAACCGGTAGCTGGCCACCTGGGAGCACGCGACGACGAACTGAACTGAGGATTGAACGGCTCGGGTCGGGTCAAAGGACGTGGAATTAATACGGATAGCACTTCGTACGAGTCCGTGCTACTGACTTCCCGTGCTTTACACCGGCGTCATATCAAGAACAGAATGCTTCTCGACGTGGCTCTTTTCCCGGACTGTATACCACACCTAGTCAAGACTACCACGCGGCCTTCAAGTATGCAACCTCTGGCTAGTGAGGATGCCGTGCCTACGATGAATCCGGATGTCGAGCTCGGTGCCTGCAATGTTACGCTGTCGCGCGGCCTTCTCTCCTGGCCTGCGGAAACGATGCACGATACGTGCCTATCTACCGGACACCGGACCTGTTGAGTATCTGGGCGATCTTAATCTGAGATTCGCGATTATTAACGTTATGACCTCTGTGCGCGCTACGACTAAGTCGATTCGGTAGCTTGTCGCTCTAGAGCTAGCTACGACGTGAGTCATAATACGAGGAACTTGGTGTGTTACAGTGGCAGGCGATACATCGCCGAAGCAGCGGATTTAGATTCTCGATATTATTCTTCAAGACCCGGTATCGTCGGGCCGGATGACTGCGCTGATCTCCAAAGTCTACGCCGTCTTCTCTGTGGACGGCAACTCCTCCTCCTCGCCACTGCCCTCCCTCGGTTCCTCCCTTACGAAGCCGTACATGATGTAGTCCCTCACCTGGCCCCTCTTGTAGACAGCCTTCCTCCGCACGCCCTCGCGGACGTAGCCCGCGCGCTCGAGCACCCTCGCGCTGGCGGCGTTCTCGCCGTGCACGCCGGCCTCGATGCGGAGGAGGTCGGGGAACTCGTGGAAGGCCCAGGCGGTGAAGGCGGCGAGGGCGCTGGCGGCGATGCCCTTGCCCCAGTGCTCCCTGGCGACCCAGTAGCCGACCTCCCAGGTGCGGTACTCGACGTCCTTGCCGGGGGTCAGGCCGATGGAGCCGGCGAAGGCGCCGTCGGGCGTGCAGATGGCGAAGTTGACCGCCGGGCTCTGGCCCGCCGCGAAGTCGACCCAGAACCTGGCGTTCTCCGCCGTGTACGGGTGCGGGAACCGGTTGGTCATGTACATCGAGATCTCCGCGTGGTTCGCCGCCGCCGCCAGCGGCCCCACGTCCCGCGCCGCGAACCCCCGGATGAAGCACTTGTCCGTCGTCACGATAGGCGCCGGCGGCGACCGCGGGGTAGGGATGGCGGCCATGGCGAGGTGCGGTTCCGTGCTCGCCCCGCGCTCGCTTGCGTGATGGAGAGAGAGGGCTGGCGCGTAGTAGGTATGGTGGCGAAGCGGGGAGACGGGGTCAGACAGATGATCGGGCTGGCCCGGCGACTCCCAAGGTTAAGGACGAGGCTGTGGGAAGGTAAGTATGGAGGATTGGAACCTCCAAGTTTCCTCCCGTCCCCAAGGGGTTCTTATACAGCGCACACGTCCGTCCGGCTCGCTGGGTGACTCACCCCCAGCTCTGCAGGAAGCAGACGAGCGTGGCAGACGGTGATGGGTGTTTTGCTCACAACTTCTTCATATAGCAAGGTGTCGCAACCGATATGACTGAAGAAGGGACCCCGGAGGGGGTATGCGCAGGGTTCGAAGGTGGGTCACGATTATGCTAGCATATATAATCCCGTATCGCAACCTATCCAGTCAAGCCATCTCGGTCGGCGTGCCGTTGGAGTCAGAGCCGCGACGCAGCCCCCCGTCGAGACGCCGACAAGCTATTCGCGGGTCCCAGGCGACGGCTACGTGTGGTTGTTTGAGTCGGAAATCCCGCCGGAGAAGCCGGTCGTCGATACGCATACGCAGCAGCCAGACTCTTTGCTGGGCCACGAGAAGCTGAATATGTAGAGACCTGGGCGATCTCGTAGCCTCGACCGGAAGGATGAGCTGGCAAAGATTCGTAGGACTGACAGTCTTGATCAAAGTGGAGCAGCTGGTTCAGGGGTTTATCTCTCGTGGCTGGGAGGTACCAGCTCAGTGGGTTAGATAATAGAGGACAGGTTCGATTCCTGATAGCGCTACTTGGTAGTCTCTATTGTTTAGCCTATCTGTACCTACCTAGGTAGGTAGGTAGGTACCTACATTTAGCAGGGTGTGTGGCTTCATGTGGCTCACGCAGCGGTGGCGCGCAGGTGGGGTACAAATCGATGGCTTCCATCGCAGGGGTTTGAAGATATTATCCGACATGCTTTACTACGGAATAGGTAGGTAGGTACCTAACCTAGCATCCTCTCATCTCATCGCATCTCTCAAGAAGCGTCGGCGCTCTCGATCTGACTCATCCTCTCCACCATCTTCCTGGCCACGTCTATCGTCTCCCGCCTGACCGTCCCGTTGAGGCTGCACACCCATTCCGCCCTTTCCTTCCACAGCTTCCACCTGCCGTAGCTGAACCCCGGCTGGCCCGTCCATAAGCCGTCTCTGGCCTGGAGACCGAAGGTCTCCTCGCAGTTGTAGATGGCCTCCCCGGCATGCAGAATCCACTGCGACGCGATGGGCACGTTGACGTTCAGCCTCTGGATGTCGCCTGCTTTGAGAGCGGAACCCGCGGCCGGCGCCTTCTCGAAGGCGGCGTAGAAGTCGAGCTCCGCCGCTGACAGGAAATCATTGGCGTCGACAAGCTGCCGGGCACAGAGCTGGGCGGTAAAGCCGATTATCGCGACCTGCTCTTCAGAGTAGGCCAGTTCGTCCCCTTTCGTAGCGTTAGATCCTCCATGCATAGAGAGGCATGGATGCGAGAGGATGGTCACGTACGGTCAAACACGTTCTCTCCCCACAGCTCTGCTAGTATCGGGAGTTCCGGCCATTTGACAGCCGTTTCCCCTCGGATTGCGAGGTCGGGAAGCTGCCGAACGGCATCCACCAATTTTACCAGCTTCGAGAAGGTTAGATCACGACGGCAGGGAAGGAGGACGACCGTCCCGACGCTCGGGGGTGATGCTTTACCGTAGCGTGATGTTCGGGGAATTTTCTTGCCGTGTCCTCGAGCAGCTTCCACATCCCCCACAGGGATCCTCTGCTTGCCTCGGCGGTGCGAGATGCGCGGATGTCGCTGGTGAATCTCGCAGCCGCCTCCTCGGGAGTGATGCTGCCCCGGAGCAGCTCGCGGATGGCATTCGCCCTGTCGGTGGGTAGTGAGCCCCGTAGGCGTGGGAGGCGGGCCAAGGAGAAGGAGGGGGAGGGGTGACAACTCACTCATTGCGTGTCGGACCCCATCGGTCCGCGATCCTCTTGTCAAAGAATGCATCGATTGACGGCGCCATTTTGCGGGGGACACTGAGCAGTAGACGGGGGATTTTAGGCCAAAGATGGGAATGATTAAACGAGAGCCTCCGAGAAAACTTCGACGGCGATGATTTAAAGAGAGTCTGTCGAAAGCTGCGCCGCTTGAGCGATTGAACGGCGCGGGGCCGTGTTAGTATAGGTGCTGATATTGTTGGTATACGCCGCACTCGAGGACGCATATGGGCGCAACTCCTAGGTACCTAAGGCAGGTAATACTAGGCGTCTAGGCAGCGGGTAAGATCAGGCACCTACACTGGAACATCCGCAAGGTGGTCGCCAAGTCTCCGCCCAGTTGCTGGCGGGTAAGCATTGACTAGAAGTTGAGAAAACAGAACAGGATTGTAGGACGTAGATGAGGGGGAGTGGCCCCGCGATATTTCAACCTACGATGCGGCGGTGTTTGAGATATTATTAACAAGAAAGGATAGATGGTTTGCTATGCAACAGATCCTCCGCGTCCGCGGCGCGCTCTATCGCCTATCGTTCGAAACATGGGAGAGGATGACAGCGGCTTAGCCACAGCGAGAGCCGGCAATATATTGGGGATATCGCCTGGGCGTTCTCTATTTACGGTGTCTTACGCCCCAAACTAACCCTTATAGGCAGGCAGCTTGCTCGCTTTTCTCCAGGTCTGTCGCCTGAAGCTCTCCGCTCACGTCACGGTGCGCGACGAAGGCGATCGATCGGCAGGGCTGAATCCGCTCAGCTCCCCTATTCATCTCCCTTGATTGTTGTTTTCAGTTGATTGTTTTTAAGGACGGGTCGCGGGTCGCGGAAGCCTACCATGACCAGCCGTCATTCGCGTCGTGTACGATGGCCCTCCGCGAACACCTGCTATGGGGATGAAGGATCGAGCCCGATAGATGGTGAGACGGAATGCGCCCTGTCTTGAGGATGGAGGAAAACCAAAGGCGGTGCGCCGTTACCCACGTTTGCACGGCAGTATTGGCTGGCATGCCCCAAGTTTGATGGCCTCAGCCCGCAAACAGTAGTTTCTCTTACGAGTGAGGACTATTTTGGTAACACTCCTGGGCGGAATCGAGTCGCTCCCAAACAGAGTCAGCGGATCTCGGGAACTCGACTCGAGAGTGGAAATGGAGACATCACATAGCTAGGTTATCCTACCTTCACATGATACCTATATAAAGGGACCATATCACCCTCGATTGTCCTCATCGTTAGCAGCAGCAGCAACAACCAACAACGTCCATCAACCGATACCTAATAGCAGCAACAGCAGCAACATCTATCAAACCAGTACCTAATATCTCTTTTTTTTCCTTCTTTTTCCTTGATCCAAGTTTTCACCATGAAGGCCATCAGCGCACTCCTTGCCACTGCCCTCCTCTTCTCTCTAGGGAACAGCTTGGCTGTGCCCGTGGAGAACGGAGTCGACGTCCGGGACGTCGAAGAATTTGATGTCCGGGGTCTCGAAGACGCGCTCGACGTCCGGGACCTCGAGGACGCGCTGGAGATCCGCGACGACGCCCTGCTCAGCGACCGGGCGGTCAAGCCCAAGTTCACGTTCACCAACTTCCCGCGGACGGCGACGTGCGCGCGGCAGACGTACACGGCGGGCAACGTGCGCGACGCCGGCGACCAGGCGGGCAAGCTGCAGACGCGGCGGAAGCAGGTGGGCAAGAACAAGTACCCGCACGTGTTCAACAACCGCGGCAACGAGATCAAGAACTTCGACCGCAAGTGCCGCGGCCCGCTGTACGAGTTCCCCATCCTGCAGAACAAGAAGGTCTACCTCGGCACCAACCCCGACGACCCGGGCCCGGACCGCGTCGTGGTCAACGTCTCGGCCATGAACAAGAAGACCGGGAAGGTCACCGTCACCTTCTGCGGCCTCATGACCCACACCGGCGCCAAGAACCGGAGCTCCTTCACCACCTGCAGCTGGAAGTGAACAGCGCCGGCCGCGCGCCAGCGACGAGAGACCGTGACGGGTGCTTCGACAGCGTCGGGAGCCCCCGCGCCGGCACGGAACCGAGCATAGGGAGGGAGTTTTGGGCATGTATATAGGTGCATATGAGCAGGACAAGGTGCATTGGGTAGGGGGGGCATTAGCATCCTTTTCCATCTCTTCTTCTTCTGGTACATTTTTTCTTTCTTTCTTTCGCTCTTCCTCTTTTTTTAGATTTGGGTACAGATAGATGTGGCAGGCATGGCAGGACCAGTCCACTGGGTTTAGGTAGTTATGGACGTTGTTTGCTCCTCTATCGCCGATGTCTTCTCCGTGCTAGATGTACCTGCCTACCTCGGGTACCTACAGCCTACAAGTAAAAGAGACGCCTAGAGGAGGTATCCACCTGGGTGGTTACCACCCTTAGGTACTTAAGGGCAGGTGCCTACCTAGGTATCTAGGTACTTCTTATCTTCAACCACTTTGGCTTATACGTGCCTACCTCCTATATTACAGGTAGGAGGCACCCTTGCCAAGATCCTCCAATGCGAGGTATCCCCTGGGCTAATCGGGCAAGCGCCGAGCGGACTGGTGATGTCATCGCACCTAATGCTGGCAATTTAGCTGCGGGAAGTGACGATGGCGACGGCAAGAGTAACATGCCCGCCTCCTCCAGTACGTGGCAGTGGCGACGCGGGAGTGTCGATCCGCAGCCACTCCCTCTCTCCCCTGTATGCCATGAGAGACAGTCTCTACTTTGGTATCCATCTCCGTCTACCTACCTCCGGGAAATGTCCCCCCCCTCTCGGGGACGTCCGCCATACCTATACACCATGTACTTCCTACGAGATATCCTGCAACGCTCCAGCCCATCTAGGCCTGCGCCTTTGCGCTCGACTCCGACCATCACGCCAATCCGTGAACTCGAATAGCTCTGCCCTGCTTTTGCCGCGCCCAGTCCGGTCTGACGGTGATTGAGACCCGATGTGACAGTTGGCGGTAGGTTTGACGTCACTACGCCCAGCCACCCCGTCCGGCTGGAGGGCTCGCTCGTTCCCCTCTATTACGCCCACAAACCGCGAGGTGACTGGGGCTATTCGGTCGCTAATAGCTGTGCTCCTCACCTCGCAGCTATACTCGTACCTCGAACTGTCGGCGCTGACATCCGCCCGAACGCCAGTTCTTGTTCCTGTCGGAATCCCGAGTACTGATGCCTTCCACCGAACTTAATGAGCCGCTGGTGGCTCCTGTAGACGGTTGGGAGTCCGAGGAGGCTCGACTCCAAGTACCCCATGCGGAGCGTGGTGCCCGTCGCGGAACTACCTTACGAGATCCGCAAGGCCGTCTCATCTACCCCAACTACGTCCCTCCCGGCGTCGAAACACCCGGTCCATCGCCTTTGTGCCAGAATCTTTCCTTCGTAAGCGCCCTCGAGCAACCACTATCCCCTGGCCCTACTACCCCTATCGATGCCCATCGGAAGTCTAGCTCACTGCCCGTTTTCAACCAACGCCCGAGGCTAGGGCAGTCCTCTACCTGCAATCCTGCCCGCAACGAGCGTCAACCTTCCGCCTTCCTTAACTTCCCTACGTTCAAGCGCGCTGGCACGGATATTTTTACTCGAAAAGGAATTGTTCCGGAGGATACGCGCGATTCTATCAGCGACGATGGCACATCCGATTCACCTTCGTCGTCGGAGACAGAAAATCCAGACACCCGCACCGATAGGCCTAAGGGAAGGTCGCGAGGATGGCCCAAACCGGATCCCTCTGGTGACAAATATCGCCGTTTCCAGGCGGCGAATGACCTTTACACCACCAAAGGCAAGGTTTCTAAGAGGGACGGCCGGTTAAATATCACGTTGAGTAGTACGAGAGATTACGGATACCTTGCCAAGGCGTTTGGCGCTGCTGTCAAGAAGGTCGTCCGTAGGAAAAGCCATGACGCAAGCCAACGGCCGGCCGCCTCTCCGTCTTCTCCGGCCGCCGCCATAACACCAGGTGCGGGAAGGAGACCGCCTAGGCTGAACATAGTCATCATGGTAATCGGCTCGCGTGGCGATGCTCAACCATTTTTGCGGCTCGGCTCGGTTCTCAAAGAATATGGTCACCGCGTGAGAATTGCCACGCACCCTGCTTTCCGCGAATTTGTCGAAAACGACTCGAAGCTGGAGTTCTTCTCCGTCGGAGGGGACCCGTCGGAGCTGATGGCGTTTATGGTCAAGAACCCTGGAATGATCCCCACGATAGGGGCAGTGAAGGCTGGCGACATTGGGAGGAGGCGGGCCGCCATGGCTGAGATGTTCGAGGGGTTCTGGCGAGCTTGTATCAACGCAACCGACAATGAGAAAGACACACAAAATTTGAAAATGATGGGCCAGAAGGACCCATTCGTTGCAGATGCCATCATTGCCAACCCGCCTAGTTTCGCACATATCCATTGCGCCGAAGCCCTGGGCATTCCTCTACATCTCATGTTCACATTCCCCTACACGCCAACACAAGCGTTCCCCCACCCTTTAGCGAGTATCAAGAAGTCGAATGTGGACCCTGGTTATACCAACCTACTATCTTATCCCCTCGTCGAGACCATGATTTGGCAGGGTCTCGGAGACCTCGTGAACGAATTTCGGGTGAAGACGTTAGGGCTTGACCCGGTTTCAACCCTCTGGGCGCCGGGGGCGACGTATCGCTTACACGTGCCATTCACGTATCTATGGAGTCCGGGTCTCGTACCCAAGCCTGACGACTGGGGACCAGAGATCGACGTGTCGGGCTTCGTCTTCCTCGATCTTGCGTCTTCCTATGAGCCGCCGGAGAGTCTCGTGAAGTTTTTGGACGCCGGCGAAGCACCGATTTACGTCGGTTTTGGGTCCGTTGTGGTCGATGACGCCGATCAATTTACCGACATGGTTTTCCGAGCGGTGGAGCAGGCGGGCGTCCGTGCCTTGGTGTCTAAAGGTTGGGGCGGCCTAGGTCAGGAAAACATCCCCGAAGACATCTACCTACTCGATAACGTTCCGCACGATTGGCTGTTCCCCAGGGTCCGGGCCTGTGTTATCCACGGGGGTGCTGGGACTACTGCTATTGCGTTGAAATGCGGCAAGCCGATCATGATCGTGCCCTTCTTTGGTGACCAGTTTTTCTGGGGCCCTAGGGTCAGCGATGCAGGTGCAGGGCCGGTACCCGTACCATACAAGAAACTAAGTGTCGAAGCACTCGCAGACGGTATCAGATTTTGCACGACAAGCGAAGCGGTAGCGGCCGCACAGAATATCGCCAGAAGCATCGAGCTTGAAGGCGACGGCGCCAAAAACGCGGTCGATGCATTCCATCGCAACCTGCCGCTTTCCGGAAAGACATCCATGCGATGTTCGATCCTAGATGGCCGTGTAGCGGTTTGGAGGGTCAAGGGAACTGTTCTGAAGCTGAGTGCCGTGGCAGCTGATATTGCCGTGAGTCAGGGCCTGGTGCCCTGGCGAAAGTTGCGCTTAATCCGACATAAGGAATGGAATGATTTCGAAGGGCCAGGTGAGCCCATCACAGGGGTTGCCGGCTCCCTGATGAAGAGCATTGGCGGGTTGGTCAGGGGGATTGGCAATGTCCCATATCGGTTAGCAAAGACGTCTTACGATAGGGCCAAGCTCAAGAAGAAGAAGAAGGCGAAAAAGAGTCGCCGAAGAAACGACGCGGTAGTTGAACCGTCCAGTGGATTTCCCTTTCCAGAGGGAGGGGATGGAAATACTGGTCCCACCGTTGGTCTCGCCGAAGATGCCCGGAAGCCGACGGCAACGACACCTGGGTCGGTACCCCTCGAACCTGCGCCAGAAGAATACTTCAATGATATACGGGAAGGGGTAGGCGATATAAGCCGATCCTTAGTCCATGTGCCGGCCGACTTCTTCCTCGCTCTAGCTCGCGGATTCCATAATGCCCCTCGCCTCTACGGCGATGACACCGTTAGACGTCCGATTCGCATTACCGGAATACGGTCAGGGCTTAAGGCCGCAGGCTACGAATTTTTCTACGGGATATATGACGGATTCACCGGGATTGTGCGACTTCCGGTTCGTGGCGCTAAAAACGAAGGTGTCAGGGGCGCGTTCCTGGGTGTCGGCATGGGGCTTACCGGGTTTGTGCTGAAAGACGTAGCGGCAGTGGTCGGCCCTATAGGCTACGTTCTCCAAGGAATCGTCAAGCAGGTCGAAGGCAAAGACCAGCCCATGAAGTACCTCCGCCGTGCGCATATTGTCCAGGCGCAGCGCGAGCTCCGCGCGCTCAGCGAAGCCGAACGCAAGACCACGGTGGATACAGTTCTGAAGGGATGGCATATCATGAACGGGTTGGCGGAAGCGATCACGCAGCAGGAAGGGAAACGACGTCTCATACCGCGAATTGGCGGCGATGGAAGCGGGAAGAATAAGAGTGCCCATATATTGAGAAGACACGGCCACGATCCCATCTTTGAGAACGTCCGAGGGGCAGAGAAGGCCCTCGATGCTGTAAATAGGGGTGAGGATATAGGAGCTGTGCTCGCTAAGCACAGGGGGACGTAGATACGACGAGAGGACAACGAAGGAGCGAGCTAATTTTTTTTAAAAGTCGGGATCGCGATGGCCCGGAGTAGTTTCCGGGTGACTCGAAAACCCTGCATTAGACAGGCGGAGGGGGGTTCTGCAACAACAGGAATTCATTACGCCCAGCCTAGCATCCAGACCTATCCATTTTGCCCACAAATATAGGGAGTGTGAGAAGAAATGTGCAAGAGGATACCTAGCATCACTAATACTAAGCCCTATTGAGGTGCGTGTAGATGTGCGTAGATGTGCGTAGATAGGAGGAATCCCCAGGAATCCGGGATGCTAGTGGCATACCTACCTCTTTAACCTTGCTAATTGTGCCAAGTTGGTGGCCTGCTCTACTCACACCACGCCCTGGGTCTCAGCCGTGGCGATGGCCGCCTCGTCCAGGAGCGCGACGAGGTCGACGTGCTCGTAGTCGTGGCGGTGCTCGGCGAGGAGGTCGCGCACCCAGGGGCCGCGGGGGCGGAACACGGCCCGGAACGGGAGCGGGCGGAACATGACGTCGTTGTTGCAGGCGGTCTCGGCGGCGAGCTCCTCGACTCGGCGGGCGCGGCGGGCGGCGGCTGCCTCGGGCGTCCCGGCGTCGCCGTCGTCGTCGTCGTCTGCCAACTCGACATCGAACGCCCAGAGCAGGCGCGCCGCCGCGATGAAGAGCCCGTTGCGCGCGACGTGGCGGCCGGTGCAGATGCGGCGCCCGAAGCCGAAGAGCGTCAGCGGGAGGTCCCGCAGCAGGACGCGAGCCTCTTTCTCCTCGTCCCCCCGCTGGGCCTCGGGCTCGTCCGGGGCGGCGGCGGCGAGCCAGCGCTCCGGCACGAACGAGTCCGCGTCGGGCCCGAAGACGGACTCGTCGCGCGATATGGCCCAGTAGTTGGGCGCCACGATGGACCCCGCCGGGATGCGGTAGCCCATGTACGTGTCTTCCTTGAGGGTCGCGTGGGCCACCGCGCCGGTGACGAACGGGCGCCAGCGCAGCGTCTCGTTGACTTGTCGCCGTCGGGCGCACGCGATCAGCGACGGGGACACGTGCGGAAGAGAGAGAGGGGGGGGGTGGGGGACGAAAGGACGAAAAGAGTTCATGACCTACTGATGGCGTCGATATATACCAGGCGCGGCCGGTCATCGTACGTCGGAAGCCGGCCGCGGCCGACGACCCGGTCGAGGACGCGCTGCGCCTCGGCCATGTGCGAGGCACCCCGCGTCACCCACGTGAGGACGAACCACTCGAGCGCGGTGGCGGAGGTGTCGAAGGCGGCGTCGGCGATGTTGCCGATGTTCCAGGCGACGGCCTCGGCGGACAGGTGGCCTTTGCCGTGCGGCGGCTCGGCCTCGGCGGCTGCGGCCGCGCGGCTGATGTGCTTGGAGAAATTCCAGCCGGGGCGCGCCAGCCCCCGGTCGAGGTTGCCGACGTGGTGGGCGTGCTCCGCGGCGTACAGGCGGTCGCCGCGGGCCTTCCAGGGCGCGAGCGCGCGCGGCAGAGCGTTGAGCGCCGGAAACAGGTCGATCAGGTGCCCGCCGAAGGCCGACTCCTTCACGAACGTCTCCTGCACTTGGATTGCGCGGATGAGCCGCGGCTCCGTATCCGTATGCAGCCGCTGCCCGTAGAGCAGTGCGTAGATCATGCTAGCTGCCGTTCCTACACAGGGGGATGGAGGACGCGGGTCGCCGTCATCGTCGATCGTCAACACGCGCCGTTAAATGGGAGTGGAAGTTGGCGAAGGTAGTGCGGATGGCAGATAGAGGCGGCGGGGGGACGAGATGAAAAGATAAAAGGGTATGAGCTCACGTTGAAATAAGGACATAGGAGCCAATCCTTTCTCTCCGTCCCGATCGTATCCCGCTAGGAGGTCCGCTAGTAGTTGTGTCGACTCGATATCTTGGAGAGTACGGTAACGGGCCGCGGCACTCGGATTGAGCAGCGGTGCGTGCAGCCGCTGGTGGAGCCGGAATGTGTCGTCATATGGCTGGGCTGCGAGGCTGACAGCGGGGATTAGCGGCTAGGTTTGAGAGACAGTGGTGTGGGTATGTGTATAGGGAGGCGAGAAGGGGAGGTGGGAATTGGGGAGGCTATTTACTGCATGCCCCGAGTAGCGAGGTCGTTGAAGAAGATAGATCGTGGGCGGTCCGAGTATCGCGCGCCACGCTTCGAGAGCAAGTCCTGCGCCGCGGCGTATGTGGATAGCACGACTATCGGCTGTCCAAGCATATCTAGATACATCACCGGCCCGTAGGTCTTGCTCCAGCGATGGAACTCCAGCCATGGGTGGCTCTGGACCAACTGGTGCAGGTTCCCGATCAACGGCACTGCAGGGCGAAGACGACTAGCATTAGTGATCGCTCGTATGCGTACGACCTGCGAGTCTCGAAAACGTATCCCGAGAACACCGCGAAGAACTGCCGGATCTACTCACGTCGTCTGGGGCCGGGCGGGGGACTGAGGTGCTGTCGTCCGGTGGCGAGCCGGATAAGACGGACGAGAATATTGAGGAGGAGGAGGGCGAAGAACCCGACAGCGGGGACGACCAGCGGAAGGTGGTAAGTCATAATGGTGATATCGGTGATTATACTATCGAAAGGGGTAGATTGGTTGCTCACATACCTCGAGGTTTCTCCGTGGGGGTCTAGGTCTATATACCCTTGGGCATACCACCCATTAGGCCTGCCTACGCAACCCATACGGATGGGCAGAGATTTGCTACTGGCCGGTTATCATGGCCGAATGGCTAAACGCCCACATTGGAGTCCCATGAGCTGTCGACAGGGTCCTTCCGGACGTCTCTGACTTTTGTTAGTGGCGTAAGTGGTGGTGTATGCCCGCATAATCTACAGTTGCTACTCTACCCTTCACCAATCGCGCGCGGCCGGGGGCTACTTCAGGAAACAAGATGCGAGAGGGCTGGCCGAGTGGTTGGTCGCATGTGAGCTCAGCGTATGAAGCAATGCACACTTTGCATATGAGAAGAGTCTCCAATTGGAGACGAAGGTAAGCGGGGGTTTCACGAGGGCCTCGACAGCGTCGAGTTATATAGTATGTACGCGTATGTATCATATCATAGGTATGATACCCCGAGGCTAGGTCAAGCCTCCTCGTCGCCGAGGTAGGTGGTGAGCGAGGGGTTCCCTACTTCACTCGGCGCCTCGGAAACGACTCGAGACTCCTCTTTAAGAGAACTGACTGGCCCCACGGAGGGCCAGGTTTGTTATTAATAACGTCGTATGTGCTGTTGGCTGGTACCACATCCCACTGCATGGTCGAATTTCCTTGGCGATACAAGCTCTTCTTCGAACCCTTCGTGGCATATGTCTCGTCCACGACCCGCTTACCAGTCTCGACGTCGAGGCCTTTGATAACCCTCTCGAAGTACTCCAATGAGACCAAGGGTTGGTAAAAGGGCACCTCGTGGCCGCTCTCGTATATACGGGTGAAGCTGAACTTGCCGGCTTGCTTGACCTGGCCGTGGACAACGCCATCGCTCGTCTGCAAGTCCACGTAGCCGGCTTTAGAGAATCCCGGTGCTGCCACTGCTTCAGCCACGGCCTCGTTCCCCAGCCAGTTGCAGTTGTAATCTGCGTCGCCAGCGAAGAGCGCAACCGTGACGCCCTTGGATAGCAGATACCGGATATCCTCGATCGTGCCCATCTCGCGGCCGTCATCGCCGGTATTGTCGAACGCTTCCCCCACAGCAAAGTTGCTAGAGAAATTGGTAAACGCGCCAATCGCCGCCTGCACCTCGGCGGTGTTCAGGTAGTCGGTGTAGAAGCTGTACGGAAACGGATCCGGGACAAGCTCCCGGACGTCGTACTCGCTTCGGCCAAGCACCGTGTCATATATGAGCTGCACTACCGAGGCGCAGAAGTTGTCTGCGTTTTTGCACACCTCATTCCTCCCGGTGGCCTTGCAGTCATTAAGTCGGTCGACGCAGTTCCCCGGCCCGTACAAGTTATTATAAAACATAGCTTCAATTGATGAGTTAAAGGGCGCATAGTCGTACGTGTTGCCGGGAAAGACGGTAAAGTTGTAATACGCTTGGTACTGAACAATGGGGTCGAACCAACCGTTTCCTATCAGGACAGACTCTAGCTGGATCTTCTTGGCGCCCGGGATGTTTAGAGCGTTCTGCTTTTCGAGATACGCGTTAAACACGGGCCCGTAGTGGCCACCGTAGCTTTCCGTCGCGAAATGGAATCCGTTCCGCGAGTACTGAGGGAAGGCTCCCATGAAGCCCTGCAACGTCTTCCAGAAGTTGGGGGCGGCGTTCGTCGTCGAGTTGGCCGTCAACGTGATATTGGGATAAGCGAAGGTGCCGCATGAGCCCGGTGGCGCGTAGTCCGGGCACGTGTCATCGGGCAAAGCGACAATATTCCCGTCGGCTGATTTGTAGGCGGAAACAGGCTTCGAGTAGGAGAACCCGACCTGCGAGGGCTGGTCGATGAAGAGCATATTGCTCACATTGGACCAGGAATAGGGGTTGTTGTAGACCTCGCCGAAGTAGTCAACGCCGCAAGGCCCGAGCTCCTCGAAGAGGCCGATCATGGAGCTCGAACCAGGCCCGCCATTAATCCAAACCGTCAGATCTGCCTCGGAGGGATCCTGGTTACGGGCCTCAAAAAACCACCAGAATATGTGCTGGTCCTCCCCGACGTCGGCGTATCCCGAGTAGCTCTTCACGTCAGGGTCCAGTTCACAAGTCCCAGCAGGGACCTCCTTGTACCGAACAGGAATTCCGGCATAGCCAGTGGCCTCCTCGAGTGAGGTAGGTGGCTTGACCCACTGGGCGAGCCCACGGCGTGCGATAACCCCTAGGAGTAGTAGTTTCACGAGCAAGGGCATGGCAAGGGTAGCACCGCAGCACAGCACGAGGAGGAGGAGGAAGAGGAAGAGAGCGAGGGGACGAAAAAGAAGGTGGGTGGGAGCAAAGCGTGCCTTATAAGTAACGGGCGATATAGAATGAGGGTGCCTGGCTGCAATCCTACCGTGCCTGGAATTGGACCTGCAGACAAAGGCCGGGCCGGACCAGGGGGCGGTGGTAAAAAGCTGACGCCATTGGCAGCGGCGCTATTTGCCGTGTCTACGACGTCGTGCTGATCGGCGCCACCCGCTGCATCGTCACGTAGGTACCTAGCTCGAACGGGCATCCCGTTACCTCATCTGCACCGATACCAGGCGGCGATGGTGGGTTATCGCTGTCGTATCGATTTTACCGTGTCTGTCTGTCTTAATCTCGAACTCCCGCTCGCTGCGTGCCGTGTGCTATGTGTGTGTGGTGTGTACGCGTCTCCTCTTCGCGGTTGTGTGCTGATGAGCGGCGGAAGAAGAGAAGAAGGATGGAGATTCGGCGCTCCAGCGGCTCTGGGGTAATTAGTCAGCACCCACTGCATAGTCAGGTACCCAGGTACCTGTACATTTCAATCGGATGGATGTGCCCACCTGGTTAGGTACCTAGGTACCTAGGTAGTTTAGGTACCTCTGTGGTTAGGTGGTAATAGGAGGCAGGTACCTATAGCTTCCCCCCCCTTTCGTGCTCCTTCCCTACTACAATGGAAGTTAGGTACTTGAGGTAAGTGTTCCATATGGCCTTTTTTTTTTTCCCACATAGGTACCTTACACCAAAGCATACCTTAGGTTAGGTACTTAACCTACCTCCCTTTACTTCGGTGAACAATACAGGTAAGAGGTTACGTACCTGTACCTGACCTAACCTCTTAGAGGAGGGATAAGGACCTCACCTCAGGTAAGGTACTTAGGTATCTAGGTACCCAACCTTACCAGACAACATGCCTGTACCGTATTCCGAACCTCTCGCCCTCGCATACCCTTCACTGCTCTCGGCGCACACTTATCTTGCCAATATTCTTCAGCCCTCCCTTCGAACGGCCCGACGCGCGCTGCCTCTAAGTCGCTATGGGTTCTCGCAGCCGTGAACAGCGCTTTCTCCTCTATCCGGAGCCGATACGGGCGTGAGTTCACGTCGTGAGAGATGAGACCTGCGATGCTGACCGTAATAGACCCTCAGTGCCATACAAAAATCGTACGAGGCCCAACCCCACGCTTACCGGCTGGGCTCTGGTGATCTCCGCGTTCTTGTACCATCCTCTGCCCTCTCCCGATTCTTGGCACTGTGTCGTCCCAGGGTCTATCAGCTAACTTCAGCCGCCTTCTTCCTAGGATAGACTGGCTTAGCTTTCTCCGGCGGATCGTCTGGAGCAACGCAGGATTGTCGTCCCTTCGTTCCATTAGAGAGCATCTTCAGGATGTCGAACAGCGATTCGATCCCATGGTCGTACCGCTCGAAGTCGCCGAGGCCGTAGAAAGTCACGTAGAAGGCGATCCCTTGCCCTCGCCCTCGATGTCAGATAAGCCAGAAATCCCGAAGAATTCGGTCGCGCACTACCGGTCTCTCTATCTAACCGGCGAGCTCACACCCCTGGCCGTGGTTCAGTCCGTCATCCCTCTGATCCGCCGTGATACCTCACCACCCGGCGAGCACTCGGCGGCATGGATCGAAGTCAGGCCGGAGCTTGTTATTGAGGCTGCTAAGGCTTCGACGCTACGATACAAGGAGAAGCAGTCGCTGGGACCTCTGGACGGGATACCGGTAGCGATCAAGGACGATTCGGATGTGGAGGGGTATGCGACGACTCTCGGTTCCGTACACAAGTATGAGGATCCCGATCGAGACGGCCATGTAACTGATAACTGGTGCGTCGCCAAGTTGAAAGAAGCTGGTGCAATCATCATGGGCAAAACCAATATGGTTGAATATGGCATGGGTACGTATCTGGTCTTGAAGCTCTCAGCTCTCAGCCATTGCTCACAGTAGTAGATGCCTCCGGTAGCAATACTACGTACGGCACCCCGCTCAACCCCTATAACAGCCGTTATTACACCGGGGGCAGTTCCTCTGGATCTGCGTATGCGGTATCGACTGGTCTGGTTCCCATCGCAATGGGGAGTGATGGCGGCGGTAGTGTTCGGATTCCTGCCTCTTTTTGCTCTGTTATTGGCCTCAAACCAACTCACGGCCGACTATCATTCTTCCCGGGTGCGAACCATGCCAACACCTGTGCGGTCAAAGGGGCCTTGGCAGCCGATATGGCCTCACTCGTGACTTTGTATTCTGTCGTTAGCGAGCCACACCCTACCTCGCCCTTCTACGTGCCGTCAAAGCTCCCCTCGCCATCGCGCTTCACGGTTACGAGTTTAGCTGGGGGCGTCAACCGTCATAAGACAATCGGTGTCCCCGAGGCTTGGTTTCGGCGAGCCGCACCGGGTGTCCAAGAGATTTGCCGCGAAAGCATTAAACGACTCGCAGATCGCAAGGGTTACGAAGTCGTGCCCATCGAGATCCCCTTCTTCACAGAAGGGCAGGTCGCGCACATTATAACGATAGTCGCAGACGCGTCGTCGGCATTGACAGGCGCCAGCGGCATCACGGCCTCTATCCGCATCATGGAGGGATTAGGCCGGGCGACCCCCGCCACAGATTACCTGCTTGCCCAGAAGCTGCGCCACGTGCTCATGCAACACCTCGCTTGGCTCTGGGAGACGCATCCCGGGATGGTCATCGTCACGCCGACGACGATGTGTGCCGGCTGGCCGATCCGCTCAGCCCTCGAGCTCAAGTACGGCATTAATGACGGAAACCAGAGCTTCGCAGCAATGGGATATACGTGGATGGGCAATTTCTGCGGGCTCCCGAGCATCAGCCTGCCCGCGGGCTACGTCGTTCCTGAGGGGCACCCGCGCGAGGGTGAAGTCGCCAGCCGAGACACGGTAGGAAAGGTGCCCGTTGGAATCATGGCAACAGGCGAGTGGGCAAGCGAGTCCGCGCTCGTGCAATTCGGCTTGGACGTGGAGGCGTGCTCTGACGAACCATGCCACCCCCCCAGATGGGTCGATGTCGCAGAGCTAGCGCGGCGGAAACCCAAGGACCAGTAACGTAGCGTTCGCCTGAGGAGGTGGTTTTAGTAGAAACCCCGTTCCAATCACGCGAGTGTGAAAGGTAACGGCTAATCACACTGAGCCACTGTCCCGAGAAACTGAGATGAGATGAGATTAGATTAGATTAGATCAGACTGAGGTATTGTGGGGCTTTCTCGGCGCCTGCCGGCCCGGATTCGTAGACCTCTGGTTCCCCTCAGACTACCCGGGAGAGGGAGGCTATAGGCAATTTATATACCAACCTAGCTAAGGATATAAATATGTTGCGATATTCAGACATTCGTCACATTAGAGACCGGATACCAACCCGAGGAGAATATCCCACTCGGGGGGAGTCATCCCCTTTACAGTCCTTGCAGAGAATGTACCGAGCTTTAGGTGCTTTGATCGTATTCAACCTTTTACTAATTAGACACTTCTTATAAAGCGGCATTCGTAGACATTGTGGGCAGATGAATCAATCACATCATGCCGCAAAGCAGATGGGGTCCCGGAGCGGACATTGGAAGCTCAGGTACTACTACCTATCCTTCACCCTAGGATACGGGAGCCAGCAGAGTGAGCAATGTTATAGAGATGACGCCCACAAAACCAGCGGTGAAGTATTGGGCCGCAATCAAAAAGAGCCCTGCCTGCCAACGTCCCCTTTTCCGAGCGCAAGCAGGCTCCTGTGAAGCGATGCAAGAAAGCCCACCTATGCTTGAAGGAGATGCAAGGGTGGATCCTGCTGCCACCGATGGGGGTTTTACTCTCCTACCTCAGTTTGGGGGCCCTTTCACACAGGTATTCTAGAGCAAGCAGTTCTTTGCTCGTTCCATAAGGGGGAGCGCGGTAGAATACCAATCCAATATTCCATCCCTCTTTCTACACCATTCAGGACTGCCTTGGGCAGAGAAAGTAGCTGCAAATGGGACCCAACCAAGGACTAATGCAGGCAGGCGAGGAGCAAAGGTTCTCTGCTGCAAAGCGCGCGGCGGACGGCGACTTGAAAGAAGCGATCTCAAGACGCCTTTGGGCCCCTCGCGGCGTCTGGGTGTCCAGAGGGCGGCCCTCTGGGCGAAGAAGGGACACACGGAGGGGCCACACCCCGAGCGCGGTTTGGATAAAGAAAAGGGGGTGCGATATATGGGCGGCCGCCGCACCACCATGTCCAGCACTCTCGCCAGAGGCATTCGCGTTGGCAGCCCGCATCGCCCAGTGCCAGTACGATACTCTGCGAGGGAAACGCGCGCTTTCTTGCTGCTCCTCGCACGCAGAGCCAGTGATACGCGGCCGCACTGCTCAGACGTAGCTCCAGGTGGCGGCACGGACGCGACATAAGATAGGTACAGTCGAGATGAGGTGGCCACTGCAGACGACGAGCCTTGGCGCGCGTTGCAGAGCTCGTTCCGTTGCGCGCTTCCACGGTAAGTCCAAGTGCCCTACTCCAACGCGCTGAGGTTGGTTTCTGTTTGGCATCGCTAGCGCATCTACGATCGGGAGGGCCGCCTCTTCCACTGCTGCTGCTTGTCGTGTTACTTAACCTACATCGTCGGGAGGGGGGGGGGAGGTTAGGGCTCTTGGTTATCTCCCCTTCCCTTCCCTCCCCTCCTTGAAGTCGCTACGGGTCCCGTTCCCAGCATCGTGGCTTTATCCTGCTTGTTCTCGGCGTTCCTCTCCCGATATCATTACTTGTTCCTAGCCAATGCCGTCATCGCTGTACGAGAAGTAAAGCGTGGACGCTCTCAGACACACGCGATTTCGGGGGGGTTCGTTTTAACGCAAAGACCTCCGGCGTAGGTCCTTCTGTATTCGGTCACGACTCGGCCCCCGTCAGGGCGTTGCCGCGGCGAAAGGATTACGGGTGGACTACACTGTATGGATCTAAAATCACGCAAGTTCCGCCAAGGTACCCGGGAGTGCGGCGGTACATGGAATACCTCGAAAACAAAACAGAGGGACTTGCTACGAAGTGGTGGCAGATGCGGCAAACTCCCGACGGCGACTGGAGAGTTCAGGAGACAGATCTCCCGAGCACGGGCTCCGCCCCCGCCGGTAGCCAGGTCGATCATATTCTTCCGGTAGGTGGTATAGCACCCCCGCAGCATCCGCAGACGGTATGCCAGATAGGCGCTGATGGCTCGCCGTCTAGCGAGGGGTGCTGAGCCGGTTTGCTGCGACAGCCAGCCATGGGAGGCTGTGGAGAAAAACGGATTTTGAGCATAGCCACATCTTCTCACCACCTACCGGGGCGGAAACCGAAGCTGGTTCTATTCCGGAATCTTTTTGGACATGCGTATGGAACTGCCCGCATGCATTGCCGCCTAATCTCCCCCCGGTTGGATCTTTCTCGGGAGACATTCGCCGCCCCGTGGCGCGCCTGTATGAGCGAATGGGCTCAAACACTAACCTGACACCGCTCGTTGTCCTTGAGGGTGGCATTAACGGGTCCAAAGGGTGTCTAGAGAGCCTCCGTCAACCAATAACGAATGCTAAGTCCCAGAAGAAAGTCGGGCAAGCAATCGCGAACACCGGGGCGTCTCCCGAGGAGTTCCTAAAGCATCTACGTTGGGTATGGAAAGGTTGCTCGCACGCCTAATGAGGTGGCACATATTTTTGCTGGTAGCTGATATGGGATCTCCAGGCGGTGGGCGTGTTCGAGTACCTGCGGAGTCCGGAGATCGTCAGGCGAAGGGGGGATATCGTTGATGGTATTTCCTCCGACCTGAAGCTCATCGAGCAGCATACCGAGCACAGCAAAGGACTGGCTGCAATTTGGGACCAGTTCCGTAAGCCCTCCACGCGGTGCGCGCCGTCTCTGGGGTATTATGGCTAACCGAAATCGACTCTCCAGATCCGTCTTATTTCGCTCAGGCCTCTCGGCTTGCACGCGATTGGGTCATGAACTGGGTTAATTGTACCAAGGCTAAATACTGCAAGGCTGAGTCCCCTCCACCCAATCGCGACTACGTACTTTCCGAGCTCGGGAAAATCGAAAAGAAGATCGATATGATGAGATACCCATTCGAAGACTGACCCAACGGCGGAAACATCACGCTACGTCCCATGCCTGCCGCCCGTTTCTGAGACCCGAGGGGTGTGTTGTCGCCGCAGAGAGTGGTTACTACTGGGGGCTGGCTAGCCACGACAGCAGGGTGGAATTACGTGGCATTATCCCTGATGACGGCTAATGGGGAAGAAGAGGTCCGGTGTTGTTACTAATACACTAGTTTTGACAGCTTCAAAGTTGTGATACCTACGTCTTTGTTGGGAGACCTGTGTTTTTGTGACGAAAACTGGTTAAAAATTGCTTGCCTATCTATGTCACTATGGAGGTGGCGAGCAGTCGCCCGTTCTTAAGAAATTCTTCCCTTCTGCGCCGAGGACCATCCCGAGGCGATACCCATGCGCGGCGGTATCATTGCCGACCATACTCGGAATATCCCCGAGGGTAACCGTTAGTATCTAGGTCGGATAGGAGATCACGATATGACGACGCCGTGTCACGGAGTTCCGTATAGAGTATCGAGCACATATCGTCCGTTGTGATCCTCGACCAAAAGAGGTCGAAGTCACGGTCGGGGATGTGATCGAGCTGCTTGTCTGGCCACTCCCCCCCATAGCGGTCGAGGATACCCCTCGGGGCCCAAACGATGTAGACCCAGCCTCGGTTGAACATGTCGAGGGTCGAGTTGAGTACGCTCCTCAAGGATCGCTCGTCAACGACGATGTAGAAGACGTTTCTGACGTCATGCTGTCTACCGTACCCAGGGCGTAGGACCGGCAAATCGCTCTCGCCGCGCACAATCTCGGAATCGCTCGCGCCACGTGAATTCTCCGAGTCACTCCCGCTGCAAGAACTCTCGGAATCGCTCTTGGCCGGCGAACTCTCCTCGATTTCACTCTCGCTGCACGGGTTCTCCGGATCTATCTCGTCCCACGAACCCGTCAAATGACAGTCGATCCCGTCCCATGGGTATAATGAGTACGTCGTTTGACTTAGATACTCCGCCCAGCTTTTGTCTTCGTCGGGATGCGGCTTGCGGTTCTGCCATTTCTTGAACCGGCGGTATATGTCCTTCGGTGACGCGCCGTCAAGGTTGGCTCGGTCCTGGACGATGGGCCACTCCATCTCCTCCAAAATCTCGGGGGTGGGGAGGGAAGCTGTGTGGAAGCGTAACATCTTCATTATGTGGGTCTCGAAGGTCTCCCACGCCTTCTGGTCGCTGTACGTAGTGCGATAGATATGAAGCCCCCATTTCTTCTGCCCGTTCAAGAGCAGGGTCCTCAACGAAGTTGGGCCCGTGTCGCCGTAGCATCTCGGAGGCTCGGGTTCGGGGACTCCTGGTACGTCGGAACGCGGATCGCCTCCATCACGTGTTGTAACGCCGAACGCTGTCTGGTTGAGGCGCCAGGGAGCCGGTGGCGGTTCGTAGCTCGAAAACACATCTACATCGTACAATTTCGACCGGTAAGGCGTCCGGTGGAAGGCTTTGCGGGAAGACGACATAAGTGTTGCTGCTGGCAGGGATTTGGCCGGGGCTTTCCGCTGGAGCCGCCAGAGCCCCGATGTCAGGCGAGGGGAGAGCATTGGCAGACGAGGGGTGGTAAAGCGTAGGGGCATGTTGATGGTATTTAGTTTTTTGGGTGGGTGTAGGTGTGATCTGAAGTGGTTGCAGAAGAGGGAGAGAGAAAGAAGAGACAGGCCGGCGAAACTTCCGATATTTATTTCATCTGCTCCAAGTAAATATGTTATAAGAACAATTAGCCCCCCGTCCCACCCCTTTCCCCCCCGGTTTCTGCGTGTTTGTCAATGCAAACAATGGCTGGGCTGTGATTAACGGTGAAGCATAGTGACTATTAGTTTGGCCTTGCTTGCGAGCGCCGAGATATTCTTGATAATAGTGAATGATTACCCGCCGGTTTGCTTATGCGGAGAGAAGGGGAGAGGTTTAACGAACTTGACCAGTTCATCAGAACTGGCTAGACCACCAATACGACGTCGCTGTTAATGTAGAATACAAGCTCAGGGTATGGTGGGGTCAAGAGCCAAGGAATAGCTTAATCTCATTGAATTGTCCTACGAACATGAGAATATTCGTCGAACCACTCCGCTTCGCTACTAATAATTCAAGTTCAGCTTCTCACGTTTTACATGCCTTATTACTTGAGGCAGCAAAGCAGTAGGAGTAAACCCAGCTAAAACGCCCCAACTAAAATGTACATGGCTATAACCGGTAAAAACGCGTATATAAGTATACAGCATTGTTATTAGGTGCAGCTTCATTAGCAGTAGGTATTAGATAGGTGCAGCCCCTATTAGCAGGCTCCTCCTATTGAGTAGTAGTAGTAGGTATAACCTTGTTAGCAGGTTTCTATTAGGTATAGAATTGCTGTACCTAGGTAGGTAGTGAACTAGTAGCAATCCGCTCTTTTCTCTCCTTGAATCTCGAAAACGACAATAAGACGAAAGTGAGGCTTACATCAACCCAGCTTTTCATATCAACCAACAACGAGTTAAAATATACGAACCAACCAACATACTATTTGCTAGACAGGCAACATAGATGTCCGAGTTCAGTGCCTTGCCTTCACTCCTAAGCCGACGAGCGAATGATCAGGTCTCATCTGGTGCCCTTACCTGCGTAGGCTGTCTAGAGATGGGAAAGCACGAAAAGGAAGGAATAAGCACACCCCCATTATCCTACAGAACTAGAATTAGACCGATCCCTGCACTCAGAACACCCCCTAACAGCGCAACGCGAGGGACAGATCTGCGGGCACCTTGGCTAGAGGAGGAGGAAGACGACGAGGTCGTCACGAACTAATATCCCGCCCTGGGTTAGCATCGTCGTTCAGAAACGACCCAACGAGGGGCTCTCTATCAATATTTTTCGATGGGACTTACCGGGCCCGGGGCAGTAGTAACGGTCGACACCACGCCGTCGGCACTGTTAGTCGCGACGGTAGTATACGTTCTGGTCTGCACGACTCCGCTGCTCCCGGATAGGGACGTCTTCGAAGCATTGCTATGCCCCCCGTAGCCGCCCCCGCCGATTATTTTCAAAGCATTACCATGCCCTTCGTAGCCGCAGCCGCCGCCAATTATTTTCGGAGTGTCGCCATAGCCGCCGCCGACGACGATTGTCTTCGAAGGTCCGCCTTGGCCCCCGTAGCCGCCGTCGCTACCGGTTATATTCGAAGTATCACTATGGCCGCCGCAGGTTGTCTTCGAGGTACCACCATACCCTCGCCACCGCTGCCGCCGGCGGAGGAAGGCACAGTATAAGAGGTCACGAAAGACTTAGTGCCGTGTGGCTTCTTTTGGAGGAATTCATCAGGTTAGAAGTGACCATCGCACACGATGCTTCAGATGTGATTGGAAATACGATCGCTAAATCGATTGGGCAAGTAAAAGGCTGGGGTAGGGCGGTGAAGGGCGGGATAAGGAGGTGAATACTAGCGCCGGGGGAAGGCGGGGATGTGAGCTCACAAACTCATCGCCCGGCGATGTTGAAGTCGAGCTTACATTTGGGCAGATTTCTGTCGAATTTCTTTTAGCCAACGCAATGGGAAGCGGCGTCACCGATACCCTCGATATATCTGATGTCGGCGGTATAGACGTTGTCGACGTCGTATCGGTTGTCGACGTTGTCGGTGTCGGCGTTGTCGGTGTCGGCGTTGTATCCGTCGTTGAAGTTATATCGGTCGTCGGCGTTGTCGGCGTGTCCGTTGTTGGCGTTGTCTCACTAGGTGTGTTCGTGGTAGCGGGAGGGGAGGGAGCGGCGTTCGACGGAGGGAAACAAGCGTCCTGAAATTATTACCGGAGTTAGTGACCAAAATCTCATTATCAGCGGGGCCTATTCGGCGACAATAGGGAAACACATCGCGCTCCAGGGCACGACGACCCTGGAGCGAAAAGGGGGTCGACCTTGGCAACGGTGCCGTCGAATGCGAAGCCGGCTTACACTGCAATTCTTGGGGCAAAACGCGTCAAATCCACGGCCTAGAGCGCTAGCAATGCTCGAATTCAGCGAGTTGAAGGCTTTGAATCCATAGGTGTCACGAGCGAACTCCTCCTGGCCCCAGTGGCTCTGAATCCCATCGAACACAACCCAGATCTTGGCCTGGATCTCGACTATAGCTCCCTCGACGATGCGACAGCCGCGGAGCTCCCCGATCGCGCCTTTGCTGGTGATAAGTTGGGTTACAAGCGCATCAATAGATAACCTGAACGACTCGATCTCCCCGTTGAGGGACTGCAGCTCCTTCGACTGGAACGAGTCGACCTGGCCCAACGAGGCGGAGACGTTCTTGATCGCGGTCGATAGAGATTTCAGCGTCGCGTTCACCCTATCGATGCCGCCACCGCTCTCGATGCTCTTTACGGCACTGTTTACCTTGCCGACATGATGGTCCGCCAAGTGTATGGAATTCATGACAGGATCAACCCCGCCGGCGCCGTCCAAGCGTTCGTCGCGTGTTGACTTCCAGAGAGGGTTACCGTGATGCATGTGATGTCCGCCTGGATGGTGGGTAGCGTCGCCGGGGCTCTCGTGCCGTTCCGCGAAGACGATACCCGGATACATGGCAATGGAAAATAGGTATAGGGCGAGAAAGAAGGCTCTCATGGTGTTCGCCATGGCGCTTAGAGACTCTAGAGACCTGAAACTGAGAATAGGCCAGGGAGGGACCGGTCTGGGAGCGAGATGATGCTAGCACGAAGCTCTGAAGACAGGCTCAGTGGGGGTAGAGTGGACTGTGGAGGATCCGCTGGGTTGGAGCGTCGGACTGAATGTCATGGCGACCTCGCGGTTCTCATGGCTTCGAATCCGACACCTCGACAGCACGTGCCGTCGATATGGAGATGGCGAAGTCGTCGTCGGCCCAGACGACCGGGCACCCTAAACACGGACACGAACGTAAATGAGGCGGCGGGATAGGGACGACCCACCCATGGTCGGTGGTCCGCCGGGGAGGGTAGAAAGGAGGAGGAGTAGGTGTAGAGTGGAAAGGTTGGAGGCATATCTGTAACCTACTTACTATTACCTAAGGTGGCCACTTCCATGCTCGTTTCGCGCAACATCCGTTGGATAGGATAGAGTTGCTCGGTCGGAAGGCTCGACTGACGCTATCCCACGCAACCCCCTTCCATCTCTCTCTGCTCCTCCTCCTCCCTCCATCTTCATCTTCAACAGTCCCTCCGTCCTCTACCCTTTCTATCTCCCATTTTCTACGTGCCAGACCGTTCCCCGAACACGCACCCGCCAGCCTCCTCCGCCCCGATTCAGTCTTTTCGCATGAGCGAGACTAAGGCTATTGTGCGTCTCGTTTCGGATAGAGAGTCTTTACCCCCGCCACCCCCGTTTAGCAGAGTTTGAGCAGTCCGACTTTGGTATGGGCTGGCGGGAACGCGCGGGGCTGCGATCGCGATCGCGATTATCACGGTCGTGATCGTCAGGTGTTGGTCCCACGGCGAATTCTATTTTAGCCTCCAGCAGTTCGTTGCCGCTCCGATAGTCCGGTCGGTCCGGCGTAAATAGCTTTCGAGCCAGCTCCTGAGCACCTCGGCGCGTCTTAGCCTTCAGAAAGGTGTGGCACACCGTCGACGAATGTAGGGCGAGATGGGCAGACTCTACGCTAGAGCGCCTTATGTCGTCTAGGTCCTCGAGAGAAATCGCTACTAGATCGAGAAACAGGTAGGAAAGCCCTTATTCACGTTAGAGGCGTACAGTCACGACTCTGCCTGCTCTTAGCACCCCGTGCCATCGTGGGGTCGCGCACTAATAATACCTAGGTGGCGAGACGTTCTACCGCGCTTGGTAGTTGTATCCTCCTTAACTGCCGCCGACGCCTCGAGACATATACTCCGTGCGAGGATATAGATAAAGGTGGTTGCGTCCAGTCAAACCAAACACAGGATTATGACGTGGCATAAATGCCACTTCCTCCCCCCCCCCCCTCCTCCTTTTAAACCCCTTACTCCAAGAGACAGAGGATGGTATACGTACGAGATGTGTGCACCCCTATCCTGTCTGCCGTCATATCGACTCGCATATGGTCGCTGCGAACTCCGTCGTGGGCACTTCTGGATCGGCCCAGTGCCCGTCCAAGCAGCGTTGGGGATTGCCGAGGTCATGATGTCAAATTTGGGTTGAAATTATTAGGCTTCGCATCCCCCCGAAGCGCCGCAGATCGAAACCTTGAAAAATGCCTCGCATGCCTACACGTGGCCCCTTGTCGATCGACATGCTCTGGGGGGGGAGAAAACCCGATGGCGTGAGAGCCGGGACGCTGGGATAGTATCGGGAGAATAGCAATCGTGATGAGTCTAGGTATGGGATTTCTCTGCCTGCAAATATGACACTAGATCTAGTAGTAATACAACCAGCCTGCCCCGGCCAGATCACAGAAGAATAACAGAACTGCGGATCGCGCCAGTGAGCGTGCCTGTGTCCGTGGGATATCGTACAACCGATGCACCGCCATCGCTCTCCCACCGCCCTGGAGCCAAACGAGGAAGACGTTGAGGCTTCTTCTTCCCCTCAAATTCTCTCCCCCGCCATCATAGCGTTGGCGCGCTTCCCAGCTCAAAATCTCGAAATATCCCTGCCGAAGATCCACGAGATGGCCCAGTAGAAGGGTACTGAGATCTTGTTGCGGATGCTCATGCTGCGCGTGAGGTAGGCAGTGCGCCACAGGACCCAGGCAGCCCAGCCGGTCAGCTCGTCGGCGCTGCTCTGGTGGATCGCCTTCCAGCCGCCGAGATACGTCATCGTGCCCCAGTTGCGGAAGCGGAACGGCTTCGCGCCCACATCCGCGCCCGCGTTCACACTCGCGCTCCGGTTCAGCTGCCGCGCGAGGTGCGCCGCCTGCTGGCTCGCCACCTGCGCCGTCGCTGGCAGCCCCAGGCCCGCCACCGCCGCGCAGTCCCCTATGCTGTACACGTCGGGCAGCGGCACCGCTCCAGAAGACGCCGCGGTCGCGCCTCGCGGCGCCACCTTCGCGCGGAGGTACGCGTCCGTGGCGATGCTGCCCGTCTTCGCGTCCCTCAGCAGCTGCATCTCGGCGGTGCCGTCCTCCGAGCCGGGCAGCGCGAAGGCCTTGGTCCCGAGCTTCTGGAGGAGCGGGTTCTGCATCAGGCCGGTGCTCCACACCACGATGCCGGCGCTTACCTCTTCATCGCCGTACTCCCGGATCCTGAGTTTGAGGCAGCCCTCGGTGTGCTCGTCGGGCCGGACGCGCGTGAGGTGGTGCTCGGTCTTGACGGAGATGCCCTCGCGCCGGAAGCGGTCCATGGCGTAATCGGCCAGCTTCTTGTCGAACATGGGGAGCACCTTGGGCGCGACGTCGTAGACGGTGATGCGGACGAAATGCATTAGCTCCGGGTACGTGCTCTTAAGGTCGTCGCGGATTAGGTCGTGTAGCTCGGCGGCGAACTCGATGCCCGTCGGCCCGCCCCCGACGATGGCGAAGTGCAACAGCTTGGCGCGCTCCTCGTCCGTCGTCACGGGCAGCGCGGCCTTCTCGAAGCTCTGCAGCACCTTCATACGGATGCGGCGGGCATCGCCGACGTCGCGCAGGAAGTTGGCGTGCTCGCGCACGCCCTCGATGCCAAACGTCTGGCTGTAGGACCCGATGGCGATGACCAGCTTGTCGTACTCGACGTCGAACATGGCTCCCCGCCGCGTGCCGCCGTCGCCGTCCGGGCGGTGCGCCATGGCGGCCTGCGTCTTCGACGCCAGGTCGTCGGACGTGTTCGCCTCGACGCGGATCGTCTTGCGCGCGAAGTCGATGTCGTCGGCCCAGCCCTGGTGGAAGCGGTCGAGGCCGAGGCGCCTCACAGGCTCGAGGACGGTGCGGAACTCGAGCGTGCCCACCGCCGTCCCCGCGAGCAGAGGCGTGAAGACGAAGTAGGAGCGCGGCGAGATCATGACGCGCTCGAACTTGTTGGGGTCCAGGCTGCGCGCGAACCCGTAGCCAGCCCACCCGGACCCGAGAATAACAACGCGCTCTTTTCTGCGCCCGCTGGCAGTGCTGGCCATCCTGTGCCTATCTAGAATATTACATCGTAGCACGACGGGACTCGGACGGCTCAAGGACGTAATGACCCGTCTTGCCCCCGAGATGCGGCTGCTCGTCGCGATGGCGCTCCGAACGGGCGGTGTGGTCATAGTCGGCGAGGGCGAGGATAGCAAGGCGAGAACAAGGAGGACGCCGGCTGGGGCTAGAGGTGAGACGGTGACAGGATTTTAGATGCGTGCGGCCCCCATAGTAACAAACGTGTCAATATGGCGCGACGAGGGGTGAATGTGGGCGCGGTTGTCCTCTGCCAGGAGCACGCGCCAGCTGGATGGCGAAGCGGTGAGTCCGGGTGACGTTTGGCTGACGAAAATAATGCGGGTGGTTCGGATCCGCCCTGACTGGCGCGCCGTCAGCCAGGCCACGATTTGCAGCCAGCGAGGGCGTGGTGAGGCACCTGGTCTCTGCGAGCCCAGTGAAAATTCTGATCTTGTTTACTCCGGGTCGCCGAGCGTACCCAGGTATCTACGTATCTGTCCGAATCGGGAGTAGGGTCCTAGCTGGGCCCCGCTGGCGCCCGCGAAGGTGCCGCCGACCGCGCCGGTCCAGCCGGGTCGCATCCGTGTCCTTGGCTCGGATGGCTCGGAGGACCCGGGGCGAGGACGGACCCGGTAGATCCACTCCAGCGCCGGGCTCGGCCGTGCGCAGAATCAGCTGGTGCGGTTCTACTTGCGTCTGGCATATTGACATTCGCGCGTTCTGTCGCGTTGCTCAATTAGAAAATCCACCTCCTCCCTCCACTCACTTTCGTCCCTCTTGTTTTTGTTTCTTTGTTTTTTCTGCAGCTTTGCTTATCGTTATCGTGCCTACGTTTCCACTTCCCTTCGGCGTCTTCGTTTGAATACGCCAACATCCATCCATCTTCGCTTCCTTCGACCCCTTCTTCTGGGCAGCTCGCCCTAGCACTGCCACGTTGGCCTTACTCTCACGGATAATAGCCTCGTTGGGGTAGGTATTGTTATTCGTAGGTAGATGCCGAGCAGCGCGCGCGCGGGGTTGTGGGCTGGCGCCGGGAGCGCTATCGGGTGTGGTGGTACCTATCGCCATCTACTCGCGTTGATACGATGATCCTGTGTGTGGCGCGATAGCGCGGTCGATCCCATGGCCGCGTGAGCGCGGCAGTGAGGGAAAGCCGACGACAAATCCCGTCACCCTTGGCGGCACTGCATGTAATAAACACTGCCTCCCCCGCATTCCCTGCGCATCGGAGCCGAGGCACTCAGCGCGCCCCTCATATCCGAAGCCTCCCTACGAGGGCGCTCGAAGCCCTATATTATCACCTAGTAGGGCGCATCCGTCTCTTAGTAATAATTACAGTCACTACAGTCGCATATCTCCTTAGCGGTCGCTTTCGCCAAACGAGTCGTGCTAGGTAGGCATCACCCTCGTCTCCCCATGGCGCAGCAGGTCGACGTAGTAATCTGCGGCGGGGGCTCGGCCGGCCTTTGCGCGGGCGTCTGGCTCGCCCGCTGCGGCGTCAGCTTCCAGATCCTCGAGCGCGGTACCGGGCCGCTAGAGAACGGCCAGGCGGATGGGGTGCAATGTCGGACGGTGGAGTTGTTCGAGAGCTTCGGGCTCGCCGACGCGCTCCTCAAAGAGGCCTACCACGTCACTGAGATCACGCTCTGGGCGCCTGATAGCGAGCGCCGCGGCGGCATCCGGCGCACGCATTTCACGTCCGACAAGCAGCGAGGCTTGAGCCACCAGCCGCACGTCACCCTGAACCAGGCCGCGATCAACAGGATCCTGACCGACGAGATGGAGCACGCTTCTGGCCGCCCCTGCGTCGAGTACGGCTGCGAGGTTCTGGGTGTCGAGGTAGATGGCGAGACTGCGCGGGATCCCGATCAGCACTGCGTTACTGTCAGAGCGTCTAAAGACGGGGTAGAGCGACTGTATCGTGCGAAATACGTCCTGGTAAGACGAACTCTAGAGTTGCACTTTAGCTATCACTTCCGCCCCCCAAAGAGAAAAAAAAAAACTCTCTTCGTTGGTCTAACGCGCTAGGACAGGGGAGCGATGGAGCGCATAGCATTGTCCGGAAGTCCCTCGGATTCCAGATGGTCGGCGACACGACCGACGCTGTATGGGGGGTGATGGACATCTACCCGCGAACAAGCTTTCCGGACATCCGTAGGAAGGTTATGGTGAATTCCGAGGCGGGGAACGCACTAATCATACCTCGCGAGGGGGACTACATGATCCGGATCTACATAGAGTTAAAAGGCGCGGCCGGAAAGGATGTCACACTGGACGAGATCATGCGGCGGGCGCGCCTCATCCTGAGCCCGTACACGCTCGAGGCCGCCGAGACGGTCTGGTGGTCGGCGTACTCGATCGGCCAGCGCCTCGCAGACAAGTTCCACCAGGACTACCGCGTCTTCCTCGGCGGCGACGCGTGCCACACGCACTCGCCCAAGGCCGGCCAGGGCATGAACGTCAGCATCCAGGACGGCTACAACATCGGCTGGAAGCTCGCCGCCGTGCTCCGCGGCCGGGCCGGGCCCGAGATCCTCGAGACGTACGTCTCCGAGCGCCAGAAGGTCGCCGCCGACCTGATCGACTTCGACCGCAGGTGGTCCCGGCTTTTCTCGTCGACCTACCGGCGCGAAAACGGCGTCACGTCGGAGCAGGTACACGCCCAGACCGTGCTCCACGCCAGGTTCACCTCGGGCATGGCGACCCGGTACGAGGACTCGTCGATCGTCTCGGCGGCCGCCAGCGAGGCCGCCCTCGCCGCCAACATAACGGTCGGGATGCGGTTCCCGAGCGCCGAGGTGATACGGCATTGCGACGCGCGCGAGACGAGGATGGTCTTGGCCATGCCAGCCGATTCGCGGTGGCACGTGGTTGTCTTTGCCGGCGACATCCGGGAGCGCGATGCTCTGGAGCGGCTGCGAAATGTGCGTACACGCTTTCCCCCCCCCCCCTCCCCCCCCCTTGCGCAGCCCAAGAATCTCCCGCGAGAGCCGCCGCTATTGCTGACCAAAAGATTGGCAGTTTTCAATCGGCCTCGAGAGTGTCATCGACGCCGTCACGCCGCCCGACGCCGACCGCGACACCGTCGTCAACCCCTTGCTTATCCTCTCCTCCGGGCACACCGAGACCGAGCTGGACCAGGTCCCGCCCGTCTTCACGCCTACCGTTTCCAAGTGGAGAATCAAGTGTACGTGCTCTTCGGGCCCCCGGAGGCGGATAATATGACCAAGATTGCTAATTAACAACGTCATCATCTCCATCGTCGTCTTTAGCTTTGCTCAAGGTCTTCGTGGATGAGGAAGGCTACCACTCCCCCCACGGCCACGCATACGATATATACGGCATAGACCCGGGCCGAGGTGCGGTCGTGATAGTCCGTCCAGACCACTGCAAGTAGCCCCCGAACGACCGCAAGCGGAACGAAGCACTGACCTGAAGCAAGACATCTCCAAAATATGCTCGTTGGCCGACATCGGCGCCGTCAAGGATTTCTTCTTCGGGTTCATGAAGCGGATAGAAGAGTAGGGCTGCCCGTCTACCACGCGTGATATTACCCTGGGATGATGGTTATTAGAGGGCATTATTATTACGTATCGGATGTAATTAATATTCGTGTTGAGCCGGTCAGTGAGAGCAACGTTTGTGTATTATACGCAATCACGAAACATGTATCTAAAGTAACTAGGCGAGGAAACAAGACTCCGGCCTACGTGCGAGAACCAATCAACGCCAATACATATGACTGAGAAAGAAGAAGAAGAAGAAGGAAACCCCCCAGCACCTCAGGAGTTGACCTCGGCGAACCAGGTCCTCAGCAGCCCCGCCAGAGCGCCGGGCAGGTCCTCCAGATTGTGCACGATGAGGTAGTATTGGAAGGGGAACGTGTCGAGATAGTACTCGGTCTTGATCTCCTCGTTACCCAGGAAGCGCACCTTCTTGAGGTTCACGACGCTCTGCGGCTGGTGGTGCTCGCCGTTCGTGCCCGACCTCGACGTGGTGTCGTCCATGATGATGAAGACGAGCATGATGCGCTCCTCGGCCGCCTCGCGCAGGAGCAGGCGTATGCGCTCGTGGGCGGCCGAGGGCGTGAGGCCGTCCGACAGGACGAGCGCGAGCTGCCAGAGGTCGTCGCCGCCGCCGTCGGACGCGCGGCCGGCCTGCGGGCGGCGCGCGGCGCGGAACCGCGCGATGGTCTGCCGCACCAGCAGCTCGACGTCGGTGCGGTCCTGGCCGAAGGCGAACCGCTGCAGCGCCTTGGCGCCCGCGTCGTGCGACGCGAACGGCTCGCCCAGCTCGTGCGCCGCGAACACGTCCGCCCCGAAGCCGAGGATGCCGATCTGCCCGGCCTCGAGCATTGTCAGCGCCCGCGAGACCATGACGAGCGACTCCAGCGCGAGCGTGCCGGCGCTCGACTCGCCCATGCTCTTGCTGTCGTCGACGCAGAGCAGGATCTGGTAGGAGCGCTTTGTCGGGACCGCCCTGCGCATCCATATCTTGTCCCTCTTGTAGCTGGAGGCGATGTACGGGATGATGCGCTTGATGTTGAGACGCTTGCCCGTTCGGTAGGACCCCGATAGCTTCGTGGATTGGGACGGCGTCAGGATGAGCCGCAATTGAGAGGTAAGAGCGAGTGAGAGCGAGTGTGTTTTGCTCTGGAACGAGGTCCATTGTTGCATGGATTCCCCGAAGTCTCGGAGCTCAAGGTTCGACTCTGAGAGATGGGTAGTTGACAACTGCGTAGAGGTCTCCCGGATCCGTCCCTCTTCCTCTTCCTCTTCCTCTTCCTCTTCCTCTTCCTTCGAAGGCGGTGTACCACTTTCTGGGGGCGCTGGATCGCGGTCATACGCCCCCCGTCGCGTCGAAACCCCGGTAGGCTTCTCTTCTTGCTGCGCTTCCTGTTGGCTTTGGGAGTCATGAGGTTCCGAGACGTCCATTTTGTCCTCGTCGACGATTTCTGGCTCAGCCTCCTCTCCGGGGGGGATCTCGCCATTCGGGGGTTGTTCCTCGTCGTCAATTGCCATCGACTCGTCAATCAGCTGCCTCTGCTCTTCGTTGGAGGTTCCCATGGCCTGAGTATCTGGGGCGGAGTCGTCGTTTTGGATATGTTGATATTCCTGGATAGCTGATTCGTCGACATTTGTTTCCGCATCTCGGGAATCTTGCTCTCGGGCTTCTTTGATATCCTGCTGACGTCTGTGCCACTTTTCGAGGGCATCTCCCAGTGCCTTAAAAGGCTGATGGGCGGATGAATCTACACTACCATCCGGTTCGGTCTGGGAAGGCTGGTTTTGGGCCTCCGAGACGTCGCCTTTCTTGCCAATCGACGTGTCCTGATCGGCAGCGTTCTCGCCCATCTGCCCATCCTGCTGCGTAGCGTTATTCTGCGCGTCGTTCGCATCTTCTCTCTGATCGGAGTCCTGATCCTGTCCACCATTCTTCATGTCACTTGGCGCAACGTCCTCGCTGCTCGCGTTGATCTCATCAGAAGAGGGTATTTGCGTCTTCTCGTGGTCCTCTGGCGACCCGTCGGGCTTTTCGTCTGCCTCGTCGTCTTCTTCAGCCTTCGATTGCTCTTCATTTTCAGCAGACTCGTTCAATTTCTCGTCGTCATCGTCGACATTCGCGGGCGCGATCTCCGTCTCTTCCTCTTCACCATTCTCGCTTTCCCGGTCACTCATCCGTTTCTCATCCCTCTTTTCTTCAACGTCGGAAAGCTTATCAATATCATCGTCACTCATAGAGGACACCGACTCGTTATCGTCGCCATCGATATTCATGTCATCGGGCAATGCCAGGGTATCCTGTTCCTCGACATTTTGATCCTGCCTATCGGCTTCATCTTGTTGCCTGACTTCTTCGTCTTCTTCGGCATCGGGGTTCTCCTCAAGGTCTTGGTCGCCCTCATCGCCATCTTCTCCGGCATCGGCGTCCTGGGTATCGCGTCGCGTGTCGGCGGCTACTTGCTCGTCATCTTTCTTTTGCCCCTTCGTATTCTCCCCTTCCTGCGACTTTTCCGCCTCCTCTTCGTTTTCTCCATCCCACATCTTCTCGTCGACAGCCGACGGATCCAGGTCATCGACTTCGCCAGCCTCTTCGTCCAGCTCGCCATCATTCTCATCCTCATCGCCAGATTTCGATTCTTTCTCCTCCTCTTCACCATCTATGCTCTCCATATCACCCTCTAGCTCTTGGTCAGCCATATCTACTGCATCCTTTTCGTTCTCCATCTCTTTCTCAGACTCTTTATTCCCCTCTTTTGCTAATTCGGATAGGTCCTCGTCTGGCTGGATATCCTTACTTATATCCTCCGCGCCTTCTCCCTCTCCAAGACCAGTGCCACTCTCCAATTGCCCGTTCTCACCTGATTCCTCCTCGGACTTCTCCTTGGGTGTGCAAAACCCCTGCGACGCGAGTTGGGTGAAGCTTGTACTCAGCCTATACCCGAGCTTGCAAGCGCTCCTGTGGGCATCAGCAAAGGATGCGATTGAGTGAGCGCAGGTGGCCTCATATTGTTCGATAATCGGAGCCACAACAGCCATCAAAGCAGTGGAAGTTTTATTGACAACGTCGTCAGCTAAGTCGATCCGCGCGAATAAGTCTAAAGTCTCTTCTATGCTCCGTTCAACTTTGTCCATACGTAGTGCTCGTAAAGAGGCTGTCATGACCCCGCTGTGTTTCATCAACCAACCTGATTCTTCGTGGGAAGCGGGCAGCCTGGTCACTTCTTTATTAAATTGCTCGATAGTCACCAGAATCCCGTCGCAGAGACTTTTCGTGGCGTCAATCAGGAGATCGATCTGGTTGGTAGGCAGGTTCGGCGTATATGGCTGTTCATCAATAAACGTCCAAAGTTGAATTTGCTCGAGCAGGAATGCCAAACCAGGCCACATTTGACTCGCAGCACTTAGAGCGTCCCGGAATTCAGCGAAGGATGACTTGACGGCGTCCTCTAGATCTAATATTTCGGATAAGGCGACCCCACGTGGAAGAATGGGGATCGATTTCCATTTGGCGGATAAAGCAGACATTCTCTCTAGCCAGTTGCCGAGGAAATCGAGAACCTCTTTACTGTCGATGTTTCCAAGCTTGGTGTGAATTTCGATTAGATGTATGCCGACCTTGATGATTTCGACAAGCCATATAGAAGCTCTCTCGTGATTTCCGCACACCACCTTAGGCTTGACCACTCTGCCGTCTTTCAGTGTGCCAATAGTCCGAACCCTCTTCAAGCCGTTCGACAGTGCATTGTGTTGCTTGAGTGCTCCGGCCAACTCACGCCTCTGACCCAACGTGATGTAAAGTATACCCTCGAGGAGCCCGATACTTCTATCAACTTCCGCCATGGTCAAGTCATCAGAGTGGTCTTGGGAGGCGGCTCGCACTCGAGGCGCGAGATCAAGCATCTTGTGGAAATAGTACTCGGTACCCTCTAGGTCGGTGGAAGTATAGGATTCAAACGTCTCCGAGGTAGCGAGGATTGTCGAGAGCGCACCTTGGCGAGACAGGATATCCGTGCTCAGGTTATATTGCACTCCCATTCGTCTGGCTTCTTTCAGTGTCTCCGCAAATAGCCCCCGCTTGCGTGACTTCAGGTGCTTTACCAGAGCCTTATTTTCGTCGTTAAGGATCCGGGGAGTCTCTCTGCGAAGCTCGAGAGCCGACGACTCGATGTTGGACAGGAACGACTCAATAGCTTCCCCAGCATTTATAGAGAATTCGGGGATACGACCCAGCTTGCACATGATATCAACCGTTCTCCGCGCATTGGCCAATCTCCGGTAGTCCTCGGTCCAGCGCGGGAGGTTTCTAGAACACCATTCGATGGAGGCGTAGTCGATAGCCACTGACTGCGTTGGCAATTCGATGGCTGTTACATCGTTGTGTGTTTCGTCTGGCAAACCACCTTCAATTATGGCCTGCATCGGCCGATTTAAGGCATCTCGAAATTTTCGTACGATCCTGAAAAGCTTTTGGTGAGATTTCCGGGCGCTTTCTCGCAACGCGGCAATATTTGTGTCTTTCCAGCTTGCTAACAGGAGTATATCTTTCATCTGTTTCTCAAGAGGAGCTCTACCAGCACGAATCGAGTCCTCAACAGCTTTCGTGTATCGAGAATAATATTTGACGAAGTGCTGAAGGCTATCGCGCACAACAGATATCGAAGGGTAATCCGTTGCGAGAGATTCCAGTTGCTTGCATAATTGCCTAAGCAGGTTGAGTCGACCGACGAATTGCCCAACAGCCGCGGAGGAGAAATACGCTTCCAATTCCTTGAGGAGGCCGGAGGCATGTAGGGAAAGATCCCCTCCCTCCTGAGCCAAGGTTAATGGCACGGCTATGATAGCTTGGTAAGCAATGAACCACCATGAACTCGCATCTTCATTGCTCTTCTTGACCTCCATATCGAACAGCCTTCCCCATGTCGCGAGCTCCAGCCGTCGCCAGCTAATGAGAAGACTTGTTAATTGGTTGTAGAGTGGCAAAACTCCGTACGTCTTGCTTGCCCAACCGCCAAACTGCCATTCGTAAACGAAGGCATGGAGCTGCTCTACTTTCGGTATTATCTTAGCCAGCGGGTCGGAATGACCCAAATTGAGAGTTTTCTCGCAAGACGATACAACATCGGTCAAGGGTTGTAGGTGGCCAATCTCGTCGACCTGTTGAAGTTGGCGGAAGCGGGTTCGAATAGAGTTGACCAGACTAGTAATCTTCCGAGCCTCAAGAAGGTTGCCGTCGGTGTAGAAGTTATAGTCTGCTGGGTTGGTCTCCGAGTTGATTCCTTGTAACATCTTGTCTAGTGCTAATATCACAGAAGGAAGCATACTCCGGTCCGTGACAACGCGTGATACGTTTTCCCTTTCCGATAACTGCTGCGCGAGAAGTGCAGTGACGTTCGTGATACTTTCTGATGGGTCTCGCGGTACGAGGAAAATATTCTGATGAATTCGCGTCAACTTAATAGCCAACGCCCGAGCATCGCTGACTTGGGGCTTTGGCGCTTGATCAAGCTCGTTATCTGTGTTAAAGCTTGGGAACAACTCGTCGAATTCTTCCTGTTTCGCTGCCTCTTCTTCATTCAAGCCGCCTCGATAACGATACCAGCTTCTTTTGGCCGCCTCGGCTTTTTGATCCGCGTCAAGCTTCTGGACCCATTGATCGTACAAGGCGTGGATTGCTTGGAAGGCGTCTTCTTTGACTCTATCAAGTCCAGCCGACCCTTCTACGGAGACAACCATAGCAGCGTAATGAAGAACCTCGAGGTTATGAGAGGATAGCGCTGATCGCTCAAGGGAAACATCGAGCTTCCCCCCGAGGAAAGGCGCAAGTCTTATTAGTGTCCCTGAAGAGAGCTCACCGTCCCGTACTCGTATGCCAGCCTGTTGTCCCAGATAAATGCCGAGTTGCAGGCAGTAAATCATATTCACAACTGGCAAAGTAATATCCTCGTATGCACGGAACTGCTGCTTCAGGCGGAGGGCAATCCTTGATAGGTTTTCGTAAATGACATATAATTGTTGCGTGGCGGTCTCTGAACCGGAGCAATGCTGGAATAGGATCAAGCTAATATCTGATTCGAAAACGACTTTCAGGAGACTATTGAACTCGGTTTGGATTTTGGGTATCTCGGATTGTAAGGGGCGATATACAACCTGAACTGCACTAGGGGGAGGTCCAAGAGATTCGATTTCTTCCTCTAATAGTTCGCATCGCAGATTTGTAGACTGACCAGTCCAGAATTCCTCAAAATCCCGCAGGGATCGGAGTTCATTTTGCAGAGTAGAAGCAAGCTCGCGATGGCTTTGTAACTCGATCTGAGGACGCAGTTGTGGATCATACGCCTTGTCTGGGACGAAGAGCTTGATGAGCGCCAAGGAAAATTGAATCCAGGCGTTCGCAAGGTAAACACGTCGTGCCTCACCATCTTCCGCAGCCTTCAAAGATACGAGAGCGGGAACTAAATGGCCAGTAGTTATTCCGGAATTGCATTTGGTATCGAGGATCACCGCGTCTGGTAGAATGGCCCCGATATTGAAAGATAGGCCTTGTCTGCTAAATCCCACTGATTCGCGTAGTGCTGTCCCAGCCTCTCGAGCAGAGGCGAATATGGCCATCAGGGATGCGTCGTAGTTGGCCACCACGTCCATCATGAGGCGCCAGAGAATATCGCTGAGCCCGCTTAGGTGGTCGCCTCCAATTGCCCCCGTGTTGGTGCATATCTGTGCCGCTAAAATTGGCAATTCTGCTTCGAGTAAAGCCAGACAAGCAAGATTTGTTGAACCAATTGCTCTAATCTTCGATAGGATTTCGGCCGATACGTTTTCATCCCAGTGGTGGTGAGTACTATTCTCCTCAACTAGATTCTCGATCGATAGCAGGCACTTTGAGGTGTCGGAGGCGCTATTTATGCGCAGCCTCGTGGTGAGCGGCAGGTTGGATAGCAGCATTGTTTCCTTAAACGCCCGTGGGAGGCTGACTTGGCGCGACATGCAATCAAGCATAACCATCTGTCGTATAGACTCAAACTCGGCAGCCATAAAAGGGGGAATCGGGGCGCCACCATCAGCAAGTTTACTAGATAATTTGTCAATCTCGGACTCCAGGACCTTTAGAAGGCCCTCTGCGTCAGATTCACCCTGTCTAATGAGCCCATATGCTTTATCAAACGAGACCATGACCTCAGAAAGATCCGCTGGCGTTGCTTCAGCCCGCCATTTGATCGAATCAAACTGCGAAGCTAGTTGTTCCATACGGCGAACGTGGGAGAGAAGCGATTCATTTCCGATCGGGGTAGGTCTAAATACTTTCCAGAAGATATCTATGCTGAGGCCCGTCGTCAATTTGAACCCAGACGTAAAGCACTCATCCATTCCTCTTAGGACGAGTGAGGCAAGCTCGCGTGTCTGGCCGTCAAGTCGGGACATGTGGCTAGATAGCACAGTCGATATATGGCCTAGATGGGCTTGGAAGGGCGCTTCTTCGAAAATAGGGCTGGTGAGATACCGAAACGTCCTCCACCAGAAGTGAATGATGTCTCGACAGAGGCGTTTTTGGTCCTACCACAATTAGCTGTTGCAAAAGCAGGTCGCGCCTCCATTGCTCACCTTCCAGGAGTCGGGATTAGAAAGCTGGGAGGCCATGTATGAATGAATCGCTTCCAAAACACCAGCAAGAAACTTGGACGCGCCGACGGTAGAATCTTTTGAGACGGCCGCAATAGTACCGAGAGCATAGGATCGCTGGAGGCGATTCAGCTGCGACAACTGAACACCATGAGCTAGAGACTTCTGTGTCTCCATAGATGACCACGCCTCAATGATTTCCCTGTGAAGATCGTAACAACTTCCTAACCAAAAAGGAATATCCACAGACTGTCCTTGCAGTAGTGGAACCACCACCGAATTTTGCAAGGGATGCCGTGGCTAAAGAGGAGGTTAGATGGACCGTGAAGAAAAATTAAAATCAATGGCGATGGGTCGGCACTCACCAGTATGCACCCAAGACTAGGAGCGGCATCATTAGGCAACGCCGTGTATAATTTCCGGATCGAGTTTTGAATATCAGTCGTGATCGGCGATTTGATAAAGGAGTCGATCAGTAAACGGTTGAGAGCAAGCGGGGCGGCCTTCCTCTGTAGCGGTGCTGGCACAGAGTTAATACAGTTGAAATATCTTTCGAGTAGAGGCAAGTCGCTAAACGATAGACAATCAACGGCCACAGAAGCTGTCTTCGTCTCGTTGACGGCATCGAATGATATCACCGAGGACATCAATTGGAATCTCTGTAGACTCGACTCAACTTCAGTAACTCGACTTCGCCAGGGTGTGGGAGCTGCATTGTGTGGTTCGACGTAGATCTCAATCGCACGATTCCTCATTGCTCGCGAGAGTTCTCCGTACCGAGGGTCGACAGTTAAGAACACCCTAAAGTCAGGATGCGGCTTGATAACTCGGGGTTCGCCATCCGGACCGCAATGCTCATTGATGATTAGATGGCCATCTAGCTCGAGCAAAGAGTTCAATCGGTCAAGGACGGATGCGCTGCAGAGGTTTGCATTGTCGAGCACAAGCCAATGTCCCTTCTGGAGCGCTTGGACGATAACGCCATCCAGCCACTCAAATCTCGGGTTTGAAATGGTCGTAGGCCGTTGAAGAAGTGCCTGAACACTCGAGAGCATGGCACCTAGCCCCGAATCGATTGAGATCTGACCTCGAAGCTTTTCAATGCAGACCAAAAGGTCTCCACGGCCGTCAGTTGGGTCCTTCATTGAGTCAAGAATATTTAACAGGTCGGCCGCCGGCCCCGGGACGCCTCCAACCAGAGCATCCATCGTAGACACTTGTAATGCTTCTTGCAATGCCTGGAGGGCCGTGTTTATCTCACGCAAGGGATCCGATTGTTCAAATCCTCCCACGAGATCCATAGTGTCTATGTCAGCATTCAAAGGGAACGTTATTAGCTCTTTCCCAGCCGACGCCGCGACATGCTGTAGGAGCATTGACTTCCCACTGCCTGATGGTCCGACAAGGATACACGGAATGTTCTGCTTGATGCAGATCATGAGAGACTCTATTTCCATAAGGCGAGGGACGATGTCCATACTAGGAAAGTCCGACGGTTGGGTAAGTTGATTTCGCTGCATCAGCGCCAGGCCGACTTGGAGTGATAGGGAGCTCATCCCATGATACAGTTGGTGGGATCTCGGCGGTGCCCCGAAGACTTCCGCGAAAAGCCTGTCAACCTCGAGTCTATCCTTCTTCGATCGAAAACGCTGTCGAATCGCTATGCTCAAAAAGTCGTCGACCGTGCCGGTACCAAGTAGCAGATCTGGTGACGTGAGTAGGTGTAGCCAACGTAACGTATCGCGAAGATTAAACTCCCACGGACTGCCTTGGGAACCGAAGGTCCTCTCGATAAGGATGCGCTTTTCGAGGTCGGATATGAAGTTGATAATCCGTCTAACTGTCTCTGCGGGGACCGCAGGGAAGTTGTGTTGGGCGATCAACAAGAGATCCTCTTCGCTGAATACGTCCGCGTACACGACTATGAAGCGATTGACGAAGGAACTCGGCAATCCTTTTCTCCCGCCACCCTGATGGTGCGGGTTCTGCGCGGCAAATAGACGAAAGTCGGGATGTCGTTTAAAGACTTGGTCGAGCTCCGAAACGTATACTTCTCCTCGATGGTCCAAACAGGCATTGAGACCTTCTAGGACGGACTGCGACGCCAGATTCATCTCGTCGAGGAGTACCCATTCCCCGTTCTGCATAGCGCGGAGGAACGGTGCGTCTCTCCAAGCGAAGTGCCCTGCATCCGCTCCCTCGACGGGCACATCGGTTCCGAAGAGGTCCATGAGGTCAGTCTGGTCCGAAAGGTTGATTCTCGTCAGAGGCCGTCCGCATGCGCGAGACAATGCGCTGACGAGCGTGGTCTTCCCTACGCCTGGGCTACCTTCTAATAGAATGGGCTTCTGAACCTGGAGCGCGCGAATAATTCTCATAGCATTGAGCTTCGTTGTAGGCGCATGTAAGGCAAATCCCGTCTCAAAGCTCTCATTGGCAGTACGACTAATAGAGAAGTCCCCGATTTGAAGCTCGTGAGCTTTGACGGCTAATTGTAGCGGCGCTCGATAAACTACAGTTGCATCACAATGAAGAAGCTCACTCAGCTTGTCTAAGCATCTCTGTCGTTGCGCATCCAAGTCCTTCGGGTCAAGGGCGATCAGTGCAGACGGGTTCGCGCCAAGAGTATCGATGAACACGGTCGCGGCGCCATGAATAACGGCGGAGACCGGATCCTGAAGTTGACTCTCGTCGACAAATTTAGCCCAAACCAAAATATCCCGGATGGAGAAGGCTGTTGAGGCGGTAGACCTGAAGTTGGCGCCAAACCAATAAGAGAAATCAACGATGACCCGAGAGAATGACCGAAGTGCGGGCTGGAGCTTGGAGGAGACGATTTGCAGTACATCTTCATTCTCTGACAGAGGTGAGACCCAGATTTCAGTAAATCGATTCCGCAATGCCGGCGAAAGCTCTTTCTTGCCGAAGTCCCCTCCGGGGTTCATCGTCGCTAAAAATTGGAAACCCTCGGAGGCCTGGACGAATGAGTCGCTGATGCCCTTCTCTGCAAGGAGTAGCGAGCGCTGGGGTTCGAGAACAGAGTTGAGTCTCTCCAGTACGGAATCGTCCGCCAGCGATATTTCGTCGAGAAGGAAAAATTGGCCATTCCGCATAGCATGAACTAAACTCCCGTCCGCCCACTCGAAGAGAGCCTTGCTCTTGGTCTCGTTATCGGAAATTCTTCTTCGCAGCTCTACCGGCACTACAGATAGAGTCGAACTATCTAGGGAATGATACTTCTCTAGCAACTTTTCCGCGTCGCCTTCAGTTGTATGGCCAAGCCGCTCTAGGGCATCGATAAGATCTTGGGTTAATGTGTCTAATACGGCGCCTCGGTTTCTAATTGGCCTCTGGGACCCGATGAGGTCTCCGGTCTCAGTGTTCTGGTGAGCATTGACGATGTGAAGTTCTTTGCCAAGCGATTCCGCCAAGAGTTGGCAAACAGTGGTCTTGCCGCAGCCAGTATCCCCTACCAGGAGAACAGGCTCGTTGTGACGAATCGCGCTCGCAACTAGAACGTACAGGCGACGCATGGTCCGGGTCCAGACAACTCCCTGGCTGTTATGAGCGGGCAGAGCTTTGAGGTACGGCGAATTTCGTATATCATAAAGCTGATCTTGGTCGATTTTGACTCTGAATACGGCCTCAATCACTTTCTTAACGGCCATACGCTCTTCTTCGTTCCGCACACGCTCGGCAAGAAGCATGAAACCGTTGGCTGCGATCTCTTCTCGAGTTTCCGCGCCTCTCAGCGCCCATCTAAAGAGGTCTCGTAACGTCGCAAAGCTGTCCTTGTTTTCAAAGAGCCGACTCGTCTGGCGTAGCCTCGAAAGTTCCTTGTACACGCTCACGATCCTCTTGCAGTCGGAAGGAGCGGTGTATAAGCTGCGCTTCTGGAGGATGATTTCGAGTTCATCTTCGGGGATATCGTCAAAATGAAGCTCGAGGAATCTGTTGCGAAATGCGCGAGACAGGACTTTTCGGCCTCCATACAATCCAGGGGGGTTCTGAGTCGCAAATAGCATGAAGTTCTCGTGTGGGCGCACCACCTCTTGGGTCTCGGGTATGAGCAATTCGCGATTGTCGTCAAGTAGACGGTTGAGGGCTTCTAAGACATCAGTTGGAGCGAGATTGAGTTCGTCAAGCACGATCCAATGGCCCTGTCGGAGTGCCTGTACTAGCAACCCTTCTTGAAACCGCAGCTTGCCGTCAGAATCAGAGACGTACGTCCCTAGATATTCTTGAAGATCTGTGTGTTCGTGATTGTTTATTCGCACGAACTTGTTGCCGCTAAAATTCGCGAGATACTCAATCATGCTTGTCTTGCCCGCCGATGTAGGACCTTGGATGAGTATCGGAAAGCGTCTCGTCGAAGTGGCTCGTACTAAATTTAATAGGTTACGCTCTATATAAGAGGTGATGATGTAGTCGGTTCGTTCAATGGGCGCTTCCTCCCCTTGCAGCAGCCAGTACTGGCGATCCTTGTTCTTGTTCATGAACTTCACGTATCGTCTTCCGTCATCAGGGTGTCTCGGTGGCTGTGAGAGTAAAGACTTGGCTCCACCGTGTCGGTCGAGGAGGTGGTGGTGGATCAACGGCACCAGTGTCTCTTCAGACGCTCTGTCTAATAGTGTCAGAAACCCCATCGAGAACCCCTCGAATAAGGCTCTCCGGAGTCCATAAAACGGGGAAACGTCGTTTACGTAGCTCAATACACGCGTGAGTGTTCGTAAACTGAAATGGGGCACTTCATTGGCACCATCGACCAGACGTTTCTCCTCCGCACGCGTCTTCGTGTTCATGTAGAGCCTCGCGATATCGTCAGCGGCCTGCTCATCCTTGGCGCTTCTCCCGCTCAGGTAGGCTTTGATGATGGTGAGAAGATCTTTCAAGTCCTTGTCCGGGCTGCCAACATAAAACTCCGTGAAGCGCGACCGTAGCCCGAGAGGAAGATCACGTTTCCCGATATCTGTGGCCGGGTTCATGGCACCGAAGATGCGGAAATCCGGGTGGGCCTTGACTCGTTCAATATCCCCAGTCTCGGATAATAGGATTGACGGCTCATCATTTGGCCCAGAAGCAAGGAGGTCGGCTATACTCTCTAGCGTGTCCGGCGATGCGAGATTAATCTCGTCTAGCAGTACCCAATCTCCATTCCTAGCGGCTTTGACGATGTTGCCTTCAACGAAGGCGAAAGCGAAGCTGCCTGACCCTCCCGAAATTTGAATATCGAATTGCTCAAGGCTCCTAGCAAAGGCCTCCCAGCGCGGTTTCAAGTCGAGAAGCGACTGCAGTTTCGATTCTACTTTACGTCGCTTAACGGCTGGTCGGCCCTCCGGGTCGGGTCCGTTGCGAGCATCGGCTTGACTTTGAAGGTCGCCAACAATCTTGTTGAACATCTTCGGCGCTTCTTGCCACAACTTCGACACTCTGGTCCATTGGCCTCTCGCGGTGCATTTCCCAATTTGCTCAAGATATTTCTGGTTCTTGGACGCGGAAATCCCGGTAGCGGTGAACAGGTCTTCGAACTCCTCTTTCAAGGGGATAGCGAGGCTCCGCGCGTTCACGGGCTTGAAGCCTCCTAGAAGGTCTCCAGCCTCGCTCTGCTGCGACAAATTCACAGCCACAAACTTGCGGCCGAGCGATTCGGCGAGTTGCTGGATAACAGTCGTCTTGCCAATACCAGTCTCGCCCACGAGAAGCACCGGCTCGCGGAGCTTGACGGCCATCGATATCTGCTCAAGCAGCCTCCTCGAGTGGCTAGTGCTTGCAAACGGCCTTTTTGGCTTGGCGACCCTGTTGGTGTGTTTTCTTCTGGTCAACATAACTCTTCCGACCTTGAAATTACCAGGGCTCTCCTCCAATGGCGGGACACGGGTTTTGATGTAATGGTCCACAAGTTGCTTCGGGAGCTGCACCTCCTCTGCTATGCAGTTGACAAGCACAGCTTTTGCCTCTGGCTGGGGAAGACTCCCACAGAAACAGTCAACCGCGTCCATAAACATCCAATCTCTTGTTGTCTCGCTGATAGGCTCGTCGCCTGTCTTGCAGCCCGAAGCTACCAAGGTCTCCCTTAGCCGACGGCACCACTTCAGGACGTCCCGGGGAGTTATCGTGCGTTCTACGGCGCTTCGACCAGCATGAGTCACAGAGGAGACACCGGATAAGTTGCTTAGTCGCCTATAAACCGACATGATCATTGGTGTATATTTGTGCAATAGAGGATAATTCCCCACGACGATCTGCTCCAGCTCAGCAGGAGGAGGGACTTTTACACTGGACAGGTGCCAGAATCGCTGGCCTAGCATACTAGGGAGGCTCTCTTGGCCATTCATCCCGCGAGTGGTTCTAACCGTCGCAAACAGTCGGAAACCACTTGCAGCCTCGACCGTCTCCCCACGGCTGGGAATAAACAACCTGCCATGTTCCACTAGCGGCAATAACATGCTCATCACCTCGTTAGGAGCCCGGTCTAGATCCTCGATTAGAACCCACCGTCCTTCGCGGACAGCGGTGGTGAGGACGCCGGGGCGCCAGGAAAAGGAGCCGGGCTTCGAGCCTGAAGAATACAGACCAACGAGCATTTTCGCATCAGTTTGTTCGTTAAGGTGTAGCGTAACTAAGCTTGACTCCGCGCCAAGCTCGCGGGCCAGTTCATGAACAATGGAGGTCTTTCCGGACCCGGGTAGGCCATGTAGGAGTACGGGCCCTGGCTTTTGGAGATTGTGTGCAAGGTTCTCCAGGTTCTCTAGAGTCGTTGAGGTGTGCACCAGACGAGGCGGCAGGCTCGGCTCGCCGCTCGGTCGGGGAAGAAGCGTCGCGTTGTACCGAGTGACCAGCTTAGTTAAACTCTGGAGAGGGAATCGTCCTGGATCGGAGCCTTCTAAACCAGCTCGCGTTTCTTGACGAAATACGTCCAAGTCTATCGCGCGTCGACGCTCAACTAGGGAGAGAAAGGTGTAATCGATGGTCACTCCGTCAAAGCTCGCCTCCAGCGACTCGCCGTCTCTAATATGCTCGCGGATGAGCGCTTCCAACTTGGCATCGGAAACTCCTAGCTGGCGGCAGAATGCCCTGATGGCAAGATATCTCACAGGCGCATGAGGGTGCTTGAATAGAGCCTGCAATAGAGAGGGCTCGACTAATTGGCGAAAGGCCCGCCTGTTAAAATTGAGGAGCCTCCAGAATGCTAGTAGGGTGGATAGCAAATGTCCGTCCGAAGTCGCATGGGCCGCCTGGGGGGAATTTAGCGAGTCGATCCTGGGGCGCGTCGATCCGGGGTCCAGTGCGAGTGAGGTTTCTCTTAGGTGCTGTTCTAGGAAAACGGAGAGGTAGGGCGCAAACGGGAGTATTCTCGCAAAAGAAGCGATGATGGAGTCCCGGTCGTTTACGTCTCGGGGCCTTAGCAGCCATCTGGCGCAAAGGTCGGCGATCACATCCTCGAAGTAGACGAATATGCGGCCGGTTGCTTGGGGAATCAGCGCGGCCGCCGCAACGGCGTCGAGAAAGTTGGCGGGGGTCTGGCTGCGAATAACTTCCAATAGATCGGGCGGTAGTTGACGAAGCAGATTATCGTCACTCAGCAGCTGGTCCCGTCCGCGGGCCACATCAACTGCTGCCATGGCCGCTGCCCGCTCGACTCCGTTGCGAAAAATGGAGGAATGGTGGTAGGTTTGTCCTGGGCTGGTTTGGTAGATTTTCCTTACCCAGTCTTCCTTTTGTCCAAGTGCCCACCACAAGCGCGCCGCAACTTTTTCTGCCGTTTCTCGAAATTTAGGCGGTGACGGCCTCGGAGAAAACGCTGGGCAATACCGACATTACCTAAGCGGGAGCTCTGACACTTGTTAACACTTGTCAGCCAGCTGTACTCTCCTTACCTAAGGAAAGCCGGCGGGTTGGTGGCAGGTCCCGCTCGAGCTCAGCTAGTAGGGAAAAGGAAGAAGAAGAGAATCGCCAGGTTCATGCCACCCACCAAAAATCTCGAAGGGCAATCCCCATCGCGAAGTCGTTCCTCGCCCACTCCGCCAAAGCCCGTCCCCGTCTCCCCGCCTCTGCAGCCGATCCGCAGTTTTGGCTCGCGATAGCGCAGCTGTCTGTCTGTCAGGATGTCGGCGCCGTGCAGGTATGCAGCCAGAGGTTGCGCGCGATCCCTCCGCCCCGGCTCTAGCAGTTCCCTCCGCACATCTGCCTCGCTCCTCCCGAGCGCAACCTCTCCGACACAGCGCCGGCACGGCTCGACAGCGGCAGCCGCCTCGAATCCCAAGATCGCCAATATCGTCGACCAGATCAGCCAATTGACCCTGCTCGAGACCGCCGACCTGGTCGCCAGCTTGAAGGTGGGGCTCCTCGTGGCTCCCCTCCACCCCCCTCTCGTCGTATGCTAACGTTGGGGACCTCTGTGCTGCAGTCGCGCCTCAACATCCCCGACCTACCCGTCGGAGGCTTCGCCGCTGCTCCGGCTGCAGCGCCGGCTGCAGCAGCTGCTGAAGAGGCCGAGGAGGCCGCGCCGGCGGCCCAGGAGAAGACGCTGTTCAGCTTGAAGCTGCAGGCGTTCGACGCGGCGTCGAAGGCGAAGATCATCAAGGAGGTCAAGGGCCTGCTCGGCCTGAGCTTGGTGGACAGCAAGAAGTTCGTAGAGAGCGCGCCCAAGACGATGAAGGAAGGCGTGCCCAAGGAGGAGGCCGAGAAGATCATAGCCACCATGAAGGGGCTAGGCGCCACCGTGACCATGGAATAACAGGTCGGCCTGGCACGATCGGGCCTAATCAAGCGAGAAGGCGGAGAGACAATTCTTGCTCGCGCCAAGAGGGAAGAGAGGGGAGCTCGAAACTCGCGAGCGTTGCCGTGTGGGACTTGCACATGTAACCTAAGGGAGCGAAAAACCTGTATAACAAAAACACAAGAGAACATACAAACAAGCCTGGCGATGCCAGACACACTTGGGAGAATCTCTCCACAAAATAGGCGTTTCTGTATGTTCACGTTTTGTGTCTATTCGTATATACATATAAATAGTCCGCCCCTGCCCCCTCCTCCAAATCAAGAACCTTCGCCCCCTTTCCCCTCGCTCGCCCCCGCCGCTGCCGCCGCCTTGGCGCGGGAGACAATCCCCTCGTTCAGCCCCTTGGCGAGGAAGTATACGGTCCTGAGCATGGGAACGGGGACGCGTTCCTGGCGCGCCATGCGCACGACGTTGCCGACGATGGCCTCGACTTCGAGGGTGCGGCCCTGGAGCGCGTCGGCCAGCATGCTCGGCTCGACGCCAGGTGGGTCGCGTGCGGCCGCCCTCGAGGCCTGCCGCGTGACGAGCTCTGCGTCTACATCGGTGTACCCGCGCGCCCGCGCCACCGCCGCAATCTCGTGCATCACGTCTTCGATAAACTGCCTGCCGTCATCTTCCCCTCCATCCTGCACTCCACCAAGAGAAGACGGGGGCGGAGACGGAGACGAGGAAGAGGTGGCATCCAGGAACTGGCGGTCCCGCAGCCGCGTGAGCGCGCACACGGGGTTCCAGCTCGCGTTGACTAGCAGCTTCGCCCAGCGCGAGCGCTGGATATCGTCACGCAAGCGGGCCGTGGCGCCGGCGGTCCCGAGCAGCGCGACGAAGCGCTCTGCGGCCTCGCGGTGCGCCGCCGGCGCCGTCGACGGGTACGTGCCGACCTCGAGACGCTCGACCTCGGTGTGGCGGACAACAGTGGGACCAACACGAGTCGCCGGCAGATACGCAACGGCGCTGAGCACCGCGTTCGCCGGTTGGAACCGCGCAGCGAACGTCGCCTCGATCCCGATCCCATTCTGCAGGAGCACGATCGCCGTCCGCCCTGGGACGACCGCCGGCGCAATCAGCTCCGCCGCCGTGGGCGTCGTAGGTACTGCCTTGGTGGCTACGATGACGTAGTCGAAACAGGACGACGGGGACGACGATGCCGTGTCGGATATCGTATCTTGTTGCTGTTGCTGTTGCTGTTGCTCCAGTCGGAGCTGTCGCACGGCGTCAGACACGGTCCGCGAGACGCGAGGCCGCACGTTGAGGTTATTGCCCCAGAGCTCCGAGTTGATCGTGAAGCCGTTTCGGCGCGCCTCCTCGTAGTTCGACCGACAGACGGCGGTGATATGCGACGCCGGCAGGACCCGCGAGAGCACCCATGCGTAGCACGCGCCCAGGCTCCCGGTGCCGAATATGAGCACTCTTGGAGCAGACATGGCTTGGGAATTTCCGGGAGCTGAAAGCGGCGCGCAGTTCTATGTGTCGGATGGAGAAATGCGAGCCCCAACCGTAAATTGGACGAAGGATCGCAGAATGAGAAGGCAACCCCGGTGCTGATCGGAACGGAGCATAGGTATCTATGTATGTACTTAGCCTGGCCCTAAAATTGCCAGCGCCGTCTTCCCCCTAGCTCGCCGTCGGTCCTGTTCTCTAGGGCGTAGCGAAGCACACATTTAATGCCATACTCAGGCGTGCGGAAATCAAAATATCATCAACCCGTACCCCACTTCCCGAGTAAGTGCCGAAAGCGGGACCGACAGGTCAGTAGGGTAAAGCTCCGTGTAGGATCGGCTTGTTCGTCCGACGCAGATTCTCCAGGAAAGCCAAGCTGCGTCCCACGGCCTTCTTTGACGTTGGCTTTTAAACACGGTAAGGCGGTGTTAACCGAAATCAGGAAGGATATCCGCCGCGTCCAAAGTACGGTGCGAAGCCAGTCGTCCATCATAGGGCGTGCCAAGGCGTCAAACTGAGGAAATGAAACCTGTTCGTGAATAGGCCGAGCACCCGGGTGCCGGTCCTCGCCCTCCGTAAACAGCAGTATCACACCAAATGCTGCCTAACCTTCCCCGACAAAACGGATTCATTCGTCTCACAGCGACGCCTAGGGGATCGCGTAGCAAATTTTAAGGCTACTCTTATCGTTTGCTTCTAGACGACGGGAGATTCTTCATCTCTGCCGTATGGGCAGCGAGTTCCGATTGGGGCTCGACAGGTCTCCCGGGGCCGTCGAGCCCTAATGCGACGAAGTCCCGTTCGTCCTACTACGCCCTGAGTGACGACAGCTGCGGGCCGCTTCGGCGGCACTCTGCTGCATCTCGTCCAGCTCCTCGTTACCGAGAATGTGGTCGTCCTCACCCAAGTCGCTCGTGTCCTCGTAAACCTTGGCCGCGTCTTCTTCGAGAACTGCGGGGACGGCCCACATGCTCTCCCGCATGCGCTTATGCCGCTCCCTGTCTTCTTCGATCCGTTGCTCTATCTGGCGTTTATCTAGGCGATTGGTGCTGCCGTGGCTAGTGCCATTGCTCGGGCGGGAGGGGGCGGAAGTCTTGTCGCCGTTGGCAGGCGAAGAAAAGCCGAGGTCAGAGGCCGAAGTGTCGCGGTCTTTGAGACAAGCCTCGATCTCGATTACGGTCTGCTCGAGCAGTATGGTCTTGTTTTTGAGCCCCTGGAGGACCTGCAAGGGGCCGTCGTTAGAATGTGCGCTCGTACCCAGACCCGTCGATTTAGATTCGAGGGGCGGCATCTCCTACCTTGCGAACAACCTTGACATTGGCCGCGCCAGATCCATCCTCGGGGCAAACGGCGTCGACAACTCGAATGATATCCCGCTGCATCATCCGGATGTACTCGTTGCTACGGTCCTTAGAGGCCATCTCGAGAAGGTGCTCGATGAAGTACATGATGTTGGCACGGGTGTTCATGCTGGTCTATTATGGAATCTCATCTTAGCCACCTTTCCGGGAGGACTGGGGGGGAGGGCAATCGAGGCATCTAGAGAGCGGGGTAGGTCGGCTCACCTTCTCCAGCTGCTCGAGGATGCACGAATGCAGGTCCTCGTCCATGTCCTTGTACTTGAGCGCATACTGGGCGGCTTTCTGGGAGGAAGTGGTGCTGGCATTGAGATGTTCTAGCTGGGCACTGAAGCGCATGCGCACCTCGAAGGGGTCTGCGGTGGCCATGGCGGCATCACTAACGGGCACGTCGATGCGGCTGCGGTCGCTGTTGTTGTCAATGCCACTGCCGCTGCCGCTGCCGCTACCGTTGTGGACGTCAGGGGACGGCGAGTATGGGTGAAGAGCTGTCGACGGAGCTTGGGAGGATGACAGGCCTGGTTCAGCTGCACTGGGACCACTCCAATAAGCGCCCTGACAAAGGTCGACGCGATCCATCTTTTCTTTACGTAAGGCACGGCATGAGGCAGGGCACAGGTGCGGCAAAGGCGGTCAGATTTGGTGCTGGCAGAATCAGATTAGGGTGGGTCCAACCTAGCCGGAAGGAGCATTGGTGAGTGGAGCCTGTGTGTTCCTGCCGTCGCTACCTGGAGCAGTAGCTCTGGAGACAGAAGCTGCAGCTTGCAGCCAATAAACAGTACTAGCAATTGGTTTTCTTTTTTTTTTTTTTGCCCTCCAGTTGCCTCGAGCATTTCCGTCCCTCTTTTCTTTATTTTTATCCTTTATTTTTTTATCCCCCCCCCCCAACTCTCTTCTCTCTCCAACCAGGCCTGCCTTCACCTACCCACCTTCACACACACGTACCTCACTCTCAGCCCGTCTCGAGGCCCCGGCTCAGTCTCCTAGACTTCCCGCCGCCATTGATCAATCGCACAGATCACCTTAGCCCCGTTCTGTCTGGATTACTTCTCCCACTACCACCAATCTTTTCACCATTCCACCCACCTTCACTAACACACCCTCACCCCAAAGTCTCTCCCACACTCGCCACCATGTCTTCCGGAGAAGGTTCTACTCTCCCCCACGATCCTACCAAGGCTGCCTCCGAGGAGCAGGTGCTCCAGACCAAGGGTAAGGGTAAGGCCGCTGAGGATGTCGGCGACACCTCCATGAACGAGGACGACGACGATGATGATGAGGACGACGACGAAGAGGTAAGCCTTCCCTGTCCCTGTCGACGCTTCCAAGCTGGCTGCTTCTCGTAACTGCCGGATCACGGAGCTAACGTTCATCCTAGAATGAGGCTGGTAAGACAACCCGAGGCCACCACAACTCTCGGACTGCTCCTCCGAGTCATAAGAACTGACATTCTATTCTGCAGGTGACGATGATGCTGACGACAACTTGGACGAGATCGACCTGAACAATATCGTCGAGGGCGGCCGACGAACCCGTGGCCGCGTCATCGACTGGGCCAAGGCGGCAGAGGAGAACCCTACCGGGGACGACGATGACGACGAGGATGAGGACGACTACCAGCCCGCCGTTGAGGTCGAGGAGGACGGAGACAAGATGGATGAAGACTAAGGAGGGGGAGAGGAGAGAAGCCACTCCTACCCCCTCGTTCCGTCCAGTCCTCATACGCCACTCTCCTCCGTTAGATACGAACTAGGCCCAACTCAGCTTGAGCAGACTGTCACGTCAATCCAGTCCAGTCTAGCCACGTCGCGTTCTGCCCATCACCCGGTGTTTTGACGATTTGTATTTCCCTTTCCTCATCTCATCTCCGGCGCGCTCGTGTTTGAGGGCAAGTCTGGAGACCGTCGTGATGGATCGGGGGGGACTACATACTACTACTAGCTTAGATTAACTAGACGCCTCGGATTACTGCACGCACGTCAGTGCAAGGCACGACATCTCTAAATGCGGATGAGCACACAATAAACGGAAAGTCCATTGCAAGCTTCGTTTGCACCCTGCCAACACTACCCCGGGGAAGCCCTCACCGTAAATGAGGTGGAGGTGAGTTACGCGTAGATGGTGATCAGGAACTGCCGGTGCTAGCTGGTGCTGGTGCTGGTACTACTACTACTCCCGCCGCCTTCTCTCGCGGGCTCGTATTAATTATTCATTCTCATTCTCAACTCCAACGTGTCTTCCGAGGATGCACAGCGGGCGGCCCCCGACTCGACCGCCAAATGGGACAGGGCCAGATGGAAATCAGGAGCCCGGCCAGTCGGCGTTCCCGCGACGTTGCACTCCGCTCCTGCAGCGGCCGCCGCCCTCGGAAACCAATCGCCTAGGGAATACAGGTGTTCCTATATCCCCCCCCCCCCTTTCTCTCCCCGCCCTCCTCCTCCTCCTCCTCGCGGCGCCGGCCAGTGGCGGTCGGCCGTCTGCCACGTATACTTCGCGGAACGTCTCGTTGTAGGGTAGCATATTCGGACACGTTCCTCGAGCCGTACGCAGGCAAGCTTATGGTGATTCTACCAATAGCCGTGTCTACGAGTGCCTTACACCAAATGCAACGTGCCAAGGAGAGCACGTAGGAAATCGCCTGTTAGCTATTAGACATGTAGACGGGTTCCACACAGGCACACGCACACATATAGGTAAGTATTGTTCTATGCGATCCATTCCCAACTCCGCCCATGCCAAGATGCTATAATAGTTCGTAACCCTCATGACGCTCTCACCTTTATTTCTAAACGTTCTGCTGCCCAAACGCCAATGCCATCAGCAGGCCTCCCTTCCAATCCGACCCAAGGGTATCATAACATAACGCAAAACGCTCGACTCTTCTCCTCTCCTCGGCTCTCCCCAATAAACACCCGAGTATATCGGCGTCACCTGAACCACTTCCTGACGTCGTGCGACCAAAGTCGCAGATGCCTGGGTGAACGCCCGGCTACACCATCTTCGTACATTTGTTTATTCCCAAATCCTCATGTCTATCTCATGGGAAACCAGCACCTCATAACCTAGCCTTCGTAGTTTGATTCGTCGCGATGATCGTGGTCCCGTTGCCGAGTCCCTCGCTTAATGGCACCTTGGAGAACCAGAAGCGGCACTGCTCTGTTTCTCGGTCCGACAAGCGGGATGTCTGCGCCACTACGCCCTTGTTCTGGCGCCCGCGCGTCCCCATACGCTCGTCGTTTCCTTGGCCGAAGAGCAGGATGTGCCCAGTATCGTTCGTGCCGGCGGTGCTGTCACTAACAAATGGACTGGCGAACTTCGGCCAGACGACGTCTGTTGTATCGTTGCCACCAGATACCGGATTGGGGTCTCCAGTGACTGCAAACCGAGTCCAAGATCCAATCATTGCGTCCGCTATCTCGACGATGCCAGGAAATCTACCAACAGCCCCCATGTCGTGCGCGACGACGATCGCCTCGTCGCCGTGATCAGCAGCGCCACGCGCGTTCGAGCGGGCAGCGTATTGATAAGTGTAGACGGGACCGGCGCGCTGGGCGGTCGAGGCCAAATGCGACGTCTGGAGCACCGGGCATATGTATGCATAGTGTGCGTAAGCATCATCCAACCTCCAAAACTGCGTCCCGAACCCCGCAGGGGGATTAGTGATATACAACCTTTGCCCTAAGGAGCTGGAGGGGTCGGGATACAAGGTGTTTAGAAACTCGAGATCGGTGGAGTTGAGCGCAGGCACGATGGAAGACATGAGATTGCGCAACGCTGTCGTGTTACTTTCTCGCGTCGGGACGAAGGTGGCGCCTTCGTTCGTGTTGAAGCCCGTCAATATAGGTATGCGTAGAGCATTTCCTTTCTCCCACGACCTCAGTGGTAGATCAGGTATCACCCCACCAGGCCCGTCGATGACAGGTTGGAAGGGCCAACGCAAGGTCGAAGTCCAGCGTCCCCAGACAGAGTTTGACGCTGCCACAATCGTACTTAGAGGGAGGGCACGGAGCTGTGCAAACAGCTCACCGCTCGAGGTTTTCTCTAGCCCGCACCCCGTTAAAAACTCTTGGAATTGCTGTTCGTGGAGTGGGTGAGTAGCGGCGAAAGTAGCGCGAGCAGTCGATCCGCCAGACTCGAGGATCGCTTTCTGGAAAGGGACTGGGTCCGAAGTCAACTTGTTTGCCGGGGAATATGAGATGAGGTGATGCCCAATCTTGACGCTAGGCATTAGTTTCAGATGACTCAAACCCTCTCTAGGCATGGTGCGAGCTTACCGAGTGAGCGCCGGCGCTCAACCCCATCAAAGTGATGTTGTTGGGGTCGCCGCCGATATCCTCCGCATTCTTCTGCACCCATCGGAAAAGGAATTGTTGGTCCTTGAGCCCGAGGTTCAGTGCTCCCTCCTCCGCAGTCAAGCCGCTCGGCAAGAAGCCCAGGGCGCCGACCCGGTAATTAAAGCTGATTCCGATGATAGGAGCCTCAGCCCAGGCTACGAAACTCGCCATATTCCTCTCCGCTCCGCTCCCGCTATTAAACCCGCCACCGTGGACGTAGATAACGATAGGAAGCTTCTTGCCGTAAACGCCGAGCCGAGTCATCTCGGCGGCGGCAGACTCCGCGGTATCACCGAAGTGTGGCCGGTAGATATTCAGGTTCAGACAGTCCTCCCCCTGGTTGGAACCGCCTCCATTTTGGGGGCAGACGTGGCCGAAGGCGAGGGCGCGGTTTAGGTTGAACTTTATGCTGTTTAGCGGCTGGGGAGCTCTGAATCGGTTTTGGCCCGTGGTCGATTGTGCATACGGTATTCCGCGATAGACTTCGACAGGGCGCGGGGAATTATTCTGCGATTGAATCTCGCCGAGATAAGTGCCCTGGTTCAGCTCCAGGGGTAAGGTTTTCTGTGGCATTGTCAGCTCCTCTGTGATTGGAAGCACGAGTGGCCGTAGACAACAGAAGCGTTCAGATGCCGGAGACAAAGTCACGCGTAAACCTTGAGATATAAGAGGATTCAAGATGGAGATGCCAAGATCTGCCGGGAGGGGAGCTCGACCGGATCATCCCAGTCCGAGGGTAAAATGGAACACGGGACGGGTCGGCACCGGGAAACACAATGCAATTTGCCAACGGCATACGGAATGCCAAGAGCCCATTGGCGGCACATAGCAACAACGTGCAAAGCATCAACATCCTATCGAACTGCCACCCCCCGTCTCGCGCGTCTTCATCGGCTTGTCTCTTCCTCTCTTTGTACGTACCTTGAATGCGTCGGTCAAGCGGCCGCTGACACCGAGACCAATGAAGATGGCAGGGAGGGCAACGACAAGTATACCGAAAAATACGAAGAGGTTTCGGCGTGTGCGACTGGATCGAATCTTGGCAAGCTCGGTCCGCAGCCACAGGAGAGGCTTCTTAGACGTGGTCTTCTGGCTGGTAGGCAGAGACAGGCCACTTTCGGCGTCGGTGTCAGATTTGGAGTCCATGGCGTCGAGGCTTTCCAGAAGCCTGCACTGTTCGGATGGCTGAGAGGGAGAAAAGAGGATATCTACGGAGACGAACGCGGCATTTTCGACAGTGTTTTCCATATGCCGGCGTTAGGAATACCGCGGAGCCGTCGGGCGTCGAGCTCAACCCTCAAAGAAGGGCAATGCGAAGAATGGGTCTAGGTGCCGGCTTGCATGTGTGGGTATCCGAGGGATGGCGCCTAGGAGGCGTTCACAGGGTCCCCCTCGTGCGTACCACTAAGTGCGTTTGTTCGATGATGGATGGACTCGGGTAGGAGATTTGCGGTACGTAGGTGAGGTCACCTCCGAGCAGAAGCGAGCCCGTGAAGCTGGCCGGGGTTCTCCAGTTCTCTCTCTCTCTTTTTCTTCCTCTCTCTCTCTCTCTCTCTCTGAGCGCAGGAATCCTGCCGAAAGTCGGGTTAGCTGCCGGAGATGAGAAGAGAGTCGGGTCTCAGTCTGCAGGCATAATATGTGGCAGGCATCGAGGTTAGGCCGGGTACGGGCACGACGAGCTCTCTCGTAGTGGAGGGAGGCGTGGAAACTGATATATGAGACAGACGATGTCTCTGGGGAGGAGATAGAGGTGCCGTGACGGAGACACAATGGCACAACGCACATATACATGTGCAGGCAGGTATACATCCGGGTCGATACTTCCTGCCTCCTCCCGTCTGCAGATGTTACCATCGTGCCGCTAGGTACCTGGCATCTGGCACATCTACGTGTACATCTAGAGTAGGTACGTGTATATAGAGTACATGTGTATATACCCGGGCAGGTACCTTCTACGTGTAGATGCTCTGCCGGCCCTACCTTACCTGGTAGGAGGTAGGTAGGTAGGTAGGTACCTTGTGTACCTGGTAGCTACCTCCCACCTTTGGTACCTACCTAACTCATATACATGCGGGCAGGACTAGAGCAGGGTACCCTATCTGAGCACGATCGATGCTACCCCGAGGCGAGCAGGTTTTCCTTGGGTGCCTCTCGCCAGGCTAGGCTAGTGCCAACCCGACGGGCCATGGATCTAATCGATGGGTACGTGCCAGGCGGACGTGATACGCAAGTGTGTCGGTTGACCGGCGATCCTGTGTCAGACGCGCCTTTTGCAGGTTACTCGGACTCTCGTATGGACAGGTCCGCGGTCCCGTCTGAACCTGCCCTTTGGCGTCGGAGATTCGGGGAAAAGCGCTCTTTGTGGTTTGGGACTGGGGGACGAATCTGGACCTGTCCGGGCCCTGGGCCTGGAGGCGAACATACAAGCGCGTTATAGCACGGGCCGACAGGGGGGCCTCCAGCGGGTGGGTCAGGAACGCCGGAGTTCTTTGTGCCATACACACTAGTAGTATAGCCTGGGCACATACGTAACAACGCGTGGCACGATACAGCTGATTATGAGGTACTTGACCTACCCCCCTACAGAGGAATTACGTAGGTACTGCCGGCCTCTTCCTACCGGGTACCTACTTACAGGCAGGTAATAGCTCCTAAGGCGCCTTAGGAAACTACGGTATAGAGTAGGTCGAGAACGAGAGGTGCGCTATTGAGAAAGCGCCCTGCCCTGCCCTGCCCTGCCCTGCCCTGCCCTGCTCTGCCCTGCCCTGCTGCACCTCGCTAACCTAGGTAGGTAGGTACTCAACCTATACTTATAGGGGGTAGGTACCTGTATCCAGCATACCTGAGGTCTAGGTAGGTACCTAACTTGAGCGAACCTAGGCGTTCCATGTACCTAAGCTAAGCTACGTGCGGCCACCGATAGTGCCAAACTCCTCCCTCGTCCCTTTCGGCTCGAAATAGCGTAGAGGGTCGAGGTCGACTGGGTCAGCGAGACGCCTGCGTAACCAGCTTTTCCCCTTCTGGCCACATGGCTCCATCACCCCAGCACCATCACCCCAGCACATCACCCCCCCCCCCCCTCCCCCTCACGGACACTCTACCACTCTACGATGCCGCGCCGGTCGTTCCATCTCAGGCCCAACTGACAACACCATGCCCGGGCAGCCGTAGAACGTTTTACTGCGTGCTCGCTGTTCCATGTCCGTCTGAAGATACGTCCAAGCTCTGGCCAGAAACGAAACAGGAAACAAGACATGGCCCCGACGGGTCCTCTCATGCGCCCTCGCTGCCACACGGACCCGTCACCACCCAGATGTCACCGCCCAAATTCCCGCACACGATCCCCGTCACGACCGCGCGGCAGGCTGCGGGCACAGCTGGTGGCTGACCTACGTGTTCGGCTATACGCGACGCCGTCGACTTCGTCCATCGACTTACGCGAGGTTAGAGTCGGTCGCTGACGGACGGATGCATCGCCCCTCAGACCTGCCTATGTCGGCGTCGCGTCACAGCCCGACCAGCGCTACTACCCAGGGAAACGCAGTCAGACTCGGTGACGGGTCTACCGACGACAGCAAGCTAACCCATTCCGACGGCATCACGCTGCCTTTTCCAATTCCATAACCCATCCCGCAATCCTGCTCCAGAGCATGCCTACATACGGAGTGGAAATCGGAGGCCTTATGCATGGGGTCGCTTCTTGGGTTGGTCTAGCACAACACGAGGACACACCCCATTCCGTGTTGCTGGGTGGTCTAGATCACCACCCACCGTCTTGAGCGCTTTTCCGCCATCTGATTTGCCGCCAAACGAAATCAAGCTTTGAGATCCCCCCCCGTCAGCCAAAGCCACTGTTGTGCTAAACACCCCCATCTGGCCGAGAAGACCTGTCACCCCTGCGAGCACGTTGCCCTATGGTCCGGAACTGGCCAATCATCACATTACCATGCAGCTCCAAGCACAGGTCCCCCGCCGCGCTGTGGAGATTGGCACCTCCTCGCCGCCGCTCCACACCTTGGCTATTCTTCGTGTTGCCGTTATGTCCTCGTACGGCTCCCCATCGACCAGCACCAAATCTGCTCGTAAGCCAGGTCGAATCCGACCCCGGTCTAGGAGATCGAAGTGCTGCGCTGCCGCCGACGTGGCCGCCCGTAAGGCATCCGCGGGGGTCAGTCCTGCCCGCACGAGCAGTTCCAATTCGCGATGGAGTGACTCACCGGCAGCGACTGAGACGATGCCGCTGTCGTTCGCGTCGGTACCTGCTAGGATGGGTATACCCGCCTTGCGCATGGCCGTCACGCTGCTGAGGGAGACTCGGAAATTCCTATTCTGCCTCAATGTTCGCAGGATCCAGCCCAGGCCCCAGAGGATCCAACTATTGGTCATGGCCTCCATCATCGTAAGGGTCGGCACCGCAACCGTCTTCTGTCGGACCATTTCGTCTAGGACCTTGTCGTCGAGGGCCTTATCCATAGGAACGTGGGTTAGGACGTCGAAGCCCGCCTTTAAGCCTCGCTCGAATGCCTTGTACTGTGCCGCATGCGCAACCGTCCGCATCCCGTGCTTCTTCGCCTCGTCCTGGATTCTGTCCAGCACGGCCTGCTCGTGGCCAGGCTCGTCTGCGATGATCTTGATGTAATCAACACCCTCGTCGACTCTGTTCTGCACGAATTTCGCCGCCTCGTCTACGTTATGGACCGCGTGGTCTGCCGTTATCCCGAGGAATTTCATGAGGATTCCATGCCTGGAGTTTTCCTGGTTGCACAATCCGAGTCAGCGGTCATCGTCGTTATCAAGTGCCCAAAGGGGTGTGAAAGGGCCGGGAGTCGATTCTAATATCACTAACCTCATATGCGGGAAGACCCGAGGCCAGCCATCGCGTGGGACCTTGCGCCGCTCGAAGCGCCTGGTATGACTTGAGCGGCATACACCTGGGCGAATAAGTAAAATTTAGCTTCGCGGACGTGCGCTTGATAGCCTCGATCTTCTCCGCAACGACGGTCGTAGAAGCTGTGCTGTTGCTACTCACGCCATATCGCAGACCGTCGTAACCCCGAAGGACGAGCACGCGGCCAGCTGCTTGGCATCGCGGATGTGCACGTGGCAATCGAAGAGCCCGGGCATCAGCGTGCGGCCGGTGCCGTCGACGACGACAACATCTTCGTTGGCTGCGAGCACGTCGTCGCTGCCGTCGGCATCGCCGATGCGCGACCCGTCGATGACCACCTCCTTAGGCCCGCTGACGGCCTCGCCATCGAAGACGCGGACGTTCTTGATGATGGTCAACCTGCCCATGGTCGATAGTCTTAGCTTAGTCTAATACTCGACGTCGGAGGGCCACCTTGCTGAGTATATACGGCTCGTTGGCGCAGTCTGTCAGTCTTCGAAGCGAGTCTCAGCCGTCTAGCAGGTAGGGACGTAGGCAGGTATGGCTAGCAACAGGAGTGGGCACGCGATCTTTCAAACGAGCCTCGCGGTAAGTAAGCGTAGACAGATATATGGATCTCTATAGATAGACGTCGGCAAGCGCGGGTAGGTATAGGTACAGGGTATATAATGTCAGTATTGCCACGGCAGATAGGATGCGAATGGATGGCTATTGGCAGGAGCCTATACCTATAGGTACAAAGAAGAGCCCACGTGTAAATGACTACTGTGTCTCGCCACGCACGGCTCGGCACCTAAATATACATATAAACACGCCGCCACCGCGCAACCTCCTACACGGCGGACGCGACGTTCCAAGCCTTGGCTGGGTGCTCGCGCAGACAGATCGACCCGCCCGGAGGACAGCTGCGCCCAGGTCGGCAGTCGGCACGAGGAGGCGCCGACCAGCCGAGGCTAGATGCCGCGTCTCGCGTATGCAGGTAAGCAGTGCCAATGCCGGCACCTCAAGTTGGTCCCGCCTCTCTCGCGGCGGCGCCACTCTGCCGTGCCTAGCCCGTCCGCGCCTGCGCAGGTGAAGCCGGCATAGGTAGGTATAAGCGTAGGAGCTGGGCAGGTAGGCATGATGCGTCGACGGCGAGCCGGCGCGGTCTCTTAGACAGAGGCAGAGGAGAAGTCCGTAAGCTCCCGTCGCAGAGGTGCGGCAGGCAACTGAGAAAGGATTCTTTCGCATTGACGTCTACACTAACGGGCGCCTCTGCCGAGACCGGTAGCCCATACCTGTTAAAACCAAACAAGCCAAAAAAAAAAGAGAGGGAAAAGCGATGCAAAACAATAACAAGAGCCCGACGTCTGCAGAGACTATGTAGTTAGTCGGGGGGTATAAAGCATGTTCCTCCCCCTCCGCGACTCCGTGGCTAGCGACGCACACCGCCGTCTCTCAGCGGCATCTATATCGCCGCACAGCCAAAAAAAAAAAAAACGCCTGACCTCGCCGTTCCGCGGGCCGCCAGCCCAGCCCGGCCCTTTTTAGAATACCGATGCGACTTCGCAAAAAGAATACCTAGCCCTTCTTCCCCTCCTCCGCCGCCCCGCCTCCTCCTCTCCTGGCGACGAACTACCTAACTCGATGCTTCCTCCCTTCCGGCGGCGCCGCCCTGTCACGCGACGACGTCGCGCAGCGAGCCGACCGTCGCGCGCTTGCGGGCCTGCCGGGCGGCCCACTCGCGCGACTGCTGGCGGGAGCGCTCGGCCGCCTCCTCGCGGGCGAGCTTGGCGAGGGCCTCGCGCTCGCGGCGCTCGCGTTCGCGGTCGCGCGTGCGCGAGTTGTCCTGCTTGTAGATCTCCTGGCCGCGCAGGCGCTGCTGCTGCACGTCCTCGAGCGACACCGAGCTGCGCTTCGCGCTGGCGCTGCCCGACGTTGAGCTCGACGTCCCGCGGCTGCCCTGCGCCCCCGCCCCCGCCCCCTCCACCGGGTCCGCCGGCCGCAGCCCGCGCCCGCGCGTCTGCGACGCGTTGCTCGCGCTGGAGAGCGGGGACCGCGGGCCGGCGTGCGCGGCCGCGGGCGTGTGCTTGCCCGGCGCCAGCTGCGACGGCGAGTTCTCCGCCGTGTTCGCCTTGCCGTGCCGCGCCCGGCTCGCGACCGTCTCCCGGGGCGGCGCGCCGGGCGCGGGCGGCGGCCCGATCGGCCTCGCCTTGAACTCGCGCCGCCGCCGGTCTTCCTCCTCCTGCGCCCGCAGCTGCGCCTCGCGCTCCTCGCGCTTGCGGCGCGAGATGGCTTCCCCCGGCAGCTCGAAGGTGGGCCGCGTCGGCGCCCGCACCGACTTGGAGCGCCGCAGGCTCGACAGCGTCGGCTTCGTCGCCTGCTCCATGGCGGCCTGCGCCGACGCGCGGGCCTCGCGCTTTTCCCGGAGCTTGCGAGCGAATTCGTCCCCGGGCAGCTCAAAGGTGGGAATGGTGGGTTTCTTGCTCGACTTGACGGGCTGCTTCGGCGGGAGGAGACTGGCTATGCCCTTGCCGACCGACCGCTTCGGCGGGGCCTGGGCGGCGGGTCTCTCCTCGCTTGCGAACCTCGGAGGGTTAAGGAAAATCATCGATGCCGCTTTGCGCACCGACCGGTGTCGCGGCTCGTCATCCGATTTGGCCCCGACAGCAGCGGAGCCTGGCTGGGTTGGAGTGCTTTGCTTCGGCTGCGGCGTGATGGGTCTACCGGTGTCGTTGGCCTTCACGGACAGGGACTGCATGGTGGATCTCCTCGCCGAATCCGGACCAGGAGGCGACAGCATCTGCCTGAAGCGAGCGACTTCGTCGAATGCCTCTAGCTGTTCCTCTAACTTGTCAAGTGCCTCTACGGAGTCCTCGATTCTAGCAATAGGCTGTATCCCCGCGCGTCTTTCCTTGTCTTTAGCGGGGGCAGACGCTGGCGGAGTTTGCTGGGCTCCATCTTCCGGTGGCACCCCTTGCTCCTTTGCTGGCGTAGAATGATTGGGCTGGGGTTCCGCAAGAGCCATGTTTTCTTGACTTAGGGATGCGCTGTCGCCGTCGCCGTCGTCCAGCAGCTCCTCCCCGTCGGCCAAAGGAGAGACTAGGAATGTGTAGAGGGGCGTAGCGGGCTCCCTTGGATCCCGTTGGTCGGCTTCTCGCTGTATTGGCAAGAGGTTGCAGCCGAAATGGACCTCCTTCACCTCTGGCGCAGCGGTGGCCTTGGGAGTAGTAGACGTATCGCTACGAGGCGAAGCAGGTTGGATGGGCACTCTCACCGTAAGCACCCATTCGAAGCGGCCTTCGCGATGTTTCGCCAACTGCTCCTCAGCAGCGGGAATGTGACGCGCAGCCTTACACAAGGGGTGATCCGAGTATTCCTCAGCTGTGGCGAGCACGATGTTAGTACGGTTTAACAACGAGGCCTGCCAGTTCTGCCGACATAGCTGGTGAAGATTTAGTACCTGAAAGCTCGTGGCTGCCCTGCGTTTTATGGGGGACGCTCGTGGCCGAGGCTTTGAGCGCGGGTTTCGGTTCGTCTTCGGGCACAGTCTCGAGGACTTCGAAGGTGTTTGCTGTGATAACCGGTCTGACCAAGCGACGCCGACCTTGATTCTTTCCAACGGTCGTCCACTCGGGGCTGTCGTTGGCCTGGGTCTCGGTGTCTAGATGCAGCTGTCTGATCCGGGCAGTGAGAGAGTCGACGGCAGGCGTCGTTGAGCTCGCGGTCGTCGGTTGGCGATTCTGAAGATGTGAAACAGAGAGATCTCGGAGGGGAGAGTTTGGCTGGGGGCTATCTTGAGGAGAAAACCCATCCTCGCCGGAACTCGTATCACTGAGGATCTCAAATGACGCCCGAGGCCGCGGGACGGGGGCCATCGTCTGGCCCTCGGATTGGATGCAATTGACCAATGGCCGAGAGCGAGACAGCTAGGATGCACGGGCTCAGGGGTCCAGTGCGAGCAGGGGTTTGATGAGAGTCTTATTAGTCGCCCCGGACTTCGCCCACGAGGACCAGTCCGAAGCTATTGGGTAGCAGGGTGACGGACGGTGGGGAGATTTGACATTCGTGCTGAATTGATCGGCAAGAGACCCCAATAACGAGAACTAGCTAACCTTTGCTTTCCAACCGAGTGATGGGTAGGCTGGATGGAGATGATGGATGGGAGGAGAGAGAGAGAGGGGGAGAGAGAGGAGAGAGGAAGAGAGGGAGAGGGAGAAGAGGAATGTGACGAGGTCCGGGGGCCGTCGAAATTATGCCTTCCTCCCCCCCGTGCATTCCTCCTTGAAATGCGTACGTGCGACGATGGTATATTGCGGCCGTGGTGCCTCGCTCTGCTGCTACCTACCTACGACGTCGTACTCTACACGCCTACCTCGCCTTGCCTGCGACCGTTGGCTATTAGCTGGTGGGAAGTCGCCTTGTCGTCTGCCCGGGTCGAAATCACCGAGTTGGATCGCCAAGTTGGACCTTGTCGCGCAGCCCTTGTTGACTAGGAAGTAGGTAGCCATGGATGTCGCGCGCTACGTAGTATGTAGCATTCCCAACAGATAGCAATATCCTTAACTGCTACGTAGTGGGCTTGGCTTGTGTCGCTAATGCGATGCCGAGCTTCTACAGCGCCATTGGCTTCATACTCATATAGATAGCAGTGGAAGATCCTCACCAACGTTCTCTCTCTCCGTCCTCTAACTTGGCCTATTATCACAATAGGTTATTTCCCCACGGCAACAGCTTACTAAGACACACGGCATAGCGCGCATCTCGACGCGAGCTTCCCCCACCCCCCATCTCATGCGCGTGTCAGCATGTTCTTGCAGGAGCTGAGGGCCGCGACAAGACGAGGGGTGCCCTCCTCAGGATCACGCTGTAATCCGCACTTTATCCGGCACAACGACTATTTATGTGCGCGCGTGTAGGTGTTAGGAGGTAGGTAGGGATGCACACCAAAGATATGACCGTAAACTGCCACCGGGACCAGGTTGCTCTTTATAGATAGGCAAGCATTTCACGGAGCTTTGGTGGCCGCGATGGATGCTCGTAAGCGGAGGGCGAGCGCCAGCTTGAAATCGCATGTCGGAGAATGAGAGACCGACGAGAAGTGAATCTCCGGAATTCCATTGTTACCTGCGGTTAGAACCTTTCTCCGGTCGCGCACTCAGGAGACTAGCGAGTTGTTCTGGTCGCTCTCCATAGCTCCCTCGGTTTGCGCCTGCAACGCTGGCGCATGCTCCGTGGGTATCCGGACCAGTGTCTGCGGCAGGGGAAGCCTATCCTCCTGGGCTTTCGACTCGGCCTCTTCGGCATTCCGCGGGCTCGGTATCTTGGCTGTGAGACGAGTCAGCACCAACCCACTCGACTCACCGGACGAGCTGCACGAAGCTGCCAACCTACCCGACGCCATGTTGATGGCCCGTAACACGTTGTGCCAGTTTCCTAACACCGTCGCGATTGCTGTCGTGTCTGCGTTAACCAAGCGAGCCGGCCGCGACTTGCGCGGGCACTCGTACCTTCAGTCCCATCGGATAACGTGGCAAGTTTCTGCTCTAGCGCCTCCATCTGGCTGGCCACGGCTGCGCTGAGGTCCCGCAGCTCTTGCAAATTCTCGAGCTCTGCCCTCTTCTCGTTGACCCGGGCGAGGAGTGCTGGCGATTGTCCGACGGGTTGAGCTGTTGGGTTGGTTGAAGTAGAGCCTTGTCGTAGGTGGTTGGGAAGAGCGCGAGAGGGAAACGCCATCGCGGTATCGGAGGGAGGAAGCGAGCGTGGCGGCCGGTTCTAAGATGCGTTTGCGTGTCTGGCTGAGGATGGGCGAGCGGGTGTGTGTTGAGGGGGATGGGATCGATGAAATCATAACGTGCCTACACGTAGGTAGGTATGTGGGCAGCAATGAGGGGTGGATGTGTTATACCCTATCCTACCCTTCGTGAATTGTGAAATGTATGGATGTTTATGCATCTGCCAGAGTGGAGGAGGATTAGAGCTGTCCAGGATTTATGCAATTTTATAATTTCACATTTTGCCTAGGTAGGTACTTGGACTCGTGAACAACGACATAACGGGCGATGTCCACGCGGGTGCGAGTTATTCGTGCCAGCCCACGGCAAGCACACGAATCTGTGCGTGCACAAGCCGCGCTTGTCGACCTGCATAACTACCCGAGGTACGCGGGTACATAGTTATGTCCATATGGCGGGCGCGCATTGGCCGTGGCGCGGTAGCCCTAAGCCCTATTCGGAAGTTTGTTGATATTCCAGGTGGGGACGGGATTCCCTTGTAACTCGTTTCGCCGGCCAAAACTTTTAGAGTCCCTGCTCGCCTCACCTACACACCGCAACTACCTAACCACTGTCTCTCGATCGCCTCGCGTCTTCTCGCGCATGACAGAAGTAGCTTTTCCATCGGTTCGCGGCTGGCAAAGAGCCCCTACATACTCTCTGCCCTCTACACCACGGCGGCAGCAAGTAATTGTTGACATTTCCCCATGAACCGTCACCATGGCCCGACTCAACGAGCCCATGGTGTCGACAGATAGCGTGGAAACGCGTAAGTCACGCGATTTGGGTTATGTCGTCGCCAACGACCGTCTTTAACACGTTCTATCATCGCAGTGCGTCGAAAGTTCTTACGCCAGAATCGAGACATCGCCCGCGTAAACTCGACCCAATCGCTTAAGATACGCAACTTGGAGAATGAATGTGTCCGCCTCCTATCCGAGAACCTTGACCTCCGGGGACAAATTCTCCGACTCCAGACCGAGTTGGAAGAGAGCAGAGCCCAGAGGATAGCCGACCACGCCCTCGAGATCAAGGAGAAGATGGAGGCCCAGCTGATAGAATGGGGGGCTATGCTTGCGAGTCTAGGACACGAGCCCGCACCTAAGAATCGGTCGCCGAGAGAGTCGAAGAAGGTGAAACGTAGATCCAGCATTGGCCGCACTAGCATGTCCGAGTGGAGGAGGAGAGATACGATGACCTCGATGAAGGACCTCGAAGCTGCCGCACTTCAGGAGGGCAGACTGCCGCCGATTTGGGAAAATAAGACATGTCCACGTGAGACGTTAACGTGAGTGGCGCCCCTCGTGTGATCGAAAGAGGATATATATATGTTAACGGCAGTAACAGGCGCGATGAGATCATGGCGCTGCGCTCTATAGTCGACGAGAACACCGAATCTCCAGATCTTGGCCCTCCGCCGGTGTCACGTTTCGTTGACGAGGACCCTGTCAAGATTGACCTGCCTCCTAGGGCCGCTTCGGCTACGTCGGAGGGATCGCCTATACGGAAGGAAACCCCGAACCCGGAGACCAAGCTTGATCCGCCACCACTACTATTGAGAGACGAAAAGAAGCCTCGAAAGTTTAGCGAGGTGATGGAGACGGACGCTAAGCCTAGAGACACCAGGACAACTCCGGAAGCCGAGCCCGAATTCTCGAATCAAGTTGTTAAAGCCGGCTTGAAGAGGAAATCGAGAGAGGATGACGAGAAGGATAGTGCTGCGGCGTCCAAGCCGTCGACGCAGAGTACTGTAGTCGCGAAGGATCAACTCGAGAAGTCCGCCGCAGTCAAGGGTCGACCGATCAATAGACCAATCAAACTTCCCTCAAACCGCAGAGATTCTCGGGGAAGGCCATCCGACTCCATCGTGAGAAAGCCGCTGGGAGCGAAGAGCTCAAACGAGAACATGCAATCGCCAAAGAAGATGGCAAAAACCACAAACATGGAGGAGACCACAAAGGACATCCCCAAACCAAAGAAAATGAACATATCTCCACCGGTCGAGATCCTCGCCCCCCCAAGCCCGCAGCCGGTACCTGTTGCCAGCATAGAAATCGAGCCCGAGAGACTCTCGACCGAACCTCACCTGGGCGCGCCGGATACGCCGGAGCCAGCGCCGCGGGAGGAAGTTCGGGACACGCCGCCGCCGGCCGACATCTCGGCGCGAGGGGAGACGTCGCGGGGGAGCCGCCGGGCTCGGGCTCCGGTCAGCTACGCCGAGCCGAACCTGCGGGATAAGATGCGGCGGCCTACGAAGCAGCTGTTCGACGCGGTGTCGGGCGAGGGCAAGCACCTGCGGCGGACGAGCCAGTCGAAGCGGGACGAGCTGCCGTCGTGCCCGTCCTCCGCCGCCAAGTCGGAAGAGCGCTCGGCGCCCTGGCGGGACGCGCCCTCGGCGGCGGGCGGCAAGCCGGCTCCGGACGCCGCGGCCAGCCCGCTGGCCCAGAAGGGCCCGCGCGCGCCGGCCGCCGACGACTTGCCGACGAGCGGGGTGACGGAGCGGAGGAAGCGCACCTCGGCGGTCGCCGCGGCCCCGGGCGCGGGGGGCTCGGAGTCGCCCCCGTCGGCCCGTGCCGGCGGCAGCCACGCGAAGCCGGGCGCGCGCGCGACGAACCGCCGCCGCCTCGACGAGGTGGCGGCGCGGGAGGCCGAGGCTGCGAGGTGGTTCGACGACGCGGAGCAGGACGACGAGGCGGAGCAGGACGACGAGGCCGAGAGCGAGGCCGACGACGACGGCGACGACGACGGGCCCGACGTGTACGACTTCCCGAGCTCGTCGCCCGGGCGCGAGGCGAAGAAGCAGGGCGCCGCGGCCGGCAAGAGGCCCGGCGGCAGGGGGGCCCGGCGGTCGCGGTCGCGGCGGCCGACGGCGGCGCGCGAGGAGCTGGACGCGGACGAGGAGCACCGGCGGGCGGCGCCGCACCGCGCGGAGAAGGCGCTGCCGCCGCCGTCGCGGCCCACGCGCCGCGCGTCGGCCATGGCCTCCAGCAACGCCGCGGCGCGAGAGGCCAGCGGCGACGGCGCGGCCCACGACGGGTCCTCGGTCTTCGAGGGTGACAGCTCGCTCAGCAGCAGCAGCGGCGGGTCGTCGTTTGCGGCGGAGGTGGAGGCCGAGGCCGCGAGGGGCCGCGTTTCGATGAGGCGGCGGAGCATGATGTTATGAGTATAGAGAAGCAAGAGGAGGAGGAGGAGGCGGGGGAGAAAGGGGACTGGCCCCGGCTGGTTGGCCGTCGAAGCCAGCTAGTCGGCTATGCCGGGCGAACGATCTGCAGATGCCTTTCGTCGGCTCACAGGGATATGTATTAGAACATATGTACTAGAACAGGACGGGACGGGACAGGTTGGGCCAGGTAGGGTAACGATTCGTACGACGCGCGTTGCAGCTAGCAGCAGTTTTTTTGTCCTCGCGTCTTTCCGTGCTGCCGCGGTTGCGTACGGGGCCTGCTTTGGTGGCGGCTGCCCGGAGTTCTGCGAGGAGCATAGCATAGCATATCTTGTTCAGGGTTCAACACTACGTTTTAAGACTACTGTGATCGAGCAAGTCATTGCCACGGGATTAGAGCGCGGAGAGGAAGAGGCCAGGAAGAGAGGGACGAGGAAGAGCATCGGCCGTTAACCTGGTTCGTTCATACATTCATCTAGTATCGAGTTTGATGCAGGGTCGCTTACACAGCATGTTCTCTCGATGCATCCTGCGGTACATCTCCATTATTACCAAGCCCTCGTTTCCGCTCGCCTTTCCCATCGGCCCTGGTCAATATCTGCGATGTCCGGCAGTCAGCAGCAAAAGGAGGTATGTATGTAGCTGCGGAATCCTCGGGAAATGCGAGGGTGCCGCGCTAGTGTCGGCGAGGAAGGTAGGCAGGTAGGTAGGTAGATAGCTAGTCTGTTCCGGAATTGGGTATAGGATATAAGTTGAATATGAGCTCGGAGGGGGAGGGGTTATCCGAGGTTGCCGGGGAAAACATATTGTCTCGCATCGTGAGCAAGTCTTCCTCGCAAACGCCGTGGTATATATGGAATAGAGTCAGGTACTCCAATTCCCCCCTCTATCGATGACGGCCTGAAAGGTTACGACGAGTTTCCCGTGGGTGCTACGGGTTTTGTGTAGGTCACCTTTTCTACGGCGACGTTCTCGCCGCTGTCGTCTTTCCGGAGCTGGTATACGTAGAGTGTAAGTGATATGCCTTGAACCTGTTTGCCTCGCCGTCAGCGTATGTACGTATAGCTAAGCAGAACTCTCAGAGCATTGATGTTCCCCTGTCCCTGGCCTCTAGGAGACACTTTGAATCTCAAATAGCGGCACGCGGTAGAGGGGGAGCTGAGCCAAGACTCACATCCATCAAGCAGAAACTAGGCACCATTTCTTCGCCCTCCTTGGTCCAGCCGGTAGTGTAAGCGCCGGTGGCGCTGCCGGGATTGACAAAGAATTTGTCCATGTACTCGAAGGCGTCGAAGCGGTGAGTGCCGCCCCAGCAGAGCACGTCGACATCGAGCTTGTTGGCCTCGGCCAGCAGTAGGTCGGGTTCGGTGGAGACGAGGGTGAAGCCCTCGACGAAGCCGATGCGCAGGGACCCGTGGGTGACAACCTGCGACAACGGTAGCGATGCCGCCTCGACGTCGAAGCGGCCCTTGACGATCTTAAGGTCTGGCGCGATGGACCGCAGGTACTCGTAGGTGTGCTTGTCCGTCAGATTTCCGAGGCACAGCGTCTGTCCGATCTTGCCGGGCGAGAGGAGTTTCTTGAACTGCAGGATTTTGCGAGAACGTTAACAAATAGAGATTCTTCAATGCCTGTGGTGTGGTGGCGGCGGCGGTGGTGTGAGGTGTAGTAAAGCGTGCTCGGGGTGGAGGAGAATAGCACTCGCACCTTTTGCGGTATATCGAGGGCGCGGTCGGGGATGTAGAGGTCCCCAATCACGAGGATGAGGAAAGCCATTGATTATGTATTACTAGAGACCCTAGATCCGGGTATGTATCCCTACTACCGGCACTTCTAGAAAGCCAGGATCGGTGTCCGGGTGCCTTTCAATACCACTGCGGCGTCGGTTATTAGAAGGGGTATTCGATATCCGAGGGAGGCGGACAGGATTCGGTGCGATAGGCTACGACGGCGGAGGAGAGAGAGATGGTCTGGACGGGCGTTTGTTCTTGAGAAATAGGGCGTATCATTCGAACGTGAGCGTGTTCTGCAAGAATCGGCGGGAGAGCATACGCGCCTATATGCTAGCAAGATGCCGGGAGATCAGAGTCGAAGTGGAAGCTATCACAAGCTCAGGTAGCTAGCTGGCTGACGCCTCCGTATCTAAATAAACACCGTGCTAAAGGTAGGTAGGTAAGTCGATCATGCGAGGCTGACATTTTCTGCCCAGTAAAATCCACGGACGGGGCAACAGAACTTGGAGTTGAGCCCCCGCGGTTCCAAGCTACCGCTGTATCGGTGCGGGCCTACTCGCGCTATTCACAGGTACCTACCTATGCAATTGACCGGAATTCTTATATGTACCAGCGGAGACAGCGGGAGGTGTGAGAACAACCAACACTCACTACGTAGGTTACAGGTATTATCTCTTTGCAGTAGACTTAACTAATTACGCGACCAGAGCCCGATTTTAGCTTCCAAAAAATGGCGACGACGTAAACGAATCTGTCGTGGTACGAGAATGCGATACCACCCCTCGGGTCATCAAGAGGCGACCGAACGCGGAGGCCGCAAGGCCGATAGCGACATATCGACATCTGTTTCTCTATTCCCACGCTTGAACGATACCGGGCTGTACAGGGTAGGCCTGCTAGCGATGGAAGCTCTGGCATTCTCCCTTGCGCATAGCGATTCCAGTCACATCGCATCGCTTAGACAGCCTGCGCACTTCCGTACCACGTTGAAGAAACGGTCGGGGACGCTTACCGACTCGGGCATATCTGTGGCCCCTGGCCTGGCTACTACCTAGCGTCTTCGCCTCTAGAAATCGGGACATTAGTAAATCGAGGTCCGCAGACCGCCTGGCCAGGACACGGACTTTCTCGCATGTACCTACTTATTCCACGACAGTGTGTGTCGGTAATTTGGCTGAGCTGTTGTGCTGCTAGGTAATCTACCGAATGGGGATGCCTCGGCGAACACCGTCTGGGTTTTTTTTTTCTTCGCTGTTTATGCCTCTTGGATAAACGGCTTAACCTGCCCACCTACACAACATATTACCACCTAACCTCTTAACCAACCTACCTGAACTTCAAACCTACAGAAGGGAGGTGGCCTAGATTAGGTACCTCGCGTTCCCTTCAGGTACTAACTTACCCGCCTAGGATCGCCGACGGGCAGAGGTACTTAGGGTGGACCCTGAGTTCGTGCAGGAGAAGCGCCTGCGGCATCGTGCATCTCCGTACTCTGGCGGTACCTCTCTAAAACTGGCTTACTCAACAGCGTTGCGGAGGGCTGCCGGAGCGGTGGTCGGCGAGATGCCCCACCGAATACTCAGCACCAGCACATCCTCCCCCGCAGCTCGCGCCTCGATTATATCGCGGCACCTCCTGGGCGGTGTCCAATCTTCTGCCCATTCCACTCTTTCCAGCAACACCCTCCCCATCCAGAGCCGTGCCATCTCCTCCACCTCGCCCTCCACCTCGCCCTCCGCCAACATGTCCTCGCAACCAGAGCACCCCACCCTGCTCATTCCGGGCCCCATCGAGTTTGACGATGCCGTCTTGCAGTCCATGAGTCACTTCAGGTCCGCATGTCCCTGCCCCTCTCCGCTCAGCCCACGCTTGCGTGCCGGAGAACGCGCGTACGTGGTGGCACCCTTCGCTGATACGCAGAGACCAGCGAGTCCCATGTCGGCCCGGGATTCGTCGCGACCTTTGGCGAGGCCCTATCCATGTTGCGCAAGCTCTTCCAGACCACCTCGCCGACCTCGCAGCCCTTCGTCATCTCAGGATCCGGTACGCTCGGCTGGGACTTGGTCGCGGCAAACCTCGTCGAGCCCGGCGAAGAGGTGCTGGTTCTTAGCACCGGCTACTTCAGCGACGGTTTTGCCGACTGCCTCAAGATCTACGGCGCGAATGTCGACCTCCTCAAAGCGCCCGTGGGCGCCCGCCCGCAATTGCCCGAGATCGAACAGGCATTAAAGAGCAAGAAGTACAAGGCGGTTACGGTGACACACGTTGATACGTCGACAGGCGTGCTAAGCGAGCTATCCAAGCTCTCCGAGACGGTACAACGGGTTTCGCCCGACACGCTTCTCATCGTCGACGGCGTCTGCAGCGTGGCCAGCGAGGAGATCGACTTCGACGCGTGGAGACTTGACGGCGTAATAACGGCAAGCCAAAAGGCTATCGGCTGCCCCGCGGGCTTGTCTATCTCGATGTTTAGCGGAAAGGCGATGGAGGCCTTCAAGGCGAGAAAGAGCCCGCCCGGGTCTTACTTTGCTTCTATGAAGAACTGGACACCGAGTAAGCCACAACTCTCCTCCCCCCCCTTCTCCTTTTCCGAAGATCCTGCCGCGGTACCGCGATAGCAAGGACAGGCTTTGATACCCAGCGCAGTCATGCAGAACTACGAGGCCAAGAAGCCGTCGTACTTTGCGACTCCCTCGCCGCAGCTCGTCCACGCCCTCCACACGGCACTCTCCCAGATCCTCGTTAAGCCCCTCTCGGACAGGTTTGCCAGGCACCAGGAGGTATCGGACAAGATTAAGCAGGCGGTGGCGCAGTTGGGCTTGAAGCAGGTTGCACTTAACCCGGACGACCAGGCTCACGGCATGACTGCCATCTACTTGCCTGAAATGGTCAAGGCCACAGATTTGCTTCCAAAGCTTGCCAAGAGCGGCGTTGTGTTCGCCGGGGGTATCCATAAAGAAATCGCGGCCAAATACGTGCGGTTCGGGCATATGGGCGTCAGTGTGGTATGTTTGGGTTCCCGTATCCTCTGGCAACCGAAGCCTGAAAGCTAACGGCATTAGACCGATCCCGCGAGAACGGACATCGACAAGGCAATAGCTGCGCTGGAAACCGGCCTAGCCGAGTGTGGTTATCAGAAGGCATAACGGTCTCACATAGCCCTCCATGCCGATCACTAGTGCGTGTCTTCTCACTAGACGATAGTAGCGCGCAAGAGCGGCAGCGGTTTTCTGAGACCTACCATTCTCGATGAGGTATTGGTTGGGTCCCAAAGGGTGGCGCGTCATCGTCTCCAAGTTAAGAGATGCGCGCAGAAAAGTAGCATACGTGTAACGCTCGGGGGATAAGAGAAGGGGGCAAAAAGAGGGAATACAGAAAAACAAAGGAGGAAGCGGCGCTTCGAACACCACCTGATTAAGCATTCGCCTCATTCGGCGAAACAAATGTGATATGTCCTCGCCCACGTCGCCAGATTTGACTGCCTTGCTGTCCCTAGATACGGGCCGATTGGGGTAACATGTAGAAGAGGACGGAAGCAGGCATTTATCATAGGACCTGCTTATGACCCGGCGGCAGCGGCAGCGCCCCAACTTAATACCTAGCGGCGCCCAAGGTACCGAATGAGGAATAGCCCAGTAGCCGGGGACAGGTCGTTGGTCTCGAGAAGAGTTAACAATGAGGGAGGCCGTGTGCGTAAGGACGGGGTAGTGCGGTAGTTGTATTACTATGTAAGTAGTTGGTTTATTGACGAAGCCGGAAAGGCCTGGCATCTGGAATCCGGGGGAACGGGAGGGGTGCCTAGGCCGTATTTGACCTAATGCCTCGGTACCACGAGCCGGGACCTGACGATAGCGTCGTATAGGTATATACACGCAGCATCGGCAGATACAAATACATGCATGTCCTTCTCGACGCCTTCGCCCAAAATGGCCCCATGAGTAAGTATTTCTCCTCTCCATATTTATTCAAGCATTATTATGTTAACATTGTAAATCCCTTTTATGCCTCTACAGTAGTTATAGAAACATACTTATAGAAAATATCAAATTTATTTAATTTTAAGTACTTTAGTTATCCTTGTTTTATTATAAGGTTTTTACTCTTTCATGTGTATTCTCTTTTAAATAAAGAGTATAAAATTTTAATTTTAAAGAAGAAGCTAATTGATTTTTTTCTTTTTTAACTAGCTTAATAGCTACTTTGATTTCTGTAACCAGTTTTCCTATAGCTAAATAGAGCCGTAAGAGCATTCTTACTTTCTGTAATATGTACGGTATGCCTACAATAGTAATAAGGGTCAGGTGTATCTCACAACTGCAAAGTTCTAAAGGCTTTAGCTTGTAAAAAACGGCCCTATAGCTATCAGTAGAGGCAGCGTGTTTCCAAAAGTGTGGGAGTTACCCACTCTCAGCTAGAGCTGTGAGCCCTGAAGGACACCAACGTCCTCCGCCACGTACCGGACGCCCCCTAGAGAATTCGCGGGGTGAGTGCGGGGGACTTAACTCTCTCCCGCCGCTGAAAGAGGGCTTCTACTGGTGCGATTGTCTAGGAGCTAATTACCTACCTACCTGTTTATTAACACGATGTATTCTAATACAGTTCTTGGACGCCATGTGCGTTTTGGCTGGTCCGCTTCCTGTGATCCCACGATACCAGTTGGTAAACAACAGGTACCTAGTGTGCGAATCTTTAGGGTGCTGAACCTGGGCCTGATCTATTAGGAGGATACGTAGGAGCTATAACTGCTAATTGAACAGCTAAATTATATCAACTGGGTTCAGGTGATTACTGCCGTTTTTTGCAGCGAATATCGGCCTATCTCTTAAGGTGCCGCTGGAAGTCAATATGGTGGCAATATGCTAGTCAATAGGATGGTCTATGAGGGGAGTCCGCTTCGTTGGTACGAGGCGGAATAGACATCCGCTCTGGTGAGAGGACGAAACAAAGTGTTTGTCGTGTTCGACGCCCCTTTGATCACGGTTTGCATTGCGGTAAGACGCGTGTACGCACAGATGAAAAGCCCCCTAACAAATAAGAGAGCAAGAGATCAACTGACGTTCAGTGCCTATCGTCTCGTCTTCTCTCTTACCCCTCACCCCCTTCTGATCTTTCGATGGGGTTGGGGTCCCTTCTCGTCGCACATTTATCAATATGCACTTGTAGGGCGTCTTTGGGCCGGCCAATCGCCTCAGATGCATCCAACTAGAATATCCGATGCGAACATTTAAGCAAGATGCTGATGGAATTTCCGGGAGCATGCAGCTGCAACCCCCCGCCAGGCATGGAGGCCCGACGTGGACAAAAGGCGGCCGACTACATGAGATGACATTTCCTCCGGCTTCGAGTGATAAACAACTTTGATAACTTATTAATGGTACCTACCTCTCAGGGGCGATCGTCATTCCATAGAAATTAAAAAGCTTTCGAGGCACAACCGCAAGGAGTGGACTCATCGTTACCACCACCAACTATAGAACAGACGGTCATTCTGGTCTCCAACTACGGGATAATGGAGACTTCGAGTCATCCGGATGATACCTTGAGACAATGGAGGAGCTCCTTGATGCTTCGAAGAGTTGACGTTGTCGGGGACTTTGCCGGAAAAGAGCTCTTCGGTGTCCACGGAGAGGCGCTCGTTGCTCATTGCCTTGCCCTAGCACAGGTCGACTATGAGGGTGGGTTTAAGGCACGCGCCGTTCATTTCAAGACGGCTTCGCTAACTACGAAACAGATGGCTTTCAACTGCTTCATACTGTGTATGCCGTAGAGCGCTTCCTAAGCGAACTCCAGCGGTGTGGGTGCAACTTTCATATCCTTTGGTTCGACGACTGTCGGAGCGTATCCGTGCCTCATTCTGCCAGCGCCCAGCCAGCCAAATACCTCTTGACGCGTGCGGTTCTGATTGAGCATTTTCGAAACCCGCCCAACCCGACCTGCTTAGAGGGACACGAGAGTACTCTCCACGCCTCCCGCCATAGCATCAGCTTCGTATTTCCTTCGATCTTCAGCGACGAGTTTCGTCAATATATCGGCGCGAATGCTCTGCATTTCATCCTGTGTTCGGATGCCGAACCAGGACAACTAGACACCGACGATAGATTGACAAATCACCTAGCAGCAATGTATTCGTTTATGCAGACAGGGCATTCTCTAGGGTTCGTCAACGACATCGAGTTTCAAAGTACCAAGGTTAGCCATCCTTCATTCGGCCACGCAGAGTCGCTGTTAATAAGCTAGGTGTACACGAACGTCGTGATGCCATCACGATCCCCCTTGCCTCTTTCAACAATCAAGTTCAAGAACTTACAGCAGTACATGCCAGAACTAGATTTGTCACAGACCTTCGAGCGCCTCAGCAATCACCCATGGGCGACCACTCGCGACGTCAGCGTCCGAGAGCAGATAGCCGTTGTCACCTGTGCGTCGGTCTTGTCAGCAGAGCCCAGTACCGAGAACCAGAAACATGTTGCAGCCTTCCTCATTCATGTTGCCTTACTAGAGCGTACCAGTCTCTCTCAACGGTCATACCCAAAACCGAAAAGGGACAACAGCCACGCCTGCGAACAATTCCTGGAAAAATATTCATACATCGCCACCAACATAATTCAGAGTTGGCACAGGTTTTATAACCGACATCAAACCAACATGGATGTTTTTGACTTGGTTGACGGTCGGCTCTATCAGCACGTCCTCAACTGCTTAGACACGTTGAACTTGGTCACTGAAGTCTCTCCTTACATTAGGGTAGTGAGGGATCTGGTCGGCTCGGATGTGCTAAGCGGCCTACTCGACTGTACCGCAACCCTCAGCAGCCAGAAAACTCGGCAGTCCGACTCCATCGTCGAGAAGAACACTGCCGAGCCACGTGAGCCATCACATGCTCTTCTCCCCTTCAACCATCCCGTTTTCGACAGGTATTTAGGTGATATGCGACTACAGACAGACTCGTCCTGGAAGCCTCCCACGACGTCTCTGATCTTCCAGGATCTGACCCACTGGCACAATGCCAAAAAGCCGGTTGATCCTAAACATGTCAAGAAGCCTCTCGGATATTTTGCCAGAAAACGAAATCAGAAGTTCATGGCCGATACGATTGCATATTCGGCTAGTTTGACAAACGCTTCTGGCAAGAACATCGATCCGGAGATTATTGCGGTTCAGGTTGATAACGGAAAGCACTCGGGTTCAAGCCCCAAGATCTCGAGGTCGAAACAGCCACCCAAACCAGTCAAAGGAAAAACGAAGCCTTCAGGAAAGCAGGCAGCCCGTGAGGCGGCTATGGCTATCCAGACGAGACGAATGGAGAACAAATCTTCAGCCGTGATCAACTTCTGGCAGGAGCGCTGCAAGGAGTTTCAGAGGGAGACATCCTTAGTCAAGCGGTACTTGAAGGCTGCCAAGTACTTCTCTAGCCTTTCGAAGTCCGACGTGGATACTATCGGTGCTGAAGTGCTGTTGTTTCTGTGCAGCACACTTTGTCTTCTCCGCGAGTCCTCCAGGAATCCAACAGACACAACGAGTTTAGGTATTGTCGCTCTGGCTTGGGCAAACGTCCTGGAGATGCAGAGTTTACCGATGAATATAGAGACTAGACAACATGCGGAACGGCTTGCTACTGCTCTCAAGCTGCCGCTAGGCCCGGCTGCCCCGGGATGTCTGCCCCGACGGCTGCCATTTGAGATCCTTATCCGCAAAGCAGCAGTAACATTGCCAATGAACGAGATCGAGTTTCAACTGGAGCACTGTGGCCCTTATCTCGAGCGAAGCTTCGATTCCGCACCCGACCCACGCGTCCCGTTCAACCCCGATGCTTGGCAGCGAAGAGTGCTGGATGCCATCGACGAGGACAAGAGTCTGTTTGTCGTTGCCCCTACATCGGCGGGAAAGACATTCATCTCCTTCTACGCGATGAAAAAAGTCCTGCAGGCGAATGATGACGATGTTCTGGTCTACGTGGCTCCTACCAAAGCTCTCGTCAACCAAATCGCTGCTGAGATCCAGGCTCGATTCTCTAAGTCGTACCGCCACGAAGGACGGTCGGTTTGGGCAATCCATACGAGAGACTATCGTGTTAATAACCCAAACGGTTGCCAAGTCTTGGTGACCGTCCCACACATCCTGCAGATCATGCTTCTGGCTCCGTCGAATGCACAGGTGCCAAAATCCTGGGCTCGTAGAGTGAAGCGAATTATCTTCGATGAGGTCCACTGCATCGGCCAAGCCGAGGACGGCGTTATCTGGGAGCAACTGCTCTTATTGGCTCCGTGCCCTATCATTGCCCTGTCTGCAACGGTTGGGAACCCGCTAGAGTTCAAGGAGTGGCTGGCTGGCACACAGAAGTCGAAGGGCTTCGACCTTATCATGGTGACACACTCTGCGCGTTACTCCGACTTACGGAAGTTTCTATATACGCCGCCGACTGATTTCGAGTTCAAGGGTCTAAAGACCGTGGAGCGCTTACCATTTTCAGGTCTGGATGCCCACGGCGGGAGTTCCCCCAGCGGCTCTAGGTTTGCCTTTGTCCACCCCATTGGCAGCATTGTAAGCAAGTAAGTCAAGGCTTGCTCATTCTCTTTGGAGTCGTCAAGTATATTTACCCTAAAACTTTCAATAAATAATACTATCAGCCCTGTTTATAGCATAAGATCTGATATCCCCTCTCTAGGGACAAAGCAACACTAGACGACGCCAGTCTCGAACCTCGAGATTGTTTTCGGCTCTGGCGAGCTATGAGCACTTGCGAGAATGAAGCCTTCCCCCTTGACCCTAACCTCATCCCAGAACGATTTTTACCATCAAACTTCAAGAAATCGAATGTTCTTGAGTGGGAGCAGGGTTTGAAGGGACAGCTATTCTCGTGGATGACGAACCCTGAGTCTCCGTTCTCTGCTTGCCAGAAGATGCTCCGTAACGACGACCCAGAGGAACCTACCCAGGAAAAATCTACCCAGGAAAACAGGGCCTCGACTTTTCCCCTGCTTGTGGACCTACGGAATCTTGGCGCCCTCCCAGCTATTCTGTTCAACTACGACAGAAATGAATGCGAGAAGATTCTTTTCACAATCACCGAAATCCTCGAGACCGCCGAACAGCAGTACCGAGAGACGAGCTCCGTTTGGAAGAAAAAGATATCAGACTTTGAGAAGTGGAGAGTTGCAAATTCAAAGCCACACGCCGCGTCACCAAAGTTAGTGAAACAATCCGAAATGACCAAGGCAGATATGGTTCGTGAGATGGCAACCCAGGAGAAGAGTCCTTGGGAAAGCTTCTATCCCGATGACCCGCTCAGCGAGTTCAGTTTCGCGGACGTGACCAAGATCTCGCGCGATGAGTTGGAGACTATGCTATCTCCGTTGCGTTCATTGGTCCGGCCGCAGTTCATCGATGCTCTTCGACGGGGACTAGGGGTGCACCACGCTGGTATGAATCGCCAGTACAGACAGGTGTAAGTCTCTTAAAACAGCACCCAGCTTTAACTGACACTTAATCAAGGGTTGAGCTGCTATTCCGTCGGTCCGTGCTCACAGCAGTCATCGCTACCGGCACGTTGGCGCTGGGTATAAATATGCCTTGCAAGACCGTCGTATTCACGGGCGATTCTGTGTATTTGACAGCCCTAAACTATCGACAGGGTTCCGGTCGTGCTGGTCGTCGTGGTTTCGACCTTTTGGGAAACGTTGTCTTCCATCGGATTCCACCTCACCGAGCCAGGGAAATAATGTCATCTCGACTACCGGACTTGCGAGGAACATTCCCAATATCTGTCACCTTGATACTCCGTCTTCTTGGCCTTCTGCACGGAACACAGAATTCAGACTACGCTGTCAAGGCGATCGATTCTCTCTTTACCCAGACTCGACTTTACCTAGGCGGCCCAGCATCGCAAATGTCTATCACCCATCACCTACGATTCTCTCTCGAGTACCTCCGACGGCAGGACTTACTTTCAGAGGAGGGAACCCCCCTGAACTTCGCTGGCCTCGTGGGCCACCTGTACTTTACTGAGAATGCAGTATTCGCCTTTCACTCACTGCTGAAAGAAGGCTATTTCCATGAGCTCACTTTGGAAATCAAAAACCGGAGCAAGCAGGGTGACATACTCCTCACATTAGTGAGAGTCCTCTGCCATCTGTTTTGCCGTGTTCCATGCCACCGGTATGCCGATAACGAATGGCTGTCGAAGGTCGTCCACTCGTCAACATCCATTGTCATACTACCTGAGCTCCCCCAGTGGGCCAAGGATATACTCACGGCACATAATAAGGCGACACTCGGCATATTCTCATCGTATGTCCATACGTACGTCCAGCAGCACTTGAAAGACGTGGTTGATACGAAGCTTCCATTCACGAAACGGCTCGCCGAACCAAAAGAACCAGTTGACATTGCCAATATTGGTGTCCCTATCCTACCTGCGCCGATTATACGCTCTCCGTTTGCCGCTCTTTCAGGCTTGACGGATGATTTCGGCAGTATTCACGAGCTGGTCACCACCGCCCGCACCGATGTGTTCCTTGACCAGTCAGCAATCCCATACATCCCCATCTACCCGGAGGAAACAAACAACGTGCCCTTCAATGCGTACATATTCGACTTTTTCAAGCATGGCGATATCCACGCTCTTGTCCGCGACAACGGCATTAGACGCGGCGATGTGTGGTTCTTCTTGAAGGACTTTTCGCTCATACTAGCGACCATCGTGGTCAGCTTGGAGACCTTCCTCAGTCAGGACGCCAAGCTTGACGATGCCGCTATGGCTGACATCCAAGATGTGAGTGACGCTATGGAAGAAGGTTCGGACGACGAGGAGTACGAGGATGCTGGGGTTGGGGAGAATACTTCTAGTATGGGGAAACTAAGCGTCCTGAACGTTTACCGGGCCTTTAAACTCCTACAGTCGCAGTTCGACGAGAAGTTTAAGAAGGTCTGGGCATGATCGCTTAGCTTCAGTCTGTATTAGCTAGCTCAGGGATAACCTGCAGCGAAGCTGGTTCCTGATATAAAGTAGAAGTTGGCTACTAATGATTGTGATAATGCACTAACTGAGTTATCAGAGGGGACCGCCGCAATGAGTTTTAGGAGTTCCGCTCGATCTTATAAAATTTGAATAATATACTAGTTATTTTGTTTATATTTTTTAACAAAATATATATAATCTCTAAATGAGAGACTTGAAAATAAACCGTAATTTATTATAACTTATAATTAACTTTAATTATATTTTATATTTTTAAATTAGTTTATTAAAAATAAGTATTTAATTATTATGATTATAATTTTTTATTAACTATAAATAAATACGTAAACTTTTATACTTAGATAATAGTAAATATATAGTGTATAAGTTTATAAATGAATATAACTTTTTCCATTTATAATTAATTCATTTAAATATAGGATCAAATTTCCTTCTACTACATTAATGTCTTAATACTACTAAAGATATGTTGGTATCTATACACCCAACCTCCCTCAACCCCCCCCCCCCCCCCCTTCTTTATACGGTATTTAAGGTGTGGGCATCCAGGTACCTACTAGGCACCTCTAGGTGTTGTATTGGCGAGAGGCACTATGGCCGCCTACCTACCGTACATAGGTGCCTAAGGTGCCCTGACGCAATCCTTAAAGGAAGTACCTACCTACCTAGGTACCTGGCAGGTAGGAGGTACCTACATCTGTGGCGAGGAGGGTACACGAAAGGGAACGCCGCCAGCGGGTTCTTCTACGTGGTAGGAGGCAAAAGTAGATTACCTAACCCGCCGAATGTACCAAGTTGGTCCTGGTTGCTCACAAGCCCGGCAGCTCCTCGAAAAAAACCCCACTCCCCGCGCAAAAACACAGCACCAGTAGCAGCCAGCAACAGCACGCCGTTATCATCTCGCAGACCCGAAGCCCGCTTGTCTGTTTCTCTTTGATTTGGACTCTGGTGATGCATCTTTCCCACAACCCGCCTTCGAGCAATCCCAGTCTTCCACCTTCCACCACGCAATCCTCCCTGCTGAGCCTGTCTCTTCCTCTCGACAACCCCGTCTTCATCGCCCTGTCACCTCCCGTCCTGCCCCCTCTGCGCGCTTCTCCCAACCTTCACCCCCGCTCTGGCCCTCGACCACCATTTCCCCCGTCAGACAACTAGGGCGATTCCTGTGGTTTCTTGGGCGCGTAGCCTGCCTCACCCCTCTCGCCGCCACTCCTCGTCGACATGGCGCCCAGCATTGCCGAGCTGGACTTGATGGTCCAGTCCTTCTACGAAGCTCGCGGCGAACAGGTGAGCTCAATCATCCTCCGCCTCTTCTCATCACCCCCGCAGCCGGCCCGTCATCGTGGGCCATAGCTCCAGCACTCTATCCATCCTGCTAACGCCTGTTTTTTTCCCCGCCGCTAGCAAAAAGCCGCCCAGACTGCATTGAACCAGGTAAGCAGATGCGCCGTCGTCCCCCCCGCCGTCGAGACTGGCCGTTGACGTGTCGTGTGTCTACAGTTCAAGGAAGACCCCGATGCCTGGCTACTCGTCGACTCGATCCTGTCCGAATCAAAGCATCCTCAGACCAAGTGTATGCCGCGGCTGGCCCCCCCCCCTACAATGAGGGTACATCGGGGCCGGAGGCTAACGGGTTACAGATCTCGGCCTACAGATCTTAGATAATGTTATCATGACAAGATGGAAGGTCTTGCCCCGAGATCAGTGTCTAGGTTTGCCATCTTGCCTCGCGGAGTCATGGTCCCGGGCATTTTCCTGACTGACCGCGGCGCAGGTATCCGCAACTTCGTTGTGAACTTCATTCTCCAAGCCTCTAGCACCGAAGACTCGCTGCGAGCCCAGCGCACCCTCTTGAACAAGCTGAATCTAGTGTTGGTCTCCATACTGAAGCAAGAATGGCCTCACAACTGGCCCACCTTCATCAACGAGATCGTCGCGGCCTGCCGCACGAACCTATCCATCTGCGAGAACAATATGATCATCCTCCGTCTCCTCTCTGAAGAAGTGTTCGACTACTCTGCTGAGCAGATGACGTCAACCAAGACCCGAAACCTGAAGACCACCATGTGCAACGAGTTCTCCCAGATCTTCCAGCTCTGCCAGGAAATCCTCGCTACGGCAGACCAGACGAGCTTGGTGAAGGCCACTCTAGAGACCTTGCTACGCTTCTGCAACTGGATTCCGCTCGGGTACATCTTCGAGACGTCGCTCATCGAGACGCTACGAACACGCTTCCTGGAGGTGCCCGAATTCCGGAATGTGACGCTGCAAGTCTTGACGGAGATCGGTGGCCTGGTCACCGGCGGTCCCGGGCAGCCAAATGCATACAGCGAGCAGCTGGTGAAGATGTTTGTCGACGTGCTCACTACTATCGCCACCATAATTCCTCTCGAGCTCGACCTGAAGACCACCTATCCTCAGAGCAACTCGAAGGATCAGGAATTCCTCCAGGAATTGGCCTTGTTCCTATGCAACTTCTTTGGCCAGCATGTCGATGTGAGTACGGGCGCGCAGGCAGACCGGATTCTTAGCTAACACTTCACCTAGCTCGTGGAGAATCTTCCGAATCGAGATTTCCTCACTCACGGCCACTTCTACCTGATCCGCATATCCCAGATCGAGGACCGCGAGATCTTCAAGATTTGCCTCGACTATTGGCTCAAGTTAGTGCAGGAACTGTACGAGGAAATGCAGTCGACGCCTTTCCAAGAGGCAAATCCGCTCATGATGGGCGCAGCCGGCGGCGCAGTTCCCCCGGCCATCCTAGAGAACTTCCCGTTACGCATGCACAAGTACAAAGAAGTACTGTCGAATCTTCGAGTGGTCATGATCGAGAAGATGGTGCGGCCCGAAGAGGTTCTCGTCGTCGAAAATGACGAAGGCGAAATCGTGCGAGAGTTCGTTAAGGAGAGTGACACGGTACAGCTGTACAAGACTATAAGAGAGTGTCTTGTTTACCTGACCCACCTCGACGTGGTAGATACCGAGACGATCATGACCGAGAAACTTCAGAAGCAAGTCGATGGTACGGAGTGGTCGTGGCACAACTGCAACGTCCTGTGTTGGGCAATCGGTTCGATCTCCCTAGCCATGAACGAGGAGACGGAGAAGCGTTTCCTCGTCACCGTGATCAAAGATCTGCTAGGCCTCACGGAAATGAAGCGAGGAAAAGACAACAAGGCTGTGGTGGCTAGCAATATTATGTATATCGTCGGCCAGTACCCTCGCTTCTTGAAGGCACACTGGAAATTCCTGAAGACGGTCGTCAATAAGCTCTTCGAGTTTATGCACGAGTCACACGAGGGTCAGTTGGCTGATGATGAGGTTCAGGGACGAGAGCTAACGGCATGGTCCTACTACAGGCGTTCAGGATATGGCGTGCGACACTTTCATTAAAATTGCGAGACAATGTCGGCGGCATTTCGTTGCTTTGCAGCCCAGCGAGAACGAGCCGTTCATCGAAGAGATTGTCCGGAGTCTCCAACGCATCACATGCGACCTCACCCCCCAGCAAGTGCACACGTTCTACGAGGCTTGCGGATATATGGTAGCTGCGCAGGGGAACAAACACCAACAGGAGCGGCTGCTGGCTGAGCTCATGAACGCCCCGAATGCGGCTTGGGACGAGATCATTCGGCTAGCAGGACAGGATCCTCAGATTCTGCAGGACGCCGACACGATCAAGATTATCGGGAATATCATGAAGACGAATGTATCTGCCTGCTCATCGATCGGGCCGTACTTCGGCCCGCAGATCGGCCGGATATACATGGACATGCTTCAGATGTACCGTGCTACCAGCCAGCTGATCTCTGAGGCGGTTATGCGTGATGGTAAGTTTTGGAGCTTGCCTCCCTTCTCTCGACAGTACGCAGTATGGGCTAACTGGATGACACAGGCGAGCTTGCCCCCCGAATGCCCAAGGTCCGAGGCTTGCGCACGATCAAGAAGGAGATCTTGAAGCTTATCGAGAGCTACGTCGACAAGGCAGAAGACCTGCAGGCAGTTCGTCAGCAGATGGTACCACAACTCCTAGACTCGGTCCTGGTAGATTACAACCGCAACGTTCCCGGGGCCCGGGATGCGGAGGTTCTCAAGGCCATGTCTACGATAATTACGCGGCTGACGGTGAGCATTTGCCAAAGGGAGTCGTGTTGCCGCGGAGCCTTGCTAACTATTGTCTAGGGTCTCATGGAGGATCAGGTCCCGATCATCATGCAGAACGTCTTCGAGTGCACGCTGGAGATGATCAACAAGGATTTCTCAGAGTTCCCCGAGCACCGAGTAGAGTTTTTCAACCTGCTTCGCGCCATCAACCTGCACTGCTTCCCCGCGCTCTTGATGCTAGACAACCGTCAGTTCAAGTTTGTCATCGATGCATGCATGTGGGCAAGCAAGCACGACAACCGCGATGTCGAGAGCGCGGGTCTCAATATGTGCCTCGAGCTCGTCACCAACATCGCCGAGAAGACGGACGTGCAAACGTCCAACGCTTTCTTCCAGCAATTTTTCATCAGCATCCTACAAGATGTCTTCTTCGTGCTGACGGATCCGGACCACAAAGCAGGGTTCAAGACGCAGTCTCAGTTACTCGTACGAATGTTTTACTTCGTCCACCCGGCGGACGGTTCCACCCCCAAGATTCAAGGCCCCGTGTACATAGACCAAGCTCCGGCCGGAACTAGCAACAAGGATTTCCTCACGGAATTCGTCGGTGGCCTGCTCCGCAACGCTTTCCCTAACCTCCAGGTGTAAGTAACCCCCCCTGTCGGCATGCCAATGTCGTCGAGGCTAACCGGTCCCCTTAGTGCGCAAATCAGTGCCTTCATCGATTGTCTCTTCACGCTCAACGCAACGTACGAGAGGTTCCGGCTCCAGGTCCGAGACTTCTTGATCTCACTCAAGGAATTCGCCGGCGATAACGCCGATCTCTTCGTCGTCGAGAAGGAACAAGAGGCCCGAGATAAGCTCACAGCCGACCACGAGAGACGATCCAAAGTTGGTGGCTTGCTGAAGCCGTCGGAAATCGAGGTGGAGGACGATGAGCTGTGACTACGGGAGGAGTTCCGGAACGAATTCGCTCCCCAGCACCGGTCAACGGCGGTCGACCCACCTAAGCAGCCTTCGGCGGACCACTTCGACGGATGGGAGGTCTACGGGCTCTGAGAACCGCTCGACGGCATTCGGATAACGGATCGCGGCCCCAGTTTCTCGTTCCACCACGTCTCTTTGGCTCCAATTCCTAATTATTTTGTACGTGATACCAAGATAGAATTGTCGTGGCCGGCAACTGCAGCTCCACTGATGGTCCTCTCGTCATGTGATCAGATGTTCTCGTGTGGATACAGTCTATCAGTGGATGGATAGTGCGACAGCAAGGTAAGGGAAGATAGCAATACGTTTGTGTCTTCGGCCACAATCCCCCTTTCTCTCCGAAAAGAAAAACAAGAAAAAAAAAAGGAAAGGAAAATCAGAGAGGGGACGCAGGGGAGGGAGAGAGGGGCAGAGAGAGAGAGAGAGAGAGAAAGGAGGAGAATAGGAGGATAGTGAAGGGGCAGGGAGGAAATGTGTACCTTTCTCTAATCTCTGCGGTTTTGACAAGAGGGCGGGCGTTACGTCGCTTTTCCGGCAGGCTACACTACACCACGTAACGCATATGCTCGGGATAGGAGGAGGCATTAGTGATGCGCCGACAAGGCCAGGAGTAAAAGAAAAAAAGCCCTCACGCCAGGGAGATAGGAAAAAAAATTACTCGTTTCGTACCGTGGCGCATGATCTTTCGCTGCCTGGGCTATTCGCGGCGACGGGCAAATAAATTAGTTGATATTAGTTGATAGACGTGTAGGTAAACGGTGTTCGTTTATGCGGCGTCCCGTTCCTCCTACAAACACCGACGGGTATTATCGGTAACGCCACGATCGAAGGTGTTGTCAGGGACTCGGCTGAGAAGTCATCCGGGCGGTTTATCCATTGTGCTATAGCCGAAAACAGGAGAAACTGAGGTTAATTGGTAGCTTGGGCTATTTCGCGCTCCCCCCGCTTCCCCCGGGCGCTCGAAGGCTCTAGGTATGTTTCTCACTCACCACCTCGACACTTATTTACTCATACTCAGGCACCTAACCTAGGTAGCACATACACTTCCCAACACGTACTCCCGCGGCTCCCAACGGATACCAATGCCTACGATGCTATTTATGATAATAAAAACAGCGGGGGGGATGACGGGGAGACGATTCGCTTGTCACCGACGGGCTCTACTCCTGTTACCAGGGCCGGCAGCCAATCATAGGCCAACTCGCGCTACGAAATAGGTAGGGAGGTGCCTAAGGCAGGTTACCGCGCGTTACCTGACCCTCTTGACTTCTCTCTCTTCTTCAAAACACCCGTTACCTATATCGTGAGAAGTCGACGTTACTCAGTGAAGTTTTCAAGTAGGAAGGAAAAAGACGATATCTGTAGCTGAGAGCCCTACGAGTCCGTAAAAAGTGCCACAGATGAGTAACTAATCCGTGTGTACGCTATGAATCCAGCAGACATCGTTTCTTTTTCGTTATCTTCTCTTGTCTTTTCGGGTTAATTCCCGCGTTTTCTGTTGTCCGCATGCCTACTCGAACCAACGAGCCAGATGGTGCTAATTACCGTCGTCTTTTCCGAGGGCTAGTCCAAGCTACTCTCCTCTCTTTTGTCGTCGCAACCACGCGCCAGTATTCATTTTCCTACGCCGTGATGTAGTCCGGAGGCAGCGAAGCGAACGGGTGTTCCGCCTCCCACTTCTCCTTCGCGAGCTGCGAAACTCGGCGTTAATACGGCTCTGCTCCACCTATTGCCGCCCCTTCGCCGATAAGCAACCCAAAGCACGCGAACGGGGGGGGGAACTTGCCTGAGCGTGGGAGACGACCTCCCGGGTGACCGCGTCGAGGTCCCTGGCGGCGTCGACCCAGACGACGGGCACGTCGGCGTCCTCGAGCGCGCGCAGCATCGCCTCGCTGTCGGCGCGGGCGCGGGCGACGCGCTCGCGCACGCCGGCGGGGTCGGCGTCGTCGGGGCGGCCGGAGGCGCCCGCGCGGCCGCGGACGCGCGCGCACGAGGTCTCGGGCGGGCAGTGGAGGTAGAGCGCGCAGGCGGGCGGCGGGAGGCGGGCGGCGGCCCAGGCGGCGACGTGGTCGCGGGAGCGGGGGAAGCCGTCGACGACCCAGACGGCCTGGCCGCGGGCGACGCCGGCGCGGACGGCGTCGCAGACGAGGCGGGCGCCGGCGCGCGCCGGCAGCAACGGGCCGCCCCGCGCGCCCGCGCGCCGCGGGAAGCTGCTCACCCACGACCCCGGGATCCCGTCGTGGTACCGCGCCAGGTCCCCGTACGACAGGTGCGTCGCCCCCGGCAGCGCCGCGCGCAGCGCCGCCGACGCCGTGCCCTTGCCCACCCCCGGCGCCCCCAGCACGAGCAGGATGAGGGGCGGCGCCGCCGCCGCCGCCGCCGCCGCACCGTGCGGAGCCGCCTCGGGCGCCGTCTCGAGGCCCCTGGGCCGACGGGCGAAAAGCGATCCGACTCGCCGCCACCGGGGGAAGGGGATGGCGCGGAGGTGGGAGAGGTTGGCTGCCAGGACGGCGCCTAATGCCGCTAGTAGGGCTAGATACCAAGAAGTGTTCGTCGCCATTTGCGGGTTAGCTCGAGGAGAAACTAGTGGCTGGATGGTAGGTATGTATGGGATTAGGGTAAGGTGTTAGGTAGGTAGGTATGATAGTGAGCCAGATACAATCCTCTTGTCTTCGAGGGGCGGCAGCTGCAGCTTCTTATACGCGCGTCGGAGAGCTGGACGCCGTGCATGTTTATCGGTGGTTTCTTCTCGAGTCGACGAAAGAAGTCTCGGAGGCTGTCTCTAATACCCGCCGTCCAGAACCTTCATGGCGCACTATGCCACGGGACGGACCGAGGGCCAGGCCGCAGGCGCCCGGCGGCAGCGGACGAATTCCCGTACTGACGGACGGGCGTCTACCGCGTTCCATTGCCTGCCTGCCTGCCGCCGTCGGCCAGACGGGCGGAATCCTCGCTGACGTGAGGTTGTTTCGCGGTGGCGTAAACATGTCACATATCACGGACCTCGTCGTTTGGTTGCAGGCCGATAGGAAGAAACTGTGGCGTTGTCTCGCAACGACGCGCCGTCATTTTCCACAATATCGCCAGCTCCCGCGCTTCTTCGTTTGGCCTGGACGGTGAATCGCAGCCTTCTCCCAGCTAGCAATCGCGGAACCTCGTCGGTACGCAGCGTCTGGAAGCTGACGAAGAAGGGCTCTGGATGTGACAGTAGTCTTACGAGCCAAGCCGCTCATGTCTAGGCGCAGAGGGCGTCGCGCACCGTTGCGTTGGCCCCTCGAGCCCCGGCTATTATTCCAGACAGTCAGACTCGCGGAATTCGCAAGTAGAAAAAAGTGACCAAAGTGTTTTTCCCGAGAGGCATCCCAACGAAGCGCTCACGAGAGTCCCGTGAGGCTGGCCAGCACCGCCACGCGAAATGACCACAGGTCATTTATGCGAACAATTTCCAGCGGATCACCAAGAGGCCGCTGGTCCTTGTCTCGCTCCTTTCGCCATGCAGGTAGGAGGACTGGCGGAGCGCTCTTCGCCCAAGTCCGCACGCCAGCAACTTGTTGGCTGGAATTACGGAATCCTCGTCTAGGCGCCTGTTGGCAGCACTCGAAGCCGCCTCGCGGCAAGCGAACGACCCATTAGGACGAAGGCGTGAGAGAGCGCAGACGCGCAACTAAATATGCCTCGAGACAATGTCGGACCAGGGTCCGCCTCCCCCTGGTCCTGTGCAAGTGGATATAGGTAATACCTACAGAGCTGCTTGATCTGGTCTAGTTCCGGGAGACCAGGCCCAGGCAGGGGGAACGGCTAACACACTAAAAGCGACAGAAAGGTCTCATCACCAACAACCTCCTGGTAGACCTTCAAGTAGGCGCCTATATATATTATATTTACGGGCGCCTACATACATTATATATATAGGTGGAAGACGATCTTCTCTTCTTTCCCATACTCTCCACTACTTGTACCTATACCATTTCTCTCACCCTTGTTCTCGCCTCGGATCACCGATATACAAACACTCTCAAGAATCCTCATCAGCTACCGCGTACCAAGTTTTTCCTGCGGCCTTCGCGTCGAGAGGAAGCCCACCCCGCCGAGCGCACCCGCAGATTCGCCCACTACACGCCGCCGACATCGACCAGAAGTCGGCACAGCGCGCCGCGCGAGCGCGAGCCTAGCTCTGCGATTCGCGCCACGCCCTCGCCAGAGGCACGGACGTCATGGAGGAGGCCGTGGAGGAAGTCGAGCAGCCGGCGGCGGCGTCGGCGGCGTCGGCGGGAGGACGAGCCGCGCAGCGGGCGATCATCATCTCGGGGTGGCCGTGCGTGGGCAAGTCGTGGCTGATCAACCGCGGCGCGATGGAGGGCTACGCGATCCTGGACCTGGACTCGTCGCGGTACTCGTTCCTGGCGGACGGGCGACGGAACCCGCGGTTCGAGGAGGACTACATCGCCGCGATCCTGCGGCGGGTCGGCGACGAGGTGATCCTGATGGTGTCGGCGCACCGCCAGGTGCGCCAGCGCCTCGCCGACCTCGGCCTGTGGTTCGCGCTCGTGATGCCGCGCCGCGAGCTGCGCGAGGTCTGGCTGCAGCGCATGGTGTCCCGCGGCACCGCCGACATGGTGCCCTTCTTCCGCGACAACTGGGACACCCTGGTCGCCGGCTGCGTCGCCCAGCAGGGCTGCGACATCGTCTATCTCGGCTCCGCGCAGTACCTCGAGAATGTAATACTCAACATCGTTACGAAGTTCAAGCCCCCGGCGGCCTACTAGCCGGTTAATGCTAATAAATTCCTACTTTTTGTCCTGCGATCCCTTCCGCGTGAATCTATACACCAGGAGCGGGGGAGAATACACCCTCACGCGTAGTTGGCGAGTCCGTCCGTCGGCTCGTGAGGCGCTTCGCATAATCCGAGCTCGCGTCTAGCCGGCTATTAGAGTGTACTTACGTATACGGCAATACCCGAAACCGCACCCAGTTTGGAAGTTAAGCGACGAGGCGTAGCCCGGCTCGCCGGGGTGTGGTGGCCAACCTCGTTTGGATATGCAGGCCGGCGGTGCTCTTCCCTACGTGACAGGCGAGTAGGCAGTCGGCCTCCAACGTTTTGCCGCTGTTCGTATATAATTACGATGAGGAGAAGTGAGAAGTAGGTAATATGGAGTGGGCTCAAGTAATATAGGTAACCTACTGCAGATTGCCTCGTCGTAATACTGACGATTCGCCTTCGACTTGATGCATACAGGGGCTAATTCTTACATAATATACCTACCTGTACATATTCGCGGGTATGTATTTTATAGGCATATATATATTGGGTATAGAGACTTATTACATATTTATTGTGGTGCTGAAAGCTATATAAGTGGATTACATTACTCCGTAGGCAGAGCGTAAGCATCTACTCTTTCCCGTAAAAAGCTATTTATACATCGTTCTATGCTGGATTTCTGACGGCATTAAGAGACGCCCGCGGACGCTTCTAGCAACAGGTAGTATATACAGCTCCATGTGTAAGTTTAGCAGCCTCGTATGGCACCGGAACCTGTTGGTAAACAGAGGTCAGGAAAAGAATTCGCATCTGACAGGGCTGATGTGTACTAGATGTCTAGGTGATGTGGAGTTATTACACGGTAAGCGAGCTAGTTCAGCCTGGTGCCTTCGTGAGGACAACGTCGCGTAAGGAATCCTATCTCCGAGCAAGGCTACAAGGCCCAGAAGGGAGACGCAGGTGTGTACATTTTCACGTGGCAGGAGATACGAAAGCAAGGGAAGGCTACAGGCACACTCTCTCATGTTAGAATAGGTACTGCAGAGTTGAAGCGCGTGGGCAGGTATACCTATGTCATGTGCAGAATAGGCGGCTATCTGGAAGCTATTCACTTCCGCAACGCAACAAACCGCACGATACCACTTGATAACCACTTGATCCACCTAGATATGAACAATGTCAAACTGGCTGTCCTTTTCATAGTCCCATGACCAACCAACCCTCCCATCACATGCGCACACATGCCAACCCTTAACCCGATCATATGCGAAGGCCACGAGCGAGCATGCGAGCGGACGCCCCCCTCGCGTGCCGCCGTCCCATGCACCCGGATCCGATAAACCCACGCTAGCTGGGGAGTTCGTTAGGGCGAGACTAGGCTATCAGTTGGGGAGTAGGGAAGTTGGCTAATATATCCAGAGAGGAGATGTACATCGCCAGCCAACAAGAAAAAAAAGGCGAGCAGAGAAGAGATAAGGCAGACGCCCTCTAATGCCTTCCTGCAGGCTGTCGGTAGATCAGAGAGAGAGAGAGAGAGGAAGAGCCCGGCCGTGTCCCGATACGCCGGCGAAGCCAAGAAGCTCGCCAACAAACCGGTTAGCCTGCCAACGCCGCTAGGCTGGGGCACGACGTTCGCGTAGACAGGGAGAGACGGGCAAGGGGGGGAGAAGCCAGCCAGCCAGCCAGCCAGCCAGCCAGCCAGTCAGCCGCCGGTTGAGGCAACCAACTACCCAACCACCCAACGGCGCCCTCCTCGTCCTCCTCACTTGGCCCACGTAGTATAGGTAGCTCTTGCGCCCTCCCGCGACGCGCCGGCCTACAACTCGAACGCCCCCCTCCAATCGCCTAGCCCGGACGTCGACAGGTCCCCCTCCGGGCCTCGCGGCTGGACCTGCCCTCGCCGAGCAGGCGGCCGCTGCGCTGCGTCGCTGGCATCGCTGATACGCGCGCGGCCGTCGCTCTCCGGCCGATGCTTCTCTCTCTCTCTCTCTCTCTGCGCCCGCGTCGTGTGGGTGTATGACAGGCGCCGCGCTTCATGGACTACTACTGCCTCCCTCCCAAGGCGGCGAACCGGACGCGCGGGGACACGTCGGCGCTGTGGCGCTATGCGCGCCCGAGGGAGCAGGGCCTGCAGGGTCGGAGTCGCACAGGGCCGGCGAGTGCCCGTGGTTTCTGCACCGCATATATCCAGAGAGAGAGAGGTATAGATAGGTGGAGTTGTAGATGTATACAGATGCAATACACCCCGAATTGCGCCCGACGAGGCCGAAAGCCCACCTTTTGAATACACTGTAGCTCCCCGCCGAAGGTGAAGGGAAAAAAAAAAAACCGGGCTATTAGTCGCCGATCCCGGAAGCGGGCGCCGGGGGAGAGGAGCGAGAGAGGGGAAGGGGTCCCTCTCCACCCCTCTCGGAGACGTCGAGCCGAAAAGCAGGACAGGACAGGACAGGACAGGCGAATGGATGGAGGATGGACGGCGGATCCTTCGCGCTCCCCTTGGCCTGCCGGTGCTGGTGCTGCTGCTGCGGGTGGACATGGGGATGGGGACCTTAGTATGCTTGACAGACCTAGCGGCCTACAGCAACCTATCGAGGGCATTCCCGGGCTGCTCCACCCCCCCGGGCAGACCAGACAACCGTCGAATGCCCTCTATTACCTATCGCCTCGCCCTCTCGCCCGCTCTCGCTTCCCCGCCGGGGGCCTTATCGTAGGTGCCCGATCCCCACGGCGTCCGCTGCCGCGCTCCACGTCCAGTGCCCGTAAAACGAAGAAATAGAGCAAATACATAATATCTATCGATACATATATATCATTACCCCTCTCCGCCAACCCTACCATTCACCGTCGTCCTCCTCCTCCTCCGAGTCGGAGGGTCGAGAGCGCTTTAAGGTCCCTAACCGCTCTAGTCAGCAAACAATAGCAACCCTAACCGCTCATCTTGCGCTTCTTTTTTTTTCCCTCCATCTCGTTTGTATCCCTCGACCCTCTGCCACCGCCGCCGGTCTCGACCTAGCGCAGGGCACGGCCCAGACCACCTACCGCATAATAATCCGCAGGCAGCGCGACGCGGCGCCGACGACTTCGAATCCAGGCCGTCCCGCCTACATACCTGTACCACCACCGCCGCGTCGAGAAGGGAAGAGAAGAAGAAGAAGGAGAAGAAGCGACGAAAAGGCCATGGCCCCCTCCGCGATCACCGAGACCGAAGCGGTGCCCCCCGCCGGCGGCCCGGCCGCGCTCGAGGCCCCGCAGAAGCACGCGGCCCACGACGCCGTCGTCGACGCCGAGGGCCGGGAGAAGACGCCGCTGGAGGCCATCTCGCACGGCATCGTCATGCCTGGTACGCCGCAGCCCTATCGTCCGCCAACATGAATATTTTCTCCTTGTAAAAAAAAGGAAAAAAAAAGGAAGGGAAAAAAACAAGGAAACGCGAGAACTGACCGAACCGGGCAAGGCATCCCCACCTTCCCGACGTACACGGCCCACCGGCGGCACGTCCTCGTGCACATGTCGGCCATCTTCCGCTTCTTCGCGCGGTCGGGCTTCACCGAGGGCCAGTCGGGGTGAGTTCGCCTCCGCGCGCAGGCACCAGCCACACACACACATATATATATATATATAACACGGCGTTGTTCGCTGACACAGCCTGCCCTCCGCTCCTCCCCCTCCCCCTCCCCACCGACGAGGAGAGAGAGAGAGAGAGAGAGGGCGATCGGTTCTCGCAGACACATCTCGGTGCGGGACCCGGAGTACGGCGGGCTGATGTGGATGAACCCGCTGGGGCGGCACTTCGGGATGCTCGCGGCCGGCGACATGATCTGCCTCGACATCGCGACCGGCCGCGTCGTCGGCGGCAACACCTCGCGCCCCGCCAACGCCGCCGGCTACCTGATCCACTCCGCCGTGCACAAGCGCCGCCCGCACAACATCCACGCCATGTACGTAAATTCTTTTTTTTTTTTTTGGTCCGGGGACGGGCATCTTCTTCTTCTCTCTCCCCCCCCCCATGCGCTACCACCCCATCCAGCAGGAGCATACCTTCCGATGTCCCCTCCCCTCCCCCCAACCCTTTTCCACCTTGTCCTCTCTCTTTTTCTACTTTCTCCCCTACCATCCTACCCCCCCTTACCCGCCTAGGTGCTATGTATGCACGTACGCGCATCGGACGGACGTCGTAGTAGTAGTAGTAAACCTGTCGGGTTGGGGAAAATTAGGAGTGGGGGAGGGGAGGAGTGTAGGTGGGGGGTGACTCGGGACGGCAGACACTGCGACGGTGATTCCACACGCGTATACCACCAGCCTCCCCCCCCCCCCTCTAAAAAAAACTCCCCCCCGACGCAAGGAGGAGAAGAATCATGCTAACCGCCTTTTCTCTGGCTTCGCCTCGTCTTCCTTGCAGCTGCCATGCGCACTCGAACGCCGGCCGGGCGTGGAGCGTGTTCGCGCGACCCCTAGAGATGCTTAATCAAGGTGGGTTTTTATTTCTCCTTTCGCTCATTCATTCCCTCGCTGGCCCACCTCCACCACCACCACCACCACCACCCTATCTCTTCCTCCCTCTCCCCCTCCCCCCCCCCCAACGTCCCATACTTGGGGGTCGAGCGGAAACCACTGTTCGGTTACCTCTCGGGGGTCCCCATCCGGCCGAGGAAGGAATCGATTCCCGGTCTCTCTCGCTCTAGGTCTCCCGCTTTTTCCGCATCGGGAGAATGAGAACTCAAAACCGACGCGAGGAGAGAAAGAGAGAGAGAGAGAGGGAGAGGGAGGGCGGAATGGGAGCAATGCATTGATTTCTTCGTCTTCTTTCCCTTCATTACCGAGTCCGGAAGGGGGTCGACCCAGGCTAACCTGCAGGGGCGGGCGCGCAGACGTGTGCAACTTCTACGGGGCGCAGGCCGTGTACGCGCGGTACGGGGGCATCGTGTTCGCGGCGGACGAGGGCGAGCACATCGCGGACGCGCTGGGCGCCGCGAGCAAGGGCGCCATCCTGATGAACCACGGCCTGCTCACCGTCGGCGCCACCGTCGACGAGGCCGGCTTCCTCTTCGGCCTCATGGACCGCGCCTGCGCCATGCAGCTCCAGGTCGAAGCCGCCGCCGCCGCCGGGCTCCCCAAGAACATCGTCAGCGACGACGAGGCCGCCTACAACTTCCGCATGGCCAGCGAGCCCAACGCCCTCTACCGCGAGGCCCAGCCCGACGTCGAGTACGAGCTCGAGAGGGCCGGCGGCGAGCACGTCCTCGCCAAGGGGTTCGAGAACCTGCATCTCTCTCCGTAGGACAAGGGGGGAATCTCCCGCTGTGGGGGGGAAAGTAGAGAAGGGGGGGGAAGAGGGGGGGGGATGGCACCATTGCACAACACACGTACCTACGTGTAGACACAGTAACCACGGAACGCTCTCGGGCTTTATTTACCCCCTATCTCGCGCAAACGTATGTCCGTAACAGGCGCAATTAAAAGAAAGAAAGAAAGGAAAAAGGAGAGAGAGACAGAATGCTTGCGTGCCAACCTCTAAGTCGCCAATCTCGGCGCACAGAGTAATCAACCCCGACCTCGATGCGTTACTAGCACTGCTACCCAGGAAGATGCCGTCGAGGTAACCGTCGCAGGGACCGTTGCTACCGCTACGCTGTCACTGCCACTGTCACCGCCATGCATGTATGTATGTACATATGTACTGACACCGCTGCAAGCTTCGCATCCCGGCCAAGGCCCGTATGCAAGAAAGACGAAATACTCAAATAAAATAAAAAAATTTCCTCGTCGAGTTGGCCTCACTGCCGAGCGGGTTCGCGCTGTAAACAGGTTAGCGCTGGGGGCGCGGAGATGACGGGACCGTCCCGCGCATGCCAGGGACGGCCCGCAATTTGCCTACTACGTGTTCTCTCGAGCCAGGGGTTCGTCGATGAGCAAGCGTGGGATCGCCCGATTATCGAAAGGTGAGCATGCCTGTATGTATAATGCATGTAGCCCCGTGGAGTTTCGCGGCCAACGACTGGTCCGGTCCAGAGGGATTGCGAAATCCACAACAACCTCCTTCCTCTCTAGACACGGCTGCTTGAAATCTTCCCGCTCGTAGATCGGAGAGGAGGGGGGGACTTGTTTTGATGCCGATGTTTCACGACAAGATCGAGCCTCGCTCGATGCTCACCAAAAGAGAGATAGATGGCAGGCCAGTCCGAAGGGGGGGGGGGGGGGGGGGGTCAGGCTTTACTTTTAACCTGCCTACTCCTGTTGCCTACCCCTTTACACCGATTGGCCAGACTTAGATGAAGGCATAGATTTGTGGGTGAGAGAGAGCCAGCCAAGCTCTGCGTTCCTCGACCCCGAAATCTGCCTGCAGTCTGTCCGTTCTGCGATCTCGCAATGGCAACCCAGATAAGACCTCTCACTCAGAAGCTGGCCACTCGGGCGAGGTCCGCGGCCAGATCAATACGACGATGACTGTTCGGATCAACCTGGGCCAACTTCGATAGTCTCGCCGTCCACGCTACCCTTATTATGTATTTAAACCCCTCAAAAAAAGGGGAGGCTCGTCCGATCATCGTCCCTTTTTTAGAAATAAGCACACTATCTGCATCGAATTACGTGCAGGATTCTCGGCACTACTGCGCTAGATAGATCGGCAGTCCTTCGCGCGTAGCTTCTATCACCGGTCCTCGGCGGTGCGCCAGGGGACAGGTGAATAAGCCGGACTCTCTCTCGACTCGTCGATTCGGCTGCGCGATAGGTGCTCATCTCTGAAGGGCCACGCTAGGGGATCGGTGATCCCGCGCAGAAACGCTGCGTTTGACGCATCGAAGAGCGCATGGCTGCCTGGACGAATCCTCGGCATCTCATGACCGAGGCTGTCGTTGACCCAGGCCGTACAAACGTCTTGTCGAGCAGGTGGCTGCAGCCGGCTTGTCTCATCTCCTAGGTATTGAGCACGCACCGAGGCTGGATGCTAAGAGATGCGGCTTCAAATCACACCCGAATGGGCGTGCACCTCGTGTTTACACACTGTACGGCTCGGGTTTTGCCTAGGTATGAAAGGTGAAGGAAGGTTAGGCTCCTCGGCCCGGGCCAAAAGAATAACGCCTTGCCCCTTACCACGCAGGACCTACTACGTGCATAACTCGACCCGCGAAAAAAAAAAAATTACACATTCCCCTATCCACCCTTGATCGACGGTTTGTGCCGGCATATACGGTATGCGACAAGCCATGTGCCCCCAACACCGATGCTGTTATGTAAAGTATCACTATCGGACTGAACCAATTTCGTCACGGTTGTCAGCATTTAACCAGGACATGTGGGGTGTGACTCTCTTCTTGCCGCAAGGTTCAGGAGCACGGTGCCAAACAGACGGGGCCTGGAACAAATAGATGAGCCAGTTCCAGGCTCGCCGTCTGTATGAGTTCAGCATAAGTCACGCTTCGGTGAGTCGCCTATTGAACTAATGTTCCTGAGGACCGAGACAGGGTCAGCTCCACCGGGAAACCCCCACACGGGCCAGAAGCGACGGGGAGGTGGGAAAAGAGGCGGCAGAATTCCAGACGTGGGATCATTCGTCTGCCGTAGGACCGCAATTTCCAAGTCCAGCCCCCGCCACGGCCCAGTCGGACGACCCAAAGTGGCGGCATACCTGTCTTTCCAGGTGCGCCGGCACCACCAGGACATTCCAAGGACAGGATAGCTCCCAGCCGTGGAATGAAGGCTAAGACAAGGACGAGGAGCTTCTCGAAAATTCCCAATCTCGCCAGGCCTTGCTTCTCTGAGACTCACTAGTCGCCGACATCGACGAGTCACCGTCGGCAGATCTATGGGGTCTCATCCCAGCCTGATTGCGCGGCCCCATCAGGGTCAGACAACGCCCTGATTGTCGGACCCCGTCACCGGAGCACACGGTACTACCGGGGGGGAGGGGGGAGGAGAAGGTGCCCGGGACGGAGAATTAATGACGACCTAAGACTGTTTGCGTGGAACTACTGGAAACCCACCCGATTGCGTGCCGTCTCCTTACCTACCTAAAGAGCACTTGGGACGATGCATGTAGCACCTCTCACACGGCAACGGCTGTAACTGATGGGAAGCCCCTGGTGCCTGGATCCATGGCGGACATTGCCTCGTCGGTGGGCTCGGAGGTGCGCGGCCGCAAGTAAGACATTGACGACGCTGTCGGGGCCTTCCGCCACTGGCGTAGCTGGGAGATCGGGCACGACGGGATCGTGGAGCGCGCTTCCGGCCGCTCCTAGCGTCGGGTCTCTAAGGCGCAAGGAATGAGACAGGGTCCACGGAAGAAGGGTCCGCGGCGGGACGCAAGGAGGGCCCGCAGCTGCCTCAGGGAAGAGCCGGCTGGGAGAAGCTCTGAAACGTGGCATAACAGAAGGCCTAAGAAACATGCTTTGATGATGATGATGATGATGATGCCAAGACTGGGATTAAAAGGGGCTGCCGGAAAGCGAGGCCGCGACTATTGGGTTTGGGCCCGGTCTCGGTGGGTGCTTTTTTTTTCCCGTTCTTCTCTTGTCGGAAAAGTCCCTCCCTGCTTGGACACGTCGTCGACGTGGATTGGTCGGGGGGAAAAGTCGTAACGGAGCACTGACGGCTTCGATGACCTTGGTCTCGGTATCGCACGAAGCACAGTGGCCGCCCCAATGCCGGGGTGGGAACGCCCCGTAACCAGGCACAAACTAGATGGATATGCACATGTGAGGTCGGACGTGGGACGGAATGCCAGCCGGGTGCGGCAAGTGTAAGATCTCACGATGGTACCTATTCGTTGGACGAGTAGGGGATGAGGTTTCTCGCACTGGTAAAACATCATCATGCAACACTAGCACCGCACTCCTTGCGTTTCCAATGCCGTGGCATCGACGACGGACAGGTGCTAAGCAGCAGAGCATGGTTGCTAGCTTCTCAGCGCCATTGCTGTTGCTATTGTTATTGTTGATATTGTTGTCCAGCAAGCCTCAGCATCCCATCAGGTAGGTATGAGCAGGTATGTCTCAGGAGGGGGTTCGGTGGCACCGGATGGCGCTCGACAGACGCCGTCGAGACTCTCAGAGGGTCGAGGCTCTCGCCGAGGAGAGCGAGAGAATGGGGCGGAATGCTCCTCAAGGGACTTTAATCTTAGCACCGTCCTGAAAATCTAATAGTAGCATATAGGGGACAGGGAGCAATAGTAAGTGCAGATAGGCACTGTCGGGTTAGGAACGTCTAGCAGCCGTCGACCGATGGATTTGTAGCTATTTGGAGAACGGGTCCGATGGATTGAGGGATGTCCTAGTTAGCAGGGAAGGCTGAAAAATGTCCCGAGAGGAGTTTTCGGCCAGTCCTTGCCTGGGCTCCTGTCCCCGTACCTGGGTACGTGCGTGACTAATATCGGTGTTCGTAGGTACCTGCTTTAGCACCTTAAATGGGGCAGCCTTAGGTACCCGCGCCATTCCGCGTTGGTATGTGGGCGCATATGTCTACATTAGGTACCTACCCAAAGTACCCGTGTGGCGACATGTTGCTGGGATATTGCCCAAATTGTGGCCTTAGGCAGGATGGAGGGGACCCGTAGCTGGCGAATGGGGGGTCCGGATGTACCCTGCCCGTCTAGTTGGGTAGGCAGGTACACGTACGTCGATAAATGGGGCGTCTCACTCCCAGACCTTGGTATTTGGCAGTTGAATCTCCGCCTGTTATGTTTCGTGCTGGCCGAGGCGAATCCAAGCGAGAGAGAGAGAAAAAGCCGCGACTCTCGAGAGGCGGCGTCGTTATGCAAGCGGTTCCATTCAGGTGTCTACCGAAGCTTCAGTCTTCTTGGTTAGCATGTATAGCTGGTGCTCTATGCGGGGGACGCTGTCGCTTTCCATGCAATGATCTAATCCGTCTCCCGCCCAAGATTGTCGTCTCTTCCCTCTTTGTTTTTTTTTTTAAGGCCATCCTTTCCGGTTTTTGCCTCGCACCTATCAGCAGATTCGTCACGTTAATATCGACGAGGGTGGTGGGGGTCACCCTCTCTCATCTCGGCATCAAATCCGTGCCTACACACTCCCCCCCCTTTTCTCTCTCTTACCGTGGTGAGAAGATACGACAGGCCGAAGCCGGAAGTCGGAAGCATCCTCGATACTCCTCTGCCGCTGGTGGGGGGTTTTCCTTTTCGACTCGATGAAGCGATCAATCGATCGACGACGCACGGTACCTATAGCAAGACCTATAACCTCTCTAGCAATTCGCGCAACTCGCTATGAAACAGGCTTGCAGGAAGTCTCTGGTGGATGCATAACAGCACAGCGCAGCAAGTCAGCCCGTTTTAACTCGTATTTGGTTCCCTACGTAAGAGTGCACAGCACAGTAGATATCGCGTCAGTATCGCGTCGACAGGCTGCCGATCTCGACGTCGACGTCATATCCCATATCTGGAATCTTCTTCCGTAACATCGCCTCTTCTTCGCGAGCCGCTAATCTTTTCTCGGCCTTGGGCTTCTTCCCCCCACCTAAGCCTCAATCCGCCTTTTCGCCTTCTTACTACGAAGTAGCATTCTATTGCTTATTGCTGTTTATATAGGATTGGTCTGGAGTCACACTAAGCTGCACTAGTTTACCAAAAAAAACGAGTGCGTGTCAGTCTAGGTTATGCCAACGTCTCTCGATGCATCATACGGTTGTTAGTCACGGATCGAGGCTGAGGGCTTGGGAAAAAAAAATCTTCTCTTTCCATCACCGTTAGGTCTGAAACATCGATAGAGTGCTATCATGTCCCTTCGTACCGGTACCGCATTAAACAACAAACAGGGTAGATTGCCGCCCTGCCCGGCGTGTAGGACTCGCTCAGAGACAAGCCTCTTAGACAATTCGATTCTCCAACCCTTTCTGGTCACAGGCAGCCTGCCCGTTGCCATTTTTGACCTGCCCTGTTGGCTGCCTGATCTGGGACGGCCGTGACATCTTTTTCTGTCATTGTCCTACCGGATGCTTACCGGATGTTGTCCCAACAGAAAAAAAAAATTTTTTTTTCTTCCCTCTCATAGCCTGCCTGGGTGCATGGGGGAGATCGGTTGCTCAAACTTCCCATGGATAAAAGGAAGACGGGAATAGTAACGAGGTAAGTCAAGAACGACAAATATAACGACAGGATCAACAAGATCAACATCCCGATCCGATGGGGGGTGTGCATGTTTGGGGGTTACATACGTTTGGAGCTGCAACGCCTCTCTTGTGCGTTCTTGTGACGAGGCACGGAAGAACTCTTCCCAGTTTTCTCGTTTTCTCAACTACTGCCATCCGTCCATCCGCTTCAATGCAATATCCCTCGTCTCAGTTCCGTGGTTTCTCCTTGTCTCTCTCTCTCTCTCTCTCTCTTTTCTTTTTTCTCATTTACAGTCCTGTCATCAAAGGAGGTTACAGGTTCTTTAATAAGAGAATTATATATGCAAATACACGGCGCTGCGTATGCAATTCGTCGAGCGACGTCCGTGTCCCTTGCATGCATGCATGATAAAAAGACGTCGTAGGTCAGATAGGACTTTGCCCGACTCCCGATGCCGGGGGTCGGCCTCCAACCGCTCAAGCGCATAATTTTGATATGACGACTCCTAGGATGTGGCCTCGATTGCGTGCATACTTCGATATGCCAGGTATTTGTAAGGCAGGCGTCAATAGGTATGATAGGAGGGGGAGGTAGATTACGTGCGGCATCCTATGGCATAGACGTGCCACTGCCTATAGGATACAGGGCGTGTATACGTGTATACGTGTGCATAGATGCAGGATGGCGTTGTGCTTACAGTGATAGGGACGACTTGCCGTGCAGACAGACAGCCCATCCTCGCTCATTACTACGTCCCTCCCCTCCGGTATACCTGCATACTTGGCATGCACGTACGCCGCCTACCTCTTGCTTATCTACACACAAAGCAAAGCGCAATACTACCTGCCTACCTCACGGGCGCCTCTATAGGATGATAAGTGTCTTCGGTGCGGGTGTAGACACTTTTGTATGAGTACGTATACACATATCGCGGGACAAAAGATGTATGCGACGGGCGGCACCGAGGAATGGGCGGCGTTCAGGTTTGACAGCTGCTCATTGGGCCGATGGCCCGCCGGGCGTCTCGCGCGGGAGAATGTGGTTTCATTGACGTATGCGACTCGGGAAATCGTGCAATGGGCCCTAGGGTCGGGCCACTCGTCGCAGCATGCTCTGGTGAATTCCAATGGGTTGCGCAGGTGGAATGCGCGGGTTGGGGAAATGGAAAAAATGGAAGTGTAGAATCGCCCGTGCTCTGCTCTGCGAGAGTACCGGGCGACACGATGTAGGTAGCATTTTGGGGGCATCTGGGCGAGCACGGCGGGAGCGTGTAACTGGCAAGTTGTGTAAGTCAATGGATTACCGGACGGGTTTGTGCCAAACACCAGTACGGCTTCCCTCCCGCTTCCTCCCGCCGCGAAGACCTACACCAACAGCATTTCCCCCCCCTTGGCCTGCCTACCAGGCACACCAGGCACGTATTATACCTGCCTACATACCCCCGTATATAGACAGGCGTGTAGTTGAGCTTTAGGTGTGCATCGACCTCGTAAGCCCTGCCCGCGACCCCCCCCGCGGCCCCGAGTCCGAGTCGTGTCTGGTTCTGTACGACGTTGATGAGTTGAAGCGAGCAGGGACGCGGGTGTGGATTGTGGATTGGATGGATGTCAATATCTACCTATCTACCCAAGTACCATCTACCCACCCATACCATGGTCCGTCCCGTCTTGTCGGAACATAAACGGAATTACACTCGCCCATAGTTTACTTGTTGTATGAGAGGTAGGAGGTAGTCCGATGGACGTTGTGTAGGAGGTACCTAGGTGTGCAGATGTAGGTAGGGTATAAAGAAGGGTCTTAGATTAGCACCTCCTAACCCCTATTAGAGATGCCTGCTACCTCGCTATCTGCCGTACATATATCCATGCCTTATGCATATATATACCTACCTATATATATACATACGCATTGCATCTCTAAGTAGTAGGTTGGGTATGCCTTACGGACAGGACGGATCCGCTTTCGGCCTCTCCACGTAGGCACTTGGGTTCGTCACCTACCCTCCCTCCCCCCTCGGGGTAATCTGGCTGTATGAGTACTATGTCGGTATGTAGGTATAAGCCCAGCCGATGGTAGGTAGGGACGCATACCTACCTCCTATATTGTGGCCTCATACTCAGCAGATCCTCCCTCCGTGTGTGTGTGGCTGATAAGCCTCGAAACCTGCCCTGCCGGCGTCACCGCGCCATCTGCCATTACGCGATTATCCGTCTTATTCTTCTTCTTACCAATCTACTACCTACCTACCTACCTACTTGCTACCCTTCTCCCTCTCCCTCGCCTCCCTTCTGCCGCTACCGCTATCGCTCTCCCACCGCATTGTTCCTTATTTCCGCAGGGAAGCACGGCGTGACACAGATGACAATACACGTATGCAGCGCCTCCTCCTCCCCCGTAGACTCGTGTAGGCCTGGCCTGCATGGGCCTGCCGAGACGAACACTAGCCGTAGGCAGCATGTCTCAGCACCCGATCTATATACGTATACATACCTGAGGTGCACGCCTCGGTGTCCCGAGGGAAACGAGCAGAGAGAAAAAAAAAGAAAAGAAATTCTCACTAGAGAAAAACGCCACAGCCAAGTAAGACTCATGGTTTCGCATTGCGGTACCTACGTATCCCTCCACACACCTACCCTCGCCCCCCTCATCCCCCTTCCATAGGGCTCAACGCCGACGGCGATCATGGCGTGCCCTCAAAGGTCTATCCCTGCACGGAGAGTTGATAGGACCCAATAGCCGGCGCCCAGCGTGGTGCTATGTAAGCAAGCGTACAGGTATTGGAGATGGCATTCTGCCTCCTCCTCGCGCCGGTCTCGAGGCCAGCCAGTACCAGCACCGGCCGACGTAGCGCTGGCGGCGTAATTACATCGTAGTAGCACCTACATACATACCTACCTAACCTACCTTACTTCCTCCATACCAGCACAGCACGCCGCAGAGTCGTAGCCACGGATCTACGCATGTGCGGTGTACATGAGGGGCCAATGCACGTCCATTAGTAAGTTGTTCGACGAAAGAGGACTTAGGACAACGCCAGAGGGCGCTTCCCGCTCCGTCCAAAGCGAGCTAGGAGCTCGCCTTGGCGATCAGCTGTTGCGCCTCCATCCAGATGGTCTGACGATCACATCTTAGCATATCTGGCCGGGGGGGCGGATATGGAAATTGGGAAGTCGAACGAAAACGACTACTGGGAAAGGGAATAGAAGAAAGAAAATTTTTTTTTGACGAGCCCGGCATGACTTGTCCCCTAGTTACTAAGAAACAATCTACCCCCACCAAGAAACAACTTCAATTTTCGATGTCCCCCTGCAGCACCCAATACGCTGACCAGATAGGTTGCCTCTCTGCCGTACTATGTACCTACCACTTTCGACTCTATCTTTTTCCTCCTTCCCTCTCCATGGGATGGTTGATATGGGAGTTCCCCTCGTAGAGTTAGCATCTGTGATTGCTGTATCGGGAAGGTCATCTTAACGCCCTCGTTGCAAATCCGGCAGTGCCGGGGGGGGGCCAGCATTCTCTCGACGAGTTTGTCATTTTACTTATCTAGCATCATGAAAGCATCAGGAGTAGGCACAATTTTCAAAGAGGAAGGATGATGGATGGTAGTGTGAGGGGCCTGAACTGTTTTATTGTATTTTTTCGGGTGCTCTTGTGAACCAAGCTCCTGTGACTCCCGCGCATTTCGGCGTCGGTCTAGAGAAGGCAGTGTCATGCTAGTTTAGCCCTGGCTGCCTAAAAACGAGTACCAAGTCCCATCAATCCACGCGCTGGTGGATGAGCCGGCGGTCCCAGGTGTAAACCTGCCCACGGCTGCAAATGCCTTGTCCTTTTTCTTAACGCCGTCGCCTCTCCTCGGACGACTCCCAAAACACGAAACCGCTCATCGGAAGCCAGTGTGATCTAGCCGACTCTGCTCTTCCCGTGCCTGTCCCAGAAACCCGATCCCGGCATTGACGTGCCATGCAGATAGAAAAAACCAAGTGATATCTCGATATTGTGGTACAGCGCCCTCGCCCACACCAGTTGAACCCTCCCCTAGAATGTGCACCCGCGCGGTCCGAAGCGCGAGGCCAAGACAAGAATCCCGAAATGACCAAAAACTTTTATGATGCTGTGCTCCGGAAGATGCTCTTGTACAAAGTAACAGATGGTGTAGAAGTAATGGTGGTAGTAGTGGCGGTAATGTGTGGTGAGTATGTTTGTTTGTTGCTTCGTGTCGACTCGTTCTGATCCAGAAACAAGGAAATAAAGATGGAAAAAAGAATGAGTCGTGTGGTGGACGCTTGGAGCTGGTGGTGGCCATCAGCTTAGCGGGTATAATAAGTGGAGTGTTCGATGTTCATAATCGAGGAGAGGAAACGTCGTTAGGTCGGTAGGGCCCGTCTAGTAGGATCGTCGTCGCTGTTGGAGGCGGGCGTGTTCGAACGAGCTAGCGTAGTCTCTTAATTGCTTCTTGGCCTTGTCGGACAATTGGGTTCCTTCGCTTCCCGACGCCGACGACGAAGACGTGCTGCCGAGAGAGCAGAGGCTGCTGTGGGAACTGGATGGGGTGAGTACCCGGGCGGAAGACCCCGACGAGGACTCGGACCGTTGAGACAGATAGGACTGAGGCAGCGGCGTCGAACCGTAGGGTTGGGCATTGCTGAAATCGTAGGCGGGCGGCAGGTGGAACTTGGCCTGTGATCTCGGGGCTGTCCAGCTGTAGCCAGCGAGCCCCGGAGAGCTGGCAGGCGTGCTTGCTGACGCAGACGTCTTCTCGAAATCCGATAGACGGCACGACTCGGAGCAGTAGGTAGCGCCGTCTGTTTGCCTGTCGCAGGCAAGACAGAATTCGGGCTCCCAGGACAGGTCGGCAGACATGGCGTCCAGCTGGCGGGTGTGTGGTGGTGGTGGTGGTGGTGGTGGTGGTGGAAACTTGCGTGTGAAGCGAACGAGTATCGCTGTCTGGGCAGTCGAAGCCAACTCGGCGGTGCAGGAACTGGCAGACGGGGAGACGAGAGTCGGTTGGAGGCGATGCGTCGGTCTCAATGTATGGCGAGACTATTCGAGCACGCTGAGGCAGTAGGTGGTAGGTGTGTCTACCGTGATGTGTGTTTGTGTGCGCGGAGGTGGGTTGTGTAGAGGGCCGAGGTGAGGTGACGAGCGCGAGGGGCGTCAGGTTGGTCTTTATACTCTGGTTGCGGGTTGGCAAGATGGTATCATGCTCTGGGCGGTTGCTGCAATGGATCTACGAAGCACGCAATAGCGGAGTAGTCGTAGCCTGAAGGAGAGTTGAGGCGGTTTGAAGTGCAGAGCAGCGCTGGTAGAGGGCTTCGTGGGAAGTGGTCTGGCGGAGAGGAGCTTCATATAAGTCCAACTCGCAGACGAGAGGGATACGTAGGTACAAGGAGGTTTCTGCGTTGGGATCGATGCAGACGGTCACATCAGCGAGCGTTTCGATCAGCGAAGACAAGGGTGGGGCCTCTTCTGTGGAGCCATTTGCAACTCTAGCTTGCAACCCGAAAGTGCAGTGAGAAAGTGGTACGAAATACATGCCACCGTGCATGGGTACATGCAGGTATACTCGTACATCCCGTAGGTAAGGTACCTAGGTACCTTGCCCAATGCCCGGCTGGCCCTGGGTGCGTACCTGGGTAGTGTCTACAAGCATAGGTACCCATACGCAAGCATGCACGTGGAGGGTATGCACTTATGCGCATGGCGCGAGGGGCAAGGGTCGAGCCCTGGCTGGCCAGGCCATCCCTGTCTGCTCAGCATATCTCTACAGGCTAGGCCGTGTTTGAGCTAGCGCCGTAGTCGCTGCCGATCTTACTGGCCGTCCGTACCTAAAAAGGTACGAGGGTACGTACATGCGATGCCAGGGCCTTCCTCTGCACACGCCCGTCTCCAATGAGATACGCACCCAGGCATGTACGTATATGTATGAGTAGCGCTATTGCAGGGTGTGCAAAATGGGAAGAGGCCAAGTTGTGCTGGGGTGGGGCTTGTGATCTCTGCTGCTCCGTTTGTTTTATACAACACGCACACCCCTTTTTTTTCTTTCCCCCCCCTAGGGACTTGCAACACGCAACACGCAACGCTGATTGCTCATACTCTCAAGTACCTACGCTGCTGACTTCGTACGCTGTCCTTTGTGACTATTCACGGCTACCTAGGGCTTCTCGTCGTCCACAACAGGAGCTGGAGTCTGGATGCCTCTGTTTACACGATAGGTATATACTTATGAGTACGCAACGCACGCCTGGGTGTCCGGCACCTTGATGGGCCATGGCCAAATCGGCTGTGGGTAAATTTCCAATGCGTAGCTGCATATACCCTCCGTACTCCCCCGCCTGCCCACGTACAAGGGAATCGTTCGTGATAGGCCCTCGATATGTGCATCGTCCTCGTTCTATGCTGAGCTGTCGTCTGGTTCGTCTCGTCTCGTTGGCTAGTCCCGACCAAGGGGAGCGAAAGCCTCGTAGGCCTTTTTCAAAAAGTCCTTTTCTTTCGTCTTCTACCACTTTCTTCTCTCATGCTCGCCCCCTTCTTCAAGTCTCGACGACACTGCTACCCACACGTAAGGCCCTCTTCTTAGCTGGCACCTGGCATGGGCAGAACCCAGTGGTTGTCCCCCTTCTCCGTGCTGTGATTTGATATCGGCTCTCGCAATGATAAGAACATATATATCTGCCGTGGTTGAACTACATACAATGCATACGAGAGGGCTGTGGGTGTCAATGCTCCTCCACACTTGACCGATCCTGCTCATATGTAGGTATTGGGGGTATCGGGGGTATTGGTTGGTGCATAACTCCAAGCTTGATGGCCTGATGTTTTCGCATCGAAATATTACGGGCCATCACTGCCGATTTTCTGTGTCTTGAGACCGTCTCGACTTCGAGAGAGCCTGTATGCATGCATGTATGTGTGTACGCATGTGCGCACGTATGTTAGGTACTGTACGTGTAAAACACTCGGATATATATGTACGTACACACCTACAAGGTTCCAACTGTACCGACTGTATGAGCATGTCCGTAGTCGTCGACAGGCCGTGAGACGGAGACGGAGATAGAGTGGAGCCCGTGGGGGGTGTTGACAACCTTCAACCACGGTTGGCACCTCGCGAAGTGCAAGATCGCCAATAAATTCTTTAATAACCACCCGGAATTTTCCATAGGCAGGAAAAGGCGGTGCTCTTCGCATACGGCAAGGGATGACTGTCCATCAGGAGATTTCGGGTTGGGCTGGCCGGGAGATACCTGAAGCCTGGCAGCCAACTATAAGATACCTTAGGTACCGATCCGTCTACCTCTATCTATCGAGTCGACATATTCCGTAGGCGAGAGTACTACCGGTTATGACGGTCGTACTGCAACTGTCTGGAGTGCCATCAACCCTACATTCCCTCTGCTACGTCTGCGCGGCGTATGCGGATGTGTGGGTGCCTCTTACGTCTACCCGAGCGAGCGTCTAAAAGGATTCCGTAGGGTATCGTACATAGATAGGTAATCAAGGTAGGCCATGCGCACATATGCCACGGAGGTTAGGCAGGCTAACCAGCTCGCGGATGGAGGAGGCAGGTATGGAATTAGGAAAGTGAAGGGAAGAGAAGGGAGGGGAAGGGTAGGTTGGAGGTCGAAAGGGAGCGAATGAAGGCGCTGTGCCGAATTACGTGCATGACAAGTAAATGAAATCCGAGAGAGAGGCTGGAAATCTACGCTGCAACAGGGCCTCGCTGCGGAGCAACGCGCCGATAATTATGGCAATCTGGAAGAGGAGAATAGATGGAGGGAGGACTCGGGTAGATACGAGGTACCTGGAAAGCCGATGAATAAGGAGATAGAGTTAGAAACATTGCGTTTCGAGTTCCAAGGTGTGGAGATAACCTCAAATCCGCACGGGCGTCGTCGGATAGGTCCCGCCGAGCTCAGGGACCGCATCTAATCTGCCTCGATGCCGCGGTGCCTACGGGAACGCTCTCTCTATCTCGGGTTAGGCTAGGAGGGAGGATATCGAGTTCGAGGGTGTCGAGAAATCGCATGATGGGATTTTGCGATTCTGGATTTGGGGAGGAGAAGAAAAAAAAAAAAAAGAGGTAGGCCGCCGGCTCAGCACTAGCCGAAGGGGGGAATGCTGAGCCGTGAAGGTCGGACGTGATGGCGATGGTATTATAATCGAGATAAATGAGATAACCGTAATAGATGAATGGGCATGCGCAGCGAGATTCCCCATCCCGGACGACTTGGTCCTGATTCTTGTTTTTTGGCTCTTGTCCTCGGTATTCTCGACCTTCTTTCTGCGGGGAAAACGTCTGAGCCGGGCTCGCTCTCGCACGATGATCAAGCCATAATGCTAATATCGCCAATGTTCGCAATGTCGCATACAGAGAACCCTGGCTGCTCCCAAACCCGCTCCCTACCCGCCCAAAAACCACCGCAACTGACCATCTCGATCCCATTTCCACACCCACATGGGCATTTTATACTTAGCTGTGGGGTGGTAGTGGTGGCATACGACCTACACACCTGAACTGCCCACCTGCACCTATGTCGCTATCGTGCACTTCTCGCATACTGCGCCAGCGCTCGGTGGGTGACTCCCTGGTCCGAGACCCGCCGCCGGATTGGCTCCCTGCCTCTCCTCCCACTGAGCCACCGGGGATGGGCAATTTATGGAAACCGCCTAAGGTGCCATCGAAATTACCACCCATCATGATCGTATTCCAATCATTGTCCTCCTCTCCCCGCAAACTTCCTTCTCGAGTTCTTCGCCTGCGCTGCTACCCCTCTCCTCCACCGGTCCCTGCGGGCGTCATTATGTGGCCCCCGATGGAAGATGCCGTCCAAGTCTGTCCGACGACGCGACGCACCTCCCTAGCAGCCAGACCGTAGCCGTAGGGTGGCTCGGGCATCGCCCAGCTGCTGCAATCCCCAGCCCGAGTCGCCGGCATGACGGCTGCTTGGCCTGGCTACCTCTTTACTTGCTTTACCTGCTTACCACCTCCCCGCCAGCCGCCCCAGACGACCTAGGTCGACGAGTTCGGCTTCGACTTGGGGAGCTGGCCGGTCTAGCAGGTGTGCGAGTGAATGAATACAGGTCAAGAGATGTAGGAACGGAGGAGCCGGTCCCAGCGATCCCCCGTAGCCCCCTTCCGCTTCTGACATCATCGTACTTGATCCTACTCATCCCCAAACCTGACGGTTACAGCGACGCTAGGTAATTTTCGCTGAGCGGGAAAATCCTTGGGCAACGCCAGCGTGCGTCCCTCTCCGCGGACGCTGTCTCCTACGCACGACTCCGGCCGGTACCTTACGTCGGCCGAGCAGTTGACCAGTCGTTTTTCCCCATGCCCCTCTGATGGATCACGGGGAAGACTTGGGACGAAGGGGAGGGGGGTGAGAGCTAACTGGTCGTCATCTCGTCACCATCACGGGTTTCCCGGGGAAAAGAAAAGAGAAGACGACACGCCGGCGCACAATTAGATTTGTCTGGCTGCCGGCGATCCAATTAGGACGGCAGCTGACGCCTCCCACGCTCTCCACCCGTGTCTATACTACCCAAGCGTACTGGCCGTATGCGCTGCGCGGGCTGCATGAATGCTCTCCCATCATCCTTCATCTGTATCATCTGTCCCAGTCCCCGAGGCCTATACCCTCAACGCGACGATCAGCATTTGGCGTGCTAAATTACTACGTACAAGCAAGCCCCTTGGGGACTATGGTGGATCTACGTGTACGGAGCCGGCGGCGTCGAGTCTGGGGAAGATCTGGCTCCTGACAAGTTTGATCGATGTGTGTGGACACGACTAAACCGCGCGAGAACGGCACCACCGGCTAGCTTTGCGCGTCCCCTCTTGGAGATTCGGAACGGACCCCTTTTTGCCTTATTCCCACACCGTGCCTAGTTTCGGGTACTGGACCAGTCGGGAGGGCGCTGTTCGTTCTTCTTCTCCTTCTTCTTCTCCGTCTGCTTCTCCCGCTTCTTCTTCTTCGCCGCGCGCTCTCTCTCCCTCTCTCCTGCCTGCCCCCACCGACTTATCGAATCAAGGCAAGTGGTTCCATCGAGGGCAGCGGGTTGTCGAGAGATGTCGCTTGGCGAGCAATACGGCAACGGTCTAGGGTGGCCGAATATGCGTCCAGCCCGACGGAGGGCTTCTGGGTGTGGCAGCTATCAGCAGGACGCTAGGCTGGAAACGATTTGACCTGCGTCGAAAAAAAGGCGGGGGAATCTGCTGCAGGTTGTCGCAGCAAGTTGGAGCAAGCTTGGGCCAAAGTGATTCTCATCGGTTGGCCGCTAGCTGGCGACCGGGGGGGGGGGGGAGGGGGAGGGCTTAGCACCAGGTGCGAGTGCGTGCGTGCATATAATGCATGCATGTGAGTATGTGCATATCTATGCGTGTATGCATGTATGCATGTAAACTATATCTATCTATCTATCTATCTATACAAGCCTGAATACCCCTTTATACGCATATATATATATATACTATGTACATACATACCGATATATGCATATCTACACATGCATGTTGTGGCGTGTGTGGTGTGTGTGTGGGTATGGGGAGTCTGCGAGCCACCCACACCTTTTTTCTCTGTCCTATCTGTCGTCGTCCTATGGAGCGCCCACCCTCCTACCTACCTACCTACACAACTCGCTCGTACCGAGCCTGCGCACTCCGACAACGATGCCTTTGTGAAAATTGGGGTCGGCAAGGTACTGTCGACAGTCGTGCGGGTCGAATCGAACGAACCTCTACCTCCAGAGAGGACCCTGAAATATGCAGGCCTACTAGTCCATTCCCTCCCCATCTCCGTGCCATGCCATCACCCAACTCCACTCGGCCGATAGAGTACAAGCTTTCCTAGGGACCGCGTGGTCGTCGGGGTGCTGTGCGCGGAGCGCTACGGCCGCGCACCCAGCAGGATAGCGTCTACTGCGTAGTAACCGTTCTCGACCTTGTCGATCTAGCACCGCAGGCGACGACGACGACGGTGCGGCGAGAGGCTGGGGCTAGCCCGTCTTGCTCGCCTGGTCTGGACTGGAAGAGTAGTGCGTGTCGCCCCCTACGCAGTTCGGTACAGGTGGTACGAGGGGAGAAGATGGCGACTACATTACGACTACACGCGTACTATGACTACCACCACCCCCTCCCCCGCCCCCCGGGTAGACCGGACCAGACGCGACGGTATCCATAGTCTCAGCCATCTTCCCTTGCAGTGACATACATGATCTCGAAGAACGTGACGCGTGCCACAATTAGACAACGCCATGAGGTTATCGCGCGTAAGGGACGAAAGGAGTTAGGATCTTCGGCGGTGTCGTGTCCAGCGTCGAGGAGTGATGTTCGGCTAGCGAGATCCAGGAGGAGAGCGACGACGTCCCCAGCGACGTCTACGCGCTGAAGTGTGCGTCGAGCATCGTATTGTCCTGTCACAAGCTGGTTGGCTCATTGCCTTGGCTGCCATGCGCGACGGTGCTGCGTATTACCTACCTACCTAACCCCAATGGCACGCAATACTGGAGGCCTGCAAGGCGTTTCTAGCCCTTTTCCTGTTACTCGCCGGAGGGAGGGATGGGACGCGCGCGCAACAGGCGTAGACGCATAGGACTGTCTTCTATCGTTACCCCCCGACGTGCCAGGACCAATCGACGCAGCGGGTTTCCCTCAACGGATACCCCGTCTTCTCTCTCTCTCTCTCTCTCTCTCTCTCTCTAGCTAGGTATATACGGTGGATGATGCATGGCAACTCTCGACTCTCGACCCCCTCCTTGATTCCTTTTATTATCCTTCCTCATCAGGCTCGCACGACGCCTCCCTCCCCGGCTAGTCTCACGGGAGAATTCGAGTTGGAAACTCGAAAGGAGGGTCCGCGTGGGATGCGTATGTCTCGCCTTGGGTGGTTATCTTCCTGATGCGAATAGGCATGCGTCCAGAGCATGTGGAATGTCTGAAACTCCTGCGAAGAGGGGGGGCACCTACTGCCTGTATAGCGAATAGGTACATAAGGTAGGCACCCAGGTATCCAGGTATGTACTGGGCAGTAGTAGATCTGAGGGAGATATACTCGAGAACATGCCCCCGAATGCATGTATCCATGTTATGTAAGTATGTATGTAGGGGGGGTAGGTGAGTGCGGGACACAGAGGGGGCGTCGTGTGAGTGGAGCGGCCACCCCGGCCAAGAATCGATCACATTAGACTGCATACTACCATACGCCATACGCCATACTCATACGCATGTCTGCCTGTACCTATGCATTCTACCCACCTAGATCTTGGTCATCGTCTCGGGCGACTGAGGTTAGATGTGACTGACTTCCCAAGCCTGTGCTGGATCAATCTCCAACAAAAAAAGAGCCGTCGGCCGTCGATGGTTCGGCGTTCGTCAAGACATGCCAAGCAAGCCTCTGGGTCCGGCCTGGTGTTGTGCCGCTTGGGAGAGCACAGCAGCCTCTCTAGCCCTGCAATCTGATCACTGGGTCTCTTTTTTTGGTAGTCGTTCAGCCCCCCTAGGCTAAGACAGAGGTTCGCCATTTACACCCTGCGCGTGCTCTCCGCCCGTATTTGGAGTCGATCCAGGCTCGGAGGTTGTTGCTAATATCGCGAATCCTGTGCGGACTAAGAGCGCACTACCACATCTGCTCCATACCTCCCTACCTACACCCATGCCCGCGCGCGTATGTACATGACCACGTACGTATGAATAGGGGAGATAACTGCATAGGCGGTTGGCGGCAGGTAGGCAGGTGGTCCACGGATTCCTCCAGCAAAACTATCTGTCTATCGGATACCTCACGGGGATTCGGCGAGTCGCCAAGGTCACATTAACGGCACCGCTGTATTTGCGCAGGTAGGTGTGCATTCATATGCGGAAGCAGGCCATGTTTACGTGCGATGTCCCTGCGACGGCATCCCTGCGAAGCAGCCTACCTCTATACAGGATAGGTAGGCAGCAGGCCGCTCACCCAGGATGTTATGTAGCATGTTGCCATCGGATAAGGGGGGTATACAATAGGTAGGGAGATATTTGCGCAGAGGGATGTGGACGGAAGACATGCCTACATCTACATATTACTGCGTACATACATAGATAAGGGGGTGGGTAGGGTAGGATGGCCTGTGTAGGTAGAGTGGTAAAGATAGACCAGGGACTATAGAATATGTACCTCATAGTGGCGCCAGGCGCCAGAGACAAAATGTGGCTTAGCCAGACCCAGGTGGAGCCGAGCCATACTATGGGATGTGTGTACATAGGTACCTAGGTCCATCAGAGAAAGTTCCGGGAGATAGGTACCTAAGGTACCTGCAGTATGAGTACCTAGGTACTTAGGGACCTAACTCACCCTACCCTCCATCAGCCCTTTGCAGGAGCCGAAGTCGGCTGCCAACCTGCTAGGCACCTGGGCATGCGTTTTCACTTCTTGCTCGCATGTTGCTCGGCGCTTATTGTACTCATATATCGTGATATTGTGTCATTTATATAGAACCGCCGGTGAAGAGGAACCCAAGGTAGGTAAGGTTGTTATTGGTGGTGGATTGATCATATACCTTAGGCACATAAATAGGTAGGCTAGGGTTTGTACCGATTCTACATATAGGTGGAGAGATGCCTGATACCTAAAGGAAAGGTATGCGTGCCGTACATGCATGTAGAGGGGAACGGGATATGAGAGGGAACACTTTATCTATCACATCTCCCCGACATAGATGGACGTGTTATGCGAACACCCCTCGATCAACCAACAATCGCCAGGCGACGGACGTGGCGTCGACGGGCAGGTAGCTCAGCCGAAACAGGACCGGAAGAGGGAGGGGACCCAGAAACCAGACTCGGCCCGTAGACAGGACAGGAGGGTGCGGACGCTATTGCGATGCTACATACTGCATCGCAACTATAGCATATCGCAACAGTGTCGCAACAGTATCGCAACAGCTATCATGCAACAACCGGCACGCACCGGCGAGACGACGACCAACAAGGTCGGCAGCTCTCTTCCTAGCTACTGCTACTCTGGCGAACCCCCACGCGCAACTTTCGTCATAGTTCCACGAGGCCTCGACCTGAGGTTGACGCGATTATCCTTTCTTTAGGGGAGAGATGCGCCTAATATCCCGACCCAATCCGGTTGCCCGACTCCCCTGGTCTCTTCCCAGCTCTTCATATATGTGTGTGTGTCTCTCTCTCTCTCGTACCGAGACTACCCTGTTTTTTTCTCCTTCGATAAGGGATGCCGGCCGATGTCTGCAGATGATTGGCCTTGCCGCCGTTCCCTCCCCCCGATCAGAAAAAGATTACCTGTCACATTTCCATTTTTGTTAAGCGAGATGCCAAGTTCGGTGAGGTCGGCAGAGGACATGTGCATGAACAAGTGGACGTGTCGTGGTACCCAATAAGCGGCGAGGAGGCAGCAGAGCCAAGAGGCCTGCGAGGACTTGGATGGTGAAAAGTTGGGAAATTTGCCGTCATGATGGCCCTTGACCTCTTTTGGGGCCGAAGACGCTGGCTCCGAGGCTTCTCGCAAAGGGAAAAGTCGTATGACGGGACAGCAGCGCCAACGGGGGATGGCCTGAGGGCGAGATTGCCTGTGGCCAATTCCCAGCGCCAGAGGGCGACGGCGCGTCGGGAAGTGTCTGAAACCCGAGACCGCCCCCGTCTAAGGCTGGGACAAGAAATAAAATATATGCATATATGCCTCCAGATTAGCACCAGAGGGCAAGATTCGTCTACAAGGGACGGGACGCGGCACTGGTGGAGTTGTGTGTGGCCCGTGGCACGGCAATGGGACGTAACAATCGTCATTTTCGAGGATATGGTCCCTTCGAGGCCTGTCCTCCCAAGAGCCCCCACCCCCTTGGCCCTGAAGCCCAGGGAAAGATATCCTCAAAACTAGCCCTGTTCAGGGTAGCCCAATCCAGGGGGCCGGCCAGCAGTCTAAGCGTCTCCAGGGCATAGAGAGAGAGAGGATGAGACGAAGGGACTTTCGTCAAACCGTCAATCGCCAACGTCGCCGCTAAGCGTCCCGAGATTGCCTAGCCAGCGAGTAGTCTGCTCACGAGCGCGCTAGATGGCCAATCCCAAGTTCGCGAACGGCTACGACGAGCACTGCCCAGAGTGTCGCTATTCCCAGAAGAGCTTGGGCATAGCAGTCCTCGAAGCCACGTTCCTACAACGCGACTCGTCGGGTATGCGAAGGGCCGCTCAGCTGGCTGCGAAGATACCAGACGGTCAAAAACGGAAAAAAAGTTTTTTTTCTGGTAGCAGCTTTCAGCTGCCGAAGTGGCGGCAGGCCGACTTGCCATTCTCACCTCAGAACTCCTCGATTGGGATCGTAGGAAACAGAAACGTGGGCGCCTAGTCAATAGTTCGTCTTCTCGCCAACCCTCGACAGCCGTCTCCCAGAGAGTCGGGTCTGCTTATTGTCGTTGTCAGCACTCGTGCACATCCTACGGGCTGTCACTCCCTGGTCGGACAAGGACATCTGAGGGCGGAATTCCTATATGTGACCGATCTTCCGTGACGAAGAGTAGGAGAGGACGGTCCAAAGGATTCATCCGGAGGCAGGATTCGTGCCAAATTCCCGATAATCAGTGCACCATCCACATGCTCGGGACTGAGCCGGGAATATGATAGGATCAGCTACCAGGCGGGATTTGGTTGGGCAGGGCGGGCAGGGCTAAATCCTCCACCGTCTTCTGGACTTCTGGAATAGGCTGCGCGCCAGGTTCCAAAACAGAGGTCCCTATACCTACCTATGCGGTCAGGAGGGAGAAAGGGGGAGAAGGGGAAGGGGGGCATTTTCGTAATCCCATCAATGAGCGATCGCTACATAGTCCGCCAGACGAGCTGGCGGAATTCTAGCGGGCGGAAGACGACATCGTCAACACTCGGCGCGAGCCATTGCGCCATTAGCACCTCTATACACGTTATCGCCCTGAGGCGGGTTTCATATGCAGGAACCAAACAAACGGTGCCAGCATCCTCGGAAGGTTGTGGTGTTCTTAGGGCTACGTACCTACATAGTTCACCACCTCTTCAAGACCCGGCGTGTCTGGTCATCCCGGTTCAGCCTGTGTCGGATGCTGAACTCGACTACCTGCTACACACATAGTGCGTTGATATGCTTACATGGTACGGCATAGACATGGGTATCTGGGGGGATATTGCAGGTGAGATTTTGCGATGATTTGAGGGAGAGGGGGGGAGGTTGCTAGGACGGTAGTGCTTAGCAGTGCCGCCTGTTTTTTCGGCCCTTGCAGTCAAGTCGGAACAGCCAACACGTTCGTATCACCTCAGACGATCCGCGGTCGCGAGGTCGTGGAGGATTCCGCGATAATACGATTGGGAGGGACGGCATGTGATGCCTGCGCGGTGGGCTGCAGCGAGAATCGGTCACATGAGCATCGCCATATCCCACGCCATCTCCCTCTCTCTGTCTCCCTCGTCCTCCCCATGTCGGTGCGGCACAGCCCAATATATATGACGAGATACTACCCAGATTGCCGGGTAAAGGAGTGGCAGGATGACGCCGTCCACCCTGTCGGAGTCGGATTCCTCCTGACTGGACAACATCACGCTAATACGACTTGGACCAAAACAAGATGGTATGTATTTCGCAGGAGCGGTCGAGCAGGGCCTCCAGGCTTCGGTCAGCGTCGACAACGAGTTACAGGTGAATGCGCCTGTGTAGCCAGTCTTCGGGGGTCTCCCCCTCCCTCTACCAGATGGGGGTTATAATACATGCCTACACACACTTACATGGACGGTTACGCAAGAGTGTCAACATATGGAGTATTATGCAAAGTTCCGTCTCGATCTAGTCTAGGATCGACGGATTTCACTCTCATACTAGTACTATCGAACAGGCTCGTGAGTCGATGAACGAGGCGATCTCCACCCCATCCCCCTCTATCGTGCGGCGACACCCCTGAGATCCCCTATATTCGAATGTGCATTACCTACGTACGTATCTACGCACGTATGTCGATGCAGAGTGTTGTCCTGGGGACTGACGGTAGCTCCAGAGTACCATCGTGGCCCCGTACCAAAGTCCGAGCTGGTAATCTGGTGCACCCTTGCTCAGTGACAGGGTAGGATAAGCCATGCCTTATGCACGTAGGCATGTATCGACATCATACAGGCCTACATACATATGTGATAACCAGGTAGCGACTGTGCGCGTATCGTAGATAGTATATACGATACGTACATAGGGAACGCCAGGTTAGCAGGTTAGGCGGTTTCGCGAAGGGCCAAGATATGACAGAGATGGGACGCTGGAGTCCCGAAGGCTCGCAACCGTTCTTCGTCTCGCGATGGATGCGCTATGCCGGAAGCGGTGGCCTACCATGTCTCATTAATTCGCACACACAGACGGAATCTATGCAGCTGTCCATATATACACATACACACATACGTACACATACATGCCTATACGCATGCACAGGCAGAGACGAGCTTGGTGCTAATTGGTATCCCACGTGGAGCGGAGTTCAGAAAGAAAAAGGGCGGAATCATCTGGCAACCCCAGACTTTTCCCTCCCTGCCTTCTCCTTTCTTACTCGTGGTTTATTCTTGGCTTCGTCGTCTCTAATGGTCGGATAAGGGCCCCTGCTCTCCTTTTTCGCACCGGGGTATTGCCTAAAGCAGAGAGACGCCCCCGGGCGATGATATCGGCCGAGTCGCTAATCCTCTCCCTACTCGCGCGACCCCCGGGCCGCCGTCATTCCAGCAAATTGTGTTTCGACGCCCGTAGTACTGACACGAGCCAAGAGCCAAGGACGAATCGAGTTAGGAAGATCTCGAGAGATTATGAGTCGTCGACTTGTTGGGGCGAGGGGGCCAAAAAAAGACCCAAGAGCTTCGCTGCTGGGTTGCTTAGCCGCTGGGTAGAGAGATACCCATGCCCATGCCCATGCCCATGCCCATGCTGTACTGCGTATATGCATATACGTCCATAAACATACGTGCGCAGGTATGGATGTTTACAGGACGGGAGGTTTCTCTCCCCCCTGAGTTGTCCTAGCGAAAAAGAAGGAGTCCGAGCGGGCAGCGCCCAGCACCGCATCGTAACCAGGCCATACCTACATATCTACGATACCAGCATCCACGTCCCGGGGATTACATCACCCAAGAGGGGGGCGAGGGATAACCTCCAAGATCCACCGGAAGAAGCCGTGGGGAAGCAATCTCGCTAACACGCTAGACGCCCCTCCTGAGGGACTCCCTGATCTAGGATCGCTCTCAGACGAGGCTTGGGGAGAGATGCATTCATTCACACGTACTATACCTATGTAGAGCGATAGGTAGGTAGGTAGGTAGGTATGTCGGTGTGGGCTATGTAGACAGGGAGAGAGAGGGAGAGACCGTGCGACAATGATCAACGGTATCATCTTGTAAGAAATGTGATGCGGCGATCATTGACCTGGGGGTGTTCCTGAACACGGTTCCACCGAAGAGCCTCGATATGACTCGTAGGCTGCTACCACCAGCGCCGCTTCTGCGAACCACGATTAATTACCGTCTACTCATACAATATGTGCAGAGGAGGCACAGCTGGTAGAGATGATACCTTTTCTGCTTGATTGCTTTTCTGTTTCACACCGAACAATGCCAGTTCTGGACCGTTCGAATGTGGAGGTAGATGCGGCGCGCGCACCATCCGCCTTCGTTGCCATCATAAAGGGGGAGAGGGGGGAGGGGGGGGTGAGATGAATCCTGGGGTTTTAGCATCCCGAGCAGAGCCTCCCGGCAGGCTCAATCAAACCGGTTGTGCGTCGTGCGCGTGCCCGTCCTTACTCACCAGCGTCCGTGGGCTTGTCACCAAAAGGCCCTGGCCCGGCTGACTCGATGCCGGGGGGGGGGGGAGGCCACGGAGTTTCTGCGCTTCTGCACACACATCCGGGATTCCTATCTGGACATACATGCATTATACTAGCGGCAGGTAGCATGTATGTATAGATGGTACCTCTATAGCTACGCGCACACCGTCTTTACTATCACCATGCCTACCTACCTACCTGCTTACCTGCCTACAGAGGTAGGTAGGGAGGGAGTAGGTTAGGGGCCCAGAAGCCAGAGCAGCCGTACACAGTATAAACAGGTTGCGGTGTTATCGGCGATGATAAAGCCCCATGGGGCGCACAGAAACCGTGCGATGCCCCGGCCAGGCCGTGCCACGCCATGCAGGGCGGACGAAGCCAGCGGGCGGGCGCCCTGTTCGCTGGCTGCTGCTGCTGCTGCTGCTGCTGCAACGACATGCACGACGGCGCGCGCGGCCGAGGAGAGCTCTAGAAGCGCGCAAGTCGACGGATATCCGACGGGGCCGGGGCCTGGACGGGCGCGCTGGGCTAAGCCCCCCCCCCCCTCTCCTCTCTCCCCCTTTCGCTGCACCTGACTAGGCGAGGGGATACCCGACCTCTGCGTGTGCAGCCAGCCAGCCAGATAGACAGACAGACAGACAGGCCTACATCCATGCCTTGGGTACCTAGCATGCATGCGTGTCCGGTTCAGGGCAGGATGGGAAATGCACACATGCGACGATGCTGCCCGCTATTAGCGCTAGCTTCCCGCAGAGCCATGTATTAGGTAAACATGGGCTGCGATGCGGCGATGCTGCCGGTCAGGTCGGATTGAGAACAGAGCGTGCTATTTTGCTGTGTGTTGTGCCATGTTGCGTTGGGTACTTTCGTTTTTCTTTTATTGGGTGTATGCAAGAGCATGTCTATGTGTGTCCATCTAGGTAGGTGAGACATAGAGCCAGTCTGTCTCCCTCTCTCTGTATCTCTCGCCCTCTCTCGCCCTCTCCTTTTCCCTACGCAGTAGGTATGCCGAACGTAGGGGCGCTCCTCCATGGTGAGAAGACTTCGCCCATGGAGCCTGGACGGATCTAGCACCTGATAACGGATTCCGTCTACCTAGATATACCTATATCCATCCCGTTCCCATGTATGTTATAGAGTATAGGTATAGAATATATATGTAGATACCGTATAGATAGGTACCTGCCTACGTGCGTGTATGCACAAAAACAGGCACCCGAGGCGCCCAAGGGTATTGGGTTTGCGGGGAACGCGCTGTTTCGGTTTACTTGCATGCATGCAATATTTGCCAAGTTGGGGACATTAACGAGCTGATGCCAGAAGAAGGACAGGAATGGGCCTATCCATGCAGCAGAGCGTCGCATCGACTAAAACCCCGCATTTCTGGCCGACGACGACGTTCTTGGCACCTGACGAGTTGGCTGCGACCTGATGTAGTCGGGTACCTGGCTCGACTACGTAAGCAGCATGCAATCCTGCGACGTGGCCTGGGGCTAACGTACCTGGGTACCCGAGTAAGGTACCTGCTACCACCCTCGGGCTTCTGAGTGGATGTATATCCCTGCCGCGGACAGGTACCTGGGCCCAGGACACCCCTCCTCCTTGCACGAGGCCAGGTACCTACATAGGTACGAGTTTAGACACAGGCTTAGGCACGGGCTTAGGTACCTTGGCGCCGGCCGTGGTATTGTAGGTACATATAGGAGGTGGGTATGGAAAATAGCCCCTTTTGGGCAATGAACGTACCTAGGTAGTTAGGCCTAATATCACATCCGCCCGGCGTGTCGGAATGCCCTCTTCTTCTCTCTCCCTTTTCCGCTTTTCTGCCCTTGACCGAAAAGAGCAGACCGCAACTCGAGACCCAGAGGCGACGTCGAACAGGTACACCCCCGTCAGCCTCGCTGTTGGCGATCTCCCTCTCGCTGTCTAAAAAAAGGGATTGGTCTCCGGACATGGCCATCTGTACGGATTTCCTAATTCGCCCTCCTGCTTCCTATGCTGAATCCCAATGGAACCGCGAATGAGATGATCAATTACGAGCTGCACCTCCGTACATACTTACGCACACACATACACCCACGCCCCTCCCCTCCCCCTCCCCCCTGTGGGATCGAGCCCGTCGCCATGGTTGAAACTTAGCCTGCCTTGACCAGCGACGGTGACCATACACGAGCGAAGTCGATGGCAGCACCATGTTTCGAACCCTGCCAACAACCCCAAGTGCTAGCCCGGCAAAAGGATTTCCGCGCATCTGAAAATTCAATAGAAAGGTTGCCTCTTACCTACATGGCGGCGCTGCAAGGTTACCGTACCTATCGCCACCCTCGCCGTCCTCTCCACCCCCCTGAACCTACAGTCCTCTCAGCCTTCTCAGGCTGCATAACCTGGCCACAAGTTCAGCAAGGTGTTACTACTACACAGTAACCTACTACTACGCAGTAACACGCGCTTCCACAAGACGTTAGCGCTGCCAAGGCCCGGAGGGCTAGACCCAACAATCAAATGCCGTTCCTGGACTTTGCACTGGTCTGGCATGGCGACAGGTCATGTTCCACGGGGACTTGCCCTGGTTACCTGGCTGCCGCTGACCACGGACGATGAGGCCAGACGATGAGGCCAGACGCTGCTTGTGTGCCTCGGGAAGGTTTTGCTTGTTTGGTTTGCGCATAACAATACCGACGTGGGCTGACTAGACTCTCGCGTCCCTAACCGATGGCCGGATGGCTGGCGAGTCATACGGCACTCTAGCAGTGTCACTCGAGGAACCTGTCTCGAGGTATCCGCCCAGGGGTGGCCAGAGGCTGCTGCCCGAGGTGACGACAATCTATGCGTCCCTCACGCAACCTACCGTGCGAATCGAGAAATCTAGGCCGCCTTGCTGCAAGTAATCGCGCTGCTGTGTGTCGCTGGCGGCCGACCCCCCCCCCCTCTACGCCACACCCTCGCGCTCACGCTCACGCTCGTCTGCCTAGCCCTCTCGCGCGCACCGTGTCGCTCCGAGGGCGAGGCAGATAAGTCGGTCGAGATGGCGGGACCAGACGGGTTGTCCGTGTTACGCCTTGTCCAAGCAAATTCTGCATCCGTCCATCCGTCGCCCCATCCGTCGCCCGGCCGTCCTACCAGCTGGTATGTCAGGTAAATGACAGAAGCGACGGAGAATTCCCCATTGCATATGTGCCCCATAGATGAGGCGCCCAAAGCTGTATCTGGCATTGGCATTGGGCATATTCCTATTTTTCGCCTCTCCGCAGGATCGAGACGCTGCAGGGCCATTTCCTCCCAGCCCACCCGAGGCCCGGCCAGGCGCTTGATGAGTCGCGCACTAGTTAGCTATAGCGTCGAGGGGCGAATTCGATAGTCGAGGGGAGGAATAGCGAAAGCAACTAGCTACGAGGCGCACACTAATGCGTGCCGTATGTACGCACGACTGTGTCTCAATTTGCTTTCCCCCTTGGACGAGACACACGAGGCTCCCACGTTCTTCTGGCGATCCTGAGCAGTTAGACAAGACTGCATACCAACAGTTCCCTTTCGTAGGAAGAGAGGGAGGCTGTTTCGTTACGGGGTTTGCGCCGCCAATAGTCTTCGACGTTCTGTCCCTACGTCAATCCCACGTTATTCCCAAACGTGGTTGCGACGCCCTGCCGCGTGGTCACGCATCATTCCTTGTCGATGCCGCACCCCCCCTCCTCTTCCCTCACTCTCTCACCCATCAGCGAGACGTTGTGGCTTGCGGTTGGCATGACAGGAGGATCCTGACTTTCTCTCCCATTGGCCTCTCCGCACCGGCGCTGCGGTTCCTTGTTTCTCATCACATCTATTCTCCTGCGGCAGACACTTGTATATCCACTAACAACCACGTAACGGAGCCTGGATCGTACATGGTGAGTTTTCAGGGCATTAGCGCGCCACGCATTGCCGTTGGTTGTGTTCCTTACTCCCCTCTGTGGCCGGCCGCTAGTGGCCTAGAAGGGCGGGTGATGACTTATGGCAACCCCAGCAGAAACATTCTCACCCTGACAGGAGACGTGCCATACATATTAACGTTGATGTTTTAGTTGTTTCTGTTCGTAGCCATTCTCAAGGGAGCCCGGGTTCAGGCTCCCTAGGATCGGCCCTAGGAGGGTCCATCCCAATTGACCAGGGCCGTCCCGTCTGGTCGGTATACAGGAAGCATTCCTCGAACCCCCCCCCCTCCCCCCTCTCCACCCATACAGACGCACTCTCTCGCCCTCCCTCTCAGACCGCCGGACAGGAGCTGGTTCCGGACGGGGACCGGCGCGCCCGGCGCTGTGATCTACCATGGGAAAGGGGGAGCTGCAGTCCTGCAGTACCAGGCCGTCGAAATTGTCCGTACCTGGGCCCCGATGGTAGGCATTGGCCCGCACTGCCGAAAGGGGGCACGGGATGGGTATATTGGGTTCACCACGTACGGGTTGGGAGTAGGCCGCGGTGTTGGCTTGTGGGTAACTCGTCGAGAGAGAGGACCAATCTACGTACTGAGCCAATGCAACATGGCCATCGTATTCCTGCAGAGGCATGCGCGGCCTGCGCGGCCGATTGGCAACTAGGCCGGTAGGGGAGTTCTCAAACGAGAAAAAGATTCCCTATAGTAGTGTCGTTCAGGAACCGACGCGCTGCCACGACAGCTGCTATAGAGCCTCCAATCGTATTCGCCATTCCCACAGGATCACAACTATCAGTCGATGTGCTCCCCCCAGAATGAAAAAAAAATTTTTTCTCTTTTTTCCTGGTTTACACCTTCTCTCCTCTTCTCTTCTCTTCTTTCGATACGTCGTCGTCTGGAGATCCGAAGGGGCGCCAGCTCACAGCAACAACCTGCGAGTGGATGCGCAACGGGATGGATTCATCGCCTACTCGCCGCACGCGAAACCCTATCCGATCCCGAACTATCCTACCCTGTCTGATGGGTATCTACGCGATACCACCCGGCATATCTTGGGCCTTAATATCAGGCCTAGAAGGGGGTTGAAAAGGGGGGGTGGGAGAAATGAAGGAATAGGAGGAGGAGGGGGGGCTCTTTGATCGACGTAATAGCTTGTGACGCTATTCTATCTCGAACTAATCGGCGCTCGAGGTTAAAGAGATGCACCTATCCGCATAAACTCGTGCGGTTGTGGCACAGCGCCTCACTCTTTTTGTGGTTCCCTCCTCCATTCCCTCCACACCCGAATCTCTTCCTCCAGACGGGTAATAGAATGGCTCTTGTGCGACGTCGGTAAAATGCCTCCTCCTGTAAAGAGAGCAAGAGAGAGGGTTGAGTGGAGGGGTGGCGGGTGGAGGCCAGAGGACGCGATAGGTAGTTGGCGATGTGTCTACGTGTGCTCCGCGGAAGAGACAGGTAGAGAGAGAGGAGAGGCTGAGAGGATAATAGTGAGAAAGGGTTACAGAGAGCGATCGCGATCCGGATCGAGACGAGATCATCTCTGCCAGCGGATGATTAAAAAGAAAAACGAAATCAGAACACGCCTCTCTCCTCAGGTGCTGGTGCCCGCCCTCTCCCCTCCTCTCTCTCTCCCCACTCACTTTCATTTTTATCTTCTTCAACGTTCCCCCTTTTCCACCAATCTCAAATGGCCTCTGACGATGGCACCGCCGTGAGTGGACGGTAAGAACTCACATACACAAATACAGCAGCAGAATTAAAAAAAAAAGAAAAGAAAGAACCAAATTCCCGAAAGGAATAACACCGACAGTTGCTTTAACACGACGTCGCGTGTGGGGTGGTGCTGGGCAGTAAACGATTGGTCTATTAGTAAGTAGGATGAGGATAGGTATACGCGCATGGAGATAGATAGATGGATTGGATGGATGGACGGGACGGAGCGAGCGGCTGGGCGAGCGAGCGATCATGACCATGGGCTAGCAGGTAGCTTAGCTAGCTGGCAGCTCGGTAAGTGCCGCCAGCCACGACGAGACGACGACGACTACGACGAAACAACGAAACGGCGACGGAGTCATAGGACCGCGGGCGTATGCACCTTGCCGCGCCAATCTGTCTGTCTCTCGCCACCCATCCACCCGCCCGTCCGTTCGTCCGTTCGTCCGTCTGCATGCCGCCCGCAGCCACCACCATCGACGCAGCGAGTAAGGGCGAGACGGATAGGGAGAGAGGCGTTGCTTCACAAAGAGATACACACATAGGGGGAGAGGGAGATAGAGGGAGCGTGCCTCCTCCGAGACCGCAACGCCCACCGCCCTGCAATGCCACGCTAGTCTTACGCGTACGAGGTTCGGGTCGGGTCAGGCCGCTCTGCTCCTCTCTCTTCCATCCTGTCTGCCTGTGTTATGTATGGCTATATTTGCCGTAAGCCTCTTAATATTGCTTACTGCGCCGGCTGCTGCTGCAACGACGCCCTACTGCTGCTCCTCAGCGGCTCCTTCTCCTCCTCCTTCCTGCATCAGCGGCCGGCTTGCGGATAAGGCAGTCGAGATGGTACCCGAGGGTGGAGGAGAGCGATATGCAGATAGATGGGTAGACATCTGGCCGCGTGCCGCCTATCACGGGGGGGTGGCCCCTGCGTGCTCTCCGAGAGCCCGCACGCCCGCAGCCCGTCGTCGTCATCGTGGTGGTTGTCGGCGCAAGAGTAGGTACGAGCGTCGGGAGTTGTCTCCTCATCATCATCCTTCCTCCCCCCCCCCCTGTGCCCAAGACATGCAGCCGCACATCACATGGTAGGTGGTCGAACGGCAGGCCGCTGCGTGGCTCCGAGTACCGCCCGCGCCCCTCCCTCCTCCCACTCCCAAGAGAGAGAAAAAGAAACGCAGCACGCAGGAAAGCGGGAGGAACAAAAAAAGAAAAGGGAATCGAAATCACCAGACGTGACGAGGCGGCGCCGCCGCCGCCGCCCTGCGCCCAGGGGTGGCGCCGAGCACCCTGTCCCTCTCGCAGTCCGTTGCCGCGCGTGCCGAGCTCCCCCCCCTCTTCCCTTCTCCTTGCCGGGGCGGGGGAGGGCCTCTCGTGCTACGGCTCGCAGCGATCTGCCGACGGGCGGTCGAGTGCGTCGTGTTGCGTGCTGGCGCCCGCTCGCTCGCTCTTCGCAGCGTTAAGACGGGGTATTATGGCGAGGGCGCTGGAGGAGGAGGAGGACGGGGATAACGACGGGCTGCGAATGAATGCAATAGCAGCGGGTAGTATACATATATATATATATATAGCTATATATTTGCGTGTTCATCAGGTGTAATATTGTGTGTACGTGTGTGTATGCGCGTGATTGCGACGGTGCCGGGGGCTGCATGCTGCGGCTTATGGAGAGAGCGAGGGGAGATAGAGAGGGAGTCTCAGTGGGTAGCCTACCTCGGCCCAGCCCAGGCCGCGTCGAGTCCAAGGCCCGGAGGCCCACACCCCACCCCCCCTTCCCCGGGGCGAGCGCCGCTCCGACCGCGCCTCTCTCACGGGGCCAGCGCCGTGGTCGCGGTGGAGCCGGACACCGGGTCGCTGCGAACTTGGGTTGGACAAAGCGAAAACCGGAGCCCTAGGGCCGGAGTCGGGGGGCGCTGCTGTTGCAGTAGCTGGCGACCCGCCTGGCCCCCTCTCTCTCGCCCCAAGAGCTGCTCCCCCAGCCGTTCTTCTTTCCCTCTTTCCCCGTATGCTTTCTGCGGAGACGCGACAAGAAGCCTCTCGGCCGCCGTGATGCCGTGGGCATGGGCACACGAGCATTTCGGCCTCAGCGGCAGGCACGGACGCACGCGCGGCCTAGCCTCCTCGACTAGTTCTAGGGAGCCGGGGCGGCTAATAGCTGCTGGCCCGGCGGTGGTGTGTATCTGTGGGTTCTCGAAAGCGGAGGCGTGTCTGGTAAGGTCGTGTGATATCCCGCCGGGGCGCTCTCGTCCCAGTCGTCATTGTCCTCGTTTTCCTGATGACCCCCCCCCCCCTCCCCCCTCTTTTCACTACCGTCAGCGCGCGCCCCCGCCCCTGGAACCGCGGCGTCGCGCCTTCGCCCCCGCGGACTCGGCGCTGCTCTCGGCGCCGTACGCCGCCGCCGGCTCGGATCGGACGCCGTGTGGTTCCCGGCGCCGTCGGTCTCGCGCTCCGCGAGCCGTAAGTGCGAGCCGAGCAGCTCTCTCCGTGCATGAGTATCGTGTATGCGCGTTCGTCGTCAAGCCATAGGACAGGCTCTTGGGTTTCCTGGGCCGCGTATCAACTTGGCTTCCTCTTGTTTCTCTGAGGGTGCGAGTTCGTATATATACGAGGCCTAAAAGTCCAGGTTAGATGGTGTGTCATCGCTGATTAGAGAGCGGCAATACATGGATATATATCTCTCCCTGGGAACTCTCCATTCTGTGGAAATACTGATATTTGATCACGTAGAGGTCGCGTTGGCTGTTGGCCTTAAGACGTGGAGTGAAGGAGGGAGGAACACTTTGGGTTGGCGTGTAGATAGGGATATGTTCTGTTAAGATACGGCGATATAGACGACTTACATTGGTTGGGGTCAGGATAGCTAATGTCCTCCTCGACCCTGTTCTATTCTTCTCCCATCCATTCCTTTTGCTCCTCTTAGGGCCTATGCGGGTGGCCCTCGCCCGTGTTCTCCCCAGTAGGTATAATCTTCGTTATTCATGTTCGGTTTCTAAACGTCACATTTCAGAGGGATTTTAGGCTTTTATATTTATGTCACGTAGGTATATCCGTTCTGAATATGAGCGCTTGGGTCCTAGGTTGGCATATCTGCTTCGTGGGCTATGCAGGCTTATACCTATACGTAGGATTTCCTACGTGGCACATCCCGATAATGAGAGTAACGACGGCATCTCTTCTCATGGACTCTCTCTCGACCTGTCGGATGGCGATCCTTATCGGGTCTAGGGGCACCTGGGGAAAATGGTAAAGGGTCGTAGGACTTCAGGAGTTGCTCCATGGCCCGTGCTTGCACTTGCACTAATAAACGTTTGGCCTCCTCGTCACTCCGTCTCTCGAAGCTCTCTCAACAGCACACTATCAGACTTGAAATATGACTTGGAATCATTTCCAAACTTAAGTATTCGAGTCTAGGATACATAGTGACATCCATCATCCCAACACCCCGGCCACAGGATGAAATTCGTCCTGACAAATAATACGTTGGCATCCCGCCCCCACATACCTAACGTCTATCTTCCCACGGTCTCTGAGCTCCTTGATCTCTGCGGGAAAGAGCACTCACGCGGGAGTATCACCCTGCCGTCGGAATCGCCGGTCCTCTGGGTCAAGTACGGCTTTGCGATATACTGGAACGAAGTGGTGGCCCAAGCTACGGCGTACCACGAGCTGCGGCGCCTCGGATCCTCGGTGCGGGCACCGGCAGTCTTCTACACCTTCAAGTCCCTATGGCTACAGTGTATTCATCGTTATGGAGTACATCCCAGGAAATAACGTCGGGAAGTGTTTAGACGAAGCCAAAAGCGAGGCGGAAAAGGAACTCATCATGAACCAAGCTTCGCCGCATCCCTGTTGTTGCGGGGTCTCGTCCAGCCGCCGTTGGCGGGGGTTATGTTCGGCATACGCTTTTTGGCGAAGGAGCGCCAAGGCATTACGAGAACGCCGATCATCTAGAGAATCACCTTAATAAAGTAAGTTTCTCTGCTATTAACGACGTTGATTCTGCTTGACTCTAGAATGCTACGTACAGGTAAACTAACAATACGCTAATTAAGCCATCGCTAGTTTTTAAAACGGGCGAAGGAAACATAGGATTGCGAACCTTTCACTCGAGCCTATGGCCTTCTGCCAGCCAGACCTGTGTCCTGACCGATGACACTGGCCATGCTATAGTCATCGATTTCTCTAATGTAAGCATTCTTCCCTCTAACTTCGCTAGGTGCTTGTTAATACACAACAACAAGCTTAGATTCGACACCTGCGAGTGAGTATAGATCTCGAGTACGGAGGGCGTTGATAACACTCAAATACTTCTTGCTGTCATCAGCCGGATGGTGACGGGGCCGGGTTATTTTTCTCGCATGGATGAGAGATTACCGGGAGGAAACGTGGAGACTCGGGATAGAATCGCGAATTTGATCAAGGGTCCTGATCGATATTATGTGTGGTCGAGCATGGTGCAAGTCTCCGCCGGATTTCACCATGTCGCTTGTTCTGACAATATAAATGGAGACCTGAACATCATTTGCGGCCCTCTCCATCCGTTGATGCACAAATGGCGATGCACCAAAGTTGACCGATACCCGCGTATCAACCACCTGCCTCTGAAACGACACGGTTGGGTATAGCTGTCCACGCACGCCTCGACCGTAGCCCCTAGTAGTAGACTGGCATGCTGTACGAAGCCAGCTTTAGCTGAATTATCTGTACGCTTACCTTCTTCGAGGCCATCCTTGGTGAAGAAGACTGCCTGGCCCTTAATGTCAATGCCACATCCGATAACAGCATCGGTCCTGTATCCCGGACCGTAGTCCTTGTTGTTGTTCGCTGTGTAAGCGTCGTCGCCGTCGGCATGGTATCCCCATGAGCCACCGTCCTACTCGATAAACGTGTTGAGGGATACGTGCTCTTCGGATACTCCGATGCCGACAATTCTGGGACAATATTAGCTCGCTACTTCTCTGTGATGAGAACGGGGAAGGAATTGGGAGGAAACCGGGAACTTACGGTCGATCTAATATGCCTGTCGTGATCTTGATCTTGAAGTAGGAAAAGCTGTCCCTGAAGGGTATACAACGGTTTTCACGAATCGACCCTGTAGGGAAGCCGTCGAGACCGGTACCGCTTCCTTTTCGGTATCGGAGTTGTATACAAACCACAACTACCAACAACTGGTCCAGGGTACCGATCAATAGGAGCAGCAACTGCAACGGCAGTTGCAACAGTTGTGACTGACGATCGGCCAGCTGTAGATGGCTTCAGGGTGAAACAAGAAAAAAACAAGAGAGAAATTAAGGAGTATATATGCGTGTGGATATCTGTATCCTATATCTACGAGTATGCCAGGGCCCCCCCTTCGGGGGGCGGTAGGGGTATAGGCACGTAGGTACGAACGCTGCAGACGTAGGCGTGTGGCTTCGTGTGGCTTTGTAGAGCGGCTTACGTGATTATGACCGTTTCGCCTTTTTAATGGACCAATTAGATTCGTAGGATTCTGGACTGTGGCGCAGGTTTGATCATAGTATATTAGATGTTGCGGTAGGACTAGTCCTTGCAGGGTTTATGCTGTAGGTATTATATTTACATGGGTCTCGTACACATAGATATTTTCAGCTTCTTTTCTATATTACATAGTGTGATATTATCACACACATCTATATTGCGGCTACTCATTTATACACTTGATCGTCGTCTCCTTATTTTTTGAAGCATAACAATTGGATCCCTGCTCCTCTGCTATCAACTGAATAGCAGAATTGTGCCTAACTCATCCCTTGATCCTGTTATTAGGTCACGTGACCAACTCAACCTATGCTCCCTTGCGTACGCGTTACTTATCGAGGGGTTTTCCTGGCGAAGGATGAATGAACTACAGTTACGTGTACGAAAGGAGTAGTTTAGACTAAGAATGATACCTAAGCTCTTCTTTCAGGGCAATATCGCCAGTCATGACGGGGATGTTCGGTATCTGGTAACCGCCAAGCTGTTTACAAATACCTATAGAGAGAGGGGTACATGACGACCTCAATGACGTCGTCATACCATCCCCGCACAGACCTCCCACTCTTGTATGTACCTAGGTAGATACCTTAGTACCTTGGTGGGGTGTACGGCAGAATAGTATTTTCCACTCCCGCGGGGGACCTCCAGCTCCCCACCCAGGCAGCCTGTGGACATCCATAGGTCCCTCTAGTACTCAAGCTGGCGAATCTTTTCTGCAAAAATAAAAAATAAAAATACAAAGTGCTGGTCCGCAAGCAACCCCAAGGCCTCACTCAGAAGCTTCCCAACGCGATAATTTCAGGACGGCCCCTATCATTTCGCGTAGCTTGTAGGCCGATATCGAATCCCGTCCCGCCTGCCACGGTCGAATATTAAATCCCACTCTGACAACTCCGTCAAGATGCAGGCCCCCGTTTTGGTCATGAGTGAGAGTCCCTCCGTACCTACATGATGAGCCTGGCTTCGAGGATGGAACACCAGTGACCGCGGGTGGCTGACGATGAGACCCAGACACCCAGAGCGGTGAGAGACAATTTGGCCGCAAAGCTCAGCTCTCTAACATTGCCGCCGCCAAAACGTACGAGCCCTTCCCTCCCGCCATCCCCCACTGACACCGATCCGCAGTGTTGCCGATATTATTCGATCGTGCCTCGGGCCTAAGGCTATGTTGAAGATGTTATTGGATCCTATGGGCGGCATCGTGCTGACGAACGACGGCCACGCCATCCTGCGAGAGATCGAGGTGTCGCACCCAGCTGCCAAGAGCATGATCGAGCTCAGCCGGACGCAAGACGAGGAGGTGGGTGACGGCACAACAACCGTCATTATCTTGGGTCGGTGGGTCGACATGTCCTCTACCGAGCGTCACGGCTAACGCGTTGGAACTAGCCGGCGAGATCTTGGCACATGCCCTCCCACAACTAGAACGAAATATACACCCCGTCGTCATCATTTCCGCCTTCAAGCGCGCGCTGAAGGACGCGCTAGAGATCATCGACGAGATATCGTTGCCCGTTGACACCAACGACGACAAAGCCATGTATAACTTAATCTCCTCCTCGATCGGTACCAAGTTCGTCTCGAGGTGGTCCGACCTCATGTGCAGCCTGGCTCTCAGTGCCGTCCGGACCGTCGCGTGGGACGCAGGGAACGGCAAGCGAGAGGTTGACATCAAGCGGTATGCCCGCATAGAGAAGGTTCCGGGCGGGGAGATCGAAGACAGCACAGTACTAGACGGAGTCATGCTTAACAAGGACATAACCCATCCCAAGATGCGAAGACGGATCGAGAACCCGCGGATTGTGCTTTTAGACTGCCCCCTCGAGTACAAGAAGGGAGAGTCTCAGACGAATATCGAAATCACAAAGGAGGAAGACTGGAACCGCATCCTGCAGATTGAAGAGGAGCAGGTTAAGGCTATGTGCGATTCGATCTTGGCTCTCAAACCTGACTTGGTTATCACGGAGAAGGGTGTGTCGGATCTCGCGCAACACTTCTTCGTGAAGGCCAACATCACCGCGCTACGCAGGGTTCGGAAGACGGACAACAACCGAATAGCTCGAGCTACTGGCGCTACCATCGTAAACCGGGTGGATGATCTCCAGGAATCTGACGTCGGAACTAAGTGCGGGCTGTTCGAGATCGAGAAGATTGGCGACGAATACTTCACCTTCCTAACCAAGTGCAAGGCGCCTAAGGCTTGCACCATCCTGCTGCGGGGTCCCTCTAAAGACATCTTAAACGAGGTGGAGCGGAACCTTCAGGATGCCATGGGTGTAGCCCGAAATGTCATGTTCCACCCCCGGCTCTCGCCTGGTGGAGGGGCAACGGAGATGGCAGTCTCGGTACGGTTGAATCAACTAGCGAGGAACATCGAGGGCGTGCAACAGTGGCCCTACAAGGCGGTCGCCGAAGCCTTGGAAGTCATCCCCAGGACCCTGGTCCAGAACGCTGGCGCCAGTCCAGTGAGGGTCCTCACCGAGCTTCGTGCCAAGCAAGCGGAGGGCAAGAGCTCGTGGGGCATCAACGGAGATACGGGGACCATCGCGGATATGAAGGACTACGGCATCTGGGAACCGGAGGCGATCAAGCTCCAAAGCCTCAAGACTGCCATCGAGGCAAGGCCTCGGCGAATATCCCCCATCTCTCGACTCGCTTACTAATCTTTGTCTTAGGCCGCGTGTCTGCTCCTGAGAGTTGACGATATCTGTAGCGCAAAGAAGGCGCAACACGCCGGAGCTCCCGGGTTGGGTGGAGGAGAGGACTAAAAATGGGAGATAGGGGAAGGAAAAAATATTTGACGAAGCCGCTGGGCGTGCCCACGAGGTGTTGGCATTCGAAGAGGACATACCCCATGCATCAACCAACGACTAGACAAAAGGCCGCATGAGATAGACAAATGATGTGGCTCTGCTGCGACGTCTACAAGGACCAACATGGTTGTCGTCCTACCCTCGTAGCTGCGTAACATAACTGACGAGGGATCGCGTAGCCCATAAATGGTTCTCTAGGTCGTTGCCCCTTGTTTTCTTCGATTTGGGGTTGACTGTCCTGAGGTAAGTTACCGAATTGTAGATTGCCTTCATCACAGCTTTTCATGTTGCGCTTCTTGTGGCCATAGTCAATTTATACCCCCTTACTTTTCCCGATTCGTCACCCTTATTTTCTAGTGCAGTGACTCAGAGGCTAATAGTATTATATTATCTCCGTTGCCAGTTCATCCTGAATGACAGTAATAGTCGCCGGCCGTGTTGGCGCGTTGAGGAGACTTAATACTCTCTCTTCCCGTGAACTTGGTAACATAATCCCCCAATTCCAGGCGAGGCAGGAGGGGTGACAAAGATTCTAGCCAATACAGGCTGAAGTTTACCAGCCGCTTGCATCCACTTTAGAGTCGGTACTTATTTGGCAAGAATCACAGGACCTCGTCCGCTCGGCTTCACAACATGAAAAACGTAGTGGTTGCGACTAACTTCTCCATCTGTAAGAAGTCGCTTTCTGGTCGTCGTCCTGACCACGCAGTCTTGATAGCAAATCATTTCGCTTCCACATCGGCCAGTTTCATGCGGCCTCCGGTGTGAACGTGACTTGGATCACGCAAGTTGGTATTCCCTCATTATGTACGAGATATACAGCCAGAGCGTAAACGGAGATCTCCACTGGAACCGTCTTCTCGAGGCCCCCTTGTTCGAGTACCCCTACACATGCCGCCGTAGGTAGGTAGGTATAGTGCTTCAAGAGGTGTCGATGTGCGTATGAGTAGACTTATATAATAGCATTAGTAATAAGGGACTGGTATAGTAGTAGTAGTAATGACGTTTGCTACATGTATCCTTGGTTATGAAGTTTCCCAGTGCCAATTTGAATAATAGCCCCCCCTCCCCGCCCCCCTTTTCTTTTCGTTGCTGTGCGATGATGGCGACTGCCCATTGCTATATACACCTCGTTGCCCGGGAGGAAAGGCATAGGTGGAATATCACAATTGAATATCACAATTGAATGCCATAGTTGAATAACACACAGGGCAAACAACACAGTGAGAAAATTCATTTTTCCTCCAGTTTCCGATTCAACTGTGGGAAAAAAAATATTTAATGGCAAATCCCCCGCGCCTCTCTCCCCTCCTACTCCTTTCCCTCTACCACACACAACATTCAGAGTAATCGTTGCACGCACATTCATACCCGCACACACATACAGACACGCCTCTCCGTGGCATCGCAGCCAAAGCACCAGTGATCCTCTACCACATCATCGTCTCTCTGTCCTTTCACCCCATATTGTCATACCATCGTCCGTCGTCACCATGGCACCTCTTACCCGCAAGCGCAAGGCGGAGATAGAGGCCGCCGAAGCAGAAACAACCAACATCTCGAAGAGGGTTCGTCTTGACAGAGTGCCCAAGGGCCCTCAGAGTCCCGAGCGTATCCGGCCCTTCCAGAGAACTGACCCGTTCCGTCCTCTTTCCCCCCGCCCCAAGGAGGTCCGTACCCGCAAGCTTTCCTACCCGGTGAAGTTGTGGAAGCTCAATCCCAAGACCGTCGAGCCTCCGCGCCCGCTCCCGATTGTCTTCTTCACTGAGCCAATGGAAAACCCCATGAACCAGCTTTCTGCCAAGTCTCGAAGCAGCCACGATGTCGATACTATCCTGGCGATGAAGTCGCTTTATGAACACGCCCAGTAAGTCATCGTCTCATTAAAGTCTTGGCATTCCATGATATACTCCATCGTACGTCTATAGATGACCAGCTTTATTTCTCGTCTTGTGTCACTCCCGCGTCACCTGTACCTTAGTTCCATGCCGTCTTCGTATCTCCCCAACGCGGTCTCGTGTGTCTTACCCGAGTTCCACCTCGCCTTACGGTGGCTTCATTCCCCTCCTATCTCTAAGTTAGGAAACGGCAACGTGAACATGAGACTCGACGACATAAGTATTATCTGCGTAACATGCTAACCTAGACCGCGAATCAGCAAGTACGGAGCAGTCGCGTTGCCGACCAAGGACACTCTTGAGTCCTGGCTAGAGCAGAATAAGGACAAGTTCATCCAAGCTCGCAAGTCTCAGAGCAACGCCCGACAGCCACAGCCACCTGTGCAGCGTAATAACAACGCTCCCCGCCATGCTGACCCGATGATAGCGGCTCTTCCAGAAGTCCCAACTATGGAGCACCCAGCTGTCCGGCGGCGCCTAACAGCGGCGACCATACTTCGGAGATCGGCCAAATCGGCCTGTCGTACCGCTTCCCGCCTCGTGCGCGCTACTAGACATCATATAGCCACGGCACTCGAGGCCACCGCACACCTAGTCCGGGGAGTTGAAGGGCCAGCACCAGAGGTCGAGTTTCTCCGTGACATAGAGGATCAGGAGGCGGAGGACAGTGCCCGGCGGACTGCTGTTCTTGAAGCAGTCCAGGCCGGTGAAGCGGAGCCCCTCCGAGTCCGGCCAATCGCACCGCCGCTAGACACTCGCTTCTTCCACCCGAACGGTCAGCTCCAGACGGTCTACAAGTATCTGACGGCACAGATTCCCCTCCCGCGACAATGGGTCGACTGGGCGGTCAATAACGGCATCTACACCGTAGAAGGTCGCGGGGATATCCGGGAACCCGGTTGTTACGTGGCTGAGGATACGTTTGACTATGACCATCTGCATCTTGCGATTCATCGCGGTAGCTTCCGGACCGGACGTCGAGAGATCGACAGTTTCCCGGAGCATTGGCCCATTGCTGGGGGGCTCAGAGACAACTACACGCTCGATCTGAATCTGCACCGCTTCACCGGCCATTCAACCAAGCGCATAGAAGGCCCTGCGGAGCTCGAACAGGGTGACACAGGCAACAGAACGCAGTTGGCTGTTGCAGAGGATCTCGAGCCCGAGCCTCAAGTCCTCTCAGAACCAGCGACTTCCGGGGGACTGGCATCAGAACCATCGTGTATAGCAGATTCTTCCCCTACACCGTCTCGAATGCCTGTCACATCGTTGGCCCCTGAGCTTTCCCCACATATTCTCCCCAGCTCTCGTGGCATATCCCAGTTAGGGACATATTCGCCTCCTGCTCAACGATCGGTAGCCCTAGCCGAACCAGCTGCGACCCCACCACCTAGTGACGAGCCAACAGATGTAGGACTATCACCTATCTTGGAGGTTTCTGAGACCCCTCTCGGCGGTTTGGCTCCGAATAAGAAGCGAGTCCGGTTCGTACTGCCCGACACTCCGGGCGCATACCCGGACTGGCCTGCCAGTAGTAGCCCGCGATCCCCAAGCCCCTATCCTACGCCCACACCCATATCCCGAAGGGATCTTTGGCGCCAGGAAAACGACGTCTCTGCTTCTCCTGCCATGTTTGGGCTCCCGGAGGACTTCTATGACACTAGTTCGGAGGGTTTCCCAAGCCCCATCCTGAACCCCACGACGGCACGACGCGCCAGGACAACAGCAGATGAAGAGGCCGAATACGATAAAGATGAAGACGGGGAAATACCCCTGCCGGAGACCCCGCCGCCGCCGCCTCGCCCTTTCACGCCGACTCCTAGCCCCGGCGGAACCTTCGGCCTGCCCGACGACTTCTACGACGGTTCAGACTCAGATTCCAACTACAACAGCAGCGGCCCTGCTGACACTTCGATGCTCGAAGGCGCCAGCTTCGGCAGCGAGCTTGAAGAGAAGAGTCCAACCACAGAACGACAACACCAGAGTCAGGAATACCTCCGCCAAGCGCGTGCGGCACTACGTGGTGAGATTCAGGATACCGGGTCTCAACGACGAATTGCCTCGCCTAGATCTCGGCAGTGGTCCTGAGTTTTCCGACGAGACAATTTGGTCCTATTGCCGTCGCTGTTGACGATAACCCTAGTGACTCGGAACCAGACAAAGTAGGCTCTATAGCCACGATAGTAGTCCGGGAGGAATGTCACAGGCATGCAGATAAGCAAAGCGAAGCAGCATTCTGCATTGAAACCTAAGACAGACGGGTCCGGGCCGATGGAGAGAGAACCAGAAAAGGAAATCCTCCATGCATACTTGGTACTGGTCCATCCGGTGCCTCACGGGAAAGCTGGCGCTTCCCTCCCTTTCCATCATCCCTACCCAATTAGCCTTCACAGGCTCTGTTGGAAGAATGACCTCACCTCACCAGCCGGTCAGTTATATGCGTCTTTCTTTCTGAGCACCTCGCATACGACACACACACCTCTCACACCAATACGGACCTCGTTGACCCTCGTAACAGGTCGGAATTGTCAGGCCACTCGCAAAGGGAGGGAAATACCCGGATTGACTCCTGCAAGTCGGTAGTAGGAGCGATACTGGGGCAGGTATACCTTCGTGGATCGATGACGACCCTTCACACACACATCACACATACCTACATCGCCAGCATTTATTACGTTCAATATTTCGCCAATACTGACCCTCATTAGTCGGCGTGGCTATGCGGAGATGTTGGTCACCACCTCCTAATGAACCCTTCGGAACTCCCACTCACAAGATGACTCGGATAATCATTAGTTTTTTCTGCCCCCTTTCCCCTTCCCTGCTTCTTGATTGTCAGTTTTCGAGTACAGCCTCCGCTTATTCTTTCTACAAAAGCATGCGAGAACTAAATATGGACACGGACCGCCTCAGCTATTGTGAGATATATTCACCGCCGAACGGTCGCTATCTTGTCCTTTTAAGGAACGATGCCTATAGTGGCATACGGACTCGATCAAATATGAACAGGGTTGACCTAATTTGGATCAACCAAGAAGTCGAAAGAACGTTCCCGTGAGGACTTGTTTAATGAGTATCAAGGCAAGAAGTCATTCGGTGGTAGGCTTCCCGAACAGTCATCATTTCCAGCTACCCAACGCTCCTAGCGGGCTTTAGCACCAAGACCACGGCGTCAATCTGGTCTCTAACGGTGGACCAACGTGAGCGTCTCGGTTTGAACGACGGCGCTCCGGAGGGCGGCAACCACCTGCCTGCAGCAAACGCACCGCTAATTCAGACAACGCCTGGCCGCCATGACAGGAAGTCTAAGCAACGACAGGCGTGATGGGCTGATCCGACGCCGGTCTTGAGAAGTTGGCCGTGTGTGTATGTATGTGTGTGGGTGGGTGGGTGAGCTATCACATTCCCCTACGCTTATTCTCCCTCCTTCTCACACTCTCCACTCACACATCAGACCTTTCAGCGCCGTCGCAAGTTGATGCACAACGGATTACCCCTCACAGTCCAAAGGGCTTTCACCATCTTCCTCTACTATCTTCGGGTCTCCACTTCAGAAGGGGTCTTCCGGACGGATATGAACCCCGTTGCGGAACCCGAAGACATATTATAAAGGCTGGACAAGTCGACTTTATTGCCACGCCTATACCATCTCACTGCCATCCTCCCGACCGACACGCCCATCTGCTTCTTCTCCACATTCAGACGGCAAGCACATACGCTAGCGGGACCGACGGTGACGTGGAGATCGTAAACGTAGCTAAAGAGTTACATTTCTCAATAGTCGTCTATGATAAGGCGCATACGCCGAAGAACGAGAGATCGACGACGCATAAAATGATAGCAGCCCTCAAATTTGACAGTCTCCTGCTGAGTTCGGCGACTCCCATGCTCAACCACTGCAGAGATAACCTGGTATACCTCCGCCTCGCGTTCTGGGATCTGCCGGCGATGCCCGTGTTGCCCCCGGGAACGGACCCCGCCGACCTCTACCGCGAAGACTGGGACCCATACTCGCCGCCGCCGGCGAAACCTACATCCTCTCCGTCCAAAAAGTTCGTCCCCGAAGACGGGTACAAGCCCCTACTCTCGAGAGACGCCCCGGCCGGCTCCCTCCGCCACCGTCTCCTCACCGCTTTCAGGGACCGCAGCTTCGGATGGTGGGCTCTGAGCCCGCGTCTCTTTAGAACTACCGCCCGACGGCATGGGTGGAACTACGACTCGCAATCCATTCTAGAGTCAGTGTTAGGCCTAGATGGCTCTTCACCCCTCGTCTAAGTCAGGTCCGACATGTCCTCCGTATTAGGTCTGGGCGCCATTCAGCCATATTCTCATAAATTAATGGTCGATGTTCGGCCTGGATGTGGTTATCACTTACTACTCATCTTCTCTCTCGGAGATCCGTGTCAGGACGTATCGTCATCCGCACCCCCGCTCTCTCTAGTACCGGTATTAAGCATGGGAATTTCTCTACCCGTACCCAGTACCTCGTCCTTGATTAGTGGCAAACCAGGACTTCACCCTGCCGGCATATTATGTCCGGCGATACTTCTAGTGGGAAGCCCGAACGAATACTGCCTTTCTATCACCCAGACAGTTCACGACTAATGGTAGACTTAAAATACCAGTGCGCAGAATCTCGTTCATCTCGTCAGCTACGAGCCTGGAATGCCTCCTGAACTTCCCCCCTTGGCCCCCTGCCCCCCACCTACGCCAACTCTACGAGCCCGAGAAGGATCCGGGCGGCCCCCGTCCCGGCACCTACCATTGCTACCCCGGAACCCCCCACCGAACAGCATTCAGGCTGTAATGCTTCCCGAATCTTGCCCTCGGGAGCGGCAGAACCCTCGCCGCCTTAACAGGCGCTAAACCGCCGCTAAGCAGGACGGGCACAGGGTGGCCACCGGGTGCCCCACGAACATGGTTTACTTAGCCCAGTTGATGAGATCTCTATCGCGAAACCTTGGCAACCTCTGGGAAGCCATAGAGGTACGCGGCGACACCACAGCCAGCCCTGTGGCTGCCGTTGCTCCACGGCTCCTCTGTTTCGGGCTCCCTCGGTTGGACACGACAGAATTACAGGTCACGAGTAGATAAGGCCCACCGAACAAGAGCAATCATCCAGAGGATGGATAGAGCAGCTCCTCAGATAACAACTACAAGTATTAAGCTTCTACAAGCCACGAGCATTCTCGAAGTGTTAAATAGGCCCTATTGGTCAATCCACATAGGAAGACTAAGGACTGTACGTAGTTTAGGAATCTAGGAATATAAGGCTTGGAAACGTAGGGTAGTTGTGAGATGGAATAGAGCATAGAATTTAGGGTACATATATAGACTATCTTGGGATTCAGGGTGCTGGGAAACCAGTAGGAAGTCGGAGGGTGCAGGGCATCAATAGGAATTAAACAATATCAAAGAATGTAGAAAGGATATAAGGGATCAAAGGATACAGGAAATCATAGGATGTGGAAAATCATAAATTCCAAAAAAAAACAGAGGATGTGGGAAATCATAGGATGTTAGTAACCATGGGGTTCTACTGGGCCCTAAAGCTGTGGCGAAGTTTCAGCTGACGAGGTTGTCAGAGAACTGTAAACAGTTCCCGTGTTGATCGAGACGGAGGATCCAACTCAACCACCATCGACCAAGCTATGCCACCCCAGCTCAGCCGCTTCAGCTCCACTTCTCATCCAATGAAGCTCGAAAAGCTCTCTCGAGTTAGAAAGCTAAAATGACAGCGGATCTAATATTATCCTGGCGATCTTTTGAACATTCTAATTCGAGAGAGCTTCTCGAATGAGATTTTTAAAATTAGATTTCTCGTCCGAGTTTGTAATAGAGTCGGCCCCGGGTGGCTAGTGCCGCAGCGCAGCTACCACCGCTACACTGGCGACTTAATAACGAGCGCCATTTAATACGCTAGCGTAGTAATTGCAGAGTTTTTATTTAGCTTTGCAGCTAATATACTACCTATTAGTATACTTGTTAATCGTAAGAAAGTTGTGTAGATAGAGTAATTTTTATTGCGTGATGAATGCCAATGGCAGAAACAGGCGAATTCGGTGGCGATTTGTCCGAGGGAATCTCTCTATCTACAGCAATGTTGGCCAAACTCTAGATACTTCCTATTCTTCCTCCTCTTGCGATGTTCTTTCTCCTATGGGTGTAGACTATTGACGTCGCGCACAGTGTACCTAAGCATGGTATGATGGAGTCGGCGTCTATGGAAACTACTCGTCTATGGACTCGCCGTTATTGTTGCTGTTGTGGTCTTTTTTGCTAGGCATCTTGATAACGTCAAATGCTAGTGAATAGAAAATCGGGTCGACGGGGCTTAATCTTCTTAAATGTAAAGGTGTTTACTGTACTAAGAAATAGGTAGTTACGGTGCACCATTAGTGCGTATCCGATAAAACGATTTTCGGAAATCGAAAATCGGTTTTCGCGAATTGAAAATCGACCCAAACGTAAAAGTGGGGCTACCTAATTAACTTATTATAAAAGTCATTAACTTCAATTATATATTATTAAATTAATTAAAGAGATATAATTAAACGAATTTTATATTTAAATAAATAAATGCTTGATTTATAACTATATTTAAGTTATATATTACGTAATATAATATCTAAAGACTTATAGGTAGTTAAAAATAGGTAATATTATAAAAGTCATTAACTTTTATAATATATAATAACGTTAATAAAGAAGATATAATTATGATTTTTTAATATTGAAATAGATGAATGCTTAATTTATAAGTAAATATAAATTATTTCTTATATAAAATGAGGTTTATAAAGAAAAATGTAACTAAAGTGGATTATTATAATAAAAGTTACTAACTTTAACCTTATATTTATAGGTTAATTTAAAAGATATAATAAAGCTTATTTCATATTTAAATAAAGAAGTACTTAATTTATATGTAGGTAAAAGTTATTATTTATATAATGTGATATTTATAAAGAAAAATGTAATTAAAGTAGATTGTTATAATAAAAGTTATTAACTTTAACCTTATATTTATAAGTTAACTTAAGAGATATAATAACTCTTATTTAATATTTATATAAGAGGTTGCTTTATTAATAGTTAAATATAAGTTATTATTTATATAATGTCACGTAGGCATGCATCCCTAGTGGGAACTACCTAGCTTACCTAAGCTAGCTAAGTACTACTATATGTACCTATAGATCGCTCTATACTCTCTAATAGCTTTCCTTCTTTTCTAGTTAGTTAATATATACCTTCTTACCCTTATTCTATTACTTTCTTTACGAATAACTTATTAACTTAAGCTTAGCTTTCGCTAGTTACGTAATAGTTATAAGCCCGGGGTACTTTTAAGGAGCTATTATTACTTAGGTTATTCTAGCGTAAGTAAGTAATATATTTATTTATCTTTTAGATCTTACGATTATACTCCCTTCTTATTTCTAAACCGGTACTTTGCTTTCGTATCTAGCTTTAAATAGTTACTTATTTATTTCGTTATAACGATTAATACTTCCGAATTCTCCTTGGATAAGATTTTAGTTAACGTTTACTTACGAGTTTACGATAAATAACTACGTTAGTTCCTAACGCTTAAGTCGATAACTACTTAGTTCAGTATTTAGAAAGACGTTAATCTAAATGGAGCTAAGTTTAACGTTACTCGAGTCGTAGTAAGTATTCTTAAGGAGTATATTACTTAAGAGAACGAACTTCTTAAAGAAAACTATAAGAAAGCCGTCTACGAGTAGGCGTCGATCCTAACCGAAGACCGAGGAAATTAACTATTAAGGCTTAAGGTACGAACTCGAGAGTAATAAACGGTAGCGTATAATAAGTTCGTTTCCTAGTAAATAACGATCGAGGCTTAGGTTATAGCTATTAGTAAGTAGCATAGGGTTTTCTATGGCTGGATTTTCGCTTCTATTTCTATAGGCTTTCTTAAGGTAGCTAATATGGAAATATAATTCCTAGATCTCGATCCGATTATTTAAAACCTCGTAAAGATCTTCCGTAAGTAGATTACTCCTACCGAAGCCGCTATTAAGACGCTCGTTAAACGAGAATATCGTAAGGTACTTTAAAGAGTAAAGGTAGGTACTTATAATCCCAAGTAGTTTTATATTATATGGTGTCACATAGAAAGCCACTTGTACATGGCTCCCTACTCCTTCTCGAGTTGCTCGCTTACCCAACATAGCTCCCAGCTCGCTTATGTAACATAGCTCGCAGCTCCCTATCGTCTATATATAGGTAGCTCGCATCTCCTTTGTTGATCTCCTTCCTTCTTAGATAGTCAGTCAATTCACCTTCTTCTTCCCACCTTCCGTTGCTCCCAAGAAGCAACCTCAGTGCCCACGTAGCTCTCCCAATCTACGTATCATATGGTAATACGCCTTCCTTTACGCTCGCGCTTATTATATTAACGAGATTAAGGGCGTTATAGGAGCAAAGGATTTCCTCGAAGTAGTTAGGGCTAAGATCGTAATCGACTAGGCTATACGGGTATTAATCGCTCTTATTAAAGCTAATAAACTCGGCGAATAACTAAAAACCCTTAAATAACTAGGTATCGTATTTAGCGCTTTCGCTACCGAGAATAAGTAGAAAGGTAAATTAGGTTATAGAATTTTCGTAATAGCTTATTAAGGACCGACTCTAGGAGCGAAATTAATTAATAATAGCGGCTAAGGAAAACTAACGAGCTACGAATACCCTTATAAGTTTAGAGGTAAATCATACTTATAGGTAGCTCGCTTTTATAGAATCCTATAGAAGTCCGTTACTAGTTAGACTATACGTAATTTAAAGCCGATCCCGGTTAATATTATGCGAAAAATTAAGGCTAAATACGACTTACCTAAGTACGTTAAGCTCCGAAACTAGATTAATCGCTAGGAGTAGGACGTTCCCGTAAATAATATACCTAATAATCGCTCCGGGAACGGGGAAGGAAATAACGTTATTACCTAGCTAATTAATATTAGCGTAATAATAATCGACCTACGTATTATATACCTATCTACCTAAATTAGGATTTACTTTATTATAAACCTAATCCGATACTTATTATCGGAAAGTACCGTCTTCGATAATTATAGAGTAGTTTACCTAGTTAATAATCGTAATCTTCTAGTAAAGGGGTTATTCGTTCCCGCTAGAGACGGATAGACGGTCGAAGCTAGTACCATAAGCTTTCCTATAGTTAGTACGGGTCGTAGGATTATCGAGAAGTATATCTTAGATTAATCTAGTAAGCCTGCCTTTAATTTAAAGCTTAAAGACGTCGTATTTATTAAAGATTTCTACGTTAATATTATCTCTAAGGCGAAACTTCGTAGTATAGGTATTTAGTT